CTTCAATGTAACTTCATTGTTATCTTCCTTCATCCCCATCTGCAGACAATAAATTTAGATTCATGAATGAGGCTAGGGATTGCTGTCGACAATTAGAAGGCATTGCTCAACAAACCAACCTTGCAAAGGGTGCGGAAAACCAGTAAAGCATCACGTTGAACTATGCTCATGCTCTCGAGGTCAATCCCTCTATAGAAATTACATAAAAGTTATGAGCAATCAAACCAATGTAAAGACATTTGGTTGACTACGAATATGAGAAAGAGATATCTTAAAGTATAATATCATATCCAAACCTGGTTATCTTTTTACCATCTTCGAGATGCACAGCTTTGTCCAGGACAGCCTCTAAGCCCTAAACAACATTACAACTACAATCTTAGTACAAAAGGAAACCTGGCAAGCTAAAATAGCCAGCATTGAGAGACATAGTAAATGGTGGCAAACACAGCATCTGAGAGTGCATAAGGTATTAAGAACATAGGTAACTATAGAAAACAGTGTACCTTGATGTCAGCACCGCCAGCAAGATTATGAAGTTCCTCAACAGATGCAATGGGTGTGTCTTTGGCCTGGTTAAGTTGATCTCCTAAAGTCATTTCTTTCTCACTTTGGTCTTCCAAGGAAGTTTCTTCAGCTTTTGTATTTGAACTTTGTCCTGAAATGGTTTCTATATGTCCAACAGAACCAGATGATGCATCCTCAAGTCCCTGCAAGAAATTACAAACTTTCTAGAATACGGGGTAAAATAACTATATTTTATGCATGTCCTGTACAGTTGTACCAGACTACAGATAAAGACATTCAGAACTGAAAGCTTTAAATTCATACTGGGTCAGTCTCCATTCTCCTGAATATGATGCTGATCATCTGCGTAAGCATTGCCTTTGACGTTGCTTGGTTTATGGGACTCTTGCTACAAGTCCAAAGTACAATTCATTAGCACTGCTTGAAATTGATATCGGGCACCCTTATGCAAATGTAAAAGTACCTGTGCAGAGCAATATTGTAGCACACTCTGATAACTCCCAGCAAAGGTTCCCCATGTACTGCATTTGAAACAGGTTTTAAACTTTAAAATAATTTCTTGCACTGAAAATTGTAGAAACAAGAAAAGGCACAACAATACCAGCACCAAACATACATATGCACAAATTGACAAAGATATATGCTGAAATGCATATAAATGACTACAGATCAGGAATATTACAATCGAAGAGACCCAGTACCACAGTACATATGAGTACACTTACATGGATAAGAAACCCAACTTATGACAGCCTATATAAGTTAATACTCTAGCAAAAAGAATACCCAATTTCCACACATCCCTGACAACATACCTCTGAACTTCGTGGATGCCACAGCAGTAAGAAGGACCTTCAACACTTGCAAAACGGTACTGCACATCGTTTCCCAAAATAAGAAAGAATAACAAGCCATATATTTTGGGAGAAAACCAATGATGTGCACGGCACATACCTATCAGATGACGAGTTGTCAACACAACTGCAAACCATGTTCAGAAGGTCTGCAAACAGCGGTACACTTTTACCATCATCTAAACCAGGATCTCCCTCTAAATGATCGTATGCAATGAGTTTCTGTGCTTATAAAATTTGAAGTACTAGTTAGCTATTATAGATATACAACAAATTCTAAGTGATGAGAACAAGGAGCAACTGCTAATCATACAAGAATACAGATACTATGATAGAACAATGAATTTCTTCATGCCTTGTGTAACAAAGTATCACCATCTTGAAAGCACATAATATTAATCTACAAAGAAAAAATCAAGAAATGAAATGCATACATGAAGACAATCCAGAGCAGGTTCTAGGACTTTCAAGTTCTTTGTCTCAAATGCAAGTCGTAGGGGATTCAAAACAAGCTCTGCCTGATCTCCTTCTAAGGTGTTCCCAGCCTTTGCCAGGACAGTTGAAATAGATGCACTTGTGCTCACCGGCCTAGCAACAGAATCTGCTTCCTCTGCAGTGTTTTCAGACTGATCTGGTTCTGTATCAGTTTTTGCAGCTCCACCCTCTGTTTCAAGAGAACTACAAAACAGAAGAGATTCCAAAAGTCAAAAGAATGTCTGATCACATCATTATGATTTTAATCTCATGTAATGATAATATTTGGTACCATTTGTTAGATAAACTAATCCAAATCTGTTGGATCTGATAAAAAGAAACTCAGACATATTGTGCTGTTTTCTGGCCTGATCATGATCTAAAACTATGTGAATAAAATTTAACCATTGCACCTCCACATGTGTATAATTTTTTTGGGGTACAAAAATAGGAAGCACAAAATGTATTTAAATTGAAAATAAGATAAAAGAAAAGACTAGGTGTCCCTCTATGCTTAAACATACTACAATTGCAAGAAAATTGATACAGTTAATTAATGACTTCAGCTCGATCATTATGAATCAACTACAAGGAATGTCCCAAAAATGTTTTGACATTGAGGCCTACAAAGATGCCACGCATATGTAAAAGTTGAATTCAACATGATTGCCATACAAGCATAATAACTACATTCTGCAAATCTGTATATTAAAGGAGGGAATAGAGTGAAGGGGAGAGAAGGGAAATATTAGTCGAGGTACAAATATAGACCTTCCATCACCAGCTGAAGTTGTAGCTTGATTCGTCTCACTTGAAATGGTCTGTTGAGTTTGATTGACCTCTTTCGTACTATCTAAAGAAACACAAAAACAACCGTGCGAGAGAGATAACTGAAATTAACTATCAGTGCCAAATAGAAATATCATTTATAAACAGAAGGAAAATACATACACAACACATACTGATTAAGGCCTTTGATCTTCAATTTTAACAAGCATCAATTTGAAATTACATAAAAATTAACCACTGAAAGCAACACATTGACGCTACAAAAAACAAAATAGGCATTTCAGTGCTCAATCCTTCCCAGAAAACCAGAGTTTGTTACAATCAAAAAAATTTACATGCATTACATAAACAACACAAACTCTATCTTAAGCTCACACTTCCCCACATTATCGTACACCATACTATCATAGGTCAGCCCAAATAATTGTTTGATTTCATCTAACTTTAAGTAGTATATTCATACTTCAAAAACCCAAAATCCAACAAACACCAACTCCAAACCAATCTGAATCCTGGATCGTCCAAAGTTAGATACGTAATGTATATCAGTATATGTATAATTGTATACAGAGGAGGTGAGAATGAAACCTATATAAGCCTGAATGGCTTTCTGAAGGTCAGCATGCTTTTTGGGAGAACACTCTTTGAGCATGGACTCGAATGCCCTAGTTACGAAACCGCCAGCTGCACCACCCGCCATCTTCTACTATAATTCGAATATGTCTACAATTCGGATCAAAGCAAGATCCATTACACACAAATTGCAACAATAATTCACAGATTAATCTTTCACCATATTTTATAATTACAAAATCGAAGACTAATGCGAGAGAGATAGATACAAAGAATTATACGTTACCTTGTTCGAATTGATTGTAGACGACGATCAGAAATGAAAGGACGAACAAGTGCGGTACTGGCGAGTTGGGAGCAGAGAATTGGAGATCTGAAAAGGCAACGCTGGTCGAGCAACTTCGACTGTATAGATCTAATTCGTCGTCAAGACTGCTAGTATGGTATGGTTTTACTGGTCTACTGGAGCGGAGCTTCTGAACCCGGAGCTTGCCACAGCGGGTTTGGGTCTCTGAGACTTCGCGCAAGGAGAAATGAAGCTGATTCAGATTTCAATTTTTAGGCCATATTTCGATTTAACCCCTTGGAAATCGACAAATTGTGCATTGGTTCTCCGTAAATGATGAAACATTCAAAATAGTTTCAATTATTTAAAAATGGATTATTTCAATTATTTAAATATTCTAGAAAATTATTTTAGTATCACAAAAATGAATTTTTATGGAAAATTTACCCTCCAAACCCCAAATCCAAGTCTCAAATAAAAAATCCTAACTTCGGTACTTGTTCCAAAACTGTTCGCAAGCCTCCAATCCTGACCCTAAAACTACTATAGGGCACTTAGGACTCAATTAAACTTAGATACTCACATAACTCAACCTATGACTTTATAATTTAAGTTTCATTCTCAATCTTGAATTAGTACGACGTAAATGGACCTTAGTTAAGCGTATCAACATATTAAATACAAATATTAGAGTATCGGATACGAGCATACCCCTCCAGTTAAGAGTTAGGAGTATCGGTACAACATACAAATGGTTTCATTTTCACCGTGTCAGGATGTGCTAGCTGCTATCTACTACTCTTTCCTCACATAACATTAATGACCCAAAATCGTATTCGTGTAATAAACCGGATGATAGTAATCTCAAAAGCCATTGTTGGACTCTGATTGCCATGGCAATAGAACCCTCATAATGGGTGGATTCCTTCTTGTAATTGTTGTAATTGATCGCGATCTTTAAGACATGTTAAAGTAAACCTTTAAATTATTTCAAGATGAAATCTTAAACATGTCCAAGACCTACACGTTTATATATTAAACTACCACCATTATACTTCAACCCCGGAGCTTGAGTTATCCCTATCAATTTTGCTTTACTTCAAAAAGAGAAAAATAATAACATAATTAATTAGCAAAAAGCATCCATAATCCCTCATTTCTGTCCCAACTGTTGTTATAAGATACAAATTTGATACATAAATAAAACAATGGAAAGTGAGGATAAAAAGAGAGAGAAAATAATACACAAATAGAAGTGGCTGGGAAATAATTCACTTTGATTAGACCACAGCAGGCATGTCATTTGGTCTTTCATTGAGTCGTTGTCCTATAAACCGATCCAATAAATTACAAAATCATCCCATGGCCTGGCCCAAAAACAACTCCCTTACACATAAATCATAAGAATCCCAATTTGTACACTGACAATATTTTTCACTTGAATTAAAATGCTCTATACAAGCCTACAAGAAGCACATTCAAAAATAAATAAAAAATCACAACAGCAGATCATCCCCAAAGAGGTAGAGCAGTCTCTCCACAGCCCAGCTGGGCTGGGATCTGTGATCCCAGCTCAAGCTCTGGATTTGGGATGACGTCAGCAAGGGGGTCCTACAGAGTGGGCAAGTCCTGTGGTTATCATCATGATGATGATCATGATGATCATGATACTCCAGCCATCTGTCGATGCATTCTGTGTGGAACACGTGGCTGCAGTTCCTGAGCTCCCTCACCTGATCCTCCATCTCCAGCTGGCTCAAGCACACAGCACACGTGTCACAGCCACTGCTGCTGGCTCTGTAGCTTCCTTGTCTGTTGGTAATTTCCTCAAAGGTGGTCTGCACAAGGCAGTCTCTGATCAACTGGGTTGAAGAAGAAGAGCAAGAGGAAGGCGCAGGAGGGTAGTTTTGTAATTCACCATGCTCTGCCTCCAGGAAATTGTAGCCATGGTCAGAAACAGAGGAGGAGGAGGAGGAGGAGGAGGAAGAAGAAGATAAGAGTCTTTGTCTGAGTCTGAGAGCCCAGTACAAAACCCATCTCATTAAGGCAATTACAAAAGCTGCTTTGTATAAAACATGGCTCACTATCAAGCCTGATGAGGACGAGTCTTCTTCAAACAAACCCATTGGAGCATATGCGAGCAATGAGCAGACCATACAAGCAAATTGAAACAGAGAGAACAGAGGAAGAAGAAGAAGAAGAGCAAAAGAAAACAGGGAAAACAGAGGAAGAAGAGAGAAAAGGGGAAGTTCTCAATGGAATCCAGCTTCTTTATAAAGACAGTGGATGTGAAGTGAATTGTAAAGAAGATGATGCGTGTGGGGCCCATTTGCTTCTTTTTTCTTTCATACTTTTTCTTTGATTTATTCAGGGAGTGCGGAGCTGCCACTGACTCGTCAGCAGGTCATTTGCTTCGTCATTGCGATTGTATTTGTGCGCATCTGAGTCAGTCACTTGGGTCGGTGGCTCTATCATTTAAATATTTCTTCCCTATTACTTTACTAGAAACAATAGGTACATAGAATTGGTTTATATAAATTTATAATACATCATCATTAAAGTTGAAAGCATGTGGGATCTGATCATAAGATTACAACCAACTTTGTTCTTTTCTTTTCTTTTCGTCTGTTGTTACTAGCCAACTATCGATCAGGCCTTCACGCTAGCATGAATGATTTTCAGTTATTGATGTGTGGTGACATTCACTACCACCAACAAATGAGAGTTACTCATAAGTGATTATCAGTTGTTAACGCGTTGTGAAATTTACTCATGAATGATTATCAATTGTTAATGCGTTGTGAGATTCACCGCCATCAACGAGTCGAGACTACTGAAATGCATAAAGGAATAGAAGTGGTGGAGACCTTTTTCTTTTGATAAGTAGCTTTTTCATGAGACGAGACTATTGAAATGCATAAAGGAATAGAAGTGGTGGAGACCTCTTTCTTTTGATAAGTAGCTTTTTCATGAAACGTGAGCATGACCCAATTACATGTCTTAATTACCACCACGAAACCATCCTAGTCATATTCCACCAAAACGTACAACAATTCCAAATTTTCCCACTAGTTTTACCATGATTTGTGATAAGAATGCACTCCACATCTGACCGTTGCTTTATTTCTTACAACAGCATACTCAAACAAAAGTTGACTAAAGGTAGTTACCAAAGAAAAAGTTGACTAAAGGTGATGATGCTCTCTTACCTTTCAGCAAACACAAAGGACCAACCATACAAGCAAAAACTTAATTGCATGATTCGCATAAAAGGTGCGGGATAAGGTGATGCTCTGGTTTGATCCCCCTTTTTCCCATCACATCTTTACATACAGAGCTTGCCAGTATAAACTTTTTATCGCCTTGGAAGGGAACTCTTATTGGCACACTCCAAAATATCTTGTAGCCTGCATCCTTTGCCATGCGATCCATATATAACAGAAATCCATCAAGTAGTTTGTCAAAAGAATTTCTTGATTGGAAACAAATGACTTGTACACGTATCTTAAAAATGCATATATATGTATATATCACTCTTTCGGACGATCTAGGGCCGCAGTTCTCATGCTCTTCTATCTTCTTCCATCTTCTGTCGCATCTTGTATTGGAGAGTGGCAGGAGCACAGTCCAATGGTGTTTCCCCTATGAATAAGAAGCAGTCAGTCAAGAGACGACCAAAGTGACAAAATATGTGAACAACAGCTACCTACTTGCTACTATCAGTGCCCAATCAATTGTTTCAAGCATATAAACTGAAGCATAATTCAAAGCTTCACACACATTTGCAGTGTGTGTGGGATATCATACATTTTGTACTGGACATTCTCTATTCATGCCATTGTTTTACCTTGCCAAACAAAAAATTCAACTAAGTTCACATTTGAAGGGGACCAAGGAAAAATTACCCTGTGCATTCTTGTAGTCCAGGCTTGCTCCAGAGTCCATCAGGGCAAAAACTATCTCAGTTTGATTAAAGACTGCTGCCTGACATTAGTGTCACAAAAAGAACTCTAAGCACTGGAACCAATTACGAGAGAGAGAGAGAGAGAGAGAGAGAGAGAGAGAGAGAGAGAGATCATACTAAATGTAGCACAGAAAGTCCTTGCTTGTCATGGTAATTGGCATCAACACCCTGCCAAAATGATAGTGTTATTAAACCCACTTTTAAAATATTCATTTTCCTCTCTAAATGTTAATACCTCACTCAGAAGCTTCTTGACAGCAGCAACATCACTATTCTTTATAGCTTCTCTCATACCCTAAGAACACACATAAAAAGAATCATTATCTAGAGCAACTAAATTTCTTCTGCACAATTGTACCTTTGGTGACTAAATAGAAAATCAAAGTTTATACCTCCCCAGTGACTTCATAATCCATCTGGCTTTTATCAGAAGTTCCGCTGTTCGCTTGACCAAGATTGAAGACAGAACTGCAAAGTGTGTAGAAATAATTACAGATCACAACAGCGTGTAGTTTGGCACCAACATCACAAATTGCCAATTCACAATCAAGCAAAATGCAAAAACTTGTTTATCTATATCAATTAATCAAAGTTTAAAGGAATAAGTAGATGGAATTGCCACATAAATCTAGCAGGAAAATACACAAAAATGAAAAACATGAATTTCCAAAATACGTGGAAATCAGCCAGAGTTAAGATCAAGTGTCAATATAGCACCACTCCCTTTTCTTCTGATATTAGAAATTTCTAAACTCAATTCAGGTTTACAAGAATTGAGGTCTGGAGCTTCAAACTCCCAATTGCTAAATAAAAATGCTTCTCGATATCATGAACAAATCACAAAGAAATCACATATTAAATGTTGATTAAACTATTATCCATCATGTCAGGAGTAGCAGATATTGCAAACAAAACCCCAGAGGCAACCTACCTATGTTTGCTGTTCGAAGTGGAAGCATTGGTTTTTAAAGTGGTTTCTGTCTTTTTTGGTCTTGGATTCGATCGAGGGACAGAGGTGGATACGGTTTTGCTCTGCCACAAACAAAAATATGACCTATGAAACACATGATGGCAAGGTGTAGAAGAAACATCCAAAGAAATTTGAGAATTCATACCTGCTGGGGAACTGCATCCATGGATGGAGCTGGAGCTTCACAAATACATAAAGGCATTCCACACTTGCATTCTGAAATGGCTGACACAGGTTGATACTCTACAGTTGGTTCAGCCTTTAAATCTACACCTGCACCAATGTCCAATCTAGAAACTGTAGCTGTTACAGCATTAACTCTGTCCGAAGATACATCACCTTTGATAGATCTGTGCAAAAGCAATATCCACAATGACCCCGACAAATCCTTTAATAATTGAGAGAAGAAGAAAGAAGAAAGAAGAAAGGAAACGAAATCCCCGGTAGCATTAACATGGCATAGGGTACCATATGTGAGCATAAACAAGAAAGAAGGCGAAATAAAAATGGAACACAGAATACGGTGGCAACTTGTAAAGTGCTCAGTCGTCTTCACTAAGCATGCTTTTTTACCCACAGTGCAAAGTCAAGAGTAAGAAGTGCGTGTGTATATAAATAACTACACACTGTGGTGGATGGCATCCCATGAATCTCCGTAAGTATATAAGATATCAAGATTCCACAAATGAGTACACTTGCATGATCCTTTTCAGGTTCTTTAGCCAATTATTGCCACTAAACCACCATTATCAATACGCCTTCTTCTTTCTACCATATTTCTGATTACATGCTAATTTTGCAATTTTTGGCAAAATAAAACCATCCAGATGGCATGCCCTATTTATCAATGGCACTTCACTGGAGATGCTTCTACACTGCATGACTTAATATATAGTTTATCAGTGGCTCTAAACCAAAGAAACCCCAAGGTGAAAAATTTGTCTATGACGTAGAAACAACAAGAAGTTATATAATTAGAAGTACGGGAAATGTTTATGGGTTGAAATAACAGAAAACAGGGTTTTACAAATCCAATAAGGAAAGCAAAGGGGACATGTGAGAATTCCATTCTGAGAGAAGAGATAATTGCCAATCCAAGACACACCCAAACACTGAAAGGAGACTTCCATTCCATGATTCCGTCACACCTAACCCTAATGGGCTAGTAATACTTATGCACCAATTACTTAATAGACCAGTAGCCCTTGAATGCTTAACAAAGAAAAAACTTTCACTTTTAGGACCAAGGCAATGAGATATATCCAGAATGACAGCTTTCTACTAAGAGTTGCCATCTGCTGCAACTACTCTCAAGTTTCTATTTTTAGTTGACTTGGTTGACTAAACCGCAACCTCACCAAGATCAATTTAAGTGTTCATTACAAATTCATGAGTCTTCAAGCAACATCAGTGAGTCATTTCCACCATCAATAAACTCTGGTATACAAAAGATATCAAAAGAAGAAAACAAAAGTTTCAAGTTCTCAAGTTTCAATCAAATCCCATCATTGACAGCAAGAACTCACAAACATCAATATACATAACAGACATTATCCATTTAGCGTTTATTTCTACTTAGAATGGATGAATGAAAAAACCAAAAAGGGATATGATATACAGTTATACATACATATTTAAGTATGTATATTCTAAAAATTTGAATGAAGAGTAATTTACCGAGAGGAGTCATTGAAACAATCACTGCAAACTCTAACGGTTGAATAAATACCGAACTGTGGTAGAGCCTGAGTTTGCAAACAAAATCATTATTGCTCAATGAAAGTTCACCAATTGGTAAAATTGCTGCAAAGATAAATAAAGTTTTGAGTAAAACAAACACACCAGTTGGTTTGACGAGTGTTCATGGCACAACGTCCGCCCACAAGATCGGCAATGATGCTGCATAAATCATAAGCTAAAGCATATCACGTTCGGATATGTAAAAGAAGGATGCAAAAGTAGGCTTCAAAGCTTGTAACTTGCAGAAAGATGGTCAGTCAATATTGTCAATTGGAAAAGGCCCATTTGTGCATGCAAGAAGAATTGGATTGGTAATCAATCACCATTGACCATAACATATTAGATCATCACAAAAGAAGCCCCTTGGCCATCAATATCAAATTTTGAGCTAAGCAGCAAATAAAGTACAAAAATTTGAGATCCCAATGAAGCATGAAGAAACTTCGCAGTGAAAACTAAGTAATGGCATCAACAGAGCCTTTTGGTTCTCGATTGAAAATAGAAATTGATTAATTTTATTGGCCTCAAAGTGTTGATGGGTCAAATGGGTACTCATAAATTCATTAAATTTCACTTCTTTCCATATATATACATAAATAAATAAATATAAATGTGAGAAAGAGAGAGGGAAATTGAAATGGGTACCCGTCGCCTGAAAGCGTTGAAGCTGCATTTGCAGACGTCGCAGCGTGGTGCTTCTTGGAAAGGAGGAGGCTCCATTCAATCACATACAATCGTGTTAAATGATCGATTTTTTGAAACATGCAAGTCAATCTTCAATTCATTGCTACCTCCACCATCGAGCACACATCATCCCGATTTTTCGATTCGATTCAGGCTTTTCCCGATCCAAAACTTTTATCCGACAGATTTCGGGTTACCCGCCTTGTTTAGATTCCGGTTTTTATTTTTATTTGTTATTTATTCTATTTTAATCTTGTTATTATTTTGGTTTTAAAATATTTAATTTGAGATAAAAATATATTAAATAATCACAACCGTCCAGAACCAGCAACGTATGGACGGCGAAGATCATTTCCAGATTCTGCACATTCTTTTTCCGAAGACATGTTTCAAATGAAACTTTTCATCTGAAAGCGAAATGCCATAATTTTGACATGTTATGCTAATCATATATATTATTTTGTAGTGAATATTCGATTGTTAATTTGAATTATTAATTCACGAATTGTATGATAATATTATTTTTAGACTTTAAAAACATTACAAGTTAGATCCCCTTGACGAATTTTATGATAAGATTGACTACAATATGCATATGATTTTTTTTTAATAACATAATTAATTTGTTAACAAAATGGAATGCTTTATTAACTTAAACTGTCATATGAAAGTAACTCAAAATTATTATCGAGCGGGTTACCACAGTGGTTGTAGCCCTACTCTTTCCCCCTACTAGAATCGAAACCCCATAGTTGTCTTTCTTCAAAAATTATGTAACCAAAATAAAATTATTATGAGTAATCTCTCTCTTTTTTTTTGTTGGGAAAGATTATTATGAGTAATCTCCAAACAACATATTTAGATTAGTTGGTGTCAAGGTCTAAAATATCGGGAGTTTCGGAAATATCGGTGGTCCAAAAACACAAATATATCGAGGAAATATCGATATCGATAAAAATTGAATAAAAATCACGGAAATTATGAGAAAAACTTGAAAATTTTTATTGAAACTTTAGATGATGTTTACTTAGTCAATTGTCTATTATTTTATCACAAAAAATTGGAAGAAAATGCATGGCATGGTGGGTTTGAGTGATTTAAGTTGATTATGCAGCGACCTGACAAACACTGTGACTTTAGAAAATATGTAGTAATTAGTGAAAAAAAATTAAACACACCATAATTTTTTAGTTATAATAATTTACTTGAATATATTACACTTGATACATATGATAAAATATATGAGCTTAACCAAGAAAAAAAAAAGATAAAATGTATGAGTAACTTAGTACCACATAGAAAGAATTCCTATTAAAATTCAAACTTAGTGTCACATATAATGAACAATATTAAAACTTGAAGTGAATAATAATAAAACTCCATAATATATAACAACAACAAAATACTACTCCATTATAAAATAATAAATAACATTAAATATATGCTTAAATTTATTCTTAGGGAATTTTTTTAATATGGAAATTTATCTTAGATAATATTAGCTTGTAGACATTTTTGACCTTATAAATACTACAAACTGAAGATAAAAACACAAACTCAGCCGCAACCGAGTTGGATAAGGCGCTGGTTGATGAGAAAGGGAGAGATTTGAATCCCTTTGTGTGTAAGATGGAGACTTTTCAACATTTTTCTTGTATTTTTCGATTTCATTAATGTCGCGATATATTGCCCAAATAAAGCATGAAAAATGTTGAAATTATGGTCCACAACATTATCACGATAATATCGACAAAAATATCGATATATTAACGATAATTAAGTGGATATGTGCAAAAATATCTCCCACTCAAAAAAACGATATTATCGACGAAATATCGATATGTGCGAAATATCACCAATATCGATATTTAATACATGCTATCCAATTTTAATTACATCATCTATATTCTCGAACACTTCACCTAATTGGGATAACTACACGATTTTAGAAAATGAAATTGTGACCTCACGATCATGTGGCCCTAAAAACATCAACGGAGACAGATATGGTAAACTTTGAAAGAGCTTGGAAGGTCAGGTTGAGTTGTAATTAATGTTATTAAATTGTCGGGGCATCTGTTCTTTAACACGTGGGAGATTAAAAAAACAGTGAAATAATTGATGGTTGGTCACCGCTGGAAGCTTTTGAGCTGGTCCTCTCCTTGTGAAAGTTGTGAAGCAACAAAAAACTCTTGAGGAGCAAAGAAAGAAATGGAAGAAAAATCTCAAGCTGGTGATGTGAAGAATCCCCCAGAGATGGAGGAAAAGGTGGTTGGCCAAAGCCAGCCTATCAAAACAGAGGAAGAAGCAGCTAAAGAAAAGGACCCATCTTCTTCCCATGATCTGCCCAACAACAGCAACAGCACCAGGTGAGCTCCATTTATGGCAGATACAGAAAATCAGGGCTGTTGGGTTTTTCTCCATTTGAATGAAAAAGCTTTGCTTTCATGTGTGTTTGAAAAGGGGCTCTCTCTCTCTCTCTCTCTCTCTCTCTGTTTGACTAACTTTTGGGTTTAAGAGAATTTGTTTCTGAGGTTTGTCAAACTAATGGAAAAAGGTGTATTATTGTAAATTGGGATTTTATTGCATAAGACAAAAAATTTAGCTTCACTAGTTTTATCTGCTTCTAAACATGGTCAATTTAGCTTTGTGAGCCCACAGTGTAAAGCACTATTCATCGTTGTTTTCCCACTGGTCTTCCAATGCTCTTCAGTTTGTTGGGTAGCAAAATCCTGCTAAAGTCATGTGCTTGGATATGGTTTAGTTGAGATCTGATTTGTTGGTTTAGCAGCAAGTTGGAACTGTTGTGCTTTCTAATTTTCGAAGGCAGAATACATAGCAGATGAGTTAATAAGTTTTGATTTTTTCACCTTTTAAAGCAACTCTGTGAAACATTGTGCGGCTTCTTGAGTAACCACACCAATTTGTTACAACTAGACATGGTTTGCTCTTCAGAGATGGAAAAATCCAAACTTCTAGTTTGTGCTTCATAGACATGATAATACCTCCTTTTCATTTTCTTTTTCTTTAAGTTTTAATCTTGTTTTCATATCTGTTTCTCCAAAGCTACCTTTATTATTCTCTACCACTCCATCTCATCTTGGAGAAGATTTCCACCTTAGCTAAAACTTATTTGGAGGATAGAGGTGATGGGGGTGTGGAGAGGAGCTTTCCGGGTTAAGCTAGATCATGCCAGGCTGACTTGAAATTTGGTTTGTTGTTCTTTGTGTTTGAGTGCCAGAAAGATCATGCCGACTCAGCTTACCATCTTCTACGCTGGGAGTGTTAGCGTCTTTGATGCGGTTACTGCAGAAAAGGTTGGCTCTTTTCTATCCTTAATAACATAAGCAATTCCATCTAACTCAACCATCTACGCGCTTGACATATTCTGTTCTGCACTTATTTGCGTGACAGGTTCGGGAACTTATGCTTATCGCAGCAGCTGATGCTGCAAATAAGACTGCTGATGTTAAGAATGGTGGGACAAGCGGTCCACCAAGTCCACTAGTTTGTACAGGGTCATCTTCGCTGCAAAACTCTGCTCCTGGTTCACCAGTGGTCCAGCCCTACCCTGATCAGAAGAGTTCCATTTGCAAACTGCAAGCTGGTAAGAATTTCATTGCAATATTTATTGGCACAAATTTTTTTTTTTAAATTCCTAATGATGGCTTCATGATTTCTGCTTCAATGTTTCTGTTGATTCAGAATTTCCCATAGCAAGGAGACACTCTCTTCAGCGCTTCCTGGAGAAGCGACGGGACAGGTGGGTACTGTGATGGGTTTTTTCTCTGGCACCACCATACCTAGGCCTTTGCACATCAATTTGTTTTTTTATTTGTATTTTTATTCATTCTTGCAGGTTGGTCAGCAAGAATCCATATCCTACTTCACCCGCAACACAGGTGGATGACGATGCTAAAATTAACCTCAGCAATAATGCCTCTCCTGGTTTGGGTTGCTTCAAACAATCTTCCATGGTGAAGGAGGAAATACAACCAAGTTCTGCTACTGCCTACCCAGCATGAACTAATAACAAAAATTTCACTGGATCATGTGGAACGTTTTATCTTTATTTTTAGTCTCGGCATTGCTATCGTACTTTCGCAAAGACCTATGTTTAACTGGTGATTATTATGTTTGACGTGCCTGTTCACATAATCGGGGCTCACATGCGTACAAGTTCTCAGTCGATTTGAAACAAAATGAAAGCTCATATGATAGATTGGTGATTTTGTGTTCAATTGCTGATGGAGAATATGTAAACATGTTTGTTTGCCCTGTTTATGCCAAGGCATTTAAACTGTATTCGTATTTGTATTGTGTAGCATGACTGTTTGTTTATGACATTGTAAACTTGCCTAGAACTAATGACAAACTATTTGGTGTTAACTCGGTCGTGTGGTGAATATTGAGTTCAGCTGCTTCTTGTGAAGAATATTGGTAAAATAAAACCATGCAATCATACTGGAACAAACCTCCAATATTGCCGTAGTTATTTTGCATCAGCCTGGGTGGAAGGAAGTTGCACTTATTTTTTTCATCAACAGAGCGTTGCATGCATCCCATTTTATGATGCGGTTATGTCTGGAAAGTCTACATGCTTTGTGATATAAACAAGAATTTTTTATCCACAAGAAAAAAACCAATGTCGAATTCAACTCGAGCAGCTTTATTTCATTTTCCTTCCTCGGATTCAAATTCTGAAAAGTAAATGACGATAGTTGAATTCCCATTATAGGTGGAAAATGCTAGGAAACCAATTTTCACGTCCAACAGCTTGTTTCTTTAATAGGAAACAGTGCAAAAAAGGAAAAAACACATACACATGGAGATGCTTAAGCACACAAAATTTATCAGTGTATTGTCGATTGAACTTTTCGAACTTTCAAACACCACATCCTACAATACAAAGTCCACATTGCCTTTTTCAAAAGCTAATACTGATATCGAATACCAGATATTAGCAACAAAAAAGGAAAACAAAAAACAAAAGAAAAAGGACTCAAATACCAGACGGTAACTCACATTATTACTCTCTAACTTACATATGCATTTTTCAGTGCATACCACGTAGAATTCCATGTAAGTAGCCACCGGTCATTACAAGTGACACAAGAGATACAACACCGGCTGGAAAAACCTTTCCTGACTTCTTGAAGCGAGAGCCCATCACTCCCAGAAGGGCAGCAGACAACCCTGGAGGTAGGGAGAAAATGAAGACTAAATTAAGGTTGAACAAATATAAGAAATTAAACTGCACTTGCAAAGAGAGAGAATAGATGCAAAGGGGAACTAGTTAGGCTACCACAAAAACTAGGACACCCATGAACATTGTAGTATCTAATAGTAAAAATTAGTGCACTGGCAATCGAATGCCAACTTTTTTTCTTTTTTCTTTTCTTTCTATTTAGGCATGCATCTATCACCACTCTTTATTTATCCATTAAAATCTTTTGTCCCCTTAGGCAAATACAGAGGGATGAACTTGTAGATAAAGACTTTATCAAAGGGGGATGGGATAACCAATGTGGGTTGTTTATCGAAGCACTCTCAACTAATATAATAACTAATTACAGAAGCACGTGTTGTAACTAACATAATGGTATAGTTCTTACAGAAACAACCGGACCTGTACTTTGAAAGCAAAATTTGGTTTTCTCTGATAAGTCTTGATAGTTTATCATATTCATACAGCTAATTAAAATGGAAATCCAAAAATTGTCAGTATTTATTAGGATCAGACAATTGAAAATGTGTTATGAGGGAGAATATACGGGAGAACCATTGAAGTGGGTATAAAGAAAAGAGAATCTAGCAATGGACTACTGTAGAAACTAGCAAAACAAGTACATGAAATTTTGAGAGTGTGATGATCGCTTACCAAGCCCAATAGATGATGCAAAAACTGGTCTTACGGGAAGCTCAGTAGAAACATAAACGAGTAAGGCCGCTGATAATCCCCCTGCCAACAGTGACTTCTGGCTGCCACTCTTCAAGAAGCCCATGAGGCCACCCACTGTCACAAAAATCAACTGTGAGATCCCAGTACAATTGATACCATCAAGAACTGGACATAATAAATTGGTATGTTCATATGGATGATTGCTATCCATTAAATAGTTAATTGATTACAGGATTTTTTCGATGCAATCCCTAGGTCTCGGGACACAAGAAGCTAGTTGGAAGTACGGAACTAAGCAGGTCATTTGCAGACTTTGCTTGAGGAAAACCTTCAAAAACTTCCCAACTAAAAGATAATTTTCTAGACTAAGTCATCTTTATATTTAATCTATACATAAAAGAAAAAAGATTTGAACTTGGAAACACAAAGTCTTCCTACCAGAACCATCAAATAGACGGGACCAATCCAGAACTGTACAGCCAAATCAGAGATCACCAATAAAATTGGAAACCACCCTGTTACACTATTTGAGATAAACCCCAAAGTTCTATACTTTACAAGCACAACTGAAGGCCTTAAGGCTCATAAATTAGCCACAATAACAAGAACAACAAATTTGTAACTCCATAGGCAATTTCTAACTATTGTAGCTTTAAGGCAACAAAATATAGCTGGACTGGAACAGCCTTCGCTTCAATATAATACAAGATGAAATTTTTACAACCTAGAAAAGAAAAGCAAAGTAATTTGATTACCTCCAACAAGAGCAGCATATCCTAGAGTTAGTTTCTGAGACATTGACATCCCTTTCTTCTCTCTCTTCTCTTCTGGTCCTTCCTCTCCCTCGCCTTTATCGTCACTATTATCACCTCCACCGCCTCCGCCGCCGCCACCTCTACCGCCAAAGTCACCGCCACCGCCTCCGCCCCCGGTAGCTGGTTCGATGCCGATATCCTTGATCCCCGAGTCAACAGTGAATATAGTGGAAGATTTGGTGTCAGAGACAACCCCAAGCTTCTGAATTGATGCGTGCCTCAACAAAAGAGCGTTATCAGAGGAATCCCCAAATCCCCGATAGCTGAGATTGTTGTGTTGTAGGCGTCGGGCTGGAGAAATGAAGGTGTTTAGGTTGTGTAAAGCTCCAATTTTAGGGCGTAGAACAAGCGAGGACTGAGAAACGCACAAGTCTGCCATGTGTGATGTCAGTGAGAGAGTTTTTTACTTCGCCTTTTGTTGCTTCTCGGTTCTTCGTTTGGCTTCGTGGGAACTACTAGTCTCCACTACTACTACACGTGGGAAGTTGGCCAAAAAAGGTAAAAAGAAAGAAAAACTCTATAATATTTTCCTATTAAATAATAAATGAAAATACACACATATTTTTTTCTCAAGAGCCTCAAAGTCAAAAGTCACAACAAAACTTGCAATGCCCAAGTTGGTATTTGAGAAAAAGATTATTGTATTGAATTGATACTTGATGCTTGTTTGCTATGTCAAATGGCCATTCAATTAAGTTGAACATTAGTTTGACATTGTATAAGTTAACAAAAGGTTTGACATTGCTCCGTTGAATTTGAATTCGAACCCCTCTTCTTATATTACAGGGCTTAATAGAAGATTAATTTCTACCTTATATCATGTCATCTTGAATGTAAATTTTGTTTTCACTATATTATTGTTCACTGTCAATTAAAAACATAGATTCAAAATTCACCAAAAAAGTTGACCTTATCAATCTTATTGTTATTAAATAAAAAAATTGGCCAAAAAACAATTTCGACCTCATCAATATTATTGAGCCCAAGCCCAATTACTCAGGCTGAAAATGTCACCAGGCCCATGATGAATCCTCCTCACAATTCCATAGAACAGAATGCTCCATAGAAGTCCGACACGAATCTACAGATCCTGTGTTTCCCTTTCCGCCAATTGAATATGCAGTGGCGAGAGCGCGCCTATTCGATCCTTGAATAGATAAAAATCAGGTCGACCCAATTGGGTTTTTGCTGAAGTAACATGGGACGAAGAATAATGGAATGGGCAGCTCGGTCTGATTACATGGGCGGCATTCCAAGGAAGATGGTGATCATGGCGGTGGGGGGTTTGGCAAAGGCCGCCGTCTCTTTGCTCAACAACACCACCGTTCACAATGCCGATACACTCCTTCGTCTGGTTCGGTCTCGGCCTCCTGGTGTACCACTCGTCACTGTTAGCAACCACATGTCCACCATGGATGACCCTTTGTTGTGGGGTTTCAAGGGCTTTCCCATCACGGATGCGAAATTGTCTCGGTGGGCTTTGGCTGCCGAGGACATTTGTTTCAAAAGTTCAATGCTTTCTTACTTCTTCAGACTTGGTAAGGTGAATTTTCTTTCATGGTTTGATTTTGGATTTAGTTATAGATTCTGATATGATAAGTTGTACAGGGAAGTGCATACCAATTACACGGGGTGGTGGTATTTATCAAGAACACATGAACGAAGCTCTTGAGCGTTTAAGTGAAGGAGAATGGGTAATCACTTCATATTGTTAATTGTTTTTCTTGTCTAGTTTCGATTATTGAGCACTGGTGGGAGCTACTCAATGTTATTTAGAATGTGAATCTGCCAAATCTGGTGGCAGATTTGTCTGCTTTTTCTTCCACGACGAGACATTGCATAGCTCACTCACCTGAGATTATATGAAGTTTGGAATTTTTTGGTTGATGGGTTCTTCAAAGAGTCGTTTGTAGTTTGTGGAATGAAATTTTACCTTATAAAATCATTAGTTTTGAAAAGTTGTTGGCTTTTGTTGTAAAGTATAATTCTTTGATATTTATGCTAAACCTTTTAGTTATTCAAGTTCAAACTTTTGAATCTCTGATGAGCAGTTGCATACATTTCCTGAAGGAAAAGTGTCCCAGGAAGATGCACCTATTAGACGATTGAAATGGGGAACTGCTAGTCTCATTGCTCGTGCTCCTGTAACCCCTATAGTTTTACCGATTGTCCATACTGGATTTGAACAGGTAATTTACTCTACTTAGGGTTCTTCCCCTTTATCTGGACTTATGTTTCGATCAATTCCATATATTTCTTTTAAGATTTTGACTACATTGTTATAAGATGTTAGTGAACTGCTAAGATGGCAACCTACCCCTCCCCGCTCTCCCCACTGAAAATGTTTCTGTGACATGATTTCCATACAGTGCATTTGTACAACAATATCACAAGTCAGATTTAATGGTTTTTTTCATTCTCTGTGAAAAGTATGAAATGAACCTGGGAATCACTTTGCATCCATTGAACACAATGGTTGTTGTTGATTTCAGATTTTCATTTCTTTGTTATTATCTTTTTATGTCATAAATGATAAACATATGTCTCTTTGCATCCAACATACTCTTGTCATATAATATAGTCAGGTCCTGATGATTTGACTTAGCACTTGAGCTATGACATTGTGATCTGACATCCAAATGGCTAACTGTTTAGTTCTGTGAATGATTGCTACACCGAAGTGTTAGCGTTGCATTTTATGGGATAGTAGAATTTCCTTGTGACTGGAATTGGACCTTATTGATGTGGCAGTTAAAATGTTTCTATTATGCATTTAATATGTCATAAAATTTGCACTACTGAATTATGGTTTTCCAAGGATGTTGAGGTTATCAAAGGCGCACTGCTGATATTGCGAACTTCTTTTATGCTATGTAATGATTTTATCCAATTTTTGGTATGCATGTCCAGCTCTTTGAAGTCCTGGACAATGATGTAAATAAACAGCGGCATTCATGTGGCAGAACTTTATCCATCTATGTAAAAAGGAAAAATATATATTTAGCCTTAAATTTATGCTTCATATTTATTAGAATCTGATGATGGATCTTCTGTGGCCCATTTGCTCAATTTTGCTAATTCCCCATTGGTCACTGTTTGAATTTGCAGGTGATGCCTGAGAACTTTTATCATGGTAAAAGGCCTCCTTTTCCATTATGGAATAAGAATATTAAGATAATTGTTGGCGAGCCAATGGAACTTGACCTTCCTAAAATGAGGCAGATGGCAATGTCTCTGTCTCGTAATATTTCACATCCTACTTTAGGATGGCCAAGCACTTGCCCCGGTGGTCTGGATGAGGCAGCACAAAGATGTCTGTACATTGCAATTTCAGAGAAAATCCAAAATGTCATGGAGACCTTGCGAACTTTTGCTAGAAGTTTTTCAAAGTCAAAAGATCAAAATCTTTGCTAGTTTAAGTTATGATGCGAAGTATGTCCAACAGTAGGAAAATTGCATTTTGGGTTCAGCAGTGTCCATCTTAAGATGTATCGATAAATGAGGAACATATCTCTTTACTCCAGAGTTCAATCGGCATTCCGAATCTATTTAAGGAACAGAAACCTGCCGGCTTCATTCTATGGCACTACAGAGATGAGTTTAATTGTGATTTGTAGTTGATTTTATAAGACTTGTATTCTTTTTATGAATTTCGCATCATTGTCCATTTTGTAGTTGGTTTTAAGACTTGTATTCTTCTGTGAAACTCATATGTATTCTTGTCTAGTGGAGAGAAACATTACTGCCCAAGGAGTAGAATATTTTAAACGTTTAGCCGCGCGGCTATACGAATTAGTGGATAGAATATTTTAGCCGCGCGGCTATAATTTATAAATAGATATTTTTAAAATATAGCCGCTCGGCTATACCCGGCTATACTCTTTAAGTACATAAATAAAGATTATAGCCGTGCGGCTATACTCAGCTATACTTAAACCTCATAAAGTAATATAATTTTATTAAGTTTATATTATTTGTCAAAAAACCTCTCCTGATTGTTACCGCGTGCACACTTCTATTTGGAATAAATAATAGAGAATATTGTTCAATGGAGTTTGGATACTACAAGTTACAGTATTGCCTTTTCTAAATAATAACTGCACCATTGGAGTTGAGAAGCTGGAGTTAGCAGTAATTTGAACTTTTTTTTCTTCTTTTTTCGTTGTATTGTTGAAGAAGAAGGGTGAGTGAGTGTGTGTCACAGCAACACTTGACAATACACTATCTAAAGAATGTCTTTTCTTTTAAGAAAAAGGATAGCATGTGGACTCATGCCACATGTTGATCCACATTTTGGCCAAGCTTTTGTTGTTGTTGTTGCACATGCTTCGTAGGCTTGTCCCAGACACAAGGAATGGAATGTATGTTTTAGATACTAAGATATGAGGAATTGGGCTGGAGTTGAAAACAAAGGAAGCAAACCAGGCAAAAATTTGATCCTCCCCTAAAGCATCAACTAAACCCTCACACACAGGCCCTTGGAAACTGTTTAGAACGTGGAACTGAATGATAATAAAATAATTGGTTCTAAAAGGTAATGATTTCTGTTTGCTTAAAACAAAAGTTATCATCATTGTTGGAGGGGAAAATTGTTGCCTTAACGGAAACTTTAGTTTTGGCCTTGCTGTCTAAAAAGCAGATAAAAAAAAAAAGGGGCCTTCCTTACCTGCTGCTATAAATTATTTGGTGTAGTGCAGGTGGTTGCTTTTACTTGTTTGTTCTTATTAGCCCCATTTGAGACTTGACACTGCTCCTCAACTTTCCCATGATTCTCTTTATTGCAATTTAAGCTCCCTGACCTGTTCTGGTTTCATTGTTTATTGTTGGCCTTTCAACATTTTATATAGAAAATATGGAGAAAAAAAAAGAGGCAATAAATAGTTGTATCAAATATGACTTGATGATCCCTCCCTCCCTATTGCTAAGTCAATCAAGTGGCAATTCTCGTGAGATGTATTAACTCTTCTACATTTGGCATTAGCCGGCATGGCCGGCTCTTGTGCAGTCATAGGCATAGTTTGGCTATTTCCATAAAAACATTAGGGTTTATTAAAAGCAAGAAACATTGTCAAAACCATGTATAAAAAAAATATATATATATATATAATTGGCAAATGCACCAAATTTGTCCTTGTTTGAAATTAAGTTATTGGTGACATAAAAAGAAAATAAGTTAATAATTATATGCGATATCGTTTTCATTAGACAGATCAGTATGTTATGTTGTTCGACTGTGAACTACAATTCATTGATGAAGTTAAATCACTTGCACAATATGCAGTATTGATGAAACTTGAACAAAAGGATATTAATTTTTGTTATTTTCGCACAAGTACGTAAACAGTAAAACTGTAAACTAAAGTGAAATTGTTGGCTTCCATGGAAGGAAAAAGATAAAGTTAGATTGGATGGGCCCATGGAAGGTGGTGCAGAGAACAAAACTTACTGGTACAAGCGGCAGCGGGTGGAAGGCCCAAAGTTTGGTATCTCCCGCCCCAGGGGATTATCCAAATGACGATATTGCCCTTCCGTACTCTTTCAAATTATACATACATCATCAGATAAAAAGGAGACCGCATAGGAAAAATAAATGAAAAACGTTCGAATTACAAATGCCTAAAGATAGGAGGGTAAATTCGTGATTTCACACTTCAAAAGCTCGAAAGATTGAAAAACACACAAAGTGGCAACCCAAACGCGCAAACAGAAAGGAAAAGCTTTAAAAAATAAATGTCGATGTGAATTTCCTAAAATGGCCTTCGTCATTTATAATAGTCCCGTGATTCTCTCTGCTTTCACTGGAAGCAGTGGTGTCTTGAGTTTTTGTTAGCTCAGATCTCTCTCTCTCCGTTCGTTCAATCTATGCGTGGCTTGCAAAGGTCAGTATCAGAGAAAGAGACTTTCTCCTGTTTCATCCATTTATGAATGTCACATTACATTTGATTGCTTTTGGTTATCTCTTGTTCATTCTATCTCATCGATCTACACGTATTTTCTCCTCAAAGCCAAGGCAAAAGACCCAAAGGCAGGCTCTAATTTGCTCAAAGATTGATGCTTTTTGGTTTTTAACCGGTTCTGTTTTCTTTGTTTGATCATTGATGGGTTGATATCATCTCCTTGTCGGATTTACTGCATTTTGTTTATTTATTTTGCTTTTTTGTTGTTTCCAATAAATGTTTAAGATGAATAGATTAAATTTTGATTTAAAATGGTTTCATATGAACAATATCTTCATGTAGCTAATTGTTGCCTTTGTTTTTGTTGTTTCTGATTATTAGGTAAAAGCAGAACATTGTTCATCCTAAGCGACATAATCTCATACATGAATAGATGATTGATGAGCTGAAAAGGGAGCTGATATTGTTCCTTTGAAGTGAGCCTGTCTCTTGGGTTTCAGTGAAATGACAATGGACCTGCACCCATCAATGGCTCAAAGTGTAAGAACAGGTAGGTCGTCTTTTAGCTCTAGCAATGGCAATGGGGATACTCCTTTACACAACGCTGCTGCACTTTCAAATGGGGATGATTATGACAGTGATAGCTCCAGCTTGGCACCAGCGTAAGTTACTTGCAGTTCATGTCTTCAACTTTTGCTTGAATCCCTTCATTATTCTTTTTACGAATTTCTTTACCCCGGTTTTATTGGTTAGATATTAAAGAGGGATCGATCAGTTTGAAAATTAAGCTAAAGTGAGGCACTCTGGTTGTAAAATTGCTGTTTGAAATGGGTCTTAATTTCATTTTCATGATAGTATTATTACCATGATTGGTTCTTAAACATGCGCCTGCAGTTTGCTCGTTATGAGTTTGTCTTGCCTCTGACTGTCAGCATACTTCCATTTGTTAATTGCAGAACACCTAGGACCCTATCAATGGACATCCCAGCAGAACTTGCAGGTGCCATACCCTTGATTGATAGATTTCAGGTACGAGCATATATTGTCTGATATTCAATGTGATATGCCAACACGCGCACACCCAAACATACACGGGTGTGCACAGACTTTCAAGTTCATTGTCCTTGGTTTTTTTTGTTCCAGAAATCAAATAACCTGAATGTATAAAGTACTGATTATTCATTTTCTAGGTCAATAAACTGATGTAGTACAGCCCTGAGTATTAGTTTAAACACTAGAACCAATAGAACAGAAAAGAATATAAGAGGTCGAAGAGAAGAAAAGATAGAAGGAAGGCAGAAATCAGAGAGTTTAAGAGAAGGTTTAATTCAAATCTGAATTTTAAGAACTACATGGGGGTATTTATAGCAAACTAAAACCTATTATTAAAAATCCCCTGCTTAAACAGAAATCCTAACCCAAATAAAATAGAAACTTAAAACTTAAAATCTGGAGATCTGGAAAAGTAGAAATCCTACTAGAATTTGGAAAACTAGAGAATCTAGGAAACTAGCAAATACATTAGGAAACTAATAAATTTAGGTCCTACGCGTCCTGCATCATAAACATTAATATGGTTTATTTTCTTTTGAAAATAGGTAGAAGGATTTTTGAGGTTAATGCAGAAACAGATTCAGTCTGCTGGGAAACGAGGGTTTTTTACTAAAAAATCAGTTGGTCCTCAACCTCGAGAAAAATTCACTTTTGAGGATATGCTGTGCTTCCAAAAGGTAATTACATTTCATAAACCTATTATTTATATAAAATTTAAATCCTTCAAGAGCTAAATTGCATGCTTTAACAGGATCCAATACCTACATCATTACTAAAAATCAATAGTGACCTGGTAAGCCGGGCAACGAAACTGTTCCAGATCATTCTGAAATATATGGGAGTTGATTCATCTGATCGAGTTACTCCAGCGAGCTTAGATGAACGTGTCGAGCTTGTTGGAAAGATGTATAAGCAAACATTGAAGCGAACAGAGCTTAGAGATGAACTTTTTGCCCAAATTTCAAAACAAACAAGAAACAATCCTGATAGGTATGTATCTTTTCTTATAGTATTTTGTTTATAGATAAGTATTATTTGGGTGTGCCAATGGTAGTGATAAAACTGTTGTCATTTCTATGCTTGATGGATTGGCTGATTTGATTTTGGTATAACAGGGAATACTTGATAAAAGCATGGGAGTTAATGTTCTTGTGTGCATCCTCTATGCCGCCAAGCAAAGACATTGGTGGATATCTGTCCGAGTATGTCCATAATGTAGCACATGGTGTGAATATTGACTCTGAGGTTCGAGTCTTAGCACTAAATACATTAAATGCTTTGAAGCGTTCTGTAAAGGCTGGTCCTAGGCATACAATACCAGGCCGTGAGGAGATTGAAGCACTTTTAACTGGTCGAAAGCTTACAACTATAGTGTTCTTCTTGGATGAAACTTTCGAGGAAATCACATATGACATGACAACAACAGTGGCTGATGCTGTTGAGGTACTTTTAGCTTAACAAATTTTATGTGCACTCTTTTTTTGGGTGCTAAAAGAGTAAAGGAAAATGAAATAACAAAAATAAAGAAATGGGATGGAGGAATGTGTCTTACAATCAAACATAGTGGGAAGCCTTTGCTTTGGCAGGTCATTACAAAACTGAAACTTAAAAAAAATTATGGTAACGTGAATATTTGAAGTTGTTAAATGTACAGTATTACCGAACTGGGATCCAGTGGACACCCATTTGAAGTACCATAATAGGATTGTTGAAAACATTTTCTGAACCCTTTCAAAATTTGAACGTTCCTGCTTCCAGTGTGTTTTTTTTATCCCATTCCTTGTGTTCAAGCCACGAGAAGAACTGATATTTAAGAAACTTTCCTTTGTTTCACTCAAAATTTAAACCCTTTTTATTTGAAGTCAGTGTTGAGTAAAGCTACTATTTAGTGAAAGCAATGTGAAACTCTTCCTGGAATTGAAAACTAACTTTAAAGACTTTGACTTGTCCACTATGAATGAGTAACTAAAGCTACCTAAGTTGTAAAAAGTGCTGCTTATTGTTGTCTAACTCACAAGGTCTTTTGCCACTGTGAATTACATTAGTAATTTGCAATTAAGATCCATTACCTTTTGAAGTTTTTGATAGTTTCAATCCATGTCTCTTTCAGGAACTTGCAGGGGTAATTAAACTCTCAGCATTTTCTAGTTTTAGCCTATTTGAATGCCGCAAAGTTGTAACCGGCTCAAAATCACCTGATCCTGGAAATGGTATTTCTTTTATTTCCTTCATGATAATTTCCTATGCTGGGTTTCACTGAACTATTTATGTAATGTGCATTTTCTTGTTGTGCAGAGGAGTATATTGGGTTAGATGACAACAAATACATAGGAGATCTCTTGGCAGAATTCAAGGCAGCAAAGGATCGAAGTAAAGGAGAAATTTTGCATTGCAAGTTGACATTCAAGAAAAAGCTATTTCGGGAGTCGGATGAAGCTGTAGCAGATCCAATGTTTGTGCAGTTGTCATATGTTCAAGTGTGTAATTTCAATAGAAGTATCGTTGAGTTGCTTAGACTGTTGTTTTATTAGTTTTGTGATGCTCATTGAAAAAAAATTAAAGCATTGTTTGTTCACATGTTGTTTTGAATTGCTTTTTTGAAAGAAACCAAGGCAAATCTTGCTTTTAATAGCTGTGAAAATTGAATGCGTGAACATAATGATTCCTATGTTGATACTTCTAAAATTTGGTTATATGCTGTTATTTTGTTACAGTTGCAACATGATTATATGCTGGGCAATTATCCTGTTGGAAGAGACGATGCTGCACAGCTTTCTGCATTGCAAATCTTGGTTGACATTGGATTTATGCGCAATCCGGAATCATGCACGTTAGTGTTTTTGCCACTTTTTGTTCTTTATTCTATTCATCGTGTCCTTATCAATTATTTGTTTTACAGTATATCTTATTCATTATTGTATAATAGCATTTGCATAGAGATCTTCCTATTGGACTTTGCATCCTTTATTCTTTTGCCATCTCGATTTCAACTTGTTGATGTTAATATTTTTCAGTGATTGGAATTCTCTTCTGGAACGCTTCCTACCTAGACAAATCGCAATCACACGAGCAAAACGGGAGTGGGAGTTCGATATTCTTTCTCGTTACCATTCAATGGTAAGTTACCATTCAGTGGTAAAACTTAAAATTTTGGAATTCATTGTGAATTGATAATTTAACTCTAACAGAACCTTGTATGTTAGTCCATTATTGTTATTTTTCCTCTTGAAGTTCTTCCACAGGTACTTCTTGTAAGTATTTAGTACGAAGTATATGAAACCATTATTTGTAAATCTGCAGTACAGGTTCTTATATATGATTACTTTCAAATACACAAAAACCTTTTTTTTTTTTTTTTTTTTTTTTTTTTTTTTTTTTATCAATCTGAAACTGTGTCTATGTGAATTTGACTCTACTTTGTATTCATCCCTCTGTATTTGGTTGTCTGCGACTTCTAGCACATGGCACCCTCAATCATCTGTCTTCCACTTATTAGTCAGTGCTACTTTTGAAGGAGATATAATGTTTCAGCTGACAGTAACTATTCATTGAGAAACATTTTCTTTTAAGATAATACACTTTGTTGTATGGTAGGAAAATTTGACGAAGGAGGATGCAAGACAACAATTTTTGCGAATATTGAGAACACTTCCTTATGGGAATTCAGTCTTCTTCAGTGTTCGCAAGATTGATGATCCCATTGGACTTCTGCCGGGTCGGATTATTTTGGGCATCAACAAAAGAGGGGTGAGTTCAATTACGAATTAATATATATATATATATATATGTGTGTGTGTGTATGTGTGTGTGTGCACATTGTAATGTTATACTGATATTACAATATTACATTCCTCAGGTTCATTTTTTCCGTCCGGTTCCAAAGGAATATCTACATTCAGCTGAGCTAAGAGACATAATGCAATTTGGTAGTAGCAATACTGCTGTTTTCTTCAAAATGAGAGTTGCAGGTGTTCTTCACATATTCCAATTTGAAACTAAGCAGGTTTTGGCACCTCTCCAAACTAGCAGTTTGTTGATCAATCATTTTTGGGTTTTGTTTATGCCTCTTCACTTATATGTTTTTACTTAGATGCATTTCTTCTTTCCATACAGGGTGAAGAAGTTTGTGTTGCCCTTCAAACACATATAAATGATGTCATGCTGCGGCGATACTCTAAAGCTCGGTCTGCTACTAATGGTTCAACAAATGGAGATCTTTCAAACAATTTTAAGCCCTCTGATGTTGAGATGTATGAAAGACGTGTACAGGATTTGTCAAAAGCTGTTGAGGAATCTCAGAGGAATGCTGATCAAGTAAGAAAATAAGATTTTAATGTATTGAATGTTGGTTACTATGGTTATATGGTGGCTGAATGAAACTATGTGAATTCAGTTGCTAGAAGAATTGCGTGAAAAGCAAAAACAAGAAGCTAAATTGCAAGAAGATTTAGAAAGTTTGAAGCAGTCCTTGGCATTTGAGAAGCAAAACGTGACAGAAGTTACATCTGAGCATGATAGGCTTAGATCATCATGTGATGAAAAGGATGAGGCACTTCAGGTTGGTGTGATTAATTTTCTTGAATTGTTCTTTGCACTCAATGCTGCTATAAATTATTGACATTGATTCCCAAATTCATTAGGCTGCACAATTAGAGAAGAAGGGCTTGGAAGGAAGGCTGGCAAAATTGAGTAATCTAGTGGCAGAGAAAAATAACAAAACTCAACTAGGTGGTGGAAAGAACCAGGTAAATATGATGATATATATTTTGGTATTGCTTTAGTAAAGCTGGTTCTTTCAAATGCCAGATTAAGATAGTCACTATTGGTTGTGATCTTACATATGTGGTACAGAATCTCGAGGATGAGATAAAGCTTCGTAGTGAGGAATTGCATGCAAAAGAAGAAATTATAAGGAGACTAACAGATGAAAAATTGTTATTGGAGCAAAGGATATCTGGGATTGAGAAAACTAAAGCTGATGAGGTAATTCCCTTGGGCTTTGACATCTGAATTTGGTGTTGGGAATGTTTGTTTTCTTCAAAACGCTTTTATTTTCTATTCTTTTGGTACCCAATGTAGAAATCAAATATCTTATTGAGTGTTAACGGTGCAGATTGATTTTCTTGAGAAAAAAAATGAGCAAGAGCACAAAGCATTAAAGCTTCGAGTGTTAGAACTTGAAAAGAAGCTTGAAGGAGTTAATCAAGAATTAGCTGTTGTAAAGTCAACTCTTGCCACCAAGAACTCTGAGATTGCTTCATTGCAAAGTAACTTAAAGGAATTGGAGGAATTGAGAGAAATGAAGGAGGTAATGATGATCCTTTACTAGATTCTTTATTTAGTTTCTTTTGTTTATTGGATTTTTTTTTATCTATAAGGTTGCAATATTTGTGAACATTTTGCAAATGAATTTCTATTGATTTCAGGACATCGATAGAAAGAATGAGCAAACTGCTGCCATATTGAGGATGCAAGGAGCTCAACTAGCTGAGTTGGAAGTGCTTTACAAAGAGGAACAACTTTTGAGGAAGCGCTATTTTAATACTATAGAAGGTTGGTGTTTCTTTAAAATACTTTTGATATTTGATTGAGCATTTTTTCAATCTTTTCAGTATCAGTGACAAACTTTTGTCCATTTGGATACTTTCCAGATATGAAAGGCAAGATAAGAGTTTTTTGTCGTTTAAGACCATTAAATGAAAAAGAAATTGCAGACAAAGAAAGAGGTACTACTACGAGTGTCGATGAGTTCACGGTTGAACATCCATGGAAAGATGATAAACTCAAACAACATACATATGATCGTGTATTTGATGGTAATGCCACACAACACGATGTGTTTGAAGATACAAGGGCAAGTTTTCTTCCATTCAGTTGTTAAGTAAATTTATTTTTCTTAATTGCTATGAAATATACATGTGTAGATAATCTGTAATGTGCTAACTATTTTTTGTCCATTTAATGCAGTATTTGGTACAATCAGCTGTAGATGGGTACAATGTGTGCATATTTGCATACGGGCAAACGGGTTCTGGAAAAACATATACGATTTATGGTTCAGATGCAAATCCTGGACTCACTCCACGAGCAACTGCAGAACTTTTTAAAATAATGAAGCGAGACAGCAACAAATTCTCATTTTCATTGAAGGTATTTGTTGGTGGTTCTATATAATGATCATTTGTTGCCACTCAATTTTCTTTTTTTTTAAAAATATGTTAAATCAATGCATATTTGGTTTACGTTTTTGTATGGGCGTTTGGTTACATGTTAGCCGTTGCCATTTGCAGCCCTCACAAAAGATATATATGATTATCGTGATGTTTGCTTTTTTATATCCAAATTTTAGACTTTTGTTCATATATTAAGCACAATAAAAACATCTGTTCAAATGTAAGACAATGCGAGTAAGATGACAAAAAGTCCATCATATCTAGGTTAACACTCTTAAACAAATATACAAGTTACTTTCATTATTGTTGTTTAGACTTGATAATGGTATTCCTCTATATATTTTTGTGCAGGCATACATGGTGGAGGTGTATCAGGATACACTTGTGGACCTTCTCTTACCAAAAAATTCTAAGCGTTTGAAATTGGATATCAAGAAAGATTCGAAGGTAATTTGTTTATTGAGGTCTATAATGTTTTGTAATTCTACAAGTCATGTGGTTTTTTATAAGACTATGACAAATGTTTTGAGATGTTATGCATATGTGGTCTTTAAATTTCTATGTTATCAAAATATTTTGTTTTGGAATTTGGCCTCATTTTTTTGATTAGTAACACTATCTTTGAGTTCGCTCTCAATGTTTCATTTGTGATGTTAGGGTATGGTTTCTGTTGAAAACATAACGGTTCTATCAATTTCAACATATGATGAACTAAAAAACATCATTCAAAGAGGGTCAGAACGAAGACATGTCGCTGGAACTCAAATGAATGAAGAAAGTTCAAGATCTCATCTCATCGTTTCAATTGTCATTGAAAGTACCAACCTTCAAACTCAATCAGTCGCAAGAGGAAAGGTATATTTTCCAAAATAAATGAACAAATATTCGTTCATGCACCTTGGGTAAATGTGATGCACATTAGTTGCATTCACTCAGGCATGGTTTAGTGTTTCATTTGAAGTTATGCTCATAATGTCTTTCCTTTATATAATCATCTGTAGCTAAGTTTCGTGGATCTTGCTGGTTCGGAAAGAATAAAGAAGTCAGGCTCTTCAGGCAGTCAACTTAAAGAAGCTCAAAGTATTAATAAATCACTTTCAGCACTCGGAGATGTTATCAGTTCTTTGTCTTCTGGTGGTCAACACATACCCTACAGGAACCACAAATTGACGATGTTGATGAGTGATTCACTTGGTGGTAATGCTAAGACGCTAATGTTCGTTAACGTTTCTCCCGCTGAATCAAATGTGGATGAGACACACAATTCTCTAATGTAAGTTCTATTGTTCTTAGTTGCATGTTGATATTATGCAACCATGTTTATTTATTAAATTAGTTTGTAGTGATGTGGCTTTGATTGAAATCTTGGTTTAGTGTGATATTCTGTTTGAAAAAAAAATTCACACTTTTTTGCCGATTCAGGTACGCATCAAGAGTTCGGTCGATTGTGAATGATCCAAGCAAAATGTTTCTTCAAAAGAGATCATGCGACTGAAAAAGTTGGTTGCATATTGGAAAGAGCAAGCAGGCAGGAGAGGGGACGAAGAGGATTTGGAAGAAATTCAAGAAGAGCGACCAATGAAAGATAGAGCAGATGGCCGCCATTCCATGTAACTTTTCTCCTACACTAATGTGGCGCAACTTCTAATTGGCAATACTGGTAGTACTACAAGTTCTTAGGAAGAATTTTGGAATGGAATCTAGGGCTTCGGAAAGGTGGACCGCATTGATCGAGCATACTGGATTGGTTCTATTCTAGTTGCTATTGTGTTTTGGGGTCCCGATGATCTCTCTGTGATTGTACTCTGGATAAAAAAAAGGGGTTGTAATTGGCTTAGGAGGATGTTAGTTGTACAGTCCGGATGGTGTGTATATATATGGCATTTTCTTAATTTGACATGTACATGGAGTTCAAAATTTCGTCGTCTTCTTTCATATTGTGTTCTGATTTTTTTTTCATTCATATTTTTGTTTCAGATACAATAATGTCAATCATAATTTTACATATTACCAAATGATAAATAATAAATAAATAAAAAGAACAAAAAGGGAAAATTTTACATATACCGTGACACACTTATCTTTTTCTCCTATTTTCACTCTGTAAATTGTACATTGTATTTGGCTTAATAGTGATGTTTCCATTTGAATTTTCTGTCAACATCGATACGTTCCCAAACCACAAGATGATTGATGACGATATAATTGATAGGCATTAAGCATGTTTTTCTTTTCCCTCCTCATTTTGTTGGCAAAAAGTGAACCTCAACATGGATTGCGTGCTTTTTTTTCCTTCTTTGCCGGTCCATTATGATAATCTTTCCTTAATTAGTACGTAAGATGCTTATGGACAACCATTCAATTCCAAATTACTAAAATCCAATCCCAATGAACGACTGCATTTTCAGAATTTAAGGTCTGACTGTCCACACTTTACAGACTAGTCATAGCTAGATAGGAAAAGGGTGGAGAGCAGAAAACAAAAAAACAAAAACAAAAACAAAAACAAAAATTCAGAACAAATGGGTGAGGGTGAAGATTGCATGACCATCCCAGTGATTGATATGCAAAAATTTCCAGATGCAGAAGAGTACAAGAAACTGAGGGAAGCATCTGAGATATGGGGCTGCTTCAGGCTTATCAACCACAAGATCCCATTGGCTCTTATGAAGGAGATGAAGGCTGTGGTCAGATCCCTGCTTGACCTGCCCATGGAGATCAAGCAGCAGAACAAGGATGTCATAGCTGGTAGTGGCTACATGGCACCCAGCAAAGCCAACCCTCTTTATGAGGCTCTGGGTCTTTATGACTTGGGCTCACCTGAGGCTGTGCATACTTTTTGCTCTAAGTTGGATGCCTCTTCCCACCAGAGGTTAGCTCTGCAATTCATAATACCCCATTATTTCTACTAATTATTGTTAATAGTTTGTGTTGTTTTAGCTTTGATGGGTTTATAGCAAACATCAAAAACTAGCTGCCCAGATCAAGTTCCAAACTTAAAAATCCGACTTGGTTGATAGTTATATGTGTTATTTGCTTACCAGAGTCTTGAAGTTGTTTTTTGTTGTTGAGTGTGCAGAGAGATAATATCGAAGTATGCCCAAGCATTGTATGATCAGATTGTGGAAATAGGGCACAAGTTGGCAGAGAGTCTTGGGTTGGTAAATGTTGATTTTCTCAAGGGCTGGCCTTGCCAGTTTAGGATGAACAAGTACAACTTCAAACCTGAATCAGTGGGCTCTTCTGGTGTACAGATACACACAGATTCAGGATTTCTAACCATTCTTCAAGATGATGAAAATGTTGGTGGTCTAGAAGTGATGGATAAAGCTGGTGCCTTTGTCCCAGTTGATCCTTGCCCAGGCACTCTCCTTGTCAATCTTGGGGATGTTGCTCAGGTATGAGAATTAGGTCCATGTATTTCTTCTTCTTTTTTGCGAATTTGCTTTTTTTTAAACTAAGGTAAGGTAATTTTGTTCTTATTGATGTTTTGATATCAAGGCATGGAGCAATGGGAGGTTGTGCAATGTGAGGCATAGAGTGCAATGCAGGGAGGCAACGATTCGAGTTTCGATTGCTACATTTCTCTTGGGACCAAAGGATCAGGAGGCCGTGGAGGCTCCTCCGGAATTCGTGGATTCGGAGCATCCACGGCTCTATGTCCCTTTTATTTATGAAGACTATAGAAAGCTCAGGCTCTCCTCAAAATTGCGGGCTGGTGAAGCCCTTGCTCTCCTACGTACCACCCCATCCTAATTGCTGATATGAACCAAAGCTTAGCTATAGCATATCAGCTTTCCATTTTAACCTATCTCCAATGCATAAATAGAAGTGAACGTAAGCTCATTGTAAACGCAGTTATATTTGCAGACCATTTATGTCCAAATAAGTGACTTAATAATTCCATATTTGCCCAATTGAACTAGATTTGTTCAGTTAATGATCTCTCTGTTCTGAAATTGTTTCCGTTTTCCATTTGCTGATAGAGATTCTTTTACCATTTCTAAAGGAAGTTTGATTTTTCCTTATTGACAAATACCAAACAATTTGGTTTTCAAGACAAGGCATGTAGAATCAGTCACATCTTGTCTCAACTGCTCTGACATCTTCAAAGTCATGACTTTGCAGTTGACTTCTGAAAAGCCCTAATCTTTAATTCACACAAGAAATAGAAAATGACATTTTACAAAAATCAACTTCTTTCTACCCAAAGTTTTGAAAACTCAACGGTTCTGATCATTTTTGGGTGAGAAAAAGGCCCACTGAGTTGAATACAGAATCGAACATGCATTTATACAGAAACGGTCAGATAAAGAGTCAAGTTTATAAGGGCAGAACATGGGTGAGGAAATAAGATGTACATATTTATAAGGATTAATAACAGTTTAGTACCCTGAACTTACAACGTTAAGGCATGTTAATCCCTACTTTTTCAATTTTAACAATCGCATACCCCGAGCTTGTAAATTTGTTACAATCCGATTCCACCGTTAGGGTTTCCGTCAGTTGTACTGTTAGTTGCTGATATGGCACTGATGGGGCCCACTTGTTTGCTAGTTTCGAAGTCCTTCCAAGGGCATTTTCGAACTTGGATTTATCGGCCTCTCCCGCCCTCATGCCCTCCAATGCGTCTTCAACAAATTAATCTCCAGATTACCAAAAAAAATCTTCCACACTTGCAAATTTCCCACTTGATTTCCGTCAGACGCTGGAGAGGACGACGACACAGAGCCGATTGAGAGAAGGCTACGATGAGTTGGGATCCACGACCACCTGGAGAGGACGACCCAATTTACGGTATGTGGGGATAGAGGTTTGGTTTGAATTTTTTTTTGAGATAAAGGTTTCGAACTTCACATATTTGGATATTAGGGTTTTAATATTGATTTATTTGGGGGTTTAGAGTTCGATTTTTTCGGGGAAATGGTTTCAAAGTTCGCATATTTGGGGAAGAGGGTTTTAATATGGGGTTTTTTTTGGGTTAGGCTTCTGAGTTCACAGTTGTGGGGATAAAGGTTTCCCAATTCGCATATTTGGGGTTTTCTGGTTGTTGTTAGTGGCCTTTATGTAAGGAAAGTTGGTATGTGGTCCTATTGTAACCCATGTGATGTTTGGCTTTTGGTGTGGAAAGTGACTTTACAATGTTTAATAATTCAAACCCGGTGGTATAGTAAACTGCAAAGTAAAAGTGTTTGCTTGGATTTTTCTGTGTGGTAATTGTTTAGTTTGTGATTTCTGTGCATGTTTATAAATCCATGCAATGTGTAACAGTAGCCTAATGTTGGATCATCTATGTATGCAGACGATGATTGCTTATTTAGCATTCGAATGCACCATGGTGGAAGACTGATACACAAGTACTATGTTGATGGAACTGTTACATACTTTGATTATGTGGATAAATACAAGATGTTTTTAATTGAAATAGACTGCATGGCTGTGTATTTGGGGCACGTTGGTAGGATTGATTACTGGTATAGGGTTGAAGATGAGGGTGAATTGAAGAGGATGGAGTTTGACTCAGAAGTTATTCAAATGTGTGAAAATGTGCCTGAGGTTAGGATGATTAACATGTACATGGATCATCGGGACAACATTGATGATGTTCTTAATAGCCAGACTGATTCTAGCGTTTATTGTCGTTATTCTTCATAAGTATATCATTATGCTAATGATGTGAGAAGTCTGGGTGTTATCCTTCAAGAGCTACCAGAGTTTGATAAAGCAATTGTTGTACATGATAGGTTGGATAAAGTTACATCCAATGAGGTACATAAGACTAGGAAACCAACTCCATCCATGAATTCAGCTACTACCAAAGGCAAAGCAAAGGTGGCAGCAGTTGATGAAGGCAGTCTACAACATGAGACAAACAGAGATACTTCCAAAGGCAAACAAAAGGTGGCAGCAGTTGATGATGAGTGTGTACAACATGATACCACCAAAGCTAGGACCAAAGGCAAACAAAATGTGGCAGAAGTTGATGAAGGGTTTGTAGATGCTGAGATAAATGAAGTAAGAAGATCTGTTAGGAAGAGGAACCCCTCAATTCAACAAGAAGCTGATGAAGCTGATGATGCTGACGATTCTTCAAAAACTGATGATGAGAGTGACCCTGACTTTGTGGATAATGAATACGGTATTGATGAGGATGATGATGATGAAGTGTTCTTAAACGAGGTTGACATAGATGGTGAGTGGGGTGGAGCAAATGCTGAGCAATCAATACCAAAGCCTTCATTTGTGGAAGACTTTGTAGATAATGAAGACATGTATGCAGACAGTGATGAGAAGCAGCACCTTAGGAGAGCACCACAATCAGATGAGGAGAGCACTGGCCATAGATTCCCAGAGTTTAATACTTCTTGTGACATGGGAATTGTGGAGTTTGAAGTTGGCATGCAGTTTGCAAATAGTTCTAGCTTCAAAGAGGCTCTGAAAGCCATTTGAATCAAAGAAGGATGGGAAATATGTTGGTTGAAGTCTGAGAAGTATAGGATTAGGGCAATCTGTGGAGCTAAGAATTGTCATTTTGAGATTTATGCATCCAAGATGCAACATGAAGACACACTACAAGTGATGAGACTAGATCCCAAACACACTTGTAGCAGGGTATGGGAAAACAAAAGGGTAAAATCTTCATGGTTGGCTCAAACATTTGTGGAAGAGGTGAAGACAAACCCCACTGTACCAGTGATGTCCTTGAAGGCAACAATGCAGAGGAATATTAACAGTGGAATATCACTGTCCAAGGCTAGGAGGGCAAAGAATAAAGCTTTGAAAATCCTAGAAGGTTCCATTAATGCACAATATGCTAGACTCTAGGACTATGCTGCATAATTGAGGAACACAAATCCTGGAACAACAGTGCAAATCAAATGTGATTTCAACGCATTGTTACAGAGGCCTGTGTTCCAAAGAATGTACATTTGCTTGGGTGCATGTAAGGAGGGATTCAAGGCTAGATGCTGACCTGTAATAGGACTAGATGGGCACCATTTGAAGAGTCCTTATGGAGGCCAGTTGCTGTCAGCTGTTGGTCTAGATGCCAATAATATGACATGGGTTATTGCTTATGCCCAAGTGGAAATGGAAACCAAGGATTCATGGATATGGTTTTTGCAGATGCTGGTGAAGGATATTGAGTTGGCAAACCAATATGGGTTTACATTCATAAGTGATAAGCAGAAAGGCTTAGTGGAGGCTTTTGAGGAAGTCGTGCCTAATTGTGATCATAGATTTTGTGCAAGGCACCTATCTACAAACTTCAGTTTGGTGTTCAAGGGAAAATTATTGAAGGATGCAATGTGGAGGGCTGCATTTGCAACCACAGTTCCAAAGTTTATGAGGGCAATGGAATTGTTGAGGACATTAGATGGTGAAGCTTATACAAGGCTAACAGGTAATGTTTTAAGAGCATTTGCAACCACAATTATTTTGATATAATTGAACTCAATGTACATTTACTAATCTAAATGTTATTTATGTGAAACAGCTCCAGAGAGACCACCAAGACATTGGTCAAGGTCACATTTCAACACTAGTTTGAAGTGTCCAATACTATTGAACAATCTATGTGAGTCTTTTAATTCCTGGATCATGTCAACTAGGTCTAAGCCAATCATTTCAATGATGGAGGAGATTAAGGTTAAGTTGATGAGAAGGATACAAATGAGAAGAGATTTAACGATGAGATGGGAGCGTGCAATATGTCTCAGGCCCTTAGCAAAGCTTGAAACCAGCAAAAAAACAAGCTGCTGATTGCATTGCTATTATGTCTGGAGGACCTAAGTTTCAAGTAGATACTGTAACTTGTGGGCAGTTTATAGTTGATTTGGATGAGAGGACCTGCTAATGCAGGAATTGGGATTTATCTGGTGTCCCATGTAAGCATGCTGTGTCAGCTATTAACCATAAGAGAGGGAATGGGCCTCACACTTATATAGACAAGTGTTACATGAAGGAGACATTCCTAAAAGCATATGAGAACATTATACAACCTGTGAATGGAATGGACCAATGGGACAACCAGGCAGACCAGGCAGACCACCCAAGGTTAGGAGGAAAAAGTATGGTGAAAAAGAGACGAAGACAGGTGGGAAGAAGCTAGGAAGAGACCAAGACTCTCTCAAATGTGGTACATGTGGCCAAAGGGGTCATAATTCAGTAACATGTCATAGACATAAGCCACCAAATGAAAGAACCCAACCTGGAAAGAAAAAGAAGGCTAAGTATGCTATTGGAAGTTCTATCCCAGCTTCTATACCTGACAATTAAGATGTTGAGATGGAGAGGAATGATCAAATGAGACAGAAGGCAAAGCAAAAAGCTCAAGTACTGAAGGTAATTGCACTTTACACATTGTATTTTCTTGTTGGAATGATGGGAACTGTGACATAGGTGATAACATTTTGTCTTTGTTTGTTCTTTCAGGAAAAGAGAGACAAAAAAAAAGGCAGAAAATGCAGCAATGTCTACAGCAGATTCGAACAATCCAACTGGAGGGAGGAAAAAAACTAAACAAAGGAACACCACATGCAACAATTATGCTTCTGTCCAAGAATCACAAACTGGAGTGTAGGATCAATTAGGGTTTTGTATGGACAGACTGTATTTGCAGGAGTTTTGGCCAATGTGTTTCGTATGGACAGACTGTATTGGAAGGTGTATAGGATCAAATAGGGTTTTGTATGGACAGACATATGTGGTTGTTTGCTGGCTTTGGTCTTACTCATATTTGGTAATGTATTTTGGCCAAGGAGAAACTATATTACAGTTCTTTGCAACAGTTGGTGTAATTGTATTTTTGGTTATGGACAAATTGTATTAGAGCCTGGTAGGTTTTGACCTTTTGGGTATGAAATGCTTCATGTAATGCACTGTTATTTTGGTGTAATGCAGTCTTATTATTTTGTTAGCAGGCTAAGATTAATGCATTCTGTCTTTCTTTCTCTTCTTTTGTATCATCAGGGACCATGTTGGCAGGCTAAGATCAATGCACTCATTTTGGAAAATTTGCAAAACGAATGTGATATGCCAATTTGCAAAAGAAACGTCAATTTCCAATTTCAAATTTCATACAACCCATTTCATTACAACCAATTTCATACAACCCATTTCATTACAACCAGTTAATGGTCTTACAAAAACCTGCAGTACACAAAAAGCAATTGAAACCATCAAGCAAGTTCCAGTACTGTCTTTGTTCCACTTGAACCGTTATGTTGAGTTGCATTTGCTGAGAGTACAGCAACAAGGACGCCAATAACGATCAAAAACCCAAGTAGCTTCTCTCTCATGCGCGAACTCTTCAGTTCATCATTAACCTTATTTATCCTATTCAACAACCCATGAATTATCATCTTTGACCGAGCACACATTTGAGGATCGAACCAGTCGAAATACCCACACCCTTTCTGCTCAACATGAGGTAAATAACTTAAATAATCGCCCAATTAAAAAATTCTTACAATTTCAAACCCTTACACCCAAATAACAAAGAATTTAGTGAAATTACCTTGCGGCAGCATGTCCAGAATCTTCTCCCTGGATTATCTCTGGTCCAAGAGGTTTCCAGTCGAGCAAACCCACCACAAAAGCATCGACGCGTCTCACTCATTCCAGCTTTCATAACTTCACAAAGAAAATTTGAGGATTTGGAGATATTTGGTGTGAGAGAATTTGGGAACTTAGGGTTCTTGTTCCTATCGAGCTATATGGACGACGAGTTGAAACAAAAATTTTAAAAATTTCCAAGTTGCAAGCTAATCACCCCATGCCACGTGGGCTTAATTTGAAGACAAGGGTTGGAGGGCGGGAAAGGGAAAAATCCAAGTTCGAAAATGCCCTTGGAAGGACTTAAAACTAGCGGATAAGTGGGCCCCATCAGTGCCAGATTAGCAACTAACGGTACAACTGACGGAAACCCTAACGGTGGAATCAGATTGTAACAAATTTACAAGCTCAGGGTATGCGATTGTTAAAATTGAAAAGGTAGGGACTAACATGCCTTAACGTTGTAAGTTCAGGGGTACTAAAATGTAAGTGACCCTATTTATAAATATCAACAAAATGTACAAACTTACACGTGGAAAAGCACCTTCGGTGATAAACAAAACAAATGAGAAAAAAGAAACAATATTTAAACTAGGAAATTTCTTTTTATTTTTAAAAAAGAAAAGTGGAAAAATAAATAAATTGAAACATGAGGCTCACTGGTTCTAGTGATAGGATGACAAAATTAAGCATCTTAAACTCAAACCAGGGAGGAGCTGTCGCTATATCCTCCTAGAATTTTGGAATGTAATCTAGGGATTCGGAAAGGTGGACCGCATTGATCGAGCATACTGGATTGGTTCTATTCTAGTTGCTATTGTGTTTTGGGGTCCCGATGATCTCTCTGGGATTGTACTCTGGATTAATTAAAAAAAAAGGGTTGTAATTGGCTTAGGAGGATGTTAGTTGTACAGTCTGGAGGGTGTGTATATATATGGCATTTTCTTAATTTGACATGTACATGGAGTTCAAAATTTCGTCTTCTTCTTTCATATTGTCTTCTGATTTTTTTTTTCATTCATATTTTTGTTTCAGATACAATAATGTCAATCATAATTTTACATATTGCCAAATGATAAATAATAAATAAATAAAAAGAACAAAAAGGGAAAATCTTACATATACCGTGACTTAATCACACTTATATTTTTCTCCTATTTTCACTATATAAATTGTACATTGTATTTGGCTTAATAGTGATGTTTCCATTTGAATTTTCTGTCAACATCGATATGTTCCCAAACCACAAGATGATTGATGACGATATAAGGGCTTCTACACCGCAGCACCAAAACCGGGCAAAAGGCCCCTCGAGTTGGCCCAAACGACCTCCAGCGCGCGACATCAAGCCCGGGCAAGCCCTGGGTCCCACCAGCCCGGGCAAGCCCAAGGGCAACATCAGCCCGAGGTCCAAAACGAGTTTTGTGATGTCATCGCTGGCGTCACGCTGACGCTTCCGCGCGTTGACGTCAGCGTGACTCCAGCGATGACGTCACACCTGCCAGAATCCAACGGGCATTTGCCATGTGTCACGACAGGGACTCTCCGATCGTTTTTTGTCCAAAAATCCGACGGTCCTCATTTTTTTGGCTTAAAAAATTTCAAAAAAATTCTGAATGTTTTTTAAAAAAATACCAAAATAACACACAAAACAAACCATACATAAAAGCATAATAATAATAATAAAAAACATATTCCAAAAAATACCACACACAAAATAAAACATAATTAAAAACAAAGCATAATTCCAAACAAAGCACTAATCTTGACTTCATCCATTGTGATTGCCTTTCATCTCCCACAAGTGCTCGACCAAGTCACCTTGACGTATCTCGTGAACATATGAAGATTGCATTTCTTGATACCGATCAATCATGGGGTTGTTGAATTGACCATCCCGAAGTAACGGTTCGGGCTCCATTGGTAGTCCATTTGGTCCAATCGGCCTTTCATATATTCTTGTCAACGTTGTGTTCATTGGATCGGATTCAAACACCTCTGGAGCATCATAGTCATACTTATCCTCCACAATCATGTTGTGGAGGATGATGCAAGTCATCATAATACACCGCAGCATGATGCAAGTCATCATAATACTCCGCAGCACCTCCTCATCTAGCATCCGAGCAGCACCCCTAATAATTGCCCAACGAGCTTGCAAGATACCGAAACACCACTCCACGTCTTTCCTGTAACATTCTTGAAAGCAAGCAAAGCTTCTTTCCTTCTCGGATTGAGGATTCTGAATTGTTTTCACGAATGTCGTCCGCCTAGGATAAATTCCGTCGGTAAGTTAGTACGCACCAGAGTAAACGGAATTGTTGATTTGGTACGTGACCTGGGGGGAATGACCTTGCAATACCTCATCGAACACCGGGGATTGACCAAGGACATTGAGGTCATTCTGAGATCCGGCAACCCCGAAGAAGGCATGCCAAACCCAACAGTCGAATGAAGCTACGGCCTCCAAAATTATACTTTTTTGGCCCTTCCGATTCCCTTAGTCTCCTTGCCAAGCAGTAGGACAGTTCTTCGACTGCCAGTGCATGCAATCGATGCTTCCAATCATTCCTGGGAAACCTCGAGCCTCGCCTTTTTGTAGAAGCCGTTGCAGGTCTCTTGGTGTGGGTTTGCGAATGTACTCCCTCGTGTACAAATTTTCCACTGCATCACAGAATCTCACCAAGCACTCTAGGATAGTAGATTTCCCATCCTTGCAATCTCATCCACCTGCTCTGCAGATGCCCCATAAGCAAGCATCCGCAAAGTAGCTGTAAGTTTTTGCTCCGGGAGAAGACCCAAAGCTCCAACAGCATCATGCTTTTGAATGAAGTATGTGTCGTAATTACAAATATCATGCATGATTTTTTGGAACAAATGGCTGCATTCTATATCTCTCTCGAAACTTAGAAGCGGGATATAACGAATTTGGGATAAAATAATCCTCCATGAGATTCTTACCCCGAGACTCCCTACGTCTGTCCACATTCGGGGCACGACGACGACGGTGTTGCCTTGATTGAGCCATCATACACACCGCTGCTGCAAGCATTTGTTCCTCTTCTTCATCGGCGTCCCGATCTTCTTGAGCACGTCTACGCCGGATTTCTTCCCTTTGTTTCTATTGCCTTTCCAACACCCTCGACAAGTTTGACATTGAGAGTAGAATGTGTTTTGTAAAATATGAGAAATGAAGGAATAGATAAGAGATGGTGTGAGAGGTATGAGTTCATGGTGTAGTTTTATAGAGGAATTTAGAAGATAGAGATGACACGTGACACAATTTTAGAGGATGAAAATCTTATCTAAAATCTGAGATTATAATTTTTTTAAAATATATGAAAATCTTATCTGACATTGGACACGTGGCACAATTTTAGATAGTGAAAATCTTATCTGAAATTTGAGATTATAATTTTAAAAAAAATCTGAAAATCTTATTTGACATTGGACACGTGGCACAATTTTAGAGGGTGAAAATTTTATCTGAAATATGAGATTATAATTTTTTTTTAAATATCTTAAAATCGTATCTGACATGGGACACGTGGCACAATTTTAGAGGGTGAAAATCTTATCCGAAAATTTAATTACAAAAGATTATCAAAATTAATGGTTTAAAGTATAAAAAAATAGGAAATAAAGTACAATGAATAGTAATTGCCTTAGACTTGCCCTAGACTTTGCCCTCATGGGGGGAACCACAAATGCAAAGGCTGACACTATTCACGTGAATAGTGGCAGCCCTTACTTGCTCTTGCCTTAGACTTAGCCCTTGTGGGTGGAGATGCTCTAATTGATAGGCATTAAGCCTGTTTTTATTTTCACTCCTCATTTTGTTGGCAAAAAGTGAACCTCCACATGGATTGCGTGCTTTTTTTTTCCTTCTTTGCCGGTCCATTATGATAATCTTTCCTTAATTAGTACATAAGAAATGCTTATGGACAACCAGACTAAAATCCAATCCCAATGAACAACTGCGTTTTCAGAATTTAAGGTCCGACTGTCCACACTTTACAGACTACAGTCATAGCTAGATAGGAAAAGGGTAGAGAGCAGAAAACAAAAAAACAAAAACAACAATTCAGAACAAATGGGTGAGGGTGAAGATTGCATGACCATCCCAGTGATTGATATGCAAAAATTTCCAGATGCAGAAGAGTACAAGAAACTGAGGGAAGCATCTGAGATATGGGGCTGCTTCAGGCTTATCAACCACAAGATCCCATTGGCTCTTATGAAGGAGATGAAGGCTGTGGTCAGATCCCTGCTTGACCTGCCCATGGAGATCAAGCAGCAGAACAAGGATGTCATAGCTGGTAGTGGCTACATGGCACCCAGCAAAGTCAACCCTCTTTATGAGGCTCTGGGTCTTTATGACTTGGGCTCACCTGAGGCTGTGCATACTTTTTGCTCTAAGTTGGATGCCTCTTCCCACCAGAGGTTAGCTCTGCAACTCATAATACTCCATTATTTCTACTAATTATTGTTAATAGTTTGTGTTGTTTTAGCTTTGATGGGTTTATAGCAAACATCAAAAACTAGCTGCCCAGATCAAGTTCCAAACTTAAAAATCCAACTTGGTTGATAGTTATATGTGTTATTTGCTTACCAGAGTCTTGAAGTTGTTTTTTGTTGTTGAGTGTGCAGAGAGATAATATCGAAGTATGCTCAAGCAGTGTATGATCAGATTGTGGAAATAGGGCACAAGTTGGCAGAGAGTCTTGGGTTGGTAAATGTTGATTTTCTCAAGGGCTGGCCTTGCCAGTTTAGGATAAACAAGTACAACTTCAAACCTGAATCAGTGGGCTCTTCTGGTGTACAGATACACACAGATTCAGGATTTCTAACCATTCTTCAAGATGATGAAAATGTTGGTGGTCTAGAAGTGATGGATAAATCTGGTGCCTTTGTCCCAGTTGATCCTTGCCCAGGCACTCTCCTTGTCAATCTTGGGGATGTTGCTCAGGTATGAGAATTAGGTCCATGTTTTTCTTCTTCTTTTTTGCGAATTTGCCTTTTTTTAAACTAAGGTAAGGTAATTTTGTTCTTATTGATGTTTTGATACCAAGGCATGGAGCAATGGGAGGTTGTGCAATGTGAGGCATAGAGTGCAATGCAGGGAGGCAACGATTCGAGTTTCGATTGCTACATTTCTCTTGGGACCAAAGGATCAGGAGGCTGTGGAGGCTCCTCCGGAATTCGTGGATTCGGAGCATCCACGGCTCTATGTCCCTTTTACTTATGAAGACTATAGAAAGCTCAGGCTCTCCTCAAAATTGCAGGCTGGTGAAGCCCTTGCTCTCCTACGTACCACCCCATCCTAATTGCTGATATGAACCAAAGCTTAGCTATCATATATATCAGCTTTCCATTTTAACCCATCTCCAATGCATAAATAGAAGCGAACGTAAGCTCATTGTAAACGCAGTTACATTTGCAGACCATTTATATCCAAATAAGTGACTTAATAAATCCATATTTGCCCAATTGCACTAGATTTGTATCTGTTTTCCATTTGCTGATAGAGATTCTTTTACCGTTTCTAAAGGAAGTTTGATTTTTCCTTGTTGACAAATACCAAACAATTTGGTTTTCAAGACAAGGCATGTCGAATCAGTCACATCTTGTCTCAACTACTCTGAAATCTTTAAAGTCATGACTTTGCAGAGAAATAGAAAACTCAACGGTTCTAATCATTTTTGCGTGAGAAAAAGGCCCGTTGAGTTGAATACAGAATCGAACATGCATTTATACAGAAACGGTCAGCTAAAGAGTAAAGTTTATAAAGGGTAGAACATGGGTGAGGAAACAAGATGTACAGTGTACACACTTATAAATATCAACAAAATGTACAAAATTACACGTGGAAAAGCACCTTCGGTGATGAACAAAACAAATGAGAAAAAAGAAACAATATTTAAACTAGGAAATTTCTTTTTATTTTTTTTATTTATTTAAAAGAAAAGTGGAAAAATGAATAAATTGAAACGTGAGGCTCACTGGTTCTAGTGATAGGATGACAAAATTAAGCATCTTGAACTTAAACCAGGGAGGAGCTGTCGCAATATCCTCCTGCTCCTCCATAGCTGTCCTGGCTGTCGTAGCGTGAGCGTGGGGTCCATTCAGATCTATCCGAAACTGATATCCCAAGAGGCCATGACGACGTCGTACTCACAGTGTTGGCTACGCTGCTGACTCCTTCGGGCATAGAGGAGGAGGGCCACACAAAAGCGGGTTTAAAGGGCGGGACTCGGGGCACCGGAACCGACGCGGAAATGATTTGGATAATGGCCTGGGTCTTGGGCCTCTCGTTGGCAATAGGGTGAGAGCAGGCCAGCCCAAGAAGCAAAAGCCTCTCAGCTTCCTCTGCCACGTAATCACTCCGAAGCCTCTCGTCCACGGCCTCCAAGACACGCCCTTCTCTATGCAAGGACCAAACCCAATCCACCACACACTGAAACCCGCCCATTTTGGTCCATGGTCGTTGACCGCACGCAACTTCTAGAAGCACTGCCCCGAACCCATACACATCAGACTCGCACGTGGCCTTGCCCGTGTGGAAGCACTCGGGTGCGATGTACCCCATTGTGCCCGGTACACCCTCGAGCTCGGCATACGAGGTTTTCTCGTTGTCCAAGGCACGTGCGAGGCCAAAGTCGCCGAGGCGGGAGTTGAAGTGGGAGTCTAGCATTATGTTGCTGGCCTTGAGGTCTCTATGGATCACTCTTTGGTCGTACTCGTTGTGGAGGTAATGCAAGGCGGACGCCACCCCGGATACAATTTTGTACCTTTGGCTCCAGCCTAGTGTTGCATTCTCAGGACCCCCGAAAAGGTGGTTGTCCAAGCTACCGTTCGGCATGTACTCGTATACTATGAGTAGCATCCCAGTTTTGTGGCACCATCCTGCATGTTTGTTTTTGAATGGGATTGTTAAAATGTGTGTGGAAGCAAAAAAAAGTCAAACATGAGCGTAAGAAAACGAAAGGGTAACACAATTTGGATATTAGCGTTTGGAATAGCATAACCCAGTTTTGAGCTATTATTAATTTCCAATTGTGACATCTAAAACACCTCATCAATAGATGGATTTGTACAGCTTGACCTATTCATCAGTTCGTTTAATATGGAACAATAGGCACAAGTGACACACAGCCACAATGGTTGACCAATAACATCTACAGAATGACAGTGGACTTCGGGAATTGGCAATTTGGCATGCATGTGCTTAAATAATATAGTCCTAATATAATCCTAATTGGTGCATCAGGAGCCAAAGAATCAGTCGGCGGCTATTGTTGTATACCTACCCAGTTAGGTGAGCAATTAGGACTAAACAGAATTAGCTTAAGATTCAGTTGTGTGCGACGAGTTCAATTAGCCTCATGGCCATCATGGGCAGATTGCCCCAGGGGCCCGCCATATTAATTAATATATCCCATGCTAATAATTAGTTATTATTAATTAAATCTATAGTTTGGATAATCCACAAACAAATAAATCCTAAGCCTTAGATCAAAGAAAAGATTATGTTATGTGCAGACATAAATTAAGTCAATTGATAAATAAAAAATAAAAAATAAAAAATTGAATTACCAAGTAGCCGGACGAGATGCTTGTGGCGGAGGCGGTTGATAATGGTGAGCTCAGCCAAAAAGTCGTCTTTACCCTTGAGATTATCCCGGGAGAATTTCTTCACAGCCACTTCCAAATTCTCTTTGGGTAGGACACCCCTATAGACCACCCCAAAGCCACCTTGACCTAGCTTGTGCTTCTCGTCGAAGTTGTTCGTAGCCTTCTTCAGCTCCTTGAACTCAAACTCCCTTGGAGTGCCCGGAAGGCTCTTGAGTGCCCCTAAGATATTCGGGTCGGAAGCGGCGGCCCTCCTCCTCTTGTGCACGTAATATACCAGCCCTCCCAAGCCCAACAGGAGCAGCACCACCACGGGTACACCCACTCCAAGTCCTATCTTCAGCCCCTGACTTTTGCTATCTTCACTCCCAACACCTGACAAATTCTCCACCGTCAGATTCCATCTCAATAAGCAATTGAGCTGGATTGCACTGCCGGTCGATGCAGAGAAACCGAAGTAGGAATTCTGCTCCACAATGTCCTTGAGATTGAGATTAGCCGTTAAGATTGGAGTTGTGGGTCTGGGCCTGATGACGAAATCGCTCGTTTTTGGGTCCTGCAACTGTTCGGCCATGAACACTTCTAACTGACGAGAATCGCCGTCGTACTGGACCCAGACCATGTAAAATTTGGTAGTGTTTGGGGCGATCTGGATATCCAGATCCGAGAGTGAAACGGTCTTGTTGGATCGGATCGAGTTGATGTTGAGGCCCAAATGGTTGTCATCCGGGTCGAAGCTTTGCTTAAAAGTGTCCAGCTCGACGGCGAGGAGGTGGTTGCTGGGGTTCCCATCGGAGGCCGCGTTGGTTAAACCGAGGTATTGACCGTCGCTGCCTTGAGGGAGGGTGAGATTCGGTGCGATGAGGAAGGCCAGGCCCTCTCCGGGGACAGCGGTGCTGTTGACACGAAAGACGTTAACGAGGAACGACGTATTGAAAGACGCCACGCGTCCCGAGGCTCCGGTTGTGGCGGAGCCAGGAGAATCCGAATCGGTCCAGAGCACGAAAGAATGGTTGAAGAAGACTCTACCTGAGCGGTTGGCGAGCGTGAAGTTGCCTGCGGAGTCCGGAGTGATCTGGAGCGCCTCGTTGCTGATCGTCGCCGGCTTGATCACCGCGAACGTGTTGTAATACGATTGGTCGAAGGGGCCCCACTCGTACTGAGATGTCTCGAGGTTCTGAGCGTCGGAGAAAGCCGCTGCGGGAAAAAGCAGAAGCAGCAGAAGCACCATGCCGGAAGTGATTAGAGGCAGCTGCTTCAGCTTCATGTGGTAGCTGCTGCTGCTGTTTCTGGAGCTAGACGACGCCGTCGCACAGTTCAAAAAATGATGAGGAGATCGAGGGAGAGCTCGTGAATGGCCAGCTTAGCTCTCTGTGTCTGTCATTTGTTTATTTTTATTGTTGTGGTGTTTGTTTTTATCCCTACGAATGCGAGGGAGAAGAGAAGTTTGAAGTGTTTGGTTGCCGCTTTCGGCGTTATAACCTGGAACTTTCCCCATTAAATTACATTATTGATCCTGATCAACTTTCATTATTTTAGAAACAAAAGAAAAATATTAGATTACAGGTTGAACCTTTTTTTAGCTTTATCTAACTACTCTTCTTCATTGCCGCAAAATGTATGCCCTTTCATTATCTGAGCCACCTCATATTTTCACTTTTATATACTATGCATACATGTATTTTTGTATTTTAGTAGTGTTTAATTTTCTTTGAATCTTCATCTCAGCAGCAGGTAAATCCCATACAGCGATGTATGTAACCCTAAATTTATACTTACAAAAAGGGTACTCACCCACCAAACAATTGGACGTACTACACACTATTCTAGTGTAGAGCAATTTTGTCACGCTCTGAAACTGAAGTGTGAGAGATTTAACAAATAAGTTAAAGATGACGAAGGCATGCATTTTGTATGGATATTAGTAAATATTAATTTCTCATTTGAGTTTATTTTTTTAATCACTCATGGTATACATGCATGGCTTAATTATTTGTTAACTAATGACTGCATTAGCTTCTCTTTAGCATTTTTCACACTTCTAATCCGTAAATCCACGTTGTATCTCTTTCATCATTTTTCCTTTATTTTTTTGGTTGTTGTTGTTGTTGTCGTCTGATTATATTTTGATATAAACGATCTTAAGGGAGGAAAAATCGAATCAAGGATCTCTAAATGTTTTTAATTAACCATCCGAGTTACAACTAGCCCGTTCGTATATATATATATATATCTTTACACATGTTGTATACACATTAGTTTTACAGGTTGTAATTGGAGGCGCGTAATAATTGCACGTGGAGTTGTTTAATAACGATTATGTTATTGTGCCAAATCGAACGAAAAGAAACTACTTTATTCCATTTGACATGACTCAGCTCAACCATAATACTTGTCACTCTAGTGCTTGACACCGGGTAAACTACAGTATGCAACTCTTTTTCTAATTACCAACTTCTTTTTTCTTGCTTTTTAGGCAATTTTTTATATACCAAATGTCTTAATTTTCTAAAGCCTGTGGTCAAAAAGCAACTCGTAGCTAGTGGATGATTGATACTTGATGATACTGTTATTTAGAAGAATTAGGACTTGGAATTATAATTATTGCATGATACATCCAAATCCAGATGTTGAGATCGTGATGCCATGTGGCGGTGGAGTTTGCAAAGTCGCTTTTTTAAGAAGTCGCTTTCCATTTCATGTGTGGTAGCCTGCTCTTCACTAACTAAAGCAATTACGAGGAACGAAAACGAGTGAGAGTGGTGTGTGTGTGTGTGTTCATACCACACTTTAATTTACAGGATGTTAATCTTTTTGTTTAATGGTAGAATATAATATATGTGAAACTCGATCAATTTTGATTACAGTAGGATGCTCAAAGTAGACAGTACTGATGAACTTTATTAGAGAAAAAAGAAATTTAAGAATATAAAGAACAGTCATAATCTTTTATGATACAAATTATGTAGCAAGTTAAGTTAGAAGCTGAAGTGAGGTGCAACTGAGAGAGTTATTCATGCAATAAGATAATTACATATTTAATTAGGGTAACACAAAAATGGAATAAGAAAAACGGCATAAAACCCAAATGAAGAAAATCATAAGTCTTCAATACACACTAGAGAAATTAGAACTTCGGAGGAATTTTGTTGTCTTTAGGATAGGATAACTAAGTTCTGTACGTTGCCTTCTATTAAACTATTAATGTACACGAGAATTCAACAACGAAAGAACGGTTTTTAGTGTTGGTTTAATAATAAATTTCTCAAGAGAAAATGTTCAATTTAATTGTAATAAGGTTACGCATCTTCTTGTCGAGAATGTACTTGTGTTTCATAATTTTTCATGTTCGAATGGAAGAAAAAAGATATTGTTTTTGAGTTTTTGTTTATGCAACAATACGTTTATATATCAAAATCACAATAAATAAAAAAGAAGAATCATTTTTAGTATTTTTTAGAGAAAGGGGATTTATTTTTTTGGAATTATTTTTAGAGTCAAATATTATTCAGACATTTATCAGTTGATCTTTGGAAAACTTGTTCTAGATAATTGGAGAAAGAGGTTTTAGAAAATAAAAGAAAAGAAAAATAACGAGGGAAACCAAATCCAAGTAAGGAAGGGAAAGGCTACCAAACCAACTACCCAGGGCCGGGCAGGCTCTACCGAAATAAAGCGCACCATGCCTTTCGTAATCATGGCGACCCCCGAAAGTCGAGTCAAACAGTCGCCCCCAGATCACAGATAGCATTTAATCAAACGCAAACGCTGCAAACCCTAAACGGTGCCCAAAAGCCCCAACTTTATCGTCTTCAGCTTCGGGTTCAGGTACTTCCTCCTCCACCGCCTTGTTCAAATCCTATTTTCTTTTCGTTGATTTCGATTCTTCGCTCGATTAATTTGTTCTGTCGAAACCCAATTTGAATTTCACTTCCTAATTTACATAGGATGAGCCCATGGAATTGGAAGGCTAGGAGGGGTTTCAGTGTTTTGTTAATTCTTTTTTCCCGGGAAGAAAGATTGACGCTTTATGTGAATATGCACATATGAAATTTATTTGCTTTTGCATAAAGATTAATGTCTTGAATTGGGTTGATAAAGCTAGGGTTTTGGCTTAATTTCATAGTTGATGGTTTAGTCCTTTTTTGTCATATATGTATATATAAATTTGGGCATTCCTCAGAGTTATAACCTTAAGCTTGTTACATGAAACCTGAAAGTTAAAACCTTTGGCTTTAAATTTCTTTTATAAAGGGATTTCAAGTTCTATGTACTATGCATTGACTAGAACTAAGCTATTTTGGTGTTTTGGGACCGATGATTTGCACTGGTTTCTAATGTCTCTCCTCCATCCTTGTGGATTGGTACATTGCAGCATCTAGTGATAAATGCAGGATCCAAAGATGTCGCTTGCTGAGGAATTTTCGAATCCTAAGCAACGGAAAAAGAAGCCCTCAACCCAGAAAGCCCCATTGTTTCAGTTACAAGGGAATGATGCCAATGGGACTCCTCCACTTCCATTGAAACCAGGGCAAAAGGTATCCAAAAGAAATTTTAAGAATGAAGTTTCTCCATCGTTTCAGCAGCCAGAGAGGTCAAACTCAGATTCATTGCCAGACTCTTCTACTTCTGGAAGCGGGTATCGTGCACTAAGGCTCAAGTATTTGCTGCTGGAGGAAGAGAGCTTTGCATTGGGGAGAGATCTAAGAGAGGTTGAAGATGAGGTTAAGACGCTTGAGGATGAGAAGCTTGCTCTCTTGGATCAACTTGTGGTGCTAGAAGGCCTTGTTGATCCCTCAGAGTTGCACCCCCAGGGGTTACATTTATCATAGTTTAGCCCTTTATATCATTACTGGTTTATGTGGTTGAGTTGCACAGTTGTAAATTATTATGATATTCGATGTCAAAGACTGGGGAACGAATGTTATTGAACTTCTTTGGCATGCTTTGATAATTCAAAAGATGAATGATGCAGCTAGTATTTGGTATATGCATTTGACTGTCTGCTGTCAATTTTTATTCAGAGTTAATGTTGCTAGTCAGAAAAATCACATTCGGTTCTTGAATTTAAGAAAACCAACACCGATGTTTATGTCCATGAGTGCCACAGGAATTGCAGCTTAATATTATTTTTTGATTGGATTAATTCACAGAATCATAAACATGGATGCAGATGCTCCATCGAATACAGAAAGAAAAAGAAACCGTAGGAAGCAAGACATCAAGGCACAAAACAACACAATTGTGCACGCAAACCTATCGAGGTTCGGTGCTATGCGTAGAATTCAAACCACAACGCGGAGTGACGGGGTAAATAAAAAATAAAAAATTCTTTGATTTGCGTGGTTTAACAAATTATCTCATATCACCCAAAAGAATACAAATAATCTCATAATAATTCAGCCCGGGAGCTTAGAAATTGTAGGTAACCTAGGATATTAAACTATACTTGGTTCTGCATTGGCTTCTTAGTGTGTAAAGATCTAGTATCTGTGAGGAAATTCAAGGTCCTAATCTAAATACAATTTTCGGCCAATGGTTATCTCAGCAACCCCGAATTTGAATGTGCAACTCGCACAACCAGGGGGCTGGTAACCCTTGATCTTCCACTTATCCAAGAAAAGAACCCAAATGCATATCCCTTAGATGGAGCAGTCACCTTGAAATTTACAGTGAAGTTCATCTTCTCCCCCAAGCTATTGAAGATTAATTGATCTGGGATAATAGTAACATTGATTCCGATGGGTGAGGAGACCACGGCTTTATAGATACTCTTTGGCTTCCCAACATTGGTAACTGTTCTAGTTACTGAGAAGTTGTCTTCAAGATTTGGCACTGTGATAGATGGATAGTTCAGGTCGGATGCTGTTCTGAACGCGTGATCACATCTACTGTGGTCTTGTGTGATTTGATGCACCGCCTTCTCATCATAACCAACTGAACAAAGAAATGCTACATAATCTGCTGGCTGCGCATCATAGACAAGACCAGGATCAAGGACTCTTTTTGGGTTCACAAATCCTGAGCCATAATCAAACGGGTTACCCCTTCTTCCTTCCGGGTCAACTATGATGGGTTTGCGGTGCTTATCCAGAAGAGTAGCTGTATGTTCCAAAAGTTGTCAGATTCTTCAATACAATCTTAGGCACAAAATTGATGATATTTAAGGTTGAGAGACCAGAAGAGCTTTTCTAATTTAAAGAGAACACTTTCTGTTTGAGAAAAAAAGTTTATTGTAGTTTCGGCCTAAGTAATTTTACCAGTAGTCATGATTGCAGATCTAATGGTTGCTGGTGACCATGATGGATGAACAGCTTTGATCAAGGCAGCGATTCCTGTTACATGCGGGCAAGCCATGGAAGTACCAGAAAGAATGTTGAACTGCTTGTCCCCTGCTGCTGGGGACCAAGATGCGAGTATGTTCAGTCCGGGCGCTGTGACATCAGGCTACAAAACAGGCTAATTAGAAGGTTATCTATGACATCTCGATAGAGCATGAAAATGTAAACCTAATAAATTACATAGCCAGTAAGTAAGCACAAGGTGATTTCTGGTTATTAGATAAAATTTACCTTCAAAATTTCGGGTGTCAAAGAATTGGGTCCTTTTGAAGAAAATGCTGTAACACGAGGTGCAGGTTTCAGTCCCAGTACAGTCTTTGCAGGGAAAATTCTAGACATTGGTTTGCTGTGCACAGTGGTCTGAATCAGTTAAACAGAAAAACTCAAACTGAAAACTCAAACCTCCATGTTTTAGTTTATAAGACTAACCTTGTGCTTTTAATATGAGATAAAATATGATTTCCTATCTTCTGTCCAACAATGGCTGAAGGGATAACAAATGGTACAGCAATATCCTTATCTGCCTCATCAATGAGAACCATGCCGACACCACCAGCGTTTTTCACTAGCATACTTTTCACCATCTTTGACTCCGTTGAACTCTCAGCATGCCGACAGACGAGAACCTTCCCTCTGGCCTTGGTTCTATTCAAGGAACTCTCTAAACAGTAACTGCAGGCACAAATAGAGAAGATGTAAATTAAGGTTTCGCTATGCATTGACATCTAAATAGCACTCACTTCCAAGTACCTTTTGATTCACCTGGATTGGTAGGGAGTGAAATACCCTGCATAGGCTTCAGAGGCAGAAATGATTCTTGCTGAGGCTTTCATTTCAAAGAGACTAAGACTTTCACCCTAATCATTTAGAGAACTTATAAGGCTTTACCAAAATAATCCACAAGTCTTTCCAACAGAAAGAAGTAAATAGCATTACCGTGAATTTAGCACCATTTTCTAGAATGATATCAGAAGTGAAATCCCTATCTGTTGAACTTGCAGCAACAGTGATCATCCATGGGGCGAGATTTGTTGCAGAACCCGGGTTTCCTTCATTTCCAGCAGAAGCAACCACTAGAATACCATGCCTAGCAGCATGGAATGATCCCACAGAAATGGCATCACTGAAGTAGTCCCCCTGTGGAGCATCAGGACCCAGAGACAGAGACAAGATGTTAACTCCGTCTCTGATTGCATCATCAAAGGCCGCTAGTAAGTCAGCATCATAACAACCAGAGTCCCAACACGTCTTGTATACTGCAATCCTAGCCATTGGTGCACCTCCTCTAGCTCCTCCAGATGCCAATCCCTTATAAGTCATGTTTGACACATATCGGCCAGCAGCTATAGAGGTCGTGTGGCTGCCATGACCAGAGCTGTCCCTTGGAGATCTGAATGACACTATGTTTGTTGAATCTTCCTCGGCTTCATAGCCAGACTTGTAGTATCTAGCCCCAATCAATTTTCTACGGAAATAATTTTTAACCAGTTGAGAGATTACCAATCAATAAACGTCCATGAAATAAACTAATCAGTCAATATAAAGTCATGCTAGAACCTGTTGCAAGTTGAAGCATTGAATGCTTCTCCTGATTCACAATGCCCCCTCCATCTAGCTGGCACTGGAGGCATGTTGGCATCATTAAAACTTGGAGATTCAGGCCAAATTCCTGCATGAGGCGGTGATTAATATTAAATAAACTATTTATTGCCCTCTCAACAATTAGTAAAATAAATAGCTTCTATCAGACCAGAGACATGCATGTGTTCAAGCATACAGACAGCAAAGTATTTGGGGCATGTTCATGTCACATGAGTCATGTGAGAGGATAATACGCCTAATAATATAAGCAAAACAGGGAATGTAAGTCAACAAACAGGCATGATGGTTGACTGAACGACCATACTTTACAATTATAGAGGGTGTGTTACAGATCCAGATGCCCAAAAGAAAGATTTAGTCAGAAATTAGAAGGGCAAAAAGAGTGATCAGTGCTTACCAGTATCAATGAAACCAACAATGACATTGACTTGGTTCTTTGTGGAAAAGCCAGTAATCTCCATGGTTTCTTCCCCCAAAAGACCCATGAAATCCCACGAATGAGTGGTGTGCAAGTTTCTTTTCAAATTGGGGAAAACCGAAACGACTCCAGGCATCTCTGTCAATTTGCCGTACTTTTAACCACAAAGCCATGAATCTATTCAAATTATAATTCCTGGAAGTGGATTGGGGAACTTACTAGAAATTTGGAAAGCTTGAAGGTCAGTCAACTTGGCTGCAAAGGCTCTGAAACCATGTCTGTAACTGTAAATGTGAGATTCTTGAGCTTGCTCTATGCTGTTCAACACCATTGATGTAAATCAGAGATAAGCAAGCAAAGCCAAAGTATAAATCAAGAAATGGTTTTGATTTGAATGAAGAAATAAAGGCAAGGACTTGCTGAAAGACTGACCTTCCACCATGCACAGAAGCAAGCAATTGATGGTTTTGCATCAAAATCTCATCTGGGTCATCACCATTTTTGCTTCCCATGTAAACTACATACACCTAAAACCCAAAAACAAGAAAACACTGAAACTACCAAACCAGAAAAATTAAAAATAAATTATCAGAAGAACAATTCCCAGAATTGAAATAATACAAGCTATTTACCTTAGCTGAAAGGCAAATGTTAATTTCAGCAACAAGAACACAAAGGAACAGAAAAAGAATGCTGATGCTTCTGCTAGTACAACGAAAAGAAACCATTTTTTCAGGTGTCCCACCTTTTCCCAAAAGAGATAAATATATGTAGACGACCAAATAGTTAGAGAAGAGAGGGAAGAAGATGGGTTCTTTATATATAGGAGGATGAGAGAAATGTTTGCTCTTTTTTACGGAGATGCGTAATGTAGTGGTATTACTTTTGCAAAATTACTCAGATACAAAGCAAAAGGAGACACAAACGCCGACGATGATCAAACGTGAAGACAAGAAATAGTGGCAGAGGAGAGTGAGTGGGTGAGCAGTGGGAAAATGAGAGAGAAATAAGGGAATTTTGCTTTTGGAGCAAACCAACCAACCACAGTGCCTTTCCTGTTTCACCCAAAAATCAACCTTAAAAAGTAACCCTCAAAACCGGACCGTTAAAAAAGTAATCTTTATACTAAAAAACAACCAGTAAAGTAATAAAAAGCCGCACAATAACAGTGAAGTGAGCACTGAGCCACATCATCACCATCATCTTCATCTCTCTCTCTCTCTCTCTACTATTTTAATGGGGTTTACATGTAGTGTATATTTAAGCATACGGTCCTTTTTTTTACAAAATGTAGTAGACATTATTCGCATTTGGAGTTTAAAACCGTAGATTTTCGGGAAGATGATTTAGTAAATTACAATCAATTTTTATTTTAATAGAGAATGATAAACTATTGATCTACCGACTACAACTGCATTTAAAAACAATGCAAATACATACGGTTAAAAAGTTTGTTGCAACATACTAAAGAAATGATCCACAAACCATATGAGTCATGACCAAGTATGATTAGTGAGGCCTATTTCATAATCATTATAACCAACTTTTTCATGGATTTCATAATGATCTGATCTGATCTGATCTCTCTAAGATTTTCACACCCGTGACCCTTTACTATACAAATTATACAGTAATTATGATTCTTCACCCCGGTCTGTTCATCAGCAATATATTGCAAAGATGTGATAGTAAATTCATGTTGATGAAAAAACTGTAACCAATATGGAGATTAGCGTGCGTATGCTGCAATGTTCTGTTTCCAAATCTTCTTTCTACTATGAAAAGGATTGAAGGAACATCAACCGCAGAATAAACAAAGACAAACAACTAAACAGAGTACCCTAAAAGTGGGGAATTATATCACTCCAATTATTCATTCTTTAATTTGCAGAGGCCAATAAGAGACCAATGGCAAGTGTGAACTTATTTGGACATGAGCAGACAATTATACGTGAATTATGAGTCCAATTTGTATTTTAAAAAAAATTACACAAAACATTAAGGGGACAGGCATTAATTATCAATATGTATCATTAATTTATAAAATTTCTATCATTTATGTTAAAAGTCTCAAAATTGTGTTGGAATTTTTTTCCTCATTTATATGTGACACAGAATTTTCCAGAGGGAAAACTCAATTCCATTAAAACAAATCATTTGCAGCTTATAAATGTAATTCCTTTTGGTTTCACTTTTGAAAATTTTGATCAAGTACTAACAAAAATATCCATTGTTTCTTGAAATAATAGTAATAATAATAATAATAATGCACAAGCATATCGCTCTCAGCTTCTTGAAAGCTCAACTGCCAAGTATCCCATGACTAGCTGAGCTGTTGTTGAGTGTAATTTGCACACTCGGGGCTTCTACTGATATTTCCAAAAGCAAGTGAACGTTTACCACAAAATCAATACCTATTATAAATAGATTGTTTGTTTTAGAATAGTTTCGACTATTGATTGTTACTAATTGATTTGCGTTACGTAAGAATTAAGGTTGCAACTCAAGCGCATTGACAAGTTGACGATCAATCCTAACTTCACCCTACAAACTTAAATTTCAAGTTCAATCCATATGTTATCCCTGATAATTAAGAACTAATAATCTTAAGAAACATAGAAAAATCTCAAATGGAGCAATATGAAAAGCACTCGTACCATGTCTTTTGGTAAGCATTTCAATGGGTTTGTAACGGGAAAAAAAAGATACTTCATCATGTAGCATGCCACACATCATGTAAAGGTAAAAGGCGAGGGGGGTTTGCTGTGTGTTTGGTAATGATGTTGATTATGATCATTGTTATTATTATTATGATTATGATGAATATTATTATTATAATTTCCAAATCACAACTTTAATTTACTCAAAGGGTATGCTTGTAGCCAGCCACAATCATTGCTTATGATGTTTTTTGCACGCAATAAGCCTTGGAAGGCACCCAATCTCACAATCACAGTTGATACAGCAGAAGGATAAGACGATTGACTAATGAGGCAAGAAATTATGTTGATCCTATTGGGAAGCTGGACTTTACCCTACAGTACAGATTCCCCTCTGCTAACATTCTTTTTCTTTTTTATAATCTTTTTAAAGTTGTGGTTGTTAGCCATTTTCCAAGAGCGGAAATCATGGATCACAGTGGATTATCATAATGTTAATTATACTGCTAAGAAAATGATGGTTTTGTTCTTCTTTTTTATTGTTGACTTTTTTATTACAATATTTTTAGTTGACAGAAAATTGGTATATAAAGATACTGTGATGCCGCAACAAGCTTGTATCTCAAAGTTACCACATGATGTCTTGGTTTTGATTTTACCACCTATGTCTTGTGTTCGATTTTTCTCAAATTTAGCACATGATGATGTCTTGTGTTCGATTTCCTTTCATGTTTTTTGGATATGATTTGTATTGAAAAAACAAATTAAATTGGTGGAAGGAGTCAAATATTAGAGCGGTTCCACCGCTGCAGCCCAGCCCAAGGCTAGGGGGGGAAAAAAAAATGGCTTTCCAGCGGAGCAGCCCAGGCCCGGGGGGGTGTGGGACCCACCTCCTCGGGCTGGCCCGAAAGCAAGTCTTACCCGAGGTCCAAAACGAGGGGGGTTACTGTAGCGCTACAGTATCTGCTACAGTAACGCTACAGTACCACCGCTACAGTATCACTACAGTACTTCGCTGATTTGATTTTTTTTTGCTGTTGCCACGTGGCGTCGTCTGGGCTCTCCGATCTGATTTTTTTCCTCCAATCCAACGGCAGCCAATTTTTTTGCAATAAAATACTGGAAAAAATTCGGAAAATTTTTTAAAAAATACCCAAAAATTAATGAATTTTTTTCTATAAATACCAGCCTTTTTTTTTATAATTTATCTGAAATTTGAAATTGAAAATTTTATCCGATTATGAGATATGAATAGTATTGACACGTAGGAACCCGAAAATCTTATCCGAAAATATTATCCAAATTAATTATTGAGGTAAAAAAAATTGTGAATAAAACAAAAAAATGAATAGTAACTGCCCTTAGCAAGGGCAACGGGTGGAAACACAAAATTCGGATTTTGCAAGGGCAACCACTATTCACGTGAATAGTGGCTGCCCTAGCTCCCCCCTTTGCCATGGTTAAGGACAAATGGGTGGAGTTGCTCTTAAGGAAGAAAATAATTAAACATGAGAGCGAGGGAGGCACGTGAACTTCTTGTGTTACATACTGATATGTGGCTTCTGTTGTTGAAAAGAAAAAGGAAATTAAAATAAACAGGGAGAGAGGGAGAGAGAGAGAGAGAGAGAGAGAGAGAGAGAGAGCATCATCTTGTCAGATAAAACAAAAGAGAACAGCAGTAAGGTAAGCTCTATGCTCCTCACCTCTCGTATCTCCTCTTCTTTCTTGTAATATTTCCAGTAATCATTTTGTTTTCTGTCAATCATTATTAGTTCAGTGGGTTGGTTTGGGCAGCTGGTGAAGTTCCAATTGGGTAAAGATTGCATTTTTCTCTGGCTGCCCAAATTCAGCTGCGCTAAGTGTTCATATAATCCATGAGTTTCATCTACCAAATTCATGTTATAAAGAAAAGTTCTTGTTTGTATACACTTCTGGTCAGATTTCAGGCACTTGGGTCTTGCTAATATTTGCCTTGTGTTGTGAATAAGCTTTCTTTAGTTTCTATCTCCATTCCATTGGCTAAGCTGAAGTGCTGGACTAACCCATCACTTACTATATTGAAAGATTAGATGAAAGCTCTGATTTTTTTTCCTTAAAAAACTTTAATTTCCTAATTAGATTAATAGAAATCGAACTGCCTTTGTAAACAATGCCGCCACTTGTGTTTCCATGAACCAAAACAAATCATGAAAAGGAACTATACAAAGGGATGCTCTATTTTAATCTGTAGAGAATTACGAATTTGGGTTCTGTCTAAGTGAGTTCTGGCCTCTTCTTAGTGGCATTTTCACGAGAATTATTTAGATTTTGGTAAGCTAAAATCAAGAAGAATTGCACCACTGATGAATTGGATGATCTGTTTGATTAATTTGATTGAATTCCTGGAACTTGTTTTTCAAAATTTAGACTTTGCACCACTGGTGGATACATTAGTTGAGCATAGAAGAGATTAGTAAGCTTACAATATGGCAAACTACCTCTAAATTAGTGATGTCAAGCTGCTAAGTTTGTATTTCTTTCATATCTCCAGTAGCAGTAAGAGAAGAACAAGGAAGAGGAAGAAACTATGGCTGCAACCTTATTGTTTGCATGCAACTCAAATGTAAACCATGGCTGTAGAAATGATAATCCCTCGCTGCCGAAACCATTCCTGGGTGGTGGACACAGAATCCTGGATCAAACCATTGCAAATAGGAACCAAGGCCATTATAACTCTCAAAAAAAGAAGTCATCTCGCAGGTTTTCTGTTTCTGCTGTCACCGAAGGTTCCGCAAAATCAAGCAAGTCCGAAGAAAAAATCCCCCCTTGGGCTAGACCAGATTCGGATGAGCCCCCTCCTTGGGCCCAGGGTGAAGGCAAGAATGATGGTTCACAAGAGGGATTTGAGATTCCCTTTTATGTTTATCTACTTGCCTCAGCCGTGACTGCAATTGCTGCTGTAAGCCCCCTCTTCCAATCCTTTTGATAAAATTGTGTCCTTTTGAAACCATATATGCCTCTTTGATATGCTCTATAACAGGAAAAACAATGTTGGAATGCAGATAGGTTCTGTTTTTGAGTATGCGAACCAGAAGCCAGTCTTTGGAATCTTGAACTCAGACAGCATATTTTATGCTCCAGTGCTTGGATTTTTTGTATTTACAGGCATTCCCTCTGCTGTAAGTTCCATTTCTTTCATTTTTTTCCCTGGTTTTTCCCAGTTTGATATGCTCAATGTTATAACCAGGATGCATTTATATTTGAGTCTTTAAATCAATTCTATGGCCCTATACCGTGAATCCACCAATCGAAATCTTCTCAGTTTTGATTGTAACAGGAAAAAGAAAAAAAAAAGGGCTCTTTCCAGTTTTGATGACTTTTGTAGATACAAAAGAAGTTGAAAATCTATTTGTTGGCAATATTAACTCAATCCCAGTTTTGACTCAAAACACGAATGTTAAATGCAGGCATTCCTGTGGTTCAAATCTGTCAAAGCTGCTAACAAGGAGGCTGAGGAGCAAGACAAGAGGGATGGCTATCGATAGGGTACAAATACACCTTTAAATGCATTAATCGCCATATGTACTTTTTCTTTCCTTAATACCATGTTATGGTCTTAGTTCTTTGGTTTTGCTTACTGATTGTTAATTACAATCCACCCGGGAACTTTGTGCTTATGGCGATTCATCAAATATAGGATCTAACGCAGTGCATTGTTTTCCTGGCCTTTCAGCATCGAATGTCTCGGTGAGCTCCATATATGCAATCATGATAAACCAGTGAATCATGTCATTTGTAGTTGTAATTATCTGCAAACAAATAATTTCATGTATGAAGGTATATGTAATATGCCTCTGTATAATCAAATACCAATCACCCTAGAAGAAAGCCACACACCCTAGTATGAAAAGAATTATTCAAACTTTTGATGGAAAGAAGAATGTCAACATATATATGGAGAAATTGTTGGTGTTGATCAGAAGGAGGAAAAAATGTTACGCTGTCGGCAGAAGAGAGCACTTGGGTTGGATTGACCAATCTACCAATCTGCATGGAATATCCGTTACAAGAAACAACAGATAAATAACTGGAAAAGAAGCTAAGAAAACACAGGTAAGAATCTTACCTTAGAAAGCAATGAGGATCAACCCGAAAAAGACAAGAAAGAATCTTGTATTCTGTAGTTTCAAACATAGAGAGCCAACAGAAGAAAACACAAGTTTGAATTGAATATTTAGTAAAAGAAATAATGGAGTTGTTTGAAGCATGAGATGTGACGAGATCATAGGTTTCAACGTTACCCTTCTATGTAATCTTTCACGGTAACACCTAAGTAATTTTGTTTCTTCCAATCATCAGACATCTGAACTTAGTCCTAGTCTTTGTCTTGTCTTTCCATTTATAAATCCACGTGCTCTGAGCTTGTGGCAACTTGAAGAAGCCACACTCCCCCAATCCAGTTTCTGCATTAAAATCTTCACAACTCTTTCAATATGGCTTCTCATCAAACCCTTGAAACGCCTGCTGAACACAAGCTTCCTGTAACTGATCATGAAAACTACAAGACAAGGACTGAACAAGTGCAGAGAGCTCAGTGGCTTAGAGCTGCCATCCTTGGAGCAAGTGATGGATTGCTATCAACTACGTCGCTAATGCTTGGTGTTGGCGCAGTGAAGGAAGATCGTTGGTCGATGATCCTATCGGGCATAGCTGGAGCTATTGCAGGAGCCTGTAGCATGGCTGTGGGAGAGTTTGTTTCAGTATCAACACAAAGAGATATTGAAAAGACCTCTCTAAGACAACAAAGCGGTTTAAATACTGAGTTGGGTAAGAAAGATATCAACGGTAAGGTCAAGCTAGACATCCCTGAAAGATCAAACTTGACCATTTCAATTGAACTGACTCCTTCAAGAACAATCTCATGTGGAAAATCAACGTGTGATCATCCACCAGAGAAAATATTACCAACTATTGAGATCATAGAAAATGATGGAGGGAAAGAGTCATTGCCAAGTCCACAAAAGGCAGCATCTGCATCAGCTTTGGCATTTCTGTGTGGCTCACTTTTGCCTTTAATCTCAGCCATATTTATTGCTCATAGTACTGTGAGAATGGTGGTGGTTGTGGTGGTGGCTTCAATAGCTCTGGCTCTCTTCGGCAGTATGGGAGCTCGTTTCGGTGGCTCACCGGCCATGCCGTCTGCAGTTAGAGTTTTAATTGGAGGGTGGATTGCCATGGCAATAACTTATAGCTTGCTCATGCCATTTGAAAAAGAAAATCGTAATGAAAAGGACTGATGCCATCACAATTTGCCACATAATATATATGTTATGCGTCAGTTTGAAGTCATTTTTCCAGAGTGACAAGGTAACCTATGATTTGCCACTTTTCTTATTGTATCACGAAAATAGTGGAGCAAATCATACCCACCAATCTGTTTCAGGGTCTTGACCGGTTGAATTTAGGCTGTTGCCTTTTGTTTTCTTATTAAATTATATATAATATACAATTTCCATGAATGTGAATTTAGACTTTTGGTGCATAGCGCTATAGGCCTGGAAGAGAATATCAAAATAGTACTATTTCCGTTTCATGGAAGTGTCTTTCTCCTCACTTTGTGCAGTAAACTTAATTATTTGGTTTGGAAAGCAATAGTGGATGAATGTGAAAGGAAATCTTTTAACAAGCCGTAAAGTATGAGATTGAATATACAAGCCAAGAAACAATCAACCCAATTATTGCCTACTCAATCAATATCTTCCAACAAGAAAGAGAGGGAGAGATAGGAGACAAATATGGAAGCAAAATCTAGGGGAGATAAGAGTAGAGTATGGGCAAGGTGGTTGCCATTAAAAACTTTTTCTATTATATAAGTGTTGTCCATACTCTTATCAGTTCCAGCATTTAAGGCCCAATTTCTGGTTCCTCAGCCAGCCAGTGTACTATGCGATTTAGCTGCAAAAAAATGCATGCTTGAAGCAGCTAGTTGTTTATTGTACATGTTAAGAGACAATTGAACTTGCAAATCTGATTGTTTGAAAATAATGGACCAACATGAAGAGCAGGACATCAGTTCTCCCATGCCTATTCTCCGAAGACTGGATCGTCTCGATCGTTTGGTAACATGTCTTTTTATTTGTTTTTCCATGAATTTTTATCCTGCTCAGTTTTCAAATCCTCCTGGGTTGATCATCATCTCCATGATGTACATGTACAGCTGCAATTCTTGGAACACAAGCATTGCTTGTCAGCAAGCCATTCTTCTAGCTCTGCCTGCAAAACCATGGAACCAGTACCAGAAGAAGATCAGTGTAAGACTCTGTCATCTGCCATTGAAGAAACACATCAAAAAGGCACATTGATGGAAAGAGTAGCTGTGCTCGAAAACCGGGTATTACAGGTTAGCAGCAATGGCAATAGTTTTGTTTCATGACCCCTTCTAGCAAATCTCTGTCTCCATTAGCAAATGTCCCAATTGAGTAGATTTCTTTTTTCTTTTTTTGGGTATTTAGTATTTTGTAATTTGTCTTTGCCCAATATAGTTAAGCCATGAGATGGATGAAGAAAATGCATCAAGGTCTAGCTGTTCCACCATTCTAGTATCTGAGGACAAGCAAGACCCTTTCATAACTCAAGTAAGTTCAAAATCATAACACTAAGTACACTTTCACATTCTGTTATCTGGTTTGGCCAAAGGGAAAGCCTGAAGTTGTACTTACAGAGGCAAGTGTGATGATAACTGCTTGCAGGAGTGTTCTTCAGAAGCATGTGTAAGAAAGCCACAAGGTTCCAAGAAAGGCAGAAAAAGAAGAAACAATCTTGTCTCCATCATTCAGTTGAGAGAATGGTTTAGGTGGGCTCGAATGGGATGTTAATTAATCATCATCAAGCATAAAATTGCTGCATTAATTACATCCTCAAAGACTCAAAACAAGAAGAAGAAGATTTCAGAGTTTGGGCCATGTATCTTTCTTTTACCCAATTCAGCCCACTAATGGTTTTTGCCAATGAGCCCATGTAACACTACTCTGTACTTGTAATAAGCCCTAATTACAAAAGAGGCTTTTGGTTAGAGGCAAATTGCAGCCCCTTTTGTTATGGATTTGAAAAGGGGTTTTGGACATACAAATCAATCATTAGTGGTTGGTAAACATGTGATTAGTGCAAGGAGCATGATGCGTAATGCTCTCTAATTATGAACTTATAGAATGCGGTTGTCCAATAGAACAGCTAATTTGAGAAGGAACACATGCCTTCAGTGTGATTAGCCAAAACAGAGATTCCGTAGGTGAAGCAAATTAGCAAAAGATAGAAAGATCACACGATTTTGTCTATGTTCTAAATCGAAACAAACAATGCAAAAAAGTAGCGATACAAAGCCAAATACAAACAACAATGAACTTATATCTCAAGCGTTTAAAAAGATTTATCCACATTCTCCATATCTTTTATCAGACTTTCCTTTCTCTGAATACCGCTTGTACAAAAAGTTACAAATATAAACATAAAACATATCTAACTTTTAGTTCTAAATTTGATCAGGGGGAAGGAACGTGAATACCATGTGACCAACAGCAGAGCACCGACCAGTATTTATGTTATTTAATGGGCAACAAAAACAGAAAGATTGCCATGACTCAATAGTGCTCATTACTCTCATTGGGGCAGGTCACAGTTGTCAACTTACCAAAGCAGCGTTTGAGAGGAAAGTTGATTTCTCGTTGGACCATGCATGTTCATTCATATTCAGTAATTAAAAAAAATAAGAAAATAAAAATAAAATAAAAGTGAAAACCATTTTTACTAGAGGTGAGATTAAAAATGGAATTTGGACGGTGGAGATGATTTCAATTGCTACCAAATTTGTTAGTTAAATAATTAGTCCATGGGTTTCTTGGTCCATAGTACACCGATAAGAAGTATATTTAATGAGCTAATTATGTGATTCTGAGTTGACACAGAAACACCCAGAAACAGAGAGAAGGCTTGGGCGGTGACACCAATGCTACTGATAGTGATGATATGGTCAAATGCGGCCAAGTTTTGATTTTTATTGAGAAATTATTAGTTGGGAGAAATTGGGTTTGAAGAAGATTAGAACTTGAGAAGAAATGGTGGAGATGAAGGAGGAGAGAATGGCGATATTCAAAGGCAGAGAAAAATTCGGGTCCAATGCTTTGCACACGGTTGTGGCTTTGGGCATATGGCTGGGGACTATCCATTTCAACGTGATTTTGGTCTTCTTCGCCATCTTATTCCTTCCTCTTTCCAAGGCCCTCCTGTTAGTATTCTCCTCTCTCTCTCTCTCTCTCTCTCTCTCTCTCTCTCTCTCTCTCCTGATTATTTGTTTATTTATTTGTCTGCTGCAAAATCTGTATTTCAGTGTAATTGGGTTGCTGCTATTGTTTATGATAATCCCAGTTGATGATAAAAGCAAAATTGGCCGATCACTATCCAGGTAAGGTTACCCTTTTCAGCTTTTTGCTATTTGGATTTTGGAGTGCAAGCATACGAAGTACGCAACCTAACCCAGATAAAGATAACTTTTTTATTTTTTTGGTTTTTTGGTATTTGCAGGTACATATGTAAGCATGCTTGTGCTTATTTTCCAGTGACTCTGTATGCAGAGGATATACATGCCTTTGATCCTAATCGATCTTATGGTATTACCCTTTCCATCAAATGTGTTATTGTCTCATTAGAAGCTTTAATAAATTAGTAATATAATTGATATTTGTGTCTCTGTGCTTCATGTAGTTTTTGGTTATGAACCACATTCAGTTTTGCCAATTGGTGTTGTTGCACTTGCTGACCTTACTGGGTTCCTACCTCTCACCAAAATTAAGGTCCTTGCAAGTAGCGCTGTAAGACTTCTTCACTTTATTCATATTGTTCTTTCTGCTTTTCAGATCAGGTCAACCTTTTTCTATGATTTCTTAGCTACAGTTTTGCTCATTCTGTGTTGGAATTCATGATTAGGTGTTCTACACACCATTCCTAAGACATATATGGACATGGTTGGGTCTTACACCAGCCACAAAGAGTAATTTTATCTCCCACTTATCCGCTGGTTATAGTTGCATCATTGTGCCTGGTGGAGTGCAGGAGACATTTTATATGGAGCATGGCACTGAGGTTTGTATCTTTAAAATCTTGCTTATGCTCTTTCTTAACAATTGTATCTGGATGTAGAGCATAATTGAGTGCTACAAATTCATTAATCTGACAATCAGCTGGTGTCTGTTTTCTTAATTGTGAATCAGTTGCTTATTTTGTAGATAGCATTTCTTAAGTCGAGAAGAGGATTTGTTCGCATAGCCATGGAGATGGGCCATCCCCTGGTTCCAGTTTTCTGCTTTGGTCAGGTATCACCATTTTTTATCTAGTTTCTTTCACCTATTAAGACATCTAGAAAGTTAGCCAGTTGCATGGTATGTGTTTTTCGTTTGTGTTCCTGCTTTACTGGTCCAAACTTGTATTGATGGTAGATTGTCGGTAGTTTTCTAACTATCAACATCAGTTTGTTGAAATCTCTGAGTAGCTTCATGCATCGATTGCTTGTGATTATTAAAAGGGCCATTATGTTTATTGCTTCTTTGGTTGTTGATTCTTGATTTTACTGTTTTCCTCATGCTTGTGCTTCTCCTAACAATATGATATTCCCTTACCTTTTCTTATGATCCATTCATGCTGCAGTCAGATGTTTATAAGTGGTGGAAGCCAAGTGGGGAGTTATTTTCGAAGTTTGCCAGAGCTATCAAGTTCACCCCAATTTTCTTCTGGGGAATATTTGGGTATGTATTCTAAGTTTTTAATACTCTATTGTCCTAACTTTCTTTTTCTTCTGGGGAATATTTGGTATGTATTCTGAAACCTACTCTGTCGCATTTGTTATGTATATTTGTATATATGTGATAGTTAGCAGGGCTACAGTTTTCAGCAACTGTTAATGGTTCATATCATGGTTCTCCTATGCAGATCTCCTGTGCCCTACAGGCATCCAATGCACGTGGTGGTAGGAAGACCAATCGAACTCAAGAAAACCCCACAACCAACCATGGAAGAGGTATGAATTCCACCAAAACACCTGAGCATATTGTATGTGTTTGGTCACCTGTGAACATTCAGTCATGGATAACTTTTGCTTGGATTGTGTTCAAATTACTTTATTGCACTCTATTCTGTTTCCCTGGACTTGAACTTCGACATGCATCATGTTTGAATGAATGCTTGCCAAAAAAAGAAGAATGAATGCTTTTAATGACACCAGTGGAAAAGAGTAAAGCATGAATAAGAGCAGAAATGTGAGATACCTGAAAATAGTCGATGCTGTTCAACACCAATGTTGTAACGATTAAGGGATGTCTCCCATACCAAACGTCCATGTCCGTCTTTGGTTTCTCCCATGTCAAGAGCTTTTAATGTTGTGAAAAGCTATTCTATATAGTTTTAGTTGCATTGTATGGCATATCTTTATAGATCGATGCTGGCTGAATGTCTGATTTCATACTTCTATTCATTTCCAGGTCAATGAAGTACACAGTCAGTTTGTTGCAGCACTACAGGATCTTTTCGAACGGCACAAGGCTCGGGTTGGTCATGCTGATCTTCAATTGAAAATTCTTTGATCAGATCTTAATCCATGTTCCTTCTACATTATCAATTTTTCTATTCGTGTCCGCGGAAATTAGTGATAACATGTTGTATTAAGGTAGATTGTAGAAATGACGGTTGAAGAATTGCTCTTGATGTCTAGCTAGTGGGTCTAACATAGTTTGCGCCCACGTATGGCAAAAGTCCAAACCTTCATCTGGAACAACAGAAGTGGCATAATTAAGATGTGTAAATTGAGTTTTTAATTATTTGATAATTTCTTAATAAAAACAAAGAATTATACACTTTTAACCTTTGGATGTCTCTTTGGCCTTGAATTACCTTTTCATTTTGGCGCACGAACTAGTCCCTACAATGCAATCGAGAGAGAGAGAGAGAGAGAGAGAGAGGTAACTGGTTTAAGCAACAGCAAGTAAAGATTATCCTTGAGAAAAATGAAACGAAGAGCTAGTGACTGAAAGTAGCAGGAAAAAAAAATTGACCGCAGCCAAAGTTTCGAAACCCCCTTTATGATCACCAAAGGCGTTTGATTGACTCTCCAAATCAAATCCGTCGTCTCTTCCAGCTCTACTAACTACAGCCAATCTCCCGTCATTCTTCTTTGCAAGAGCAACTCTGTTTGCAGCCTCTTCAAGGGCATCCATAGACACGTTATAAATTTCACACTTTTAAAATCGCTGGCACTTCCTCCAATATGACACCACTTCAAAATATAATGAGATGGCAGAGTTAAGAACAGTTGTCACCCGCAAGAAAACTGTCAAATAAAAATTATATTTAATCAAGTAATGACTGAGTTTCTGTGCCAAAAAAGAGGTAATGATGTCATTCTGAGTAAACACAGAAACACTCAGAAACAGAATGAAAGCTTGGAAGGAGACACGAATGCTACACAGTGATGATGTGTTCGAATGCGGCCAAGTTTTTATTTTTATTAAGAATTATTAATTTGAGGAAATTGGGTTTGAAGAAGTTGAAGAAGAAGACTATAACTTGAGAAGAAATGGTGGATATGAAGGAGGGGAGGATGGCGATATTCAAAGGCAGAGAACAATTCGGGTCCAATGTTTTGCACACGGTTCTGGCTTTGGGTTTATGGCTGGGGACTATACATTTCAACGTGATTTTGGTCCTCTTCGCCATCTTCTTCCTTCCTCTTTCCAAGGCCCTCCTGTTAGTATTCTTATTCTCTCTCTCTCTCTCTCCTGATTATTTGTTTATTTATTTATCTGCTGCAAAATTTGTATTTCAGTGTATTTGGGTTGCTGCTATTGTTTATGATCATCCCAGTTGATGATAAAAGCAAAATTGGCCAATCAGTGTCCAGGTACGGCTACCCTTTTCAGCTTTTTGCTATTTGGATTTTGGAGTGCAAGTATACAACCCAAAACCCAGATAAACATAAGTATTGAATTTTTTATTTTTTATGGTTAAATTTTATTTGCAGGTACATATTTAAGCATGCTTGTGCTTATTTTCCAGTGAATGTGTATGCAGAGGATGTACATGCCTTTCATCCTAATCGATCTTATGGTATCTACCCTTTTCATCAAACGTGTTATTGTCCCATTAGAAGCTTTAATAAATTAGTAATGCAGCAATATAACTGACATTTGTGTCTCTGTGCTTCATGTAGTTTTTGGTTATGAACCGCATTCAGTTTTGCCACTTGGTGTTGTTGCATTTGCTGAGCTCAATGGGTTCTTGCCTCTCACCAAAGTTAAGGTCCTTGCAAGTAGCGCTGTAAGACTTCTTCACTTTATACACACTGTTCTTTCTGCTTTTCATATCAGGTCAACCTTTTTCTATGATTTCTTAGCTAAATTTTTGCTCATTCTGTGTTGGAATTTATGCTTAGGTATTCTACACACCATTCCTAAGACATATATGGACATGGATGGGTCTTACACCAGCCACAAAGAGTAATTTTATCTCCCACTTATCCGCTGGTTATAGTTGCATCATTGTGCCTGGTGGAGTGCAGGAGACATTTTATATGGAGCATGGCACTGAGGTTTGTATCTTTAAAATCTTGCTTATGCTTTTTCTTAACAATTGTATCTGGATATAGAGCATGATTGAGTGTTACATATTCATTAATCTGACAATCAGCTGGTGTCTGTTTTCTTAATTGTAATTCCATTTTCTAGTTGTGAATCAGTTGCTTATTTTGTAGATAGCATTTCTTAAGTCGAGAAGAGGATTTGTTCGCATAGCCATGGAGATGGGCCATCCCCTGGTTCCAGTTTTCTGCTTTGGTCAGGTATCACCTTTTTTTATTTAGTTTGTTTCACCTGTTAAGACATCTAGAAGTTAGCCAGTTGCATGGTATGTGTTTTTCATTTGTGCGCCTCCTTTACTGGTTCAAACTTGTATTGATGTCAAATTGTCAATAGTTTTCTAACTATTAACATCAGTTTGTTGAAATATCTGTGTATCTTGGTGCATCGATTGCTTGTGATTATTAAAAGGGCCATTATGTTTATTGCTTCTTTAGTTGTTGATTATACTGTTTTTCTCATGCTTGTGCTTCTCCTGACATTATGATATTCCCTTTCCTTTCCTTATGATCCATTCGTGCTGCAGTCAGATGTTTTTAAGTGGTGGAAGCCAAGTGGGGAGTTCTTTTTGAAGTTTTCCAGAGCTATCAAGTTCATACCACTTTTCTTCTGGGGAATATTTGGGTATGTATTTTGAAACCTACTCTGTCGCATTTGTTATGTATATTTGTATATTTGTGATGTTGACAGTTAGCAGAGCTACAGTTTCAGCAACTGTTAATGGTTCATATCATGGTTCTCCTATGCAGATCTCCTGTACCCTACAGGCAGCCAATGCACGTGGTGGTAGGAAGACCAATCGATCTCAAGAAAACCCCACAACCAACCATGGAAGAGGTGAATTCCATCAAAACACCTTAGCATAGTTTATGTGTTTGGTCACCTGTGAACATTCAGTCATGGGGAACCTTTCCTTGGACTGTATTCAAATTACTTTGTTGCACTCTGTTCTAATTTCTGTTTCCCTGGGCTTGAACTTCTACATGCATCATGTTTGAATGAATGCTTGCCAAAAAAGGAAAAAAATTGAATGAATGCTTTTAGTGACACCAATGGAAAAGAGTAAAGCATGAATAAAAGCAGAAATGTGAGATGCCTGAAAATGGTCAATTCTGTTCAACACCAATTTTGTAACGATACCAAAACATCTACCTCCGTCTTTGGTTTCTTTTGCAATTGAAACTTAGTTCCAGTAAAACATCTTATCTTCTACAAACATAGCGTGTGATTGTTGATATTTGTACTTGCTCACTTGACAGTTTTCTCCCATGTCAAGAGCTTTTAATGTTGTCAAAAGCTATTGTATGTAGTTTTAGTTGCATTGTATGAGCAAACTACATGTAAGTGTGTTGACTGGCTGCTGAAGCTCCACGGAGTTCATAGCTTTATAGATTGATGCTGGCTGAATGTCTGAGTTGACACTTCTGGTTTTCTAGGTCAATGAAGTACACGGTCAGTTTGTCACAGCACTACAGGATCTTTTCGAACGGCACAAGGTGCGGGTTGGTCATGCTGATCTTCAGTTGAAAATTCTATGATCAGAACTTAATCTTATGTACCTCCATGCTCCCTCCTCATTGTCACTTTTCCAATTTGTTTCTGCGCAACTGAGTGATAACATGTTGTATTAAGTTAGATTAATTGTAGAAATGATGGTTGAAGTATCTTGATGTCTATCTATGGTCAAGTTATGCGTGATATCTTGGTTTCTCTCTTCCCTTCTTCTGCCTTCTTCTTCGTCTCCCTTTCTTTACAACGCCTTTTGGTTCCAGGGGTTAATAAACCGGGCGTCTCTCTCTCGCCTCTCATGTTGTAGTGTTTCCCCAGTTTTATGCTGGGTTTTGTCTCTCCCGGTCTTTTTGGACTAGCTTTTAACGTTCCTTTGTGTTGTGGAGGATTTATTGTATGCAATAACCTCCATTTGGGGTGTGTTCTTATTGTAAATCTCTTGCATCTGCCTCTGTATTAATGAAATTCTGCTTGTTCTTAAAAAAAATGTAAGTTGTCAAGTTGTTTATACATAGTTTTGTACTCACTTATTTAAATAGTCAAAACCTTCATCTGGAGCAACAGAAGTGGCATAATTAATATTTGTAAATTGATTTTTTAATTATTTAATAATTTCTTAATAAAAGTAATGAATTATATTCAGTCGCATAATAGCATCTTTAACCATTGGATGTCTCTTTAGCCTTGAATTACCTTTTCATTTTGGTCTTGAACAACAGCCCCTACAATGCAATCGACGTGACATTGAACCTAATCATTTCACATAAAACGAGAGAGAGAGAGAGAGAGAGAGTACTATACAATGCTACTCTCTTTCATTCCTAATTTAATGTTTTCAACTTTAACAGATAGCTGTAATTTTTGCTCCTCAATATCTTTCAAAACCGAAAGCAAACTAGCTCTATACAATTCACATTTCCGTTGTGCACGATCAAGTTGGCGCTCAAGTTTCTGGATTTTCTTGTCCTGCTCATCCTACAGAATTGAATCAGGAATGTTTAGGAATAGTTATAAAAATAAACACCTTGCAAAAGGAGTAGGGAAAGCAACAGATAACAAATACAAGAAAAAAAGCTTGTTCAACTCCACTCCATATCATATGGAGTAAACAAACTTATATGCATCAAATTTTCCAAAGTAACATTGGCTGTCCAGCATATATTGTCTCTTCCCAACTATCTTTAAAAGTACTTGAAAAGACAATAAAATCCAATTGTGTGCGCATATTTCTCAGCATTTGAATTTGAACAAGAAAGAGAAAAGTTTAAAAAACAAAATTTTGGCATTTACTATTTTTCCCCTAATATTGTAAGTAAGTGGTTTAAGTGGTTAGAGAAGGAAAATTACTGAGAGAAAAGAAGGAAAAAGGAAATTTCCTCCCAACAAGTGTAACAGACATGCACAAATCCGAGAAACTATTGAATAGAAAAGATAACAAAGATCAACAGCAAATTAAAGATTATCCTTAAGAAAAATGAAACTAAGAACAAACTGACTGAACTAAAGTAGCAGGAAAAAAGAACTGACCGCAGACAGAGTTTCGAAACCCCATTTATGATCACCAAAGGTGTTTGATTGACTCCCCAAATGAAATCTGTCGTCTCTTCCAGCTCTACTAACTATAGCCAATCTCCCGTCATTCTTCTTTGCAAGAGAAACTCTGTTTGCAGCCTCTTCAAGGGCATCCATAGACACGTTATAAATTTCAACAGTTTTAACCCCTTCATCAACATACTTAAGTGCCTCATGACGCAGATTATTGTATCGTACTGTGAGAGATTCTTGTGACTTATTCAACAAATCGCTGGCACGTTCCTCCAATATGACACCACTCTTGGCGTTCCTTGTCCAACGCTTCAAAATATAATGAGGTGGCAGAGTAAGAACATTTGTCACCCTAAAAACTGTCAAGATGTGTGAACAAAGAAGGCCAGAGAACTCAAACCTCTGGCAACTACAAAATGCTTTCATCTCATGAACATTAAATCTAACAAAATATGCTTTATGGCTTTCCCCAAATTTAGACACTTGATATATGGATCCTGCCTCCTCATCCTCAACTTTCATTGCCAAGAAAGTTAATGTCTCGACCAACTCTTCTTGAAATTTCATAAACATTTTCCTTGTGTAAAGCCCAGCTGCCTGTTTCTCCATCGGTGAAGGGGTCTTAAGAATAGGAGCAGTGTTTATAGTATCATAATCTGCCTTCACTTCTTTCTCATACCGGCTTTCAAGAGCTTTCTCATACTGCTTAACAAACAGCAGTAGAGTTGTTGATGCATTGACATATCCATCAAAATAAGAGTTCATGCTGTCACTGCGCTGTGTTATAGATATTTCTGCAAAGAAGGTGTCCCTCAGGTATACAGGGACCCACTGCCGCCGATCAGCATATATCAATTGAAGCCATTGATGTTCCCTGAGATCATATTTATCAATTAAAGACAACCAACAAGACTCAAACTCTTCAACTGATTCGGTCAGGTTGACAAATTTATGAAGCTCTGCTTCAAAGTTGGAATGCTCACAATGCACATAGGACAACTTTTCTTGGCATTCTTTAAAGATGTGCCACTTGCAGAAGCGGTGACGGGTATCAGGAAAAACCTGGGTGATGGCCAAGCTAATCACTCGATCATGTTCAGTCGTAATTGAGAGTGGAGGCCGGCCGAACATTGCTATGAGCCATGTTTTGAAAAGCCAAAGGAACGATGCCTCGGATTCATTTATCAGGAGGGCACATCCGAACAACACAGGCTGTCCATGATGGTTAACCCCTGTGAAAGGTGCAAAAGGCAATCGGTATCGGTTTGACCTGTAAGTTGTGTCAAATGTAACAGTGTCACCAAAGTAAGTATAGTCAGTCCTTGCCTTAGGATCAGCCCAGAAGACATTGCTCATGCACTGATCTTCATCTCCCTGCACAGCAAAGAAAAATGCCGGGTCCTTGGCTTGCTTGTCCTTCAAGTAGTCCAAGAGCAGCTGAGTGTCGCCTCCAAGGGTCCTTTGCCTACTACTCCTCATGTAATTCCTGCAGTCACGCTCTGTGAAGCCAATGTTCTTAATTCCACCATATTCTTTGACGAGGGCAGACATAATCCCTCTGGGGCCAATGCCAGCACCCTGCAAGGTATCAATCAAGGACTTTGCAGCACCAGAGACATGACGATGAGAGCGGAGGCAATGCACCCTTTCAGGAGGAACCAGCTCATGGTTATGTTCCTTGACAAAAGCAGAGACAACCCATTTCCCAGAGTCTTGAATCTTGACTACCAACATGGCCTTACAACCAACTCGGGTCTCAGGCCGGGGGCGCTTGACCCTGCCTTCACGGTCAGAGCCAGGCTTGCCATGCTTATCGACACGAAAGCCCTCCCTAGCACAAACAAAAGACCTCTGGATGATGGCACCATCACGCCTGGAGCGTCGAGACATACTGACACGAGTGCTGAAGCCAGTGCGGCGAGCATAGGAGTTGTAGAAGGCCTTGGAAGCCTCCTCCGATTCGAATTCCATGCCCTCATAAGGTTCAAGGTTAGTGTCTCCTTCAGGGATGTAAGGTTCGAAAATGGCAGCACTACCAACAACATCAGAAACACTAGGAGTAGGAATAGCAGTAGGAGGAGAATCGTGAAGGAGATCATCATGGTCAACAGAGTGGTCAATATCACCCAAACCCATCATGTCAAATTCAATAACATCATTGCCCAAGCTCAACGGCTCAAACTCCATTTTATCAAATGAGCTTCTTTTATTTATACTCTTGCTTAGATGAACCAAAAAAAAAACCCTCTATGTGAAATCAATCACCAATTCAATCATAATTTACAAAGAACAAGAGAAAATGTTGTCCTGCTAATAAACTTTAGTGGGCAAACGAGAAAGCACATAAATTTGATGATAAATGTGAATTTAAGATGGAAAGCTAGAACCTTGAAGAGAACCCTTTTGATCAGAGAGCATGAAAACTCCCAAGAGGGCCCAAAATCTTCACCTGGAGACGTTCAGCAGCGCCCCAGAGTCCGCAGAAACGAAACGCAGCGTAAATTTAACATGCAGGAACAGAGTGAGTGTGACAGAGAAAGAGGGGGGGAGTCGGGGTTGTGGGTTTTAGGGCAGATGATTTGGTATTTGACGAAACCTGGAAAGCTACAAGGACTACCACGTTTCACGCCGTTGGATGATATCCATCCCATCATCCTTTTCAGTTTCGCTCATCACATTTCTCTTCCGTTTGGCAACTCGGATAACCCCACTCCTGCTTTGAACATATGTTTTTAATTTCCACACATGAAAATATAAAAACAAGGCTTTTTTTTTTACTTAAAATTTTGAAGTCTTAATAGAATCACGAAGAAATGGTAAGATGGTGTATTCAATTGAGATTTTAACATATTATAATTACATTATTTTAATGTAATGGATTTCAGCCGGATTTGTAATTATATGATTTTACTCATGATTTTAATAGATTGCAATTACATGATTTTACTTATGATTTTAATTCACTTAGGATTTTACTTATGATTTTGATAGATTGCAATTATATGATTTTACTTATATTTCTATACAAGCTTGAACTCTATCACTCATCATCATTCACCTATACATAACTTGAAGGAATTTGCCCAATTTTTAGGATACATATACTCAATTTTTAGGGTTAATACAAAGATAGTGGCACAATAACCATCAAATGTTAGTCCAAGGAAAGTACACTGACATCAACAATGTAACTCCCAACATAGCCACACATGACCAGAATGAATACATTAAAGATATTGAGAGCCTAGACATAACATGCAAGAACACCACTCACATGAGCACTCAACTACAAATGCAAAACTACCATTAACTCTCACAAGCAAAATAATACAACATAAAACTGCAACTACAATGAAAAGCAAATCCACATAGCTAGCTTGTCCGCTCCAAGAACCACGAAAGTTCCAGCAAGACCACCCAAGTCGACCAAATCAATTGACTTTCCCCAAAAACATATGGATCCAGGATAGATATGAGGAACACCTATATCTGCAAAATAAAAGAATAATAAAATAAAATAAAATAACCAAGTCCAAGCCAAAGTACCCACCACTTAGCTTCAGCCACAACCTCAAGACCACGGGACCAATGCCACCGTTACCCAGGTAGGAGAGGAAACCAATCGAGACACACGAGCCCACTAGCTGAAGAGTTTTTTGTTTTTTGTTTTTATATTTATATCTTTTTGCACTCTCACACAATACACAATTTAATGAAATACATTAAAACCAGTAAGTTTTTGAATACCACGGTACTTTTTCTTATATTTTAAAAGTCATAATTGATTACCATCGGACTTGCACTGATTATTTAAAAATCCTAATTAAATACCACAAGACTTTTATTGATTACTTAAAAATCATAATTGAATACCACTGTACTTTTAAGCTTCAAAATAATCCATTAAAATCTCAATTCCATACACCCCCCTAATTTCACTTACGATTGTTGTTGCTTATGTCTAAGACATTTTAAAGTTAAGTATTGAGATTTATATTGCAGACATGTGCTTAGTTGGCTAGAGTATAGAGCAAATGTGTTTCCCACTATGTACCAGAGTTCAATTTCCTCTACTCATAGTTTAGATTAAATTAAAGTAGATTATAGTTTGTACTTTTCTTTTTTTTTGTAATTAGACTAAAATTAATTAAATTCGAGTTCCACCCCTAAGTGTGATCGATTGATTATATAGTCTTTTTCCCAATGCAAAAATTTTCAAATTTACACTAGAAAATAAATAAACATAACTCAAGTGATTATGAGCATTTATTCATGCATCCTAGGTCATAAGTTCGACTTCAATCTCACTAACTTGTGTAAAAAAAATAAAATAGAGTGATGCTAAATGAACTCTAAAATTAATTGAGTACACCATATAATATAAGTATACTCTAATATTTTAATCAAAATGTAAAATTTTTTAAGTACACCCTATTTAACTACTAAAAATACCTTTGGTACACCCTAATATCAATCCAAATCCATCACCTTCTAAAAATCAACAACCACTTGAGAGTCATGATGTTCTCAAAACTTGTTCTCCAGATAAATTGGCTAGTGATTTACATCTGTTTGATGGCTCCTTGGTCATAGCAAAATAACTTTGATGTGCTCCTGCAGAAACTATTGGAATGAGTTGTTATGGAACAAAGTACAAAGCTATGCTTGACTCAGGTCATGTATTGGCTGTGAAATGGCTAAGGGAGGGTATAGCAAAAGGAGGGAAAGAATTTGCAAGAGAAGTAAAAAAACTAGGAAACATCAGACATCCAAATCTAGTTTCTTTGCTCGGTTACTACCGGGGCCCAAAGGAGCATGAAAAACCGATTCAATCAACTTATATTAATGCACAATAGTTGGCATTCCATCTTCGTGGAAAAACTGTTATCTATTTTTCATTTTAGGGTTTGAAATAAGAATCTCCCGAATATTGTTCTATGTGTACACCTTGATTTTACTAGAAATTCTCTCTCCTCCAAAGAAATAAAATTTCGCCTTGGACACCAAGTAATACGAAAACTTCTCTATATTTGATTAAGGTTAAATATGGTGAGTATGTTGTATATATTAAAATTATATTTGTTTTACAATTCAATATATCATTTTCGGTCATTTTATATTATGATAAATTAGTAATTCAATAACTATTTTGGTAATATGGTGTACTTAGTTATTTTAAGGTTCGTGTAACTGCACTAAAAAAATAACAAAATAAAAATTCGAACAAATAAAAACCAACAAAGATTAAAAAGACGAAATATTACTCACATTGTCAGGGGCAATAAGTGCAAAAAACAAAACCAAAATAAAATTAGTGCAGACGGGGAAATTTTTTAATTCTTTTTTATGCAAAAGGAAGCAGCCAAAAAATAGGAACATTCATTGGCCGACGTCGTTTCAAGCGTTATAATATCGGAAAGCGTGTTTCCAGACGAAGTGGGAAATTAATACATCGAATTTCTGGCCAGATAAATTAGAATTAAATCCAAAGAAAATCAGCTGAAATTAATAGAAAATAAAGGAATTAGGGTTTATGCAACGTACCTGCGATTAGGGCAAATTTTGAACCTTCGTCTTCTTCAATTCCGAATCAGGTATGGAGCTCTTACAATCCCCTGTTTTCTTTCCCCAATTACTGTAATTCTACATTTCTTCCGTTTTACGGAAAAAAAAATATTTGATATGATGATATTCGAGACGGCCTGAAAATGTCAATTCTAAATACAATCGTAGAAATTCGATGCATTAGAAGCGCACAGTGGTAGATTCTACTTGTGACTGATTTTATTTTCTGTTCCTGCGTCTATCCCTACTTTTCTGTTGTTATTAAAAATTAAGTTTCTTTTCTAAAGGGCCTGTGTGTGTGTGTTTCTGCTTTTCTTTTGTTTGTTTATTTGTCGTTGTTTTAGTTCTCTTTATGAATGGAAAATTTACTAGTGCTAAACTTAGGAAATGAGTGATACTGAAGAGAATGAGGAAACTGGGAAAAACGTGCCAGTTGCTGCTGTAGATAATGGGCTACCAGAAAATATTCAAGAAATTGATCATAATAAGCAGAACAATTCTCCTCATTCTGGAGAATCTGAGCCAGTCCAGGAAACCCCAAATCCTGCTGAAAATGGAGAAGCTTTACCTGATAAGACCGACATTGAAATGACCGCTGATGGTAAAAATAATGTAGAACCACAGTCCAATTCACCCCAACCTGATCAAGATTCACCTCCTCCCTCAGTACCAAGAAATGATGATGACCAACAATTAGTCAAGCCAGATACTGAACCCTTGAGTGGCGATGACCAACAATTAGTCAAGCCAGATACTGAACCCTTGAATGGCGATGACCAACAATTAGTCAAGCCAGATACTGAACCCTTGAATGGCGATGACCAACAATTAGTCAAGCCAGATACTGAACCCTTGAATGGCGATGACCACCAATTAGTCAAGCCAGATACTGAACCCACAGCTGATGCCAAGACTGAAGCCCAGGATTTGCCTCAAAGTAATAATCATGGGTGTGAGGATGGCGACCCTGTTTCCACAAGTCATCCAGAGACTGCTGAACCCACTGTTGGTGTTAAAACTGAAGCTTCTCAAGTTCCTGAGGGTGAGTCTAGTAGTGCTGTTGGAGATACTGTAACAGTGAGTCATAATGAAGATGTTATGCCTCATGCTGGATCTTCTGATAGAAAAGCTGATACTGGGAGTGGAGAAGAATTGAAGAATAATGAAAAAGATATTACTACGCCCAAAAATAATGGAAACCCAAACTCGAAGTGCTCGTTTCTTTTGGATGACAGCCACATGTCTGAAGGTAATGATTCTGGGACAGAAGAGGAGCAATCAGCTTTTATGGCGGTGGTGGAAAATTTCTTTAGGGAGAGGAGCATGGAATTTAAACCTCCTAAGTTCTATGGAGAGGGTTTGAATTGCCTTAAGTAAGTTGATACTCATCACTTTTACTGATGTATTATTGTTTACTTATAAATTGAATGTTATTTATTTTGGCTAATGTGCAACTTTTTACTGGGACAGGCTTTGGAGAGCTGTGACTAGATTGGGTGGCTATGATAAGGTATGGATTGATTTTTAATCATAATGATCTACATATTAGTATATGAAAAATGACTAGTACAGAAGTTATAAGAGACCTAATAATTCAAATTATACATACAGATATGTTAGGAGTTTTCTTTTTCCAGAACCATATTCTTTTCTTGTTACAAGCATATATATGACTGGTCTACTTATGGATAGGTTACCTCAAGTAAGTTGTGGCGGCAAGTGGGAGAAACCTTTAAACCTCCAAAGTAAGGAACAACATATGTTGCATATATAGCTCCATTATTGTTTTTTCTTTTTTTCTTTTTTGGTCAGCGGCTACATTATTATTTACTTAATGCAAAGCCAATTATTTGGAAATGTGGACTAATGGCTATTCTTTTGTATCAACGGCTACTTTTCATTTTATTGCGGATTAGTTTTGTGTCATATGTGAAATTTTAGATGTACTGATAGTTTGCCTTAATTCTCTAAGAGAAGATAATATATACTGCTAATCATGAGTACTGAAATTGGGATTCTTGTTTGTTATTTGTAAGGGTGTTTATATCTGTTTACTATGCATGCTATTGTGCAATGAAACTCCCTACCAAAAACAAACAAAAAATGTTGATAGGGGAGACATGATAAAAAAACTGTGCTCCTTTGAGTGAATGTTCTTTTGTTCCGATTTAACCCCATCATGATTTTCTGTCATAGCGGCAAAGAAAAAAGGGTTGGGGTGAGGGTGTGGGTGTGGGTTTTAGTGTGTTCCTTTGAGTTTTATTTTTTTCTCTGATTTAATCCTATTGTGATATTCTGTCTTAGTGGCAAAGAAAAGGGGTCAGGTGAGGGATTGGGGTTTAGAATGTCCAACGTTGTTTTACTATGTATTAAAAGATATTTGACTTTCTTCTTCATTTCCACTGCAGGACATGCACTACGGTTTCATGGACGTTTCGTGGCTTCTACGAGAAGGTGTGTGTGTGTCTGTGTGTGCGCACTTGGAGTACAAGCTGCTTCTTTGTTATATATTATCCATAGGCTAATTAGCTTCTAACCTGTTGCTATGAGTGCATGATTGCCCACCTGTTTAAATTTGATATTGGATCAAGAAACATGGTTTCAACTTTAAGCTAATGTAATTATTGACTGGCTTGCCTGCTATGATTGGGAACTTTTAGCCTGAAGGCCCAAGCATGGTCTGCCCATCTTCTTGATGGTTGACCTTGTAAATGCGTATATGAGGGGCCTGTGTTGGAAATTAATTTCGAGAAGCTTCTAGTACATTGTTTTATGCCCCTTCTGGTTGCCTCAAGATAACCCCAAGTCCACTGTTTCAACTCTCTGTTTAACCGTAATTTGTATCTTCCCTGGTATACTAGATCATAAAGCTTATATATTTAAATTTTGTTATTAATTATTGGTTTTTGTTGTTGTTATACTTCAGGCACTCCTAGATTATGAAAGGCATAAATTTGGTACGGAGCCCAGTGTACAAATCTCTTCCCAGGCAGAGCCTATGAATATTGATAACCAGGTAATGTTTTGGGTATTACCGTATTATATGACTTTGTAGTGTTCATTCTTATCCCTCCTAGATGGCATGTTTTATGCCACTTCGTTCCTCACATGATTAAATATCCCTTTGAATGTAAATGGTTTTCATTTACTGCTGAAAACAAATAGATAAATTATTATTGAAGGTGCATGCAAAAATTTTAACTGAATGAACTATCACATGTCAAACTTGAAAGTTGGTGTTGTTAGTTGCTAACCATTGGCTTTCTTGAATGTGGCTAATTTGTCAGGTTTTTGTGGGTAGGTTCTTGCTTACGCAGTCTGAGATAAGCATGTGAACTTGTTTTATGTTTAACATCTGTTACATTACATTGGCACTAAGATGGCAAATTTCATGGCTTGGGGAGCTCTCTGGCTGACCATTTTAGTGTCAAAATGCTGGTGAAATCAGATACTTAGTATAAAACCAATCAAGCTTGATATTCCAGGGCCCTTAGGGTAAGGATTTTAACAGAAATGTTTCACTTCTCAGATCTACATAAAATAAATATGAAAGTTATCCTTAGTTCAATTTTTTACCATTCTGATTAGGGTCATTTCTTTCTGGGTGAATTTTTTATTTTTCTGATAAAACTTCTGTGGTGATTCAGTCTGCTCTCGGTTAAAATATAGAGATTATATGATTACAAGTGTTGAATTGAAATTCGAAAAATGTTTCAAGTTGCAATTGGCTGTGTTCAAACATTTTGTGGTCCCGGGATTTTTGGTCCAAAGATGCTCAACCTGTATTATTTGCCACTTTTGGTTTCTCTTTGACCACAATAGTTTTTTTAACTCCCTCTCTCTCTCTCTCTCTCTCTCTCTCTCTCTCTCTCTCTCCCAACACTTCTGGGTGATGATGGTAATTAGGCTTCAGGATCAGGCAGAGCAAGAAGGGATGCTGCAGCACGTGCCATGCAGGGTTGGCACTCACAACGTATCCTTGGTAATGGTGAAGTCAGTGACCCTATTATAAAGGTCTGGAAAATATTAGGATTTTTGCTCCCATTTTGTTATGTGTTTTTCATTCTCTCCATGTAGAAGTCAGTTCTGATATCATTATACCATCTCCTGTTTTTTTAGGATAAAAATTCTGCTTCTTTGCAAAAGCGTGAAAAACAGCTTAAAAGCATCGGTATGCCCTCTTAGTGGAACTGGCGTCTGTTGTACTGTTATATTTGGTATATAATGTTTCACCTTAGATGATTTTATTTGTTGACTTCAGGTTTACTTAAAAGAAAGAAGCCGCCTTACGTGGATCATGTGGTAAAAGCTGCACGTACTAAAGCATCTAAGTCACAGTTGAGATTATGTTAAATTTTTATTTCACATGTGTATATCGTGAAGTGTTTCAGTGGCAAGTACACAGTAGACATTAAATTAGATTGTTAACTTGGCTTTGTTTTGTGTGTGTTCAGATTGGATGCGGATGTGGTTGATCTTGGACATCCAGCAGATTGGGTGAAGATCAATGTGCAAAGAACTGTAAGTTTACACAGCACATGTTTGAACTTTGTACACAAGGAAATATAGATTGTGGAATTTTTGAGGACCAACCCAATATAATGGGATTTGTCGTTTTTGCAGAAAGATTGTTTTGAGGTCTATGCTTTAGTTCCAGGGCTTCTACGTGAGGAGGTAACTACACATTTTCCTGAATTCCTGACCCTTTTCTCTTTTCATCGATTGCCTTTATTTTGTAAAATCAGAGAATGAAGGAACCTGCTAAGCAGCCTCTGATAACTTCTCTAGGCTGTTTATTTGAGACCTGTTAGATGCTGCCTTCATAGAGTACATCTTTGCATATGAAGGCTACTTTGGTTGTGCATCCATGATCAACTTTGGATTTAGTAACCATTAAATGGGAATAGAGCTCTAAAATGCAATCAATGAGATCAAAATTGAGCTGAGACCTCAAATAAGATCAGTTTTAGTTATCATCAATCTTGGTATTCTGTATGATGTATATTAAATGTAAGTTTTGTGTTTCCGCAATTATATACCTTATCCTGTTCTTTGGGAAATAAATCTCAGGTGCGCGTTCAGTCAGATCCAGCTGGGAGATTGGTTATAAGTGGAGAACCCGAGCATCATGATAATCCATGGGGTGTCACACCTTTCAAAAAGGTGAATTCCTTTTAACTTTCCTCTTTTGGGTTTAGAGTTACGAAATGTGCAAAAGAAATTATGTTTGCGGGTGCGTGATGCACAGAATATTACTGTTGTAACCAGCTAGCAGTGTGATTATCATAACCTTTTTACTTTCCTCATGTATCGATTGGGCTTCATATTTTCACTAATCATTTGTTTTTCAGTTTTTAGCTTTTGTTTGAACTTTTAAACTGCTATGATTTATGTGGGATTTGGCTTTCTGTGAACAGGTTGTCACCTTACCATCAAGAATTGATCCACACCAGACATCAGCCGTGGTCACCCTGCACGGACAGTTGTTTGTTCGTGTTCCGTTTGAGCAGTCGGAATAGTAACATGTCAGGATTTCCATCCTTGTTCTGCCCCTATATTGACCATGAGGCTCTTCTGTAGAAATTAGACGTTCTACCCAACCCTAATCAGGCTAGCTGGTTTAGTTGAACATCTGGACATCTGGACCTTAATGTTGACTAGATTAGTACAGGATATAACCTAACCTTTTGGTGTACTTAATTACCAACATGTTCAGTTTTTTTTTGGGACGAAAACCAACATGTTCAGTTTAACCTAACCTTTGATGTTACTTACCTAGGAATTCCTGTTTTTTATTTCATTCATTGTCTTGAAGATGTGTTAATATTGTGTTGGATAGATACACGTGGAGCGCTCATCTTCGGCCGAGTGGCAAGTCAAATTCCTGGTCTTTAAATTAAACATAACTAAGTTTTAATACAACCGCACAAATGAGGGCTCCACTTGGTTCAATATCGAAAAGCATGGGCTAATTGTTGGGCTAAGATTAGGTTTGGAATCACTTTGAACTTAAGCGAACTTGACTTATTTGCAACCATGGTACGACACCATCTTAACTTATTTGCAACCATGGTATTCGACACCATCTGCGATAAGCTCCAAAGTATACATTTCCTTTGAACTGAGTTAACGTGCCTTGTAATTAGAAGGTATTGATGAGAAAGCAACGAATTACATCACTAGTCACACATTTCTGACCTAATATACGAAAAATAGTTTCAAACATAAAGATTCATCATGTCCAACTGAAAATTGTCTTCTTTCTGATAAGTGAGGGAGGGTCGAAACACAAGACCTCGAGTGGAAGACTAAGGGCACTCAACAACGGTTAAACAATCCCCTTAACAAAAAGCTATCTTCTTATGTTTCATTGGTGATTGATGAATAAAAGTAATAGATTTATAAATGTAACAGCCAAAAAATAATAATGATTACAATGAAACGACCCCATCTTGAAAGGGTGTTTAGCAAGGCAAAAGAAAATGCCGTTACAAAACAACAAAATCATGAACGGGTTGTAAAATTGGCGATTCAAATCCTAAAAATAGCGACAATGGACCTTCACGGACTAGTCACCATTGATGCCAAGTCCAACTCTTCATCAGAATCAATCACTTCTTCAAAATTGTAAAAGGCATTCGCCTGCAATGGAAACTCCAAGTGAGTAGGACAATATTTTTAACAGAAACATTTGGCTCCAACACGAAACCAAACTTATCATCGGTTTACAGAATCATAGATCAGTAATAACAAATACCTTTGGTCTTGGAGTAATTGCTTCAAAACTATGAAATACAGGATTATCGAAATTAGGGGGTCCCAAAACAATGTAAGCCCCTTTATTTCTGTACCTCTCCTCTGTACCCTGCATGGCAGGCAAAATGATATTAAAAGACGATGCAAGAACCGATATAAACCTAGAAAATGCTAAACCTCTGTAGTTGATTTACCCAGAAATACAATGTTAATTTATACAGAATATGAAAAGTTACATAAACAACGTCATAATGTCAACCAAATGTAGATTGGTTTAGGTTGGAAGTCCTTCAGCACCAGGGTTTAGCTTTTAGCTACATTGTGTGTGATCAATTACTGTTGATCTACTGTGCATAAGACTAGCACTTGACTTGGTTGTCATTGTTGTTTCAATTTTTTGTTAAGCACTAATTATTGTACCTTATATGTAAATAAAAGGTCAAGAGGTTCACTCTAACAGCTTCCCACCTATTCTTAGAAAAGATAACACAAACATAATGATCACCTCGTGATCATAATGCAAAACAACATAACAGCCTATTATGTAATTAAGGTTCTAATGTCCCATGGAAATGAAAGCAAAATCCTACAAACTTGAAGGCTTAATCCGGAGTTAAGAAAGGATCACACAACTCAATGGAGATGGAATATCTACAAACATTCAATAGCCATAAATTCTGATACACAAAAACACGTTCCACATGCTGCATGACATACACAAAAGCTCCATTTTGAACGAAATGTTTCACAGCAGAAAGTTCAATTATCAATTGGGAGCCTAAGGTTTGTGTGCAAAAAATTAAGTTATCAATTCATATTAAACAAAAAGGAACTCAAACCTCCCAACATATTGATGACTTCATTGACAAAAATAGCCAGAAGGAAAGATGCCTTCAAAGTGTAGTATACAAGAAAAAGTGTTAACAGTTTCTTAAATTTATACAAGGAATTCGCTCAAAGGATCCTGCACAAACCTGAAATTGTGGGTAGTCTGGGGCACTAAACAAAGTGATGAGCTTTCCTGACTCCACAATGTGATCAATGGTGTACCCTTCATCCATTCCACCAAGACCTGGCCTCTTTTCCCGTGCATCAGGGCCTTCATGTGATCTGATAATCAACTGTGGTTTTAACAATATGGAATAACCCAAATTTTAGTATTGCATCTCATTTGTGATTGCTAGTTGTGCAAATACAACATACAGAAGTAAAGTAATAAGAGAGTAGAAAGAAATCATCTCATGTGTAGTGTGACAAAAACAAAATTCAATAACCCCTCTGCAGTTTAGAACCAAAACAGCTGCTAGTCATTTGTAAAGAGTACAGAAAATTGGACAGATTTTTCCTTAAATGGTAAGATTTTAACCAAAGATGAACCTCACAGACCATCTACTTATTGAGCCAAGGCCAAGGTGGTTAATAACTATCAAAATAATAACAAACCCAAAAGCACCTGCATGCTAAAATCCTTCATAAGTAAGCTTTAATTGTCATACATGTAACTAGAACATATGAAAAGACCCGGTGGTAATAACTTTGTCATCAACATTGTATTAGGGTTGGAACTTCGAAATGGATCGTCCAGCCTATATTATCTTCACTAACCACCTTGGTAGTTGGTATATAGGTAGTAAACGCTACGTTAAGGATTGTTCATCCGTCAGAGTTAAATTGAATGACTTACCAAACTTGTAAATCCACATTTGAATATAAACAGTTATGGTAAATTCAAAGTCATAATTGGAAAATTAGTTATCTGCTAATTGCTATCCAATCCAACCATCACTGCACTTGGAACACTAAATAAGCAAAATTATTCAATTGTGTTGTTCCGAAAAAAGAAATGTGGTTTGTTTCTAGGTTTCAATTAGAGCACACCAGTTACAGCAGCCACATTACATTAGCAATGCAATGCTATATTTTTAAATATCAACAAGTAAATGTGCAAGTAAAGTATCATTCAATTGCCGAAACATTAACAATGATAAGAAATGTAAATTCCAAATCTTGATATTACCTTCAGTTGAAATTTCTTCAGAAAGTTATCAGTGCAGTCAGGACCCCAAAGTAAACCAATGCCTCTCTCTTTATTTGGAGAAAGGCCGGGAGTCATGGAAGGATCCGACCAGAGCACGTCGCCGGGAATCAAGTTGGAACCTTCCCATGGAGGATCAAGAACTGATCTTCGCGCCTTGTTTAGTTCTTCAAAAGAGCCAATAGATAATGAACTTGGTTCAGGACTGAAAGCTATCTTACGATTCTTTTTTCCCTTTGATCTCTTGGGGGTTGCAGGCATATGGCGAAATATCCCTCCATGTGCAGTGTACACATGTTTCCCAACGATGGAAGCCAAAGGAAGACCTTCAAAGCACCCAAGACATTTCCGGTACACATGCTTGCCTCTATCACTATATTTTGTAAGCACTTCCTTCTCAAAACCATAAACAGAAGTGCAATACTTGGATTCGTGATTTCCTCTCAAGAGATAAACACTTCTTGGAAAGAACACTTTCCAAGCCAATAAAATTAAGAAACTTTCGAGACCCCAAGCACCTCTGTCAACGTAATCGCCATTGAAGACAAAGAATCGATTTTCTGACGGAAATCCAGCATCGTGGAGGAGGAAAAGAAGGTCGTGCAACTGACCGTGAAGGTCTCCAACGACGACGACTGTGGATTCAGAGCCTAAGTTGTCAATGGCGACACAATTGGGCTCTTTGTGGAGGATCTTGGAGGCACAGAGGACCAAGCTATCAAAAACCTCGACGGGAAATACGTCTGGCAATTGAGTGGGCTCGATATTTCTAGAAGCCCAATCGAAAACGGACATGAGGTTTCGTATCCAGTTGAGGCTGAGCTTGCCATCGGGAGGCCAACCAATTGGGATTTCGAGCTCAGTCGATGGTGGTGATGGGTTGTCTTCAGAGTTGGTGACGATGGAAGACGATGAATCGAAGACTGGGGGTTCTGCAACTTCTGCTGCTGGTGATGCAGCAGATTGGTGATCTTGGGATGTGAGAAGCGGAGAAGATGAAGATTGCGATGCAGATGCTGCTGCTGCCCTTTCTGTATCAGAATTGCATGACATCTTCTTGAAGATCTCAATAATATTTTTTCTCAAACCCTAACAAATAAAAATTAATATGAATTTATGAATTTATACTTACATAGATACATTCATCAGCCAAATTTAGCAGCATATGCACTCATTGTAATTATTGTCACTTCCATTTTTACACAATTTTTATTTTTATTAATATTTTCTTTTTGAGTGCCGCTAAACCAACCTTAAAATAAAATAAGTACGCATATATGATTTAAGTATACTCTAATATTTAAATCAAATTATAAAATTGATTAAGTTTACCCTATTTAACGACTAAAAATACCCCTAATACACTATTATAAAAACTTAAAACAGCTTTGTTTGTATATATACTCAAATTTGTTTTTTGTATGCATTGGTGCAGAATGATGAGGAAACTGGAAAAAACTTGTTCTGAAGGCTATTGAAGAATCGGGCATAACAGATGATGAAGCCAAACTCAGTGATACAGTGATCTGCTTGATCACAAGGTTTGCCTATCCAATGTTTATTCAGTACCTTCAATTAAATGTTATCTATTGATCTTGGCTCCACCTTTACATTATTATTTTTAATCATATTACTAGTTTGGTGCCAGATCAATTCAAGCTCCAGATTCAAAGTTGAGAACAATCATAGGCATGTTCATTTGGTGGCCAAGGATTGAAATACAGTGTGAAGTGAAGTAACTGGGAACCTCATTCAAATTCAGAATCAAATGCATATGGTTGGCTGGAACCTTTTTTTGTACGCGGAGTCACAAGTCAATATATCATTTTTTGTCATTTTATATTATGATAAATTAGTAATTCAATAGATAATTTGATAATAGGGTGTACTCATTTGATTTCAAGGTTCGTTTAACAACACTTTTCACTTTTCGTGTTTGGTTGTAGTGCACAGTGATGTACTATTCGCTAATTCACAGCTAATTTGTCAAACAAATAATTAAATTGACAGATAAAGGCCGCGTCAGCATAGAAAATACCTGCGAAACATCCAAACTTTCCTGAGTTGGTGTTGTTTTTTCTGTTTTGTGCTATTTAAACTCAAAAAATTTGATCTTCATATTTGGTATCAAGGCCTCTTTACAATTATTTTAGGTGACTTTTCGGGCCATAGTGGTTGGCCCTAGCCAAATTCGAGTGTCGTTTGTGTTAACATTGAGAAAATTTGTTTGGTGTGACCGTCATCACAGATAATATAACTTTTCAATCATACTATAACACGTATTTTTTATTTATTAATATCATACCTGATCAACAACACATCAAACATATTATCTACAACATAACGGTGTGACGGACACATTTTAATTCTATCCGATTTCAATTGGGCTCGAAATATTTTTCTGGCCGAAGTGAAACCCAATGACAGGCCCAATTTGGCCGAGCTCAATCTTTTCTCTTTTAATATTTTATTTTTGGGTCAGATTTATCTTTCAAGATTAAATTAAACTTGATAGGTACTTAAACATTAAATTTTAAGTTATTCAAATGAATTAAACTAAACGACTTCGATAATGTAACATAAGTTTAAATATACAATATTAAATTCAATGTCACATAAACAATTGTGATCAAATGAAACACATGTACTTGTTATATTAATATATATTTTATTTTTCAAGAATAGTAAACGGGAATGGAAGAGAAGAATTTGGCAACTTGATTGACCGGGAGTTTCTCTCAATTTAAATTTGTGTGATATATGATGAGCCATTTGGAGCTTGTTGTTGCACGCCACGTCAGTCTTGATTATTATTTTAACAATATTTTTTCTTCTTCTAATCTTCTAAATCTTCTAAATCTAAATGGGTTTAACGCAACATATTTTTCAATGCCATCAGCCACCTTTACAAACTTGAGAAGTTCCAACGTTCCTGGAGAGCCACGACAAGCCTCTCCAAGTCTCAAAGTCTTCACCAAATTTCAACCAGTTTATATTAGCGGCATATACACAATGTGGTTTATGTTAAATTACGTGTAAAATGGGTATTTTAAACAAATGAATAACTTGCCATATGTTCACTTATTTGGAACGAGAAAAGTCGTGTATGAGAGAAACCGGTAATATAGAGACAGAATTCAAATTAGATAAACTACTCTCTTAATCAATTTAATTCATAATTTTTCTGATATTAATTTACAGTTTTATGTATTTTATCTCCAAAACATACCATAAGATAAGATGATGCATATATTAATGGTGTGAAAAAGCCTACAACAATTGACATTCCAATTCCCGTAGGAACTGGTTTCCAAATTTCCAATGGCTCCTTTTCATGATTAAAAATAGTGCCTTGACTTCCCACATGCAAACGCAAAACTATACCTGTTGATTCTTGACCACCTAAAGGACGTACCCTACTTTCCTTTACCTAGAAATTAAAGGCTGCATATGCATGTGCTGAAAACTTTGAGAAGGTTGACAACCAACAAGGAAAATGTGATTAATTTTGTCCCCAATTTTGAGATCATATTAAAATTTTGGAAAGAAAAAGTTAAAATATAATGTTGATAGATATCCTTTGGTCTTTTTATGCTACAACTTTAGATCTAGTATTTCAACAAAGCAGCCTTGTGACATAAAATTATTATTATTTATCGAAAAACTCTAATGAAAAAGTTAACCACTCTACCAAAAAAGACATTTCAGAAGTCAAACTTGGTTAGAAACTTAGACCACCATATTAGATTAGCAATTTGCAAGGGGTTTGTCCCCACAAATCACTCATGGAAATCAAAATTTGTCTAATAATTTGGCTACTTTAGTCACCTAATTTGAAAAGAGGACACTTGGGTTTCCTCTTTCTTTTGTCCCCTATGGACCTCCAATACCAATTATTCAAAACTTAGCTTTCTCTGAGTGCACATAAACAAATGTATAATCCAAGTCACATCTACACTGTAAAACCTACACCTCTCTCTCTCTCTCTCTCTCTCTCTCTCTCTCTCTCTCTCTCACATGCATACACATATTTAAGATTCCACAGTCCACCCAATTGACAATCCCTTCCAAAAGTCCAAAACACTCCAAAGACCACAAATTTCTAAGCCCCTTCCCTCCTAGCTTAGCCTTCTTAATCATTACCTCACCATCCAAAAAGTCATTCTTCAACCTTATTTATATCCCCACACCACAACATAATTTGCATTATTTGTGCCCTTTGGCCCCTTCAGGCTGCTTTAGTAGGATATTTTGTTGTTCATTTGTTTCTGCAGAGCTGCCAACCAAAAACCCAAGAAAATTGAATGACCAACCGCATGGGCCACATGAACTACAACAGAGTTGGAAATGGCAGAGGAAGCAGAGGTTTCAGGCTAAACACAAGAAGATTTTCAGTCTCGAGGCTCCTACGTGCCCGGTTCGTGTGCTTGTTCAGGTTCTTGAGATGTTCATATGGGCAAGCTCTGCAGTCTCTAAAGAAAGGCATGAGCAGAAGTAGCAGGCCAAGTGCTGGCTCTGGCCCTAGCAATATCAAGAGGAACAACAGCAGCTCAAGAAGGATTTTGGTCACAGAAACACACCAAAACAAGGCACGGTCAGAACCAGCTGATTGCTGCAGGTTGAGATCATTTGCACGGTCCAACTCCTTTTATGCAGAAGCCATTGCTGATTGCTTGGAGTTCATCAAAAGGTCTTCTATTTCTCTTGACCAAAACCCAGTCAACCAAAGATAGAGTACTTCTAGTTCCTGTCTTCTATTTTCTGTTTGTGTCTTGCAACAAATATATATGTTTTTGTGTATATTATTTGTTTGTACTGGAAAATTGCTCTGTTCCTCTCTGTCTCTCTGTATGTCTCTGATCATGATCAGGAGTTTTGGTTTTTGGAGGTGACATGAAATTTGTGTAAAAAGATTGATGAATTATATGAGAATTGGTAGAGTGAGTTTGTCTTTAATCTTTCTTTTTTCATATATTTTTTCAAGTCATTAGTATGAATTAAAAATAGATAGTGAGATTCTGTGGTGGGTGATGTGGGGTGGCAATCTTTTGAGAAGGTTCGTAGTAGGTTTGATTGCAGGTTGAATTAGTTTCTATTCACCACCTAACCTGTTTTCTATTATTTTATTTGATGGAAGGAGAGATAAAAACAAAGGGGAAAAGGAAATTTCTTTGTTGAAATTAAGAAGAGAAAAAGCCATCACATTCATATTTCGAACTTTAAGAAAGTTGAGTGGTTCATATTTCAAAAAGGGTACCCACCATCTGGTTGTTTAATCGAGGATTAAAGCAAAAGTCTATTATTAACACTAATGATGATTGATGCAGCCCACTAATTGCTCACCTTTATTGGTTAATGGTCTAATCCATATGGAACATTAAGAAAGAAACAAGGAAAAAAAGGGTTTTGGGTTATTCTGTAAATTGAATTTTAGGGTTGTGGTTTCAAAACCTAATGTGGCCCCTTCTAAATTTGAAGTTTAGCCTCAAGGCCCAAGCAACATAAATGTAAGGATGGTGACTAACAAAGCCCAGTCCCTTTCTTTCTTTTTGTTTTTGTTTTCCAAATAAGAAATAGAAGTACGTTGGAGTAAGTTGCAAGTTGTATGCTACAATACCAAATACCAATAACATTGGAGAAAAAACTGAATTGTTACCACCAGTTGTTCACGCGTGAGCCGACTACCAGCCGTTGATATAAGTGAATTCAACAATGCATCAATAACTTACAATCATTCACGTGTACATAAACGATTGTTTCTTAAATAACTCATAAAATTGAACCTAGTCGGTTAAAGGGTCCTTATAAAGAAATCGGCCCTAAAATTTCTATACCCACTTTTGGCATTTGGCGTTTTGGTCAAGTTGGGTTTAAGTAGCAAAGCAAGGCACAAGGTTATTTACTCTGTTCACAAGATAGTGAAGTCTTGTTTACCAAGCAAATTTTTATGCACACACACCTCCCTATAAATAATCAAAGATTCAATAGTAACGTTTTTTTGGAGACATATTGGTGTTATAGCAGAATGCGCGCTTAGGCAAGAAGAAAAAACGCGTTTGGATACGAAATTGGCCGCGACCGCTGACTAGTAAATTTGTTTGACCAGTTCTTTGGTTGTGGCGTTCTGCTCTGTTTGGGCCTTGGGGCATAAACTTTGTATTCGTTTAAAAAAATGAAATTTTACCCAAACCCAAACAAGGTGCTGAGTCTGCTGAGAAGAGCTCGCAGCGCAGTTGGGGTAGCAGCAGCAGCTTCGTTTTCGTCATTGCCTTCGTCTTCGTCATTCCCTTCGTCTTCGGCCTACACGTCAGCGCCCAAACTAGCGTCAGCTATGGGCGACCTGCAAACCCTAAAGACCAAGCTCTGCATCATCGGCAGCGGCCCGGCGGCGCACACGGCGGCCATTTACGCCGCTCGAGCGGAGCTGAAGCCGATCCTATTCGAGGGCTGGATGGCCAACGATATCGCCCCCGGAGGCCAGCTCACCACCACCACCGACGTCGAGAACTTCCCGGGCTTCCCCGACGGAATTATGGGCGGCGAGCTCATGGACCGCTGCCGAAACCAGTCTCTCCGTTTCGGCACTGAGATCTTCACCGAAACGGTCAACAAAGTCGACTTCTCCAGCACCCCCTTCAAGGTCTTCACCGATTCAAAGACCGTGCTCGCCGACTCCGTTGTTGTGGCAACTGGCGCCGTCGCCAAGCGCCTCATATTTCCCGGCTCCGGCGAAGGCGAGGGCGGCTTCTGGAACCGCGGTATTTCGGCCTGCGCTGTTTGCGACGGTGCCGCCCCGATATTTCGGAACAAGCCGCTGGCGGTGATCGGAGGAGGTGATTCGGCCATGGAGGAGGCTAATTTTCTCACCAAGTACGGGTCAGAAGTGCACATAATTCACCGCAGGGACGCCTTTCGGGCTTCGAAGATTATGCAGAATCGGGCCCTGAGCAACCCGAAAATCAGAGTTGTGTGGAACTCGGAGGTGGTGGAGGCCTATGGGGGAGAGAAGGGGGTTCTGGGAGGGCTGAAGGTGAAGAATTTGGTGACTGGGGAGGTTTCGGATTTGAAGGTTTCAGGTCTCTTCTTTGCAATAGGGCACGAACCGGCGACTAAGTTTTTGGGTGGGCAATTGGAGCTTCATCCTGATGGGTATGTTGCAACGAAGCCAGGCACTACGCAGACCAGTGTAAGAGGAGTTTTTGCTGCAGGTGATGTTCAGGACAAGAAGTATAGGCAGGCTATCACTGCCGCTGGAACTGGTAACTCTTCTTAATCCATAGCCTTCCTTAAGCTTTAAATGAGTCTTCTTTCTAAGTTCTAACTAAAAAAATGATGTCTACTTTGAAATGCCAATTTGAAGTAGCTTCATAAATGTATACTCTTATAACATGATCAGCATATATGTTAATTGCATTTCAATTATGAAGTCTACTTATTGAGTTGCATACTAAGCTCAAAATGTGAATAGGCATACATTCACTATTTTGTAGGGAAATGCTCACTTAGTGTTGATACATGTTATGATATATATTACCAAATTGTCATACACATTCAAACAAGCATTTCACTTGATAGGTCAAATTGACAGTCTTCTTGCGAAGGCTGTTTGGTAAGAAAACATTTCCTTTCCCGTACATTTGGGGGGCACTTCATTCCTCCCCTTCCATGATGATATTGGAGACTTTTTGGTGATGTTGCTTATATATTGACAACATCATGTGGACAGATTTTCATTAAGTTTCTTCCTCAATTGCCCACTGACTTGTGTATAAAAGCTGTTTTGTTTCCGGTTTTAGAGGTTACTGATGGACTTTGTTTTGTTTGAGAGTTTGATCAGCTGCGTCTGTGTTCCATTTAACTGTTATTTGTTTATTCATCTTTCTTTCACATGCTTAATGCTACCACAATACCTTAACTCTTACGCTAGGGGCCTGAGCTCTGCTATTCATAGCCAACTTTTGGCGGCTGAATAGTGAATAGCAAAGTAGTAGTTTGGGATATGTAGATAGGTTGAATTCGAATTTTGACTGAAGCCACTCTCTACCCTTCTTGAATGCAGAGGACTTGATGTCACCCTGACCATTATTGAGTCGCCTTATATATAACATTAAGCTTGAGTTTGAGCTAGTCTTAGGTGCACTAGGTCAAGTTAGCCTCAAGGTTGTTTTGAATACTGGATAACCTGAGCTTGGGCATGTTTGTACAATTGTGGCGCAAGCTTTGCCTCCAATCTTAGTTCATCAAGCTGGTTACAACACAAGATGAATTCCTAAAGTTACTCATGAATAGATACCTACCTGCTACATGTTCTCTGGTTTATTTGATTCTACCTTAACTTTATTGTTGATGACTTTGATTGTCACCATTATTAATCTCATCAAGAAAATTTCAGGTTAAGATGTTACTATTTGCTCTCTAATACATGATTTCTTTCATTCTATAATGATGTAGGATGCATGGCGGCCTTGGAAGCAGAACATTACTTGCAAGAGATTGGATCTCAGGAGGGTAAGAGGGATTGACTACCTCGGATTGGTGAGGGATCTAAGAGCTGCTCGGTTAGAAGCAAATTTTAGTGAACGATGCATGATAAAGAAAGCTGTATTTGGACCCATTAAATATCATTCTTCAACTATTTTTACTTATTTTACAGTCCATATTGTAGGATTTATTCATAATACGCAGATGACCATGTTTCATGGCATGGCATCTGCAACCCAAAGATTGGCTAATTTGAATTGAATAGCTTGAAAATTTGATTTATTTTTTTTTTTTTTTTTTTTTTTTTTTTTTTTTTTTTTTTTTTTTTTTTTTTTAAAAAAAAAAAAAAAAAATATTCATGTTATTTTCATAAAAAAAATGAATAATTTTATTTTATATTGATTTAATCAATGCAAAAAATGGAATTGGGAATTGTGCCTATGTCATGCATGCATGCTGCAGCTATTGATCACATTCTTGTTTTCACAGTGAGGTTGTACATTTAGACCCTCATTTTCTTTCTCCCTTGGTGCGTGCCAAGTCCAAAGCGGAGCATGTATATTTCACTTACTAAAGTTAGAATTCAGATTGTGAGATTTGTTTGTTTGTTATTTATTTATTTATATGGTATCGTGATGGTGATCAAATTAGAAGTTGAAATAAATTTAACAAGCGGAGTTGCGAACGATTTTGCAATACCACTATAGAGACAAAAACAACTAAACAAAATTAATAATACGGGTCTTTGTATCCCCTATTGAGTCATCCAACAATAGTGGCCCAAGCCAAGTCGGATTTTCCTCAAGAAACCAGCACCCCAGTTCAATGTCGTGGCTCCAAGTAGCCAATACAAATATTCAGTTCATTACTCAGGATAAGATTTACGGCATTGACAGAATCCATTTCAACAATAATATCCATTATTCTTCTTTTAATAGCTAAATTTAGACCAAGAAATAAACCACACAGCTCAGCTTCAAGGATTTGCCCTTTCCCTAGGTTGACAGCGAAACCACCAATCCAGTTACCCAGGTGATCTCTAATAACTCCTCCAGCTCCGATGGACCCCGAACTTCTCATGAGGGATCCATCCACATTTAGCTTTAACACACCATTCTCATGGGGGGTCTAGGCCAAACTACCCTGGATTTTATCACCTCCCAATTGATTATTAGTAGAGGCCTTGATCCACTCCTTGGTAGCAGACAGAATCAGCTCTCTAGGATTAAAAGGCAAATCATCCTTATTTTTTAAAATAAAATCATTTCACCATTTCCAGAGGTGCCAGCATATGACACCCAACAGAGTTTTCCAAGGGATCTGCTGGAACTTATTCTTAGAGCAAAAGTTGCTGAGCAGCCAAGGGTGTAGCTCAGCGTGGAAAAAAGGGACATCTTGGTTAGTGTTCAGAAAAAGGTTCCACACCCTTTTAGCTCTAGTGCAATCCCTAAGAATATGTAAGGTAGATTTTGTATGCCAATCACAAATGCAACAAGCAGGGTCACTTATGAAAAGCCTACGGGCACACTGCTCATTGGACATGATTTTTCCTTGATACGCCAGCCAGAAGAAGTAAAGAATCTTCGGGGGTAATTTGAGTTTCCAAATGACTTTTCACCAGGGGTTCAACCACTCCATCCCTGGAAAGAGCAAGTTATAAGCAAACTTGACAGAAAAGAGACCATTAGAAGTAATTTGCCAAATTTGACAATCCTGCAGAGTACCCCCGAAGTCAGCAGGGCAACCAATAATTTTCTGCACCCACTCTTCGGGGAGCACACTTCTCAGCTTTTCAATATCCCACCAACCATTCGTAAAAAAGTCAGAGACTATAGTGTCCAGTATAAATTACTTTAACAAGGACAAATAGCATCCAAGCCGTCTTAGCTCAGCTGGTAGAGCGCGTGGCTTTTAACCACGTGGTCGTGGGTTCGATTCCCACAGACGGCGTAAGAACAAATTTAGTTTGGGCTTTTAAACTTAAACAAACAAAAGCAACCCGTTTTGCTGCCTTACTTTTTTGCTCTGTCTATTATTGAGTGAGTGCATCCAGTTTGCCTTTCAAAGTTGTATCCATGCATCCAATGCATATATATTTAGACATTGTTACAAGTTACAATGACACTTCAATTCTGCATAAGCTAGCTAGTCTTGAAGATGTACTAAAATTATTGGCTTCCTTGCCTAATTCTTGTGAGAATTAATCAAGTTAGAAAGCATGTTGTTATAAAGGGCACCGAATATCAAGATTACAAATTGCAATTACAAGTAACGGCGAGCCATATCTTTTCAAGCTTCCATGCAAATTGCAGGCACACACAACCTGCAAGCTAATGAAGAACGCTACAAAGGGAAAATGACGAAAAATCCCTTTCGGAATTATTTAATTTAACCCTAAAAGTTAACACAAGCTAGAAAATAGATTAACAAACAAATCAAAGATTACAGCCAAACTAAGAGCCAAGACCTCTTGGTCAGTAGAAGTGGCAGCATGAAGACAAACACAAAAGAAGATAAAAGAGCAGAAGTTGCTCTCATAAACCCCTCCCCCCACAATTCATAATTGCAGGCATTTTAAAGACAATCTTTTGTAAACCACTAACCACTGAGGCCTAATTTTCCTTTCGTTTTTATTCCTTACCCACGTGACATCAGGAACCCACCATGTTCTTCCTCCAACCCCACCAACCAACAGTGTCCCTTGGTGAGCTTATTTAATTTTGCTTGTTTTTTCCCTCAATTTCCTTTTTAGTAGGCCCCTGTGGTCACGATTCAATGGGGTTGGTTTAGTCTATTCGGTGGAGGCAAGGTGTATGACATCCTTGCTAGATCTGTTGTATTTCATGTGGCTGGTCATAAGCTGGTCAGTATCAATGGCTGCCAGAAGAGAAACCTCCCCTGCCAGGACAGCACCAGCCACGATTCTGGCCAATTGCCTTGCGTTTGCACCGGGGGACTCTTTGTTAGCACCCTTCACACCCAGTAGGTTCAAGCAGGCTGACTGAGATGCAAGTTGTGTTCCTCCTCCAATTGTCCCCACCTGAAAAGTTCAAATTTTGCAAATTGAGATTAGCTGTCCATTTAATTGAACATCTCAAAGAGAGCCAGAGCCACATCATTCTAACCATCAATGTTTTGCTCCCCAAAAGAACAAACAACAAAATTTTCATTAGATATTATTCGGTATACCACCAATGGGCCTACCCTTTGCTGTCCACATTCCAGCTACTATGTCTATTACTAAACCTTCAAACCTGTGAAGAGCCATTCCTGAAAGAATTTGGCTTTGGATTTGACATTCAAACTCCTTAGAATTTAGAATGAGTTATAAATTCACCCAAAAGAAGCAGTAATTTGTTGTAATGTACCTCAATGCAAGGCATGCTGACAGCAATATAAATAGCCTTGCCATTCTTCACAGATTCAATCTGGGTGATGCAGTGAGAACTCTCCACATTCTGAGCAGGATCCTGGCCAGTGGCTATGAAGAGTGCAGAAACAATGTTGCTGGCGTGGGCATTGAACCCACCAACAGTACCAGCCATAGCAGACCCAATTAAGTTTTTATTCACATTAAGCCCCGCAAGGGAATCCATATTGGTTTTCAGTACTTTCCTCACCACTTCTTCCTTGATAATTGCCTCGCATACTACTGATTTTCCTCGCCCTTGAATCCAATTTACCGCCGCTGCTTTCTTGTCTGAGCAGAAGTTTCCTGTGCAATCCAAACAAGCTCATAAATAACAAACACACTAATTAATCATAGAAAAATGCCACTGAAATATTAAATTCTATGATAACAATGCCACTGAATTGTTCTCTCAGAATCGAAGTCCAAAGGGAAACAAACATTAAAACATGATTACAAAGGAATGTTTGGACGCCGTTGTATATACGCAACTTATTTTCCCTCACAACATGCAACAAGCATGAAAGATCCATTTCACAACAGTACAACTCACAAATATATTATTAGAAACGGAAATGGAGAAAAGACTCACCAGAGATGCCTATAACCTCCATGTCAGGGAAGTCATTTTGAAGGTATTCTAAAACATATTGAACGCCCTTGGAGATCATGTTCATCCCCATGGCATCTCCAGTGCTGCAAGCAAACCTGATGTATAGGTTCCTGCCTGCTATTTGGCATTGAATCTTTAGAAGCTTTGCAAATCTACTAGACCTGAGCAGTGAACCTCCCATTTATCACATATACAACTTATCAATATTTTACATGAAACTACGCAGATTGGGTAAACAACAGAAGAAGAAGAAAATCAAAACAAATAAACCCATCAACATCTTAAAGTTGTGACAAAATCTTCATTAAATTGGTTGATATAGGTCCTCTTTTTGTTCCTCAATTATAAAAAATTACAATCCATGCTACAATAAAAAGGTTTTGGCTTGAAAATCTAGGGTTTCTTCTAATAAATTAAAATCAAACAGAGAAAATTAACCTGTTGAAAACGGCAGCAAGAGTATTGAAGTTGAGAGGGTCCTCGACGAATAACATGAGCTCTGCAGCCCTAACGGCAGAGCCAAACCTAACAATTGGAGCTCTGGTCATGGCGTCTTTGTGGAGGACGCTGATGGCCCCACCGGAGGCGTAGATGGCCTTGAGGCCCCTATTGATGCTGGCCACCAAGGTACCCTCCGTCGTCGCCAAAGGCACCATGTACTCTTTTCCGTCCAGCAACAGAGGCCCGGCCACTCCCACCGGAATCTGCACATACCCCACCGGATTCTCACAGCACTGTCCCAGTATCGACTCATAGTCAAGCCCATCCAACGGTAGACCCTCCAGCGAACGGCCCATCGTCCGCTCCAAGGCCTCGCGTCGGATCCCCGCCGCTCTCCGGCAGTCCCCTAGTTTCGCCTCTAGCTCGTACGACGCCGTCGTTCCGGACAACACCGATTGGACGATCTCCTCGTCTTCCTTAAAGAGGAGCGTCTCGTCCTTTTTCGGTCCTGGTGGCGGCAGTGGGGTTGGTTCGAGGCCGACTACGTCGTTCCAGTCGTCGTCTTGCGGGGTTCGGGGAGCGACGAAGGACTGGACGAAGTCAATGCCGAAGAAGCCGAGGAGGTAGATGACGGAGGCGAAGAGGGAGAAGATGGCGGCGATCTCCGAGAGCGTCACCACATGGAGCGGAGTGGACGTGCGGATCTTCTCACGCCACCTGGTGAGGAGGAAGTAGGCGACTGTGAAGAAGAGAGTGACGAAGAGGCCATTGGTGAGGTAAAGTGGCAGAGGAAGAGCGTCGGAGGCCTTAGGGTATGAACTGGGGTCGGCGGCGTCGGCGGTTTGATTAGGGCGGAGGCGGTGGTTGAGGGGTTTCGGGTTGGGTGGTCGCCGGCAAAGGTCCATGAATTTGGGTGCCGTTAGAGAAAAATGGGGGAGACTGAGAAAATTGAAATTCTGAAGTGAACATAAAATTGAAGACCAGAGTGAGGTGTCTTTTTTGTATATATATTTTAATGGACCCGAATTAAACGAAAACGCGGGGTTTTAAGGAAAGAAAATCGCGGGAGTGAGTTTCGGGTCCCACTTAAATGGTCTCACAACTCTCCACTGCACTTCTTGTTTTTGGTATTTTCAGTTACATTACGATAATGCCTAAAAGAAAATAAAGACTAAACAAGTTACTTATCTGGTCTACGCAAACTCACAATTCATTCATTTAGCTTCTAAACTGATATAGTTAAGGTGGAATTCAACTTTAATTACAAGGCAACATTCAATTCTAATGAAAAATTCGAAATCTTAAGAAGTGGAATTTCAAATAGCAAAAGGAGACGGCTAAAACTTGCGCTATATATATCATCAGTACCAAATCTTGTTATTATTTCTTATCTCAAAGAATCAATCGCTGAAATTGAGATGAAGGGAATCCTGTGTATTTTCTGCTTTCAAAGAAAATATTTTGATACAACAACATGTGGAAGAAACTTTTTAATCGGATCCATTGACCTTCTATCAAATTTGATTCCACATCGTTCAATTAATTCGACAAAAGGTAAGTCTTGTTGCTTTGTTAACTATATGACATCAAATGTGATATTTGTTTGTGTTTTCTATTTGGGTCAATAATACAATTTTGTGTTAATAATATTGTTTCTATCATGACGAGCCTTTGAGTATAATTTATATCTAATCTCGGCTTTTGAATTGCATCTAATAGACTACCAACATATTTAATGAATGTAATTTAAAGACTTATGAATTCAATACTTGGTATTCAAACTTATTAAAATTATTTGTTTCATTAGCAGGATTGGAGGAGACGAATGCTAAGAGAAACGAGAAGTCAACCTTAATAGCATTACCCAAGGAGATCATCTTCGACATCCTTATGAGACTACCGACAAAATCACTTTTTGACATCATTTGGAACAAAATGGAGGCGGCTAGACCCACCCAGGAAACCTAGGCGCCGCCTAGACCCACCAGAGCCGCCTAGACCCGCCCAGGCCGCCTAGGAGCCGTCTAGATCCCACCAAGCCGCCTAGATTCGCCCAGGCCGCCTAACTCCCTTATAGCATCAGAGTTATTATCTTAGTGGAGATTTCAATAGCTGAATGAGATTTGATGGTTTTCGTAGAGAGAGTCCAATCCAATCCAATCAACAGAGCAGCAAAAACGAAAGAAAAAAAATCAAAGCTTGAGTTGAGAGGGAGAGAGAGAGGCTCAAGACCGAGTCTTTGAAGCTTGGAAGCGCTTATGGAGAAGCGAAATGGCTGTGATTGCGAGTGCAAGCTTCGCGTTCGTTTTGGAATATATTTAATGAGTATAGCCGTTCGGCTATACCACAAAATATTTGATTACATTCAAAGAGTATAGGCGCACGACTATAACTTCAAAATAATATATTTAAATAGTATAGCCGTGGCTATACTGTTAAAATATTCGAATATATTCCAAGCGTATAGCCGTACGGCTATACCTTCAAAATAATATATTTAAATAGTATAGCCGTGCGGCTATATTGAACTTGCATTTTGCTCTATTATTGCTTTGTCTTCTGGTTGTTTCCATGACTCACCATATCTTGATGGTTAATTTTCACTCATTTATATGACCCTTTTGTATATGCAACCTTTCTTTTTTCTTTTTATTATAAACGTTAAACAAGAAGATTATAGGTGGTGATGGACAAAGGGAACCCATACATGACCTTTTGTTATCGTTCACATCAAAACTTCATTTGTATGTTACCTCAAGATGAATTTCCTTTTTTTATTTTTATTTTTAGAAATTTGGCAACAGAACTTCTTAACAATCTTGAGTTACTTTTGAAGTTTTACATGTACAGATTCAAGCCTTCAAAGTGAGGGACTTGAGAAGGAGTCCATTTTCAGTGATTTTGTCTCCCACATGTTCTCTCTCAAAATTTGAAGTGGTTCAAGTGGACGGTTGAGCAATTTGAGCACCTAAACAATCTTGGAAATTGCGAATTTCGAGTGATGCAATTAGGAAGGGCGGAGAATACAGCTTAGCAATCCATCACAGTGAGGAAGAACTAGTAGAATGGGATCTCTCCCCTGAAATGATAGCTGACCAAAAGTGGCGAGCCCATGCCAACGGGTTGATTGGAATGAGCGTTGCCCCTGGTACCTTGATGCTTTTTTCGACCGTCTAGCTGACTTGGAAGACAGCGGAGAAAGTGAAGACATTTGGCATGAAACTGATGAAAAGATTCAGCAATCAAATTGATTGTGCGAGTCATGAAACCAAACTGATTCTTAACATAGGCTCCTCAGCAATTGGGTTGGGAATTCTTTTGATTTAATATGTAGTTAATTGTTGTGTGTTCATAGTATCTCTTGAATGCTGGAAATAGAAATTAGCAATATCAATTGGAGTTCAGAATTTTACTGATTTCTTTGTTGTGAGGATTCGATGGGCTAAATTAGGGTTGTGCTGCTCTTATTCATTGTGTAATTTGGATTTGTTGAAAGAATGAAATTTGCATGCTAGACTGATTTTGGACAGGAGATGGATGTGAATGCTTGGCAAACAGGGCTTTCCGAAATGGGCATCAAATGACATTTTAGGTTGTAGGCAGAGCGCTAGTAAAGTATCATTGCTCCATGCATCTACCTTTTCCTTTCGAATGAATGGTGCGTCCAGGTGCAAGCTCTTCATGTGAAACTAGCAAATATTTCTGGTAAGTCAAGTTGAAAGAATCTAAAAGCCTTGTACGAGGAAAGAAAGCAAAAAAGAAGAAACTTCCAATCTTCTTTCAGTCTAGAATTAATGACTATCCCAAAATCATGAAAGAAACTTTCAAGGATATGTATGCGGATATATCTGCAGCTTATCTCGTGGAGTGAAAGAAAGAAGATAAATATTTCATCATTCAGCTGTGCAAGGATGAAGTACAGCAAATGATGAAGATTTCTCTACATCATCCCTTAAGAAACTGATACGAAAGGCTTGAATTACACCATTTTACCATAACAACTTGGTTTTGAAGCAGAGTATGTGAAGCCCCTTATACTGACGTCTCCTGGCAATGACCTAGCATTTCCATACACAGTTTTTTAGGCTTAATACTACATAATATATCACTCAACACTCAGAAATTTAAATATGTGACACAGATGACCAACTAGAACATCTGAAAGCTTTGGTTTGATTTGAGATCACATTCAACGCATTCATTCCTATGTTTTCTTGTTACCCCAAATGATGAAAATTTGGAGCTGCAAGATGATAGGACAGTAGCCCATGAGACATCACTACCACTTTTCGACTTGTAAAAAGAAGTATAAGACAAAGATGATTGGAAGTTCTTCTTGTAAATTAGCCATTTTGACTAACCATTATTTTCCCCTTACATAACACAACAAAATAACCACAATCATGATCGAATCCCATCACTCATTGTCACTGCTTAACTATACAATCAACATATTAATACCAAATGAAGAAGAAGAGGAGGGGGACTTAGATATTATAAGAAAAACAAATAAAAGATAACAAAAGCTCCCCTAACTCTATTATCAAATGCCAAGTTCTAAAGATTATTATATGTATGCCAACATCAACACAAAAGAAACCAATATCTCCAAAAAAAAAAAAAAAAAAAAAAACAATCCATCACATCAGTGCTGAGAAATATAGCTCCATCTTTGGTTTGAAGGACCAAAGTGTTCGACAATGACTCTCTTTCACTAAGCAGAAAAGCCTAATCAGTGCAATGTAACTTGTATTGTATCAAGCACATTCTCATGCTGGATCTCTCAGTGTTTCTAGGCAATACAGATCCAAATTTACAAAACTCAGCTCAAGAATTCAACAAATATATGCAAGAATTCAAAATCCAAAATGAATTCATTTTCTGACCAAAAAGAAAAATGAAATCATTTGAAATGACAGAGGATGGATGTGCTTGGTTGATTGGCAATTCCAGGTTTGTAGTTGACATTGTAGCGCCTTGGAAGGATGTATTATTGACAAGTAATAGTTCTTTAGTTTGTATTCTTTACACTTCATCCTGCATTGTCATATGCAGATCATCAATACATCAACAGGTGCAGTCAAAGCAAATACAAAGCAATGGGATCCAATGCACAAAATCACAAGCTCAGCAGTATTCTAGAAGATTAGGAAACGGCTAGTCATATATCCATCATACACATGTCATCATGTCCATATTCTTTGTAACTAATTCCATTCCAAATGATTCCTTTTTGATTTGTATATAGCCGAGCGGTTTTTTTGGCATGTGACTGGGAGTGCAAGCTTCGCGTTCATTGTGTAATATATGTAACGCGTATAGCCGCTCGGCTATACCTTAAAATATTTGAATATATTGAAAGAGTATAGCCATGAATAATATATTTAAATAGTATAGCCGCGTGTCGATACCTTTAAAATATTTGAATATATTCGAAGAGTATAGCCGCACGGATATACCGTTAAAATAATATATTCAAATCGTATAGCCGCGCGGCTATACTATTTAAATATACAATTTTGTCATGTTATTTTAAAATACCACTTTAGCCAATTAGGATAGAGTTATTTCTTCAAGTATTTTTTTTATTTTTTTTCATACCAGTGATATTGGGGAATAAGAATTTAATTTCTTTCCGATACCTCCCATTCTAATGAATTCTAGCTATTAGTCCATTAGGCCAGAATAAAAACTGAATTTTATTTAGAAGAAATAATACGGGTTAAACCCATAAATACAACAACAAAAATAGGGGTCCACCAACATTTTGGGGATAAAAGAATCTTGAATTTCATAGTATAAAATTGTTTGTGTAAGAATTTACTTTCTAAAATGTATCAATCGTAATTATGAACGAAACCTAATGATAGCCTTTTTCTCATTGCACTTGACAACCTTGCTCTTCTGCTATGAGATATATCAGTTCACGTTGTATTCTCTGTAGATGAAAAATTGGATACAAAATAGTCTAATGAGACAACAAAGAGAAGAGTTTTGAAATAAATTGAAGGTATCCGAGGTCATATGGCATTGTTTTATATATATATATATATATATACGAACTATTCTAAATGAGATTTCAAACAACGTATTAGACGTGAAGTAGCATCTCAATCTTACATATACCATACCCATGTGCACCTGAAATTCCCAATGTCAAGAGGGGAGAAAAGTGCAATACCTCCCTTGTATCTCGCAAGCGTAGGAGATCCAACCTTTTAGGAGGATGCCGGTTTGATAAAGAAGCAAGTTGCATCCAATCATACATTAATATCGGCAATCACAACCCACAATATACTCAATTTTAATAAAGAGAAATATAAAGTTACCTAGAAGCTGAAACGCTCAGGATCTTGTAGTGAAGGCATCAGCGCTTCCACGTCGAGAAGTCTCTCAAGTCGTCTTCGATAAGTAAAGAGATACTATAATACATAGGGCACATAGGTACACTGAACACAAGAACAGGGGAAGAAACCATTCTTATGTACACTGGCATTACATATAAATAAGATATGTTGATCTAGAGATAAAGATCCTCCCCAAATGTTCCAAGCAGAAGCTTCCTAAAGATGAAATCTGAATATGACTGACATTTCAGTGGAACAAAAGGTTTAACCTAATAAAACTAATCTTTTATTTCCAACCATTACATTTGACCACCAAATTGAAACATGCAATCTCAATCCGGCAGTAATATTCACCCAAAATAATGGAAAATTTGATTCAGGATATTCTTATAGGTCATCCATATACCTATTATAGAGGACTAAGAGATTTAACTTATGGAGATAACCCATTTAAAAACAAACAAAAAAGAAGGTAAATTCTGAGTTCATTCAATTGATGTCATTCCTGAGCATTTTGTCTTGACCTGCTGCTCTTTTACCCCGCCCTATCCATAACCGAGCATACTCTGCTGCATTATTTGTCAATTCCTGCAACTGGACAGGTATTGAAGTTAAGCCATATAGGCGCAACCAATATGAGGGGGAAAAACATGGAAGAACTTTGTCCTTCATCTTCCTACAGTGATGCATGTTACACTACAGGCTATTAATACATTAGCTACAGGGCCTTTTAGCAAGGACATTATTAGACTTAATTCAGTGACAACTATAATACATTTGAAGATATACAACCAAATTCCATTAGGTCACTTGTCACATGTAAAATAAGATGCCTCATCCACAACACTTTAAGCTCTTATTATTGCATCTCAAGTTTTGCCAATTCAAGTTGAAAACTACGCAACTTTGCATCTAGAAAAATGTGTGACCAATTTATTAATATAAAAAAAAATTATAATATAAAAAATCTCAAAAGCATTGTTCAGCACCAGATCAAGTTTAACTCAAGCTTCTTACTATTCTCTACAACAAAAAATTTAAAAATAAAATATAAAAGAAAAGAGCACACTCCAATAGAGAGATTACAGCAAACCAAATTGTCATGAACTTACGTCTGCTCTCTCTCTAGACCCTTCTTGTGGATATATGTCCTGTACCGATACGGTACCCGAAGAGCACATCAAAAGACAAAAATATTGAACAAGAGCAGTAACTAAAGATCAAATGAATGGCTAGACATCTCATAAGACAACTCACCCATCTTGGTCCCAAGATCGAATTGTATGAAACCGTCAGCAACTTTCAAGAAGAGCACCTGCGATAATTGGGCCAGTCACTAATCCAAGTTTGATCAAGGAAGAGTGGCATCATTGGCCATATTTCAGAGAAATATCCTGAGCATCACCAATTGCACTCAAGACACTACCAAATGTGTAATTGTTTGGCTTCGACTCCATAGTTGCTACCAAGAATGTTTTTAGTGCATCTTGACACAGCCCGTTCTGAGCATACCCAGAAATCAAAGCATTCCACGATATGATTTCTCTACAGTTTAACTCCTCAAAAACTTTGATGGAGTCATGAATGGAATCAAACTTAGCATACATGGTGATCAAGCTGTTGCAAACATTATGCTTTGATAAAAAGCCAGTCTTTATGCAAAACCCATGAATCATTTCGCCTTCCTCCACCAACTTCCTAATTGATATAGCATGGATTAGTCCAACAAATGTAACATCATTTGGATATACTCCATCCAATCTCATCTCATTAAATAGAGAGATGGCATCTTCTTCGTCTATTGAATTCATAGTTGTCCAAGACACTACGTTAAAATCATTCACGCACTGAAAGACTAATTTTGCATCTTCAGTAACCGCACACTTTGAATATGTCGGGAAAAATACATTACAAACTGAAACATGACTTCCATATCCTGATTTAATTGTCAAAACATGTATCTGTTTCCCAAGTTCTAAATTCATTTCATGACTGCAAGCTGAAACTGCACTAGTAAATGAGGCATGATCGAACCCCATCCCTTCTCCCACCATCTCAATAAAGACAAAAATCGCCTCAAGCCCATGATTTCCCTCTTGAGAGTAACCTGATAGTATTGCATTCCATGAAACCAGATCCTCATTCGCCATTTCATCAAACACATTCCTAGCTTCTATTAACCGCCTCTACCTCGAATACATACTCGTAAAAGAACTTCACCATCTAAACCAGACTTAAATATAAGAGAATGCAATTGTAATCCAAATAGAAAATCTTCATGATCCGCACAGAAAGCAAAGAATCGTAGTATAAGTCACTGGATCTAAAACAACTCCATTAAAATTCATCCCAAGAGCAAAATTCAATGCACCCTCACTTGTTCAAAACCCCGAAAGAATGGTATTCTAAGAAACTATATCAGTATAGCACAGTCTCAAAGATAAGTAAGGGACCATCAAACTAGCCAGCTTTGGTGTACACGCTCATCAAAGAATTTGAAATCGTAGTATACGAAGCAAACCCAGAAGAAACTGCAAACCCGTGAATTTGGCATCCGGGTTTGGGGTCCCCTTGACAGGCCTTGATAGCAAGGGTAATGGTATTTTCATCGATGTTATGAGACAAATGTAGTTGAAGTTGCTTACAGAACATGTCAACGGTAACTTCATCGTGTTCGTTTCTCTGTCTCTTCATTTCACTCGCGCACCACATTCCTCTGCGAGTGCAAATTTAACTTCGTCTGTCTTCATTTGGACAAAATGGAGGCGGCCAGACCCGCCCAGGAAACCTAGTCGCGGCCTAGACCCACCAGACCCACCAGACCCGCCTAGACCCACCAGACCCGCCTAGACCCGCCTAGGCCGCCTAGACCCGCCCAGGCCGCCTAGGCGCCGCCTAGACCCGCCCAGGCCGCCTAGGAGCCGCCTATATCCGCCCAGGCTACCGAGGAGCCGCCTAACTCCCTTATAGCATCAGAGTTGTTATCTTAGTGGAGATTTCAATAGCTGAATGACATTTGATGGATTTCGTAGAGAGAGTCCAATCCAATCCAATCAACGGAGCAGCCTAAACGAAAGAAAAAAAATCGAAGCTTGAGTTGAGAGGGAGAGAGAGAGGCTGAAGACCGAGTCTTTGAAACTTGGAAGAGCTTATGGAGAAGCGAAATGGCTGTGACTGCGAGTGCAAGCTTCGCGTTCGTTTTGGAATATATTTAACGCGTATAGCCGTTCGGCTATACCTTAAAATATTCGAATACCTTCAAAGCGTATAGCCGCAAGGCTATAACTTCAAAATAACCGTTAAAATGTTCGGATGTATTCCAAGCGTATAGCCGGACGGCTATACCTTCAAAATAATATATTTAAATCATATAGCCGAAATGTTTCCATGACTGACCATATCTTGATGGTTAATTTTCACTCATTTATATGACCCTTTTGTATATGCAACATTTCTTTTTTCTTTTTATTATAAACGTTAAACAAGAAGAACCCATACATGACCTTTTGTTATCGTTCACATCAAAACTTCATTATATTTGTATGTTACCTCAAGATGAATTTCCTTTTTCTTTTTTCTTTTTAAAATTTTTAATTTGGCTACAGAACTTCTTAACAATCATGAGTTACTTTTGAAGTTTTACATGTACAGATTCAAGCCTTCAAAGTGAGGGCCTTGAGAAGGAGTCCATTTTCAGTGATTTTGTCTGCCACGTGTTCTCTCTCAAAATTTTCATCTCTAATCCTAGACATTTTGCCATTCTACATATCTCCCCAAACTGTGGGTGGGATGTATGACCTGATGAAAACCCATGCAGATACAAGGAACCATCACCATCACCAGTATCCACCCAACTATATCCCACTTCCTTTCTCACTCCTTTATCTCTCATCCCTTTCCTAACTTTTGCTACCATTTCCCAGTCCCCTTTCTCAGCATACAAGTTGGACATCAACACAAAAGAACCTGATTCCATTGGTTCCAATCTCATCAATGTATCGGCTAAACTCTCCGCCATCTCCACATTCCCATGGATCCTGCAAGCCCCAAGCAGAGGCTTTGCAACAATGAAAACCCTGGCTGTCCCGGGATCTGACTCATCAATTCCTCTGCTTCCTCCAATTTCCCTGCCCGTCCCAACATGTCCACCATACTTGAACAATGTTGAGGAGATGGTTCAATATGATAGTCTTTCACCATTGAGTGAAAGAGGTGACGGCCCATCTCCACCATTCCCTTTCTGCTGCATGCTGTTAGTATAGAAAGAAATGTGACTGAATCAGGTCTTACCCCTTCTTAATTAGTGAAAGAGGTGAGGGCCCATCAAAGCTTTTCTTTGGAACCAAAAAGTATTGCCCAAATGTCTAATGATGATTGAAGTAGTGCTTTACACATAGTGAAGAGGTTATTGAAGAAGAGGTAATGATCCATGGGTAGAAACAGAGAGTGGTGGATGGCATGGAAGTCCAATTTAATAAAGTAACCGCTATAAGATGCTTTCACTCTCTGTATAAAGTGGTGGATGACTGAAGAATATGACTGACATTTCAGTGGAACAAAAGGTTTAACCTAATAAAACTAATCTTTTATTTCCAACCATTACATTTGACCACCAAATTAAAACATGCAATCTCAGTCCGACAGTAATATTCACCCAAAATAAGGGAAAATCTGATTCAGGATATTCTTACAGGTCATCCATATACCTATTATAGAGGACTAAGAGATTTAACTTATGGAGATAACCCATTTAATAACAAACAAAAAAGAAGGTAAATTCTGAGTTCATTCAATTGATGTCATTCCTGAGCATTTTGTCTTGACCTGCTGCTCTTTTACCCCGCCCTATCCATAACCGAGCATACTCTGCTGCATTATTTGTCAATTCCTGCAACTGGACAGGTATTGAAGTTAAGCCATATAGGCGCAACCAATATGAGGGGGAAAACACATGGAAGAACTTTGTCCTTCATCTTCCTACAGTGATGCATGTTACACTACAGGCTATTAATACATTAGCTACAGGGCCTTTTAGCAATGACATTATTAGACTTAATTCAGTGACAACTATAATACATTTGAAGATATACAATCAAATTCCATTAGGTCACTTGTCACATGTAAAATAATATGCTCTGATTATTGCACTCAAGTTTTGCCAATTGAAGTTGAAAACTACGCAACTTTGCAGCTAGAAAAATGTGTGACCAATTTATTAATATTAAAAAAAACTCAAAAGCATTGTTAATTAAGCACCAGATCAAGTTTAACTCAAGCTTCTTACTATTCTCTACAACAAAAAATTTAAAAATAAAATATAAGAGAAAAGAGCACACTCCAATAAAGAGATTACAGCAAACCAAATTGTCATGAACTTACGTCTGCCCTCTCTCTAGAGCCTTCTGGTGGATATATGTCATGTACCAATACGGTACCTGAAGATCACATCAAAAGACAAAAATATTGAACAAGAGCAGTAACTAAAGATCAAATGAATGGCTAGACATCTCATAAGACAACTCACCCATCTTGGTCCCAAGATCGAATTATATGAAACCATCAGCAACTTTCAAGAAGAGCACCTGCGATAATTGGGCCAGTCACAAATCCAAGTTTGATCAAGGAAGAGTGGCATCATTGGCCATATTTCAGAGAAATATCCTGAGCATCACCAATTGCACTCAAGACACTACCAAATGTGTAATTGTTTGACTTCGACTCCATAGTTGCTACCAAGAATGTTTTTAGTGCATCTTGACACAGCCCGTTCTGAGCATACCCAGAAATCAAAGCATTCCACGATATGATTTCTCTACAGTTTAACTCCTCAAAAACTTTGATGGAGTCATGAATGGAATCAAACTTAGCATACACGGTGATCAAGCTGTTGCAAACATTATGCTTTGATAAAAAGCCAGTCTTTATGCAAAACCCATGAATCATTTCGCCTTCCTCCACCAACTTCCTAATTGATATAGCATGGATTAGTCCAACAAATGTAACATCATTTGGATATACTCCATCCAATCTCATCTCATTAAATAGAGAGATGGCATCTTCTTCGTCTATTGAAATCATAGTTGTCCAAGACACTACGTTAAAATCATTCACGCACTGAAAGACTACTTTTGCATCTTCAGTAACCTCACACTTTGAATATGTCGAGAAAAATACATTACAAACTGAAACATGACTTCCATATCCTGATTTAATTGTCAAAACATGTATCTGTTTCCCAAGTTCTAAATTCATTTCATGACCACAAGCTGAAACTGCACTAGTAAATGGGACATGATCTAACCCCATCCCTTCTCCCACCATCTCAATAAAGACAAAAATAGCCTCAAGCCCATGATTTCCCTCTTGAGAGTAACCTGATAGTATTGCATTCCATGAAACCAGATCCTCATTCGCCATTTCATCAAACACATTCCTAGCTTCTATTAACCGCCTCTACCTCGAATACATACTCGTAAAAGAACTTCACCATCTAAACCAGACTTAAATATAAGAGAATGCAGTTGTAATCCAAATAGAAAATCTTCATGATCCGCACAGAAAGCAAGAATCGTAGTATAAGTCACTGGATCTAAAACAACTCCACTAAAATTCATCCTAAGAGCAAAATTCAATGCACCCTCACTTGTTCGAAACCCCGAAAGAATAGTATTCTAAGAAACTATATCAGTATAGCAGAGTCTCAAAGATAAGTAAGGGACCATCACACTGGCCAGCTTTGGTGTATACGCTCATCAAAGAATTTGAAACCGTAGTATACGAAGCAAACCCAGAAGAAACTGCAAACCCGTGAATTTGGCATCCGGGTTTGGGGTCCCCTTGACAGGCCTTGATAGCAAGGGTAATGGTATTTTCATCGATGTTATGAGACAAATGTAGTTGAAGTTGCGTACAGAACATGTCAAGGGCTCTAAGGGTAACGGTAACTTCATCGTGTTCGTTTCTCTGTCTCTTCATTTCACTCTTGCACCACATTCCTCTGCGAGTGCAAATTTAACTTCGTCTGTCTTCATTTGGAACAAAATGGAGGCGGCCAGACCCACCCAGAAAACCTAGGCGCCGCCTAGACCCACCAGACCCGCCTAGACCCGCCTAGGCCGCCTAGGCGCCGCCTAGACCAGCCCAGGCAGCCTAGGAGCTGCCTAGATCCGCCCAGGCTACCTAGGAGCCGCCTAACTCCCTTATAGCATCAGAGTTGTTATCTTAGTGGAGATTTCAATAGCTGAATGACATTTGATTGTTTTTGTAGAGAGAGTCCAATCCAATCCAATCAAGGGAGCAGCCGAAACGAAAGAAAAAGAATTGAAGCTTGAGTTGAGAGGGAGAGAGAGAGGCTCAAGACCAAGTCTTTGAAGCTTGGAAGCGCTTATGGAGAAACGAAATGGCTGTGACTGCGAGTGCAAGCTTCGCGTTCGTTTTGGAATATATTTAAAGCGTATAGCCGTCCGGCTATGCCTTAAAATATTCGAATACATTCGTTGAGTATAGCCGCACGGCTATAACGTAAAAATAATATATTTAAATAGTATAGCCGCACGGCTATACCGTTAAAATATTCGAATATATTCCAAGCGTATAGCCGTACGGCTATACCTTAAAAATAATATATTTAAATAGTATAGCCGTTCGGCTATATTGAACTTTGCTCTATTATTGCTTTGTCTTCTGGTTGTTTCCATGACTCACCATATCTCTTGATGGTTAATTTTCACTCATTTATATGACCCTTTTGTATATGCAACCTTTCTTTTTTCTTTTATTATAACGTTAAACAAGAAGATTATAGGTGGTGATGGACAAAGGGAGCCCCCATACATGACCTTTTGTTATCGTTCACATCAAAACTTCATTTGTATGTTACCTCAAGATGAATTTCCTTTTTTATTTATTTATTTAGAAATTTGGCTATAGAACTTCTTAACAATCATGAGTTGCTTTTGAAGTTTTACATGTACAGATTCAAGCCTTCAAAGTGAGGGCCTTGAGAAGGAGTCCATTTTCAGTGATTTTGTCTCCCACATGTTCTCTCTCAGAATTTTCATCTCTAATCCTAGACATTTTGCCATTCTACTTATCTCCCCAGACTCTGGGTGGGATTTATCTCCTGATGAAAACCCATGCAGATACAAGGAACCATCACCATCACCAGTATCCACCCAACTATATCCCACTTCCTTTCTCACTCCTTTACCTCTCATCCCTTTCCTAACTTTTGCTACCATTTCCCAGTCCCCTTTCTCAGCATACAAGTTGGACATCAACACAAAAGAACCTGATTCCATTGGTTCCAATCTCATCAATGTATTGGCTACTCTCTCCGCCATCTCCACGTTCCCATGGATTGCAAGCCCTAACCAGGCTTTGCAACAACGAAAACCCTAGATGTTCCCGGATCCGACTCATCAATTTCCCTGCCCGTCCCAACATGTCCACCATACTTGAATAATGTTGAGGAGATGGTTCAATATTGTTAGAATGTAAGGGAAAGAAAGTGATTTTATTAGATTGGAGGAGAATAGTACATAGCATGGTGTAGACTAATTGGCCTTCTACACTTAGCATATTGGCTTATTGGCCACCACACTTGATAGATCTCCAAGGTTAATGTAGCTGCCGACTTCCCATCAAGCTTATGGCACTTTCTTCAAGCTTCAAGATTTTTCCACACATTTCTTTAGCACAAATGTGCATTAATTTCAACAAATATGATAGTCTTTCACCATTGAGTGAAAGAGGTGACGGCCCATCTCCACCATTCCCTTTCTGCTGCATGATGTTAGTATAGAAAGAAATGTGACTGAATCAGGTCTTACCCCTTCTTAATGAGTGAAAGAGGTGACGGCCCATCAAAGCTTTTCTTCGGAACCAAAAAGTATTGTCCAAATGTCTAACGATGATTGAAGTAGTGCTTTACACATAGTGAAGAGGTTATTGAAGAAGAGGTAATGATCCATGGGTAGAAACAGAAAGTGGTGGATGGCATGGAAGTCCAATTTAATAAAGTAACCGCTATAAGATGCTTTCACTCTCTGCAGTTTTGTGAACCAGACCACTAGTCTTTGAATTTTCTCAATTTTAAATTTGTGAAACTAGATTCCAATGAAATGCAGCTTTAGATTTGTAATGTAAACGTGAAATCACACATGCTGATGAGATGAATATATGGAGGTTCTGAAAAGTTTTGCTTATGTATGTATTTGATTGTTGGATAAAGGTTTTGGATTTACAGCTTTCTATATCAAAATGAATATTTATTGCCTAATAACAAAGCTAATTGCAGGTTTTCTTGAATCATTATGGAGGGACATTGACATGAACTGGCTTCGCCATGACCCTTGCCATGACCTCAATCTTATAATAATATCACACGGGTTAACGTCACGCGTGTGGGAACCGAATTACATTAGACCCTAGGTCAAATAATTCCTTCTATTTGGGGATTATTTGACCTAATTGGGAATTACTCAACCTAATTGGGAGTTACTAAATTTAATTGAGGATTACCTAATTAAATTGAGAATTGATTTGATTCCTACCCCAATTCCCAATTAAATGAGGAGTTACCTAATTAAATTAGGATTTGATTTGATACCTACCATAATTAGGGATTTGATTTACCCTAATAAATCAAATCCCTAATTAAGCAAATCAATTCCAAATCGGGGAGGAATAATTCATTTCCATTTACGGAATTATTCCTCTGAAACCCTAGCCTCCGAGACCACTATAAAAGGATGGCCACACACAAAGGTGAAGGTACGTCTAAATTCTTACTGAAACTCTGCAGAAATCATTTCTCCAAAACCCTAGCCACCATATTCTTTCTCTCTCTGACACAAGGCTCCGGTCACCACACACGGCTCCGGCCACCCAGTTTTCCTTGAAATACCCTACCTAACTTAAGCATCGGAGGGCCTTTGGCCAACACCCCCCGGGTGTGGTCCTTTTACCCCGATCTGTTTTGCAGGGAGAAAGAGAAGTGGAGAAGACGAAGGAATCTTAGGCGAATATTCTTGTGGGAAGAAATTTGCTCCCACAACGCGTCTTCCTAATGAAGTGGTTCAAGTGGAAGGTTGAGCAATTCGAGCTCCTAAACAATCTTGGAAATTGCGAATTTCGAGTGATGCAATTAGGAAAGAGCGGAGAATACAGCTTAGCAATCCATCACAGTGAGGAAGAACTAGTAGAATGGGGTCTCTCAGAAATGATAGCTGACCAAAAGTGGCGAGCCCATGCCAACAGGGTTGATTGGAATGAGCGTTGCCCCTGGTACCTTGATTCTTTTTTCAACCGTCTAGCTGACTCGGAAGACAGCGGAGAAAGTGAAGACATTTGGCATGAAACTGATGAAAAGATTCAGCAATCAAATTGATTGTGCGAGTCATGCAACCAAACTGATTCTTTTAGCATATAAACATAGGCTCCTCAGCAGTTGGGTTGGGAATTCTTTTGATTTGACAGGTAGTTAGTTGTTGTGTGTTCATAGTATCTCTTGAATGCTGGAAATAGAAACTAGCACTATCAATTGGAGTTCAGAATTTTACTGATTTCTTTGTTGTGAAGATTCGATGGGCTAATTAGGGTTGTGCTGCTCTTATTCATTGTGTAATTTGGATTTGTTGAAAGAATGAAATTTGCATGCTAGACTGATTTTGGACAGGAGATGGATGTGAATGCATGGCAAACAGGGCTTTCCGAAATGGGCATCAAATGACATTTTAGGTTGTGGGCAGAGCGCCGGTAATGTATCATTGCTCCATGCATCTACCTTTTCCTTTCGAATGAATGGTGCGTCCAGGAGCAAGCTCTTCATGTGAAACTATCAAATCTTTCTGGCAAGTCAAGTTGAAAGAATCTAAAAGCCTTGTACGACGAAAGAAAGCAAAAAAGAAAAAACTTTCAATCTTCTCAGTCTAGAATTAATGACTATCCCAAAATCATGAAAGAAACTTTCAAGGATATATATATATGGATATATCTGCAGCTTATCTCGTGGAGTGAAAAAAAGAAGATAAATATTTCATGATCACCATTCAGCTGTGCAAGGATGAAGTACAGCAAATGATGAAGATTTCTCTAGATCATCCCTTAAGAAACTGATTCGAAAGGCTTGAATTACACCATTTTACCATAACAACTTCTCCTTGGCACGAAGAGCGTATTGAACTGTCAGAAATTGAATTTTGGTTTTGAAGCAGAGTATGTGAAGCCCCTTATACTGAAGTCTCCTGGCAAGGACCTAGCATTTCCATATACAGCTTTTCAGTCTTATATACTGCATAATATATCACTAAACACTCAGAAATTTAAATATGTGACACAGATGTCCAACTAGAACATCTGAAAGTTTTGGTTTGATTTGAGATCACATTCAATGCATTCATTCCTATGTTTTCTTGTTACCCCAAATGATGAAAATTTGGAGCTGCAAGATGATTGGACAGTAGCCCATGAGACATCACTACCACTTTTCGACTTGTAAAAAGGAGTATATAAGACCAAGATGATTGGAAGTTCTTCTTGTAGATTAGCCATTTTGACTAACCTTTATTTACCCCTTACAGAACACAACAAAATAACCACAGTCATGATCTAATCCCATCACTCACTGTCACTACTTAACTATACAATCAACGTATTAATACCAAATGAAGAAGAAGAGGAGGGGGACTTAGATATTACGAGAAAAACAAATAAAGGATAACAAAAGCTCCCCTAACTCTATTATCAAATGCCAAGTTCTAAAGATTATTATATGTATGTCAACATCAACACAATAGAAAAACCAATAAAAAAAAAAAAAAAAAAAAAAAAAAAAAAAAAAAAAAAAAACAGGGCCAAGAAATATAGCTCCATTAGTGGTTTGAAGGACCAAAGTGTTCGACAATAACTCTCTTTCACTAAGCAGAAAAGCCTAATCAGTGCGATGTAACTTGTATTGTATCAAGCACATTCTCATGCCAGATCTCTTAGTGTTTCCAGGCAATACAGATCCAAATTTACAAAGCTCACCCCAAGAATTCAACAAAATTGTTGGAAAATCAAAATAGAAACAACAATATTCTTGCTTTTTATTATATTATTAGTTTGAGATTAGTATTGTGGGGGGAGAATTGGTTTAAGCTTTAGAAAATGTGATCATATGTTACGCAATTAAATGATTAATTAGAATTATATGTTTATCAAATTTATAAAATTATGTAGGTTTTAAGTAGCTCTTAATTTAGTTGTTTTTCTCTTTCAATGTTGAAATATGTCGCAAGTTCGAATTATCGTGCCTATTAGTCATACCTTCGTTATGTAGAGAATCACTAGTTTTGTCATTCTTAGTCTTATACATAAATGTATACGGCATGAATGTTAGTCACACTTATCTAGTGCTGTAGCAAACATAATACATATTTAGTTTTTCTATATGCAGTGCAACTCGCAAGTAATTTTTTTAAGAAAATGTTTGTTTGCTGCAATAGTTATTTCCTCCCGGCAAGTTGTGGTGATACAATGGCGGAGAGAGATGCTGGAGGAAACCAAAAAAAGATGATGGCTAATGTATGAAACATGGAATATAAAATTAAAGAATGCTAATCAAAAACCAATTGTTGGTTATGGGACCATACATAGAGCACCACTTTGTAGGAGGAGATTCCTAATTCTAGCTGGATTCTGGATTGGGCATGTTGAAAGCATAGTGGCTGCATAGCCACTGACATATATCATTCTCTAAAATGTAATAATCATATAATTTATCTCACTTAGACCCTAGAACACTATTTAACCAGACAATGTATCTTGCTTTTACTCGTTGCCAAGGTTAACATGTGAGCTTCCATTGTTGGAAACCGAAAGGCAATACAGATCCAAATTTTCAAAATCCAAAATGAATTCATTTTCTGACCAAAAAGAAAAATGAAATCATTTGGAAAGACACGGGATGGATGTGCTCGGTTGATTGGCAGTTGCAGGTGTGTGGTTGAAATTGTAGTGCCTTGGAAGGATGTATTATTGACAAGTGGTAGTTCTTTAGTTTGTATTCTTTACACTTCATCCTGCATTGTCATATGCAGATCATCAATACATCAACAGGTGCAGTCAAAGCAAATACAAAGCAATGGGATCCAATGCACAAAATCACAAGCTCAGCAGTATTCTAGAAGATTAGGAAACGGCTAGTCATATATCCATCATACACATGTCATCATGTCCATATTCTTTGTAACTAATTCCATTCCAAATGAATCCTTTTTCATTCATATATAAACAATACTGTTTTCACAAGAGTGAGAAATACAATAGAAATATTCAACCATTTCTAGTATTTCTTTTTCTCCATTCTTAATCCTTCACAGTTAATGTGGCTGTTGGTAAATTTTTATATTGGAAAGATGTCACACCTAAATAGCTTAAGAAAATAAAAGGCTAATGAAGGACAATCAACCGACATTAATTCCACTCCCACTTAATTTAATAAAAGCAATGTATACAAAGAAGGAACTAGCCTAAATTGTGAACTCAATTCATCCAATATTAACACACCTCCACAAGAGCATCTTTAATCCCCTCGCTGCAATTTGTGCACCTAAATAATGCACAAAAGTTGAATACCACCAGACTTGCATTGATGATTTTAAAATCCTAATTGAATGCCATCAGATTTTTATTGATTACTTATAAATCATAATTGAATACCACTAGACTTTTAAGCTTCAAAAAAATCTATTAAAATCCTAATTCAATACACCCCCCTTAGTTAATTCAAACATTAAGAATTAAAATTATTAATTAAATAAGGATAATATGGTAAATTCACACTTTTTCATATTTAAAAAAAATTAAAATTAAAAACAAAATCAGATAATAGGTCCTATTTTTATGGAACATAACTACCCATATTATCCTTTCTTAATTCTAAAAATAAAATAAATATTTAAAAAAAAAACCAATTGGCACATGCGTGAGCATGTGCCAAGGGGCTAATATAAGTAACATATATTGTTCAACCCCTCTTTTTCGTTTTTAACTAGGGATATTTGTTGAAATGTCACTTGAACTTATACATTAGTTTCAATTTGTCACCTGAACAAAAAATTTAAGAGAAATGTCATCTGAATTTTTCAAAATCTATAATTTGTCATCTAACTTTAACATGATCCAATTTTCCATCCATAATTAAGGGTATTTTAGTCTTTTCATTTTTCATTATACAAGCCTTTCCTACCAAACATTAAAAAATTAAAAAATGCATTTTTTTATCATCCCCTGTAGTCTCTCTATTCTCCCTCCCTCCCCAGCCACACCTCCCCTCTCCTCTGTTTATTTTCTCCCTCCAAGACTTGAGCATAGAAGGGATGGGCTACCATATCTGCCAAGCTGCAATCAAAACCACATTGACAGAAAAATGAATAAGTGATTCTTGTAAATTCTTTTGCAAACTAAATGAAATAAGACACGGCAAAGGAGATTTAAAAGGTAAAGCAATCAATGTGCTTGATCACCTTGATGGAGCAGTGACATAGTAGGCAAGACCACCAACTGGATCACCTAAATGAAATATTTAGACTCCTGTCACTTCCCCAACAAATTCACGAAGAAATTCCCACCATACCTCCTGTAACTATACAGAGAAATAGAGGAGAAGGGAGGTGTTTTTTTTTTTTTTTTTTTTTTTGGGGAGTGGGGAGGTGTGGTTTTGATTGCAGCTTGGCAAATATGGCAGCCCATCCCTTCCATGCTCAGGTCTTGGGGGGAGAAAAAAAAACAGATGAGAGGGGAGGTGTGGTTGGGGAGGGAGGGAGAATAGAGAGAGACGACAGGGGGGATGGAAAAAAAATGCATTTTTAAATCTTTTAATGTTTGGTAGGAAAGGCTTGTATAATGATTTTTTTTTATATTTTTAAACACTCTAAAAATGAAAAGACTAAAATACCCTTAATTATGGATGGAAAATTGGATGATGTTAAAGTCAGATGACAAATTATAGATTTTGAAAAGTTCAGGTGACATTTCTCTTAAATTTTTTTTTCATGTGACAAATTAAAACTAAGGTATAAGTTCAGGTGACATTTCAACAAATATCCCTTTTAACTACTTACTACGTTTTTCATTTGTCAATTGTTTTTTTGGTTTCCTGTGTTCAATCATTGCTTAAATAATAAAATTAAGCCATTTAGAAAAGTAAATTGATCAGGCCTAAATTTCTTATATAACAAAATAACCACAGCCATGATCTAAAAATGAGAATTAACTTAATCCCAACTACATTCCTAGTATGTAGTATATAAATAACGCTTTAATTATATACAAATTTATAAATAAACCCAATCCTAGACATGTATTTATAAAAAAACCCAAGCACTATTTAAACATAGAAACACACCCAAAATCAACTCCAAAGTCAACTTTTTGGGTGTGTTTATAAATGGGTTTTGAGTGTGTGTAATGATGGGTTTTGGGTGTGTTTATATGTTTAAATAGTGCTTGGGTTTTTTTATAATTTCAACCCCCATTTTGGGTGTTTTAGTGAAACTCCCTTAATTATACGGTTTGTGTTTGTGTTCGGATTTTTTAACCTGAAAAAGTTTTAGTTAAGGTTCAACAACACTTGCAACAAAATCATATTTCAGTAGCTTCGTGAAGAAGACAACGAAAATGACGGAGCCTAGAAAAGAGTGCCATCTTAAAAAGCGGAATTGATGTGCTTCATATTATTAATTAACATATGTTGTTCAATCCCTCTTTTTTCTTTTTTACTACTTACTACAAATTAAAAATACCCTTTGCCTTTTTTGGCGTAGGCACCACCAACTTTTGAGTTGAGCCTGAAAACACCATCAGAAAGAATTGCACCTATTCATTCACTCTAGGATAAGGATAGTGTACAAACAAACAAACACGAATTGGGAAAAACAAACTTACAAACTGAAATTTGGAATGACACTGCCCAAAAAGACATTCAATTGACAAGTAAAAAAGCCTAACCCTGATTGAATCAAAAAGTAAAGTAAAAGAAAATGTCCAAAATGAAGTTGCTAAAGAGCACTTCCACCAGTTAGCCTCTTGCCATGGCAAGGGGAGCCCTAGGGCAGCTACTATTCACGTGAATAGTGGCTGCCCTACCCTCCCTTAGCAAAGTGTGTTTCCAGCAGTTTAGGCTTGCCATGGCAAATACTATTCTTTTTTTTTTTGTTTTTTTTCACAACTTTGTTTACTTAAACAATTAATTTGGATAATATTTTCGGATAAGATTTTTGGGTTCCTACGTATAAAAAATCATTTTCTCAAGATTTTTAGGGGAGGTGCAATATTGACTAAGTATGAAAAATGGTTTTTCGAAATAATCATTTTCTCAATAAAATTTTTGGCGGCTTTTATTCCTTACACATCAAATGAGAAAAGTTGATTTTATGGGATTTTAATATGAAGTATATATTGACTTAATGAGCCATCATTTTTAGCCTAAATCGTATTTTGCACTAAAACCGATTTTTCATATTTTGATTTGGTGGGAATTTGATTTTCTAGTATTTTTATTTGAATCCAAATGGGGGGTACTTCCTTATTTACATTGTAAACTTAAGTAAATGGGGTAATATAAAAATAAATAAAAGTAAAAGGACAAAGACATTTACTTAATAAGGTATAGAGAGAAAAAAACATAAGTAATTTTTTGGTATTTTTTATTACAAAAATATTGGTTGTTGGTGTTAAAAGTGAAGAGTATTTGTTGGTATTTATAGAAAACGATTTCAGTATTTTTTGGGTATTTTTTTACATTTTTTTCTTTTTTTTATTGGGAACAATGGGGGTGACGTCATCGTGACATCAGCTCAGCCCGCAGGCAAGCACTCAGGCCGAACCCCACCTCGGGCCAGCCCAGGCTGCTGGCCCCCACCTCTTGCCCGGGCTCCATTCTGTTGCTGGAAACACCTACAGGACCCAAACCCCCCCCAGCCCGAGCCCAGCCTGCATTGCTGGAAATGCTGTCTGTAGGATGGGCCAATCTCACCAGACCTAATTCTTCTTCCCTTGTGGGGCCCAAGCCCACTACAATTCCCCACTATCAGCCCGACCGACAAAACCCAAAAAGTTTTTGTTGCCCCTCAAAAGATGCCATTAAGAAAATAAACGAACTAAATGAGAGCAAGCAAGCCGTCTTAGCTCAGCTGGTAGAGCGCGTGGCTTTTAACCACGTGGTCGTGGGTTCGATTCCCACAGACGGCGAATTTGCCTTAACTTTATTATTTTGGCATTTTCTTCTACTATTCATAAAGTGGTCCCACCTTTATTTCCCTTTCCGTTTTTGTAACGGCAATTTCATATCAACTACTATTGTGGAGATTAATTATTAAACAAATTATGATTAATATGTCTAATCTTCAACCATTACAACTTAAGTTGGCCATAATTTAGCTGTCCCCTCCCCCTCTTTTGGCATCCGTCCATTGATGGGTCGATTTCTTCAAGTCACGGTGGACCCTGGGCCCTTCGCTTTTGCGATGCTTGGCTTTTTCTATTTTTCGGTAGACCAAGTACTCTGAATTCTAAATCATGTGGCCATATAAAGAGTTCCAGTTTGTCTATGAGTTCACACCTTAACTTCTGTGGAAATAGTAGGAGGGCTCAAGACCGACCAGTCATGAAATTGAAAGATAAAGAAATAGTATGTAACAGAATATATGTATGTTTTTTTTTATTACGTTAATAAAAATATAAAAGAGAAATAAGCATACGCCTCGATATTGTTAAGTTTTTCTCTGAGTCAAGACTCAATTATATACTTTCATGGGTTTAATTAAAAAATAAAAACAATGTGGTTGTAGTTGTGTTGTTATTCTATGCTCTAGACTCAAAGGGCAAAAACATTCATCCAAAGCCATGAAGAGATATGCATCAACTACAAGCTAACCTAAGATTCATTAATCCCAACCCGATACCATATGATAATGCTAATAATAATATACAGAGCCAAAAAGGACAAAACCCATTTTGGAGATGTTTAATTTAATCCTCTAATTAAAAAATACAAACTAGAAGACAAATTAACAACAACAACAAACAATTTAATCAAAGATTACAACAACAGCCAGCTACTACTACCAATAAGATACCGGGGGCCTCTTGCTCCCCACAAGTGTCTTCATCCGCCAAACACAGCCACAAAGATACAAAAACCAACATTTCCTATGCTCTCTCCTCTGTGTGTGTGTGCGTGTCCTGCCCCCACCCACACTTCATAATTGCAGGCTCTCAGTACATCTTGGAAAAGGACCATGCAAAGAGGCTTTTTTCTTTTTTCTTTTCTTTTTTCCATTGAAATTGCTCGCCCCATATGCAAAAATTCTTCTCTAACACATGTGACACACCCACCATACATGTTCTCTCCCCAACCCACAACCCCCAAAAGTGTCCTTTTGTGAGCTTAAATTAATTTCTCTAGGTGGCTACATACATCAAGATTCAAAGGGGAATTTGGTTTTTAATTCTTTCCATGTTTAGCTGGGGCAAGCAAGTTTTGAGACATCCCTACTAGACCTGTTGTATTTCATGTGGCTCTTGACCAGCTGCCCAGCTGCCAGGGCTGACATGAGTGAGAGCTCCCCTGCTAGGACAGAGCCAGCTACAATGGTGGCCAATTTCCTTGAGTTTGAACCAGGAGATTCTTTGCTTGCTCCTTTCACACCTAATAGGTTCAAGCAGGCTGATTGGGATGCAAGTTGTGTTCCTCCTCCAACTGTTCCCACCTGAAAATTTATAATTTTTTTTTAAAAAACAACAAAATTGGGATTAGGTGTCCTTTCAATTGAAGATCTCCACAAGAATCATCACTTCAATGTTTTTTTTCCCCAAGAAAACAAAACCAGAAAAGAAAGCAAAGTCTGCAGATTCTGCATTGGTATGGTGTATTTTTATATATATTGGGAATCCTCCACACCCTGGAATTTTTAAATGGCATAAGACAAATTCTCTAGAACAGAACAATCTGGTTATGGATCTAACATCACCTTTCAAATTCATTTAAAATTGAGCATGAATTATAGTTAAGTTAATTACATAAAATAAAGCATTAATTATGGTTGTAATTGTACCTCAATGGAAGGCATGGTGACTGAGACATGAAGGTCCTTGCCATTGTTGACGGCTTCCATCATGGTGATGCAGTGAGAGCTCTCTACATTCTGAGCAGGGTCCTGCCCAGTGGCTAAGTAAATTGCAGAAACAATGTTGCTGGCGTGGGCATTGAATCCACCAAGAGCACCAGCCATTGCAGAACCAGTAAGGTTCTTGAGCACGTTAAGCTCCACTAGGGCTGCCACATTCGTCTTCAGCACCTTCCTCACCACCTCTTCCCTGATCACTACCTCACATACCACAGATTTGCCTCTCCCTTCTATCCAATTTACAGCTGCTGCTTTCTTGTCTGAGCAGAAATTTCCTAAACAGTACAGAATAAACACAAAACTAAATCAACCTAATCACCTATAGAAAATATTTCTACCAAACTTGCATCGTTTAAATCACGCATGCGCTAAACATAAACATTTTATGTTAGGAGACAGTCTAGCAAAATAACATTGTCATAATGATTAAATTATAATTAGTATCCATAGTCCATGCATGTGATAGTTGAGATGAGGACATTACTTGGACAATAATGATTTTTCATGATTATGGATACAATTAAAAAGAAGAGAGGAGATTAATTAAGTTACCAGAGATGCCAATGATATCCATGTCAGGGAAGTCACTTTGAAGGAAATCTAGAACATTTTGGACACCTTTGGAGACCATGTTCATTCCCATGGCATCTCCGGTGCTGCAAGTAAACCTCATGTACAGATTCTTCCCTGCTACTGCGCATTGTATCCTTTGAAGCCTTGCGAATCTACTAGATCTGAACAACAGGGCATGCAGATGCAGTCAATAAACTAACTCTTTTTTTTTGCAAGTATGAAAATTGCGTAAAATTATTCATGTATGAAAAATAAATTAAAACAAAACAAACAACTAGGCATCAAGGCATCAAGGCATCAACATCATAAAGATATGGTAGATGAACACAATAAAATTCACCAACTCATACTAGAAACAGATTCTTATTTAAATATTTATTCAAATAAAGTTCACCCTGCATCTCAAATGCGCTCCCCAAAAAAAGGTGTTGACTTAGTCCCACAAATGGCAAAAAAGATAATCAAAAAAGGAAAAAAAATGAACTCACCAACTTTTTTGACAGTAAGAAATTGTTTATTATAATTACAAATTGCAGCTAAAAAATGGAATTATTAGAAGAAAAAAATAATAATTGGAGGAGAGGAGAGGAGAGTTGAATTAACCTACCTGTTGAAAACGACGGCGAGAGAATCAAAGTTGAGAGGGTCCTCGACGAAGAACTTGAGTTCGGCAGCTCTGGCGGCAGAGCTGAACCTGACAACCGGCGCCCGGGTCATGCCGTCCTTGAGAACCACGCTCTGGGCCCCGCCCGACACGTGGATGGCCTTGCATCCCCTATTGGTGCTCGCCACCAGGCAACCCTCCGTCGTCGCCATCGGAACCGTGAGCTCCTCGCCGTCCAGCAGCAGCGGCCCGGCCACTCCGACCGGGATCTGAACATACCCGACCGGCATCTCGCAGCACTGCCCCAATATCGACTCGTAGTCGAAGCCTTCCAACGGCAGGCCCTCCAGCGATCGACATGTCGTCCTCTGCAACGCCTCCCGCCGTATCGCCGCCGCTCGCCGGCAGTCCCCGAGACTCGCCTCGAGCGAGTAGGAGGGCGTCGTTCCGGACATTACCGATTTGATTATGTCCTCGTCTTCCTCCGACGACGTGCCGCCGCCTGCGGCGGCGAGGGGTGCGACGCGGACGACGTCATTTTTTGGTTGTTGTTCGACGGCGACGACGTCATTCCAGGGGTCGTGGGGGGCGCGGGCGTTGTTAGGGGAGACGAAAGACTGGACGAAGTCAATGCCGAAGAAGCCGAGGAGGTAGATGACAGAGGCGAAGAGGGAGAAGAGGGCGGCGATCTCCGAGAGCGTCAGCACATGGAGTGGCGTGGACGTGCGGATCTTCTCGCGCCACCTGTGGAGGAGGAAGTATGCGACGGTGAAGAAGAGCGTGAAGAAGAGGCCGTTGGTGAGGTAGAGCGGCAGAGGAAGCGCGTCGGAGGCCTTGAGGTTTTGCTTCTGGGATTTAGCGGGTTCGCCAGGGGAGGAGGGGTTTTGGGGTCGCCGACGAACGGCCATCATTAGAGAGAGAGAGAGAGAGAGAGAGAAAAAAACAGGGAGGGGGATTAAACTAATTAAATTAAGAAATTAGTGTACATTAAAACAAAAGGGGAGGATTAGAGGCGGGGATTAATTTAATTGGTTATGAGTTTGTTAAAATGCGAAGGATTTGGACCGTTTTTTATAGAACGAGAAGAGGAGGGGAGTGTGAGGGGAAGAGGAGAGTGTAGGGGTGTGATGTGAGGGGGTTAGTTGGGTTTGGCGCGCTGGACCAAAGGTCCACACGTACGGCGTGAGGACACGTGTCGGGTTTTGTCTCTATGATCGGATCTACAGATCTACGGATCTATGGAAGTGACCATGGATCCCATGCTCATCATGACGATGCGCTCATCGTGGACTTCCCTCTTTTTTTTCTCGAATTAGTTGATTGTTTTTTCTATTTTTGTTCTGGTTTTAACTTTTAATCTTCTGTGCCTCTCTATCCGCCTTTTCCAATGATGTGATGTCTTCTTTTGTTAATTTTTGCAAGGTAATAAATTATTACTGGTACCTTGAAGAAAAGAACAAAATCACTACGTTTCAAATGAATCGTGCTTTTTTCAATTTATCTATTTCAAACGAATCGTGCTTTTTTCAAATCACTACGTTCCAAGCAATTTTGTTTTTTTGGAAGATCCATGTCTTTGCTTGACAAAGTTTTGTTTTGCTACCTACTTGGAAGCCCTAGGTGAACTATCAAAATGCAAATTATATGAATTCAAAGTCAAAATTAAAACTTAAAAAGAAATAAACAAAATGTATTTCACATAACAACTTTATAAAATGCATTAAAATATCATCTCGTATGGTACAAATATTCCTATGTGCCTCGATCAATGAGACAGCTGCAGGACTCTGTGCTATCAAAGTATGCAATCAGTCGAGGGTATAGAGAAATTATCCTAGAGATGGACTCAAAGGTGCTTGTGGAAGGTACAAGGGGGGCTTCAAACAATGGGCTTTGGTCAGTCAAACCGGTAATGGATGAGTATGACAATTATCGAGCTTCTTTAGCGACGTTAGACAGAATTAGGTGCCTAGGCATTTGAATTGAGTTGCTCATAAGGCAGCTGCGATTGGAGCTAGAGCAGTGCAACTGGAATGTTGGGCTGTAAGGCCACCACGGTCTCTTGTGGGTGTTTTGGATTTCGACAGCCTTCCGTGTCCTCCCGTGGATGTCTCTGCTCAGTAATTTGATTAGGTTCCTTTGGGTGTAGGCTTTCTTATAGGCTCTCTTTTTGTTCCTAGTTTGTTTGCATCTTGTTTGTATTTCTGTCTCGTTATTTTGCTGGCGGTTTTTGCTCCTTTTAATGAAGTTTTCAGACCCAAAAAAAAAAGTGTAAATATAATATATGAATTTGAATTCTGGTATATATGCTCAAGGTGTAAGGAAACAAACAAGAGATCTGGCTAGCTAGCTTATTCGAAGATGGTGTGGAGTGTGGTGATTAATTTGTATAACTTAGTAATTAACAACTAATAAGCCATATTGGTTCAATATCACACCAAATTAAGACAATTGGGGCAATTAGTCTAGCTTAATTATAACCTAACTAGCTACTTATTGCCTACTTAACTTAAGAAACATAATTCATATGCATGAATGAATCCAACTGAACAATTCGAACCCTAGAATGCAGGGGGAGACAACCTGGGCTTCCAAGGGAGACAACGAGTTTAAGAACAAATCAATGAGTCCAGTCTAATCTTCCGCATCAAACGAAGCCTTAAAGTTATGTGAAGTATATGTCATACAGATAAATGTGAGCTGCTTTTGAATGTTTCTATCCCTTGATGATGCAGAAGAGACTCAAATGAAGCCAATCTTTAATAAAAGGATATTATAATTAATGGTTGTTCGGTAAATATATATATATGAATCATATATAGCCTTGATGATCCGCTACCAACCCTGATGTCGAAACAAATGATTAAATAAAGGCTAAATCGATCACTTTCATTTGCAAGATCGTCGCTGACCAACAATTTGGTAGTTGCAATGGGCTTGACTGAATCAACTGCCCATGTTTTATGTGCATAGAAATCCCTCCAATAATTCATGAAATATGTGCACGATCTCCTGCTTCAGAATTGAAACCTGGTTTATGCATATACGTCAAGTTGAAATAAAATGGATGGGCATGCATGAGAGCCAGCCAAGACAAGACGGGAATTGTCTCATGCATGCATCAATATATGCATTACGTCCAATCATTAATGCCAAACTCTTGATATGGGAGAAATTATACACCGATTTCAACCATTCCTCCTCCCCATACTCCCTGCCCATTCTTTATCATGCATGCCCAGCACATCTAATTCATTAATTATATATATATGGATAACCCTTCCAACTATACTAGTTTTTTCGCACGCGCTTTTGCGTCTGTGAGAGTTTTTTTTATAAAGAAATTTAAATTTATTTTAGAATTAAAAAAGTTAATGGGTAGTTGTATTCCATAAAAATAAAATCCATTATTTGATTTTTATTTTTATTTTAATATAAAAAAGTGTGAATTTACCATATTATTCTTATTTAATTAATAATTTCAATTCTAGTATTTTGAATATTTTACCATTTTCTATTTTTTACTATATATATATATAGTTAAATGTCTTTAAATAATACCCAACTCATGAAAGAAACAATGACGTAATTTGTGACTTATCAATGGCTCCTGTTAGGCACAGGTACATTAATTGTGCTGCCCTTTGCTATTGCCTACTGGCCTCGGGTCATATATGCATGCACTAGTGGTGGCAATCTACGTGTGCACCACTTCCAGTTATTAGAGAGCTCAGCCACGTCTCCCTCTAGCGTGTCTTGAATTGGTATAAGTCTTGATCGATCAGATTACATATCTAATATCTTAATATTGATTAGTTAAAATTTAATTTTGTATTGGCTTAACGTGAGAAACGTTTTTCGTTGAATCTTTGCTTGTAAAGTTCCTCTTGTACTTGATATAATAATCCCTTGTCGTGTTTGCCTTTCAAAACGTGTTTGATTTTCCAAAAAAGAACATTGATGATCAATTATCTTAAGAAACCGTTTGGTTCATGGCATATATTTGAGAGAAAATCATTTTTCATGTCATTTTCTAAGATATGGAAAATGAAGATTCTTTTCTCATGCTTTGAAATTTTGGGAAAGTAATCAAGAAATACCAATTTATTTCCTTTTACATGTTTGGTTTTGTGTATGAATGTAAAACACATTTTGTTTGATTTTCCAATTATACCCATAAGAAATCAAATAAATAATAAATGCATTTAATGCTATATTGTAATTCTAAATTATTAATGGGGACAATATGGTCATGAAAAATGTGTATTTAATGTTGGCTTATTTTCCCTAACTTTCTCATGAGGAGAAAAACAAAATCCAAGAGAGAAGGAGAGCTTCGCTTTCCCACCTATTTTCTTATGTGCAAGGCAATGATTTTCTATACCTAGACTTACTAAATATAAAACAACAATTAATTTATCATCCTCAAGACTCCTTTTCCATGTATCAAACGGCCTAAATTAAAACTAAGGGAGTTTTACTAAAACACCCAAAATGGGGGCTTAAATTATAAAAAAACCCAACATCCAAAACATTTTATAAACACACCCAAAACTCATCATTACACACACTCAAAACTCATTTATAAATACACCCAAAAAATATACAATTGTTGATTTTGGGTGTGTTTCTATGTTTAAATAGTGCTTGAATTTTTTTATAAATACATGTCTAGGATTGGGTTTATTTATAAATTTGTATTCAAACTAATCGTTCATTCTCACCATATCACCACATAATTAAGTAACCAACAGGTAAAGGCTGGCAAAGATATCAAAATATCTTGAAAAAAAACCAAAAAACAAAATTGAAGACTAAAGACAATGATTGGGCTATTTTGGGCTGGGTTGGGTTGTAGGTGGTAGAATTATCCGGAGCCCGATCCAGACCGTAAGCTGGTTGGGTTGAGGTCGTATAAGTTAAGTTGGCGAGAAAGCCTCAACATACGGCCCTTTTTAATTGGATCCAGGATCTGGTTTGAATATCAAAATGGTTGATCCAAGATTTCTATGTGCAATAAACACAAGGGAATGTACACCCTAGCCAACGTGATAAGTCTTCCAAGTTTTATTTTTTATTTTTTAAGCAATCTTCCAAGTTCCAACCAAATGAGTTTATAACCGAATCCTAGTGGGCTAATGACATATTTACTTATTATGGATAATAACATTATTCTAATACCTGACTGTTCGTGTGTTTATTAATACATATGAAATTTAAAAAGACGTGAATTATACATACAGTTTGTCTTAAAATTATGAATTAGATTGATCACGGGGAAGTAGTTGATCTCACACCTATGTTCTCTCTTTCTTATTCCCAACTTTCTCTAATTCAAGTAAACATGAATCCGCCATACATATTCAAATGTCCCACTTTACGATACACTAAAATGAAGATTTTCATATTCAACACATTTTATACAAAGAACCACATCCAAGTATTAATACATTTGAAATTTGTGCTTATAGAGAATCGAAATCATTCATTGAAAATCCTAAAATTCTTCTTATAACTACATTTATCGTCTATAAGACAAATGTTAGGCAAAGAAATTACTGATTATTAATAGAGATGATGTGTGTGATTTTCGACCCTAATTGGTATTCACTCCATAAAGCTCAATACATCCAAAACCCTTCCGGTTCAAGTTTGGCAATCAATACATAGAATTCTTGTTCGGCAACAAATGAGAGCGACTGTTTGTTTTGAATGTTTTTAAACCATAAACCACAGTTAAACAAAATTCAATTACACACAAACACAAACACACAGAGTAGCCTCCATCTTTTTTTTTTTTTTTTTTTTTTTTTTTTTTTTTTTTGGGGTTTTGTTTTTTTGTTTTTTTGTGTGCTGGGGGGGTCCCCTCCCCCCCACTTTACAAAAGTGAGCCTAATATCCCACGTAGCTTACACATGCTTCATCTTTATCCACTACAGTCTACGCAACAATAAAACCCTAATGAATTTAATATCAAAACATATTATTATTCACCTGAAGTTTTAACACTCCAATAACAGATGTTTTTATTTTTTATTTTTAGAGACCATATATATATAAATTAAAAATAAACCCATGGTTACAATTAGACCCCACTATCTGGATTCTGGCTTGAGCTTTAACTTACCCTATTTATTTTTACAGTTACCCAACTCGAGACAGAGAGACATGGTGCGTCATGTTATTGGGTGAGCACTTAGTTTTTTTTTTTCTTTCTAAAAAAATAAATAAAATACTATAAATGAGAATAATAATAGTGAGTGATGAAAATGTCGGGAAGATTCGGAAAAAAGAAAAGAAAAGAAAATTAAAAAATAACCAAGCTCAGGGCCTGAGGAACTGAATGATTAGCGAAAATCCCTCGGTGTCAGTTATATTTCCGGCAAACCACTGCAGCTATATACCCTTCTAAAATCCCAAATTCTCATTAGTTATTGTGTAAATTCTCTTCCTTTTGCTTTTGCTCTTGCTCTTCAGTTGTTGGATTGAATTGGGTTCGTTTCAGTTTTTGATTTGGACTTTCATCCATCCTCTTACCTCCATTTGTATATATGATCCCAAGCTCAAAAGCTCTGTTTCTGTTTTTTATACTTTGTATTTGTATAGGGTCGTCCTCTTCTACAGGCTAAATCTAGCTAAAGCTTACCAGCAATCACTAGGCCACTAGGGTAGGGGGTTTCTAAAGCAAGGGGGGCAGTAGAAGAAGAACATGGAACTCCGCGTCTTCTGGGTCCACGTCTCTGTCACGTGACTCTGAAATCTCATTGTTACAGTCGTCGTCGTCGTCCCTGATCTTCGTGCTCTGCTCTCTCAAATTCTTCTATCTGTCTCCGTCTCTGTGGGTTATATTTTCTTATGTTTGTGTGTTTATGGCTTACCAACAACAACACCCCCACCACCACCACCATCTTCATCAGCAACAGCAGCAGCAAGGAGGGGCTCAGCTGTTCAATTCCCCATTCGGGGACACGACGTTGACGAAGGTGTTTGTGGGTGGGCTGGCCTGGGAAACCCAAAGCGACACTCTACGACGTCACTTTGAGCAGTTCGGCGACATCCTCGAGGCCGTCGTGATCACCGATAAGAACACCGCTCGATCCAAAGGCTATGGCTTTGTCAGTACCCATCTCTCTCTCCCTCTCTTCCCCCAAATGAAATACCAAGTATTTGATGAAGTTTCAATTTCAATTTACTAATTAGCCTTCTTTGGTTCTTGGTCTGTTTTTGTTTGGAGGGTTTAGGTCACATTTCGTGATCCTGATTCTGCAAGAAGGGCTTGTGCGGACCCCAACCCTGTGATTGATGGCCGCAGAGCTAACTGTAATCTTGCTTCTCTGGGTCGGCCTCGACCTTCTTTCCCATTTCATGGTATATATATCTTCATTTGTCATTGCCTTTTTTTTGCCTGAGTTTTCTTCTGTTGGGTACTTAGCCACTGCTTTTGTAATGCTTGGGTTGCTTTCAAAGTTGTTGTTTTGATGGATTTGATTACAGGGCAACTGAGATCAGCAGCTCCAATCCTTGGTCGTGTGCAGACACCTAGAGCTGCTTACATGGGGAGCCCAAACCCTGCTTACCACCACCCTCTTCCTCATGGTTACCAGCCTGGATTTGTATACCCTTCCTATGGGTGAGTTCTAAATTATAGACATCAATTTTCAGCTCAAGTACAACTGTTGAGACCAGTTGGGTGTTTATGCAATTTGGCTCTGCTTGTCTTGACTTCAAACTGCAACATTCCATTTTCCAAACAAATGCAACTGTCTGATTGGGTATTGTTTCATCAACAACAATTTCCTCAGCACTCCATTTTGGATATGTGAGCTAGTGGTACTCAGTTTTGAGTATCTAAGGACTGAAACTTTAGCTAGTTAAGGTCATCTTCAGAGAGGACATTAACTCCTTTCTTTATGGGAAATTTTATAGCATAGTGCGTTTATCATTTATTGTGTGTTGAATGCTGGGATAGGCTTGACGAACACAGAAGATTACTAGCATTAATCTGTCCGATAGGTCCAGTTCAATAAGAATCTTATTTTGTTTTCTCTGCTTTGCATCTTTTTGCACAATGAACCCCCTTTTTTTACCTGGCCACGTAACTGACGACAATCTTCAAAATGCTTGCCTGGAAGCTTGGGTTTTTGTACATTGTTAAAACTCCATGTGTCTATGTGATCTAAAAAGATTCTTTAATTTAATTTATGCATTGCAGGTACACAGCATATGGACCTGAGTATGTCTACCCACAGGTCATTACTTTAATATGTGATTACAAAGCTTCTGCTTGAAATAAAATAGTTTAAAAATAAATCTTTGATTGTTTGAAAGCTAATTAAGCCTGCTACCGTTTTGTGTTCATCAACTTTCTCCAGGGTGCCTACAGTCCTTACATGAATCAGCAATACCTTCAGATATATGGGGTACCGGGCACAGTAAACCCTGGTGCATATCCATACGGACAATTGGGTCATTCTCTCTCCGGCACTCATGGCTATGCAGCGGTTCAAAGCTATGGAGTTCCAGGCCATCATATAATGCAATTTGGCGGCTCCAATGTCAGTGGAGCATCCCCAGCTTCCATCCCCACAATTCAAACACCATATCCTACAGGCAACACCAAAACCCTTCTTCCCATTTATAAGAATCAAAACACATCTTCATTGAATTTGATAAAAGCTTTTATTGGTTATGCATATAAAAGTACCATACACGTAGTTCTCCCAATTTGATACATCTCCTATTGAAGTTTCTTAAACTTTATTATCATAATTCTTGTATAAATGGAGTGATTCTGGTTTGCTGGGTTTTATCAGGTTTAGCTGCACCAGCTCCAGGACAGGCGCAACTTATACTTCCTACTAATTCTCCTCAATTCACCAGTGGTTCCGATCAAACTGCCGGTTGAGTGGTAAATCGGAAAGGACTAAGAGAAGCTACTGCTACCTAAGTAGCAGGCTCTAATTCTAGCCTTGCAAAGTTAATATCTTTGCTTTCTAGAGGTGACATCTGTCTTTCCCTTATAAAGTAAGATTTTACTAGCTAACATCCATAGCTGTAGAATAAAATTGTAGCTTTGCTTTTTCAAACAGATTAAATGTACCATCACAAATTGCAATTTAACCAACATCAATTTTTGACTGATAGTCCTTTTTAAGCTCCATTATTTCTTATCAAAATCATAAAGTTCCCAACTTTGTGGATTTTTAGTCACATCTGAAGCAGTGTTTTTTTTTTCTTCCTTTAAATTTCTTTTTTTGGGTTTATGAATCTTCTGAATATGATAAGTTTAATCATTGCAGGTCATTCATGAAGGTCATCAGAGATGCTGCAAAGTCAGCTGTTAGATGTTGAGTCGTTCTGAACCCCTTGAGTTGTGAGGATGTGGAAGAGCATGGGTTTGCTTTTTCACCTGTGTCTGTAAAATATGCTGTTGTTGTGCCACGTGGCTGAAAGCCACTTGGCATAATATTGTTGTGGGTCAATGTGTTTGCTGGATATGGTTTTCTGGCAAGCGCATGTAATAAGATTGTAAATTTGTAAATAACCTCCCCGCTCTCTCTGTATGTATGTATAAGAATCAATACGATTCGTTTTGTGGACCCAACATATGGGTTCACAGTCGATGCCCTGGTGCGCTGCGCATTGGTGCACTGCTGCCTCACATTGTATTTAGCACAAAGTCATTGCTGAAATTTGAATTTGTCTATTCAATTGGGGTTTCTTCATTTTCATTTAGGGCTGGCTGATTCTGAAGCCTCAGCTTCTTCTTCTTCCATTTTGTTGTGTAACTTGTCATTTTGCCTGTTTACACAAAAAAGAAACAAGAGGAAGTTTCTTACTATGCTTAGCCACGGACCCAAAGGAAAAAGAAAGAAATCTGAGATGGTGTGTGCAATTTTTAAAACAATAATTCTAAGAGCAGCAATTTATTATGCAACTTTTAAACTTTTATATCCAAATTGATGCGATAGCATTTCATTTTGTTATATTTAGGTAATCTTGATAGCATTTCATTTTGTTATATTTAGGTCATCTTGAACTTTATTTATTTACGATCAGCGAGAGTGACTTTGTGCCTGCAATACTATTTTATTATAAAGAGAATTCACGTCGAATTTCAATACATATTATTTATGCTCACAAGTCAGCGAGAAAGCTATAATGAGGAGTTTAAAGTAAGGATGCTATTTGAGGAGGCCAATTTCACCATCAAAACATTTAAAATGTTTAAATCCAATGATTTCTTTACATTTGTTGAGGGTGAGATCAACCTTCTCAAATAGTCTCATTCACTTTAAACTCCTCGTTATAGCCTCCCCACAAGTCAGTAGTATGCACATCAAATTCTTGGGTGTGGTGAGTAGAAGCCCAAAACTAGAAGCTTGGTCAAATAAGCCCAATAAACTAGCTCATATGCTGCAGCCCAAGCAGTTGTTCTGGTTATTCTATTTCACAGATTTGAATCTGTGAAGAACCAAGAGGAAGGAGACGAAGACGACAACGAAAAAGGAGAGGAAGAAAAAATCCAACACAATGGAGGAATATCCAGAAGAAATGAGAAGTCCACCGGTGAGCCTAGTATCAGTGGTGGGCTGCTCCGAACTCCACACCTCCATCTCCACCTACCTCCACTCTCTCGACCCACCGATAAACACCCTGGCCTTGCCTGATCTCTCCAAGGCCTCCCTCCTCTTGACCCCCAAGCCCACCACCACTCCCACCTCCGATTCGACCGCTCCTCCACCCGCCGGAATATTAAAGCGAGAATGGCTCCTCAAGCACCGCACCAAAGTCCCCTCTGTCGTCGCCGCCCTCTTCTCCTCCGATCGGGTTTCCGGAGACCCCGCCCAGTGGCTTCAACTCTGCTCCGACCTCGATAATCTCAAAGCCCTCCTACGCGGCAGAAACATCAAGCTGGTCGTCGTCGTCGTCTGCTCCAATCCCAACGGTCGGTGACTCCGTAGCTCAAATTCTGTAACGTAAATTGCATTGGGTTTTTGAAAAGATTGGATTTTGAATTGTATTGCATTTGAGTTGATGCAGATGAAATCTCCGAAGATCAAATGGTTGCTGTGCGGAAGCGTGCGGATGTGGATGCCAAGTACCTTCTCACGTTTTACCAAAACCCAGATGGGGACGGCGATGGTTCTCAGCTTAAAGAGTCTCTGTACAGATTGGGAAGCGTGTTTGTAGAGCTGGCCAGCAGGTATTATAGAGATGAAGGAAGAAGGATCAAAGCTCGTATTGAGAGGAAGTCTTCTAATCCTCCTGAACTCAACATCCGCTATTCCTTCAAAGTAAATCACTACCATAATCTCTATCATCTTCCATCATTTCTAGTGTTGTAGTGTTTCTCATGCTATATATTTATCAATTTCATTAATTTTTTAGGTTGCTGTGTATGCTGAGTTCAGAAGAGACTGGGCTGAAGCTTTAAGGTTTTATGAGGATGCTTATCACACCCTACGTGAGGTACCCTTTTTCTTCTTTTCTTCAAAAATTTGTTTTGAGATGGCTAGTAGCTTCCAAACCCAATAGTACAATACCAATAGTCTGGAATTCCTAAGTGTTCAGTGTTGTCATATTTGTGTTTTCATTTGTTTGCAGTTGATTGCTGGGACATCAAATCGGGTGGCGATTCAACGCTTGGTTGAGATAAAAACTGTTGCGGAGCAATTGCATTTCAAAATCTCAACCTTGTTATTGCATGGTGGAAAGATTATAGAAGCAGTTGCGTGGTTCCGCCAGCACAATGCTTCATACAGAAAGCTGGTAGGAGCACCAGAAGCTATATTCCTTCACTGGGAGTGGATGAGTAGACAGTTCTTGGTGTTTGCCGAGTTGGTGGAGACAAGTTCAGCAGCCATTCAAAGCATTTCGCCTCTACCTATGGGCACTGCAGACAGACCTTTGACTGAGTGGGAATTTCAGCCAGCGCATTACTATCAGGCAAGCTTACTTCTCTAGCATCCTAATATTACTACCAAATCAAAGATTGGCATGATATATCCCCTTAAACTTCCATAACCTTCATGATAGTTTTGTTACCCCCTGTGCAACTGTTTCAATTGTTTTCTACTCAAAGAAGCTGCTGCTTAGTCAGGATTCCTCCAATTTCTTCCAAATTAGATTGTCTAATCAACCCGTAGTATAGTTTTATTTTTAAATTCTTGTTTGAATGATTGATTAAAAGTTTGATTATCTCTAATTAATAATCAAATTTTCAGTTTCCACTTTGTTGATTCAAAATATTTTAATCTTGAACCAGTTAGCTGCTCACTACTTGAAGGAGAAGAGATCTTCTTTGGAATTTGCGGTTTCGATGTCAGAAGGTGAGATCGATTGTAGTGCTGAATCTGTAGTACCTTCATCGTATTTGGGTCAGTTTGCTCGATTAATTGAGCAAGGGGGTGCATTTGTCATGCAACCGTAAGTATCTGTTAATCAGTACCGTGATTTTTTCTTCTTGATTTCATGAATTCTCCTACTAAAGCTTGCTAAGTTCTATTCAACGTGCAGTCTTAATGATGAAGAGTATATGCGCTATGCTATTTCTGAAGGGAAAAGGTTCCAAGATTCCTTTGAAATTATTGCTTTACTAAAAAAATCATGTGAATCATACAATAATCGCAAAGTCAGGAGAATGGGCTCATTTTGTGGGTTCCAGATGGCCAGGGAATATTATGCTTTAGGCGATTTTAGCAATGCAAAACAGTCTTTTGATGATATTGCAAGTCTATACAGACAAGAGGGTTGGGTCACTTTGTTGTGGGAGGTATTGGGTTACCTGCGTGAATGTTCAAGGAAACAGAGTAGAGTTAAGGATTTTATAGAGTACTCCTTTGAAATGGCTGCGCTCCCTATATCAGCTGATGCTAGTATCCAGTCTTTCAGATTTGAAGAATCTGGTCCAGCTGGACCTGCGACTATCCTACAAAGAGAAACAATAAACAAAGAAGTTTTTGGGCTTGTTAGTGGAGAACTGAGGTTGGCATCAATTGAAAACGGCAATGATCTGAAAGTATGTGACGGGAATCCACTTCACCTGGAAATTGATCTCGTCAGTCCTCTTAGATTGGTACTTCTTGCTTCAGTTGCTTTTCATGAACAAATAATCAAGCCTGGCTCATCCACACTGGTTACGTTGTCACTTCTGTCACAATTACCTCTGAATTTCGAGATTGATCAGTTAGAAGTCCAGTTCAATCAGTCTGATTGTAACTTCATCATCATGAATGGCCAAAGGCCTCATGTAGCTGCCATGATTGATGGTCAACCAGGTCGCCGAATAGAGACTGCTCCTTCTTTGGCACTTTCAACAAATAAATGGCTGCGATTGACGTATAACATCAAATCGGGTAAGATAAAGCATATGTTCTGCACTCTACAATGTTTGATTATACATTAGGTTTCATTTTGATATGCATGCAGCAGATATTACCTGATGTATCATTGAAATGTTAGGATATCTGAGTGTAAATTTTGATATGCCTCCCTAATCTTGTGAAATTATCAGTTGTTAGAATAAACTGCTTCCAGAATCAACTTAGAAGGTGTATGAGTTAGGTGTGCATGTTGGCTCCGTTTCTTCTTTTTCCCTTTGCCAAGAGAACATTATAAAAAGTTAGTTTCGGTTTATGGAACATATTTTTCTGATCCACTGATAGTAGTTATTATATGACTTTGGCCAGCTTGGACAACTTTTTGCTCAATTGTCTTAATAGCCAAGTTTTGAGTCATTGCTTTGTGTTTGATAATTAAATTACTTGCGTGCATGCCTCCTCTGTGTATCAGGAATTCAGCTTAGTATCTTTGATAGTATTGTTAGATCTATCATGCCCCCCTTGCATTGTTCTCTGATTGTAACACAATTCTTTGACTATACAGATAAAAGTGGAAAGCTCGAATGCATATCTGTTATTGCAAAAATAGGACCCCACTTTACAATCTGTTGCAGAGCAGAAAGTCCTGCTTCAATGGATGATTTGCCTCTTTGGAAATTTGAAGACCGTGTGGTTACCTATCCAACCAAGGACCCTGCTCTGGCATTCTCTGGTCAGAAGGCTACTCAGGTTGAAGAGCCAGACCCAGAAGTAGACCTTAATTTAGGTGCTTCTGGCCCTGCACTGATTGGAGAGAGCTTCATAGTCCCTGTTACTGTCACGTCCAAGGGCCATGATGTTAACTCGGGTGAGTTGAAGATCAATCTAGTGGATGTAAGGGGAGGTGGTTTGTTTAGCCCAAGGGACACGGAACTGTCCATGGATAGTCATCATGTTGAACTTCTTGGTATTTCTGGACCAGACGGGGAAGATGAATCTCAACTAAACACTGATGAAATTAAGAAAATTCAACAGTCTTTCGGTTTGGTTTCTGTTCCTTTTCTCAAAAGTGGAGACTCGTGGTCTTGTAAATTGGAAATCAAGTGGCACAGACCCAAACCAATTATGCTCTATGTATCATTGGGTTATTCTCCAGATACTAATGAATCAAACACACAAAAGGTTAATGTCCACAAGAGCTTGCAGATTGAAGGAAAGAATGCAATCATAATTAGTCACCGTTTTATGCTTCCATTCCGGCGGTACCCATTGTTGCTTTCTAGGACAAGGCCAGTTCCTGATACTGATCAGTCAGCATCAATGCCATCAAACGAAACAAGTGTACTTGTTGTTAGTGCTAAGAACTGTTCTGATGTGCCGCTTCAGTTGCTATCGTTATCCCTTGAAGTAGATGGTAATGATTGCACGGAAAGGTCATGTTCTGTGCAACATGGAGGTAAGGACCTATTGGACCCTGCCCTTCTTGTTCCAGGAGAAGAGTTCAAGAAGGTTTACACTGTCACTTCTGAGATGAATTCTTCAAAGCTTAAGTTAGGTAATGTGTGTCTTACATGGAGAAGGGATTCAGGGTCTGAAGTGCAATCTGGTTCTAAAGCTTCAGTTTTAACTACACACAGACTTCCTGATGTTAATCTAGAGTTGTCACCTCTGGTGGTGAGTTTGGAGTGCCCTCCTTATGCAATCCTTGGAGATCCTTTCACATATTTTGTTAGAATTCAGAACCAGACAGAATTGCTTCAGGAAGCCAAAATTTCATTGGCAGATGCACAAAGTTTTGTATTAGCTGGGTCTCACAATGATGCCATTTTTATTCTTCCAAAGTCTGAGCACATCATCAGATACAAGCTTGTGCCACTTGCCTCGGGTGCACAACAGCTACCAAGATTTACGTTAACCTCAGTTAGATATTCAACTGGGTTTCAGCCGTCAGTTGCTTCGTCTACTATTTTTGTGTTTCCCTCTAAGCCTCATTTCAAGATGGTTGCTGTGGGAGATGATAGGTTGGAATCATTGGTGGCTGAATGACTCCTGCCTCTGTTGAATAAATCTTGTGAAGAAGATGCAAAGTGGATGTTATGACAGGCTTGCTAGATGCATGTTGTTGGATAGGTGCACCCTGTATTTGACTACCACCGAGCAACGACACGGGAGATGTACTGATAAATATCAAGCTCGGGGATCATTGGCCTTGCCACAGTTAGTCAGTATATGGTCTTGCATCTCTTGGAAATGTGGTTTATCAGTAGGAGATGGGTTCACCCCGGCCCTTGCATCTCCTAATAAGGCAAAAGCATGATGACGATGGGGTGAAATACTATGAAAAAAAACTTATGGGCGTGGTAGTCCTCCTAAGTCTGGATATGAAGGATATGTAACTGGTTAAACAGATAACCGAGAAAATTACTACTTTATTGAAGCACTGGTAACCCCTTTTTATTACAAGTGGTGTGGGACTTGACTGGGAGTACCTTGTGAAAATTTGTTGTGATGATAGATGCTATATAGCTGTGGTCAGATTGTATTGGTGGTACTACTTTCAGTGATGGCTTTAGCTGCTTCTGTGGCGGCCGTGGCAGGGTGAGGTCAGAAAACTAAAGGTGGTGGGAATATTGTTATTTTCCGTAGAGTTTCCGGACGTAGCAGCAGCAACTTTCATGATGACTTTCATTCATCCCCAGAATAGAGGTTCTTACATGAATCCAGTAACTATGAATTTCTTGTGAAGGTGCAATGTTTTTGGTAACATACTATCAGAGTAGGGATCTTTTTTTCGTAGAAAAAATTCAAATAGTTGTACTTTGTAGGATAAATATTTGATATGGTGATTATTATTTGTTTAAAGTCATTTTGCGAAGACCAGATTGAAAATTTTAATGTTGTCAAAAATGTTTTCTTACTCCATTGTCAGTATTTAAATCACAATGAGTTCTTGCCTAATGGAGGGGTACTTATTATGTGTAATCTTGTAGGACAATGATCCTCTCCTAAACCCATTTCCGTTATTCAAATGGCAGAAATTAAAGAATACACACTCTACTTTGCAACTCTGAATGAATTAAATTAAAGAAATCTCCTAATTTAGATTTGTTGCTTGCATCTTCTGTAAAGAAAAAGACTAAAGGATATGAGAGGGAAGTCAATTTTAATTTACCAACACTCTGGATGCACACTCAAATTCATCCTCCATACCAAAATGTTCTTCCTCCAAGCATTGCAAAATCTCATAATCCATTACATTCTCCTCATTTCCGGCCGTAAAAGCTTCATCAGCAACATCTTCATCACTGAAATCTTCTTTGTTCGTCATCGTTGTTACTAGGTTGAATCCTTGGCTTGTAAAGGAATTTTGGCAGGATATAGCTTTGTAAAGCGGGAAAAAGGGAAAAAATACTGTAGGTGTTAGCAAAGCATTCAAAACAACTTCAAACATTTTGTTCTTACAACTAAGAGATAATCTTTTGCCCCTGCATCACACGCTATCCAAAACAAGTGTGATATGAACAGTTCATCAAAATTTTGGACGGTTAGTAAATGGAATGATTTCAATTTTCCCACTTTAATGCATCCAACAACTAGAGAAAAAGCATTTATGAATTTTGTTGTTGTTGATACAAACAAACAAATATTGAGGGAATGAAGTTTTCTCATGCATATATTATGAATGTATCATTAAGGTTCGAACTTAAGACCCTGGTCCTTTCCACTAATTAAACCCTACTGACAAGCATTTTGAATTGGATGGGTTAAAACCCGGTTGGCAAACATTCTGAATTGGATGTTCTTACCACAGCACTCGCATACAAGAATTCTTTAGTAAGGGCCTTATATATGGCCCGTATCTCTTAACTATTGAATTAAATTAGTTAGCCAAATTGATTAGCATGATCCAATAGTTAGGGGTCATATTAAGGCCCTCACTACAGAATTCTTGCTATTGAATGACTCTTACCACGTAAGCCAAGAGCCAGCTTATTAGCACAAAGGCCTAAAACAATACAAAACAGAACTCCCCCGCGCAACGGACTCGGGATATGTAACCCGCCAATTCTAAGTGGGCCCGGCCAACCAAATTCACAAACATAACTAACGAATCCTTAACTTAACTGTCACTCTTTTCACTCTCGACGCTTCTCCATAAACCCTAGCTATACCTCCTGAGTTCATTGAAGCTAGGGTTTTTCTACAACTCCCCAACATGGAAGACATCGAAATGGACGACGCCTACACTCTCCCCCTAAGCGAAGACGACGACGACATCTGCACCTCAATCCTCGCGCGCTTCAGCAACTCCACGCGCGACGACCACCGCCACCTCTGCGCAGCCATAAGCGCCATGTCTCAGGAGCTCAAAGACAAGAACATCCCTTCTACCCCGGTCGCCTACTTGGGCTTCACGTGCTCTTCTCTTGACGGCCTCTCCTCCCAGCCCGAGCCTCCCGCTCACGTGATCGACGCTCTCCTCACAATTCTCTCCATTGTCTTTCAAAAAGTCTCGGCCGCAATTCTCATGAACAAGTCCGAGTTCCTATCGGAGCTCTTGGTCCGTGTTCTGCGGTCGTCTTCTTTGACGGTAGGTGTAGCCGTCTCAGGGTTGAAATGTATATCGCATCTGCTCATCATCAGAGGCCGTGTCAACTGGTCTGATGTATCTTCATTGTACGGCTTATTTTTGAGCTTCATTACTGATTCTTGCCCTAAGGTAAATAGCTCAAATTTGTATTTGTCCGTTCATGTTGATCGATATTTGTGATGTAGATTATAGGGTAATTTTCACTTTGAAGTTTACTGAGTTTCAGCTTTGTATCACTTTCATAGCTCCGTTATGGGAGGTATGTAAGTGATACTAAAATAAATATGCCACTGACATGAAAAAAACTTGATGTATAGAAGTCTAAAACTCCAACCTAATAAATTTAAAAAGATATTTATCCTAGATTCTATAAATTTAGTTATATATAGTTTAAATTATACAGCACGATCATTGCAAATTTGTTTGTTTGGTTCAAACATATCATCATTGCGCATGGCAACAGCTGGAAATTTATTGAAATTGTGCTGGGATGACTGATTGCTAATGTTTGTAACGATTTTTAGGTGTGTCCTAGATAATTTACTAGATTTGTATGCCAATTGCACTCTAAAACAGGTGAGAAGACAATCACATTTGTGTCTTCGTGATGTACTGCAAAGTTTTCAAGGAACACCGCTGCTCGCCCCTGCAAGTGAAGGGGTTACTAACTTATTTGAAAGGTTTCTTCTGCTTGCTGGTGGGTCAAATCCAGATGCGGGTGAAGGACCCAAGGGAGCTCAGGAGGTCTTGTATGTTTTAGATGCTTTGAAAGAGTGTCTTTTTCTTATGTCAATCAACTACAAAACTGCCGTCCTCAAGTACTACAAAACTCTCTTGGAACTGCACCAACCACTTGTTACGAAGCGCATAACAGATAGTTTGAATATACTTTGTCTCAATCCAACTACAGATGTTTCTCCTGAAGTGTTGCTCGATCTGTTATGCTCATTAGCTCTTTCTGTCTCCACAAATGAGACATCTGCCGATGGGATGACATTTACAGCTCGTTTGCTTGGTACTGGAATGGCTGAAGTTTATTCCCTCAATAGGCAAATATGCGTAGTTAAACTCCCCACCGTATTCAATGCACTCAGAGGTTTGTAATGTTCTTCTTCCTCCATTGGCTTTAGTTGCATACATGTTACCTTCTTATACATTACAAAATCCTCCCCCAAGTTCTTGTTTATATCTGTTCCATTGTAGAAAGCAAGACTCAAAAAGTACTGTGGTGTTTTTCTTTGAGTATGACAGATGTACTGGCATCTAAGCATGAAGAGGCCATACAAGCGGCGACGGACACATTTAAGAGTCTCATTCATGTTTGCATCGATGAAAGTTTGATTAAACAGGGAGTTGACCAGATTGTAATGAATGCAAATATGGATACAAGGAAGTCGGGGCAAACTATAATTGCTGAAGTGTGTGCTTCTATTGAAAGCTTACTTCGTTATGATTACAATGGTGTCTGGGACCTTGTATTTCATATTGTTTCAGCAATGTTCGATAAATTAGGTATTACTTTTGCTGTATCTGACTGTTTTCCTCTTGTTTGTCACTTTCGATGCACTTACTACCTCCATTTCATTTAAGAGTTGTAACAGCTGTTATCATACAGGTGTATACTCTTCTTATTTCATGAGGGGTACACTCAAAAGCTTGGAAGATATGGAGAACTTGCCTGATGAAGATTTCCCTTTTAGGAAACAGGTCTTTTTCATATTATCCAGTTTTAAGAGATGAATACTGTTACTTGTCATTATCTTATAGATCTCTATATTTGCACCATGGCTATCTCTATGAGGAGAGCCATATTTCCGTTGCATTGCTTTGATCGTGGATTTCTGGTCAAATATTGCAAACTCATAACATATGTAAACCTCAGATCCAAGTCTCTATCTATAGGTTTGACATCATAATTAACTAGGTCCACCGTTAATATTTACTAGTTTTTTGGTTGCAGGTCAAACTCTTTATTTATTTTTTAAGATTATTTGGAAGCTTCTTGTGTGATGTGTCTATGTTTACTCTCAATTAGTGCAGCAATTACTGATATAATGACTTTATTAATATTATAGCTGCATGAATGCCTTGGATCGGCTCTTGTTGCAATGGGACCTGAAACCTTTTTGGGTCTTATACCTCTTAATTTGGAGGCTGAAAACTTAAGTCAGGTGAATGTCTGGCTCTTTCCGATACTGAAGCAGTATACTATTGGTGCACGTTTGAGCTTCTTTACAGAGTCAATTTTGGGTATGGCTAGAACGATAAAGAAGAAATCTAGAAAGGTATTGAACAGTTCATACTGATGGAATGCTAGTTGATTATTTCAGATGGAATTTTTTAGTTACATCTTGTATTTGGCAGCTTGAGTCACAAGGACGTACTTTTTCATCAAGGAGTACAGATGCACTTGTACATGCTTTGTGGTCATTGTTACCTTCATTTTGCAACTATGCTTCCGATACTGCTGAAAGTTTCAAGGATCTAGAGCAAGCCCTGTGCAGTGCCCTTAAAGATGAACCTGAGATTCGTGGAATTATATGCTTGAGCTTGCAGATTCTTATTCAACAAAATAAAAAAACTGTGGAAGAAATGAATGATCTGGCTTATAGTGAAGTAGGTAGTGCCAGACATAGAGCTTTGGCTAATTATACCCCTCAGGTTACAGCAGATAACCTAAGCGTGCTCAAGTCATCTGCTTGCAAGTTACTGGATGTTTTATCAGATGTCATTTCGAATACCACAAAAGATGATGCAGGCTGTTTGCAGGTACTCACGCAGATTGATGTTATATGCCTGTCTTGTAGTGTTTGTCCTGCAAAATACTTGCAAATTGGAATTGATTTTAAAATAGTCATGAATTTGTGAGTTTGCTACTGGAGTTACAGCTCCCCTATGAACCATGCATATTCTTGTTAAAACCAAAAAGTAATGAGTATTCCTGACGCATTCTTTTATGCGAGAAAGAGAGGAGGAGAAGAGTTATCTCTTTATCCAATGTACTAGGTACCTGGTAATGGATATTTTAAAGAACTTCAACATAATTGAGCAATAAAGACACGGGAACAAAATGTGGTGGAGACAGACTCTCTATAAGCTCCAATCCCTTTTTACAGTACCACCCTTTTCTACTCTTCTTTCCTCTGCTTCCCCTAACATTCTTGTCTTTTTCAATACTCAAAAATAGACCATTATCTTTGATATATGTTCGTACTTTAAAAAAGGAACTTGTTAATGTGGCTCCAATTTCTGTGAAGTTGAGAATAATTATGTTTGCACCGTTTACAGTCCACAATTGGCGAGTTTGCTTCAATATCAGATGAAGAAGCTGTGTCAAAGTGTTTCAAACATAAAAAGACACAGCTTTTAAAAGAGGCAAAAGATTCTAGAGATTCTAATTCCAACCGGTATACCATTTTCGTTTGTCAAGTTCTTGATTTTTATAATTTAATTATTACTTTTCTCTTTGTGGAATTTCTGACATTACATGAATTCTTCCATCTTAACTGCAGGGCACAACTATTTGACTTGGCAGTTTCATTTTTACCTGGTTTAAATGCTGAAGAGGTTGACGTTCTATTTGGTACAATAAAGCCTGCATTACAGGTTTGAAAGGGTTTCTCTTCCGTCTGGCTATTTTGTTCACTTCTAAGGGATCCTCCAATGCTTGAAAAAAGAAAAAGTTTCACTAACTAAGGGCTTCCTGACTTCAGGATGATGAAGGCTTGATACAAAAGAAGGCATACAAAGTTCTTTCAATCATTCTCAGGGTATGCAATAGTTAATGATTTATATGCTTTGAATTTTATGAATTATCTGTTAAATGCTTCCATTCTGCGACCTGAATTGTCATCATCTGTCAGTGGAAAATATGGGAAAACATGATTTACTGGTTGTAATTGATTTGTTTTGCGGCTAATGTCGTAGTTAAAGAAGTGATGGTCACAGATATCAATCATAATCTTCTGGAATACTCATGTTTTCAAAAATATGAAAAAGGAGAAACAATAAGGTGAAATTATGTGCTGCTGGGGCATCACCTACCCAGGTTACCGTGGTGTTTTTTTTTAATTTTTATTCTTTTTTCCCTAATGGATCTCTTTGCTGAATGTATGGTCAGGACTGTGATAGGTTTCTTTCATCGAAGCTCGATGAATTGCTTGACTTGATTGAAGTGCTGCCTTCTTGCCATGTTTCAGCTAAACAGCACAGACTTGACTGCTTGTACCTCCTAGTAGTCCACCTTTCAAAGGTATCCATTAATAAACGATACCTCAATTTTTAATTCATCTAACATTCATTCCTTGTAGCATTAGTTCTTAAATTATTGGGAATAAAGTTTAGGTTCAAGTTTCGTACGTATGCCATTCAGTACCTAAGAACTCTTCAATCTTTTTGTAGAGCGGCGCAGAGCAGAGGCGGCATGTCATCCTCAGTTTCCTGGCAGAAATAATTCTTGCACTTACAGAGGTAAAGTGGTTCATCAGCTGGAATATCTGGTTTAATATGTAGTTTTAATATTCCCGAGTATAAAATTCTTGCACTGAAAGAGGTAAAAGATCTTGCATGCCGCGGCTTCTAAACTTTATGATTGATATGAATTGTTAATGAATTTTTTTCTTTCAATGCAGGCTCACAATAAGACAAGAAATAGAGCTTATGATATCCTTGTCCAAATTGGGCATGCTTATGGTGATGAGGAGAAAGGCGGGAAGAGAGAAGACCTGTTGAAATTTTTTTACATGGTGCTGAATATTGTTTCAGACTGCTCAGTTATTACAGCTCAAATTTACTGATACTTCTATTGACTAGAAGTCTAACCTCTTTGCCCCCTTCCTCCTTTTGATTATGACTGATTCAATCATCTTTAATTGCATCGCTCTTCTGTGGACCAGAGTAGAAATTCATATATAAATATGTAGAGAGTCTGAGCTGATCTTATGGTCACAGGTAGCTGGGGGCCTAGCTGGTGAAACTCCTCATATGATCAGTGCTGCAATGAAGGGCTCAGCTCGGTTGGCTTATGAGTTTTCTGATCTTGTTTCAACCGCTAGCAATTTGCTTCCGTCCACATTTCTCCTCCTCCAGAGAAAGAACAAAGAAATAATTAAAGTATATGTTCCCCTCTCTTTTAGATCAGCATTTTGGAGTTATTTAATTATTTTGAGTTAACTGCTTAATAAATCATTGTGTGATTTGTTATTTCAATTGACCTTACATAAATATTTTCATTTATTTTTTATTATTCGTTGGGCTTTTCGTTACTGCAGGCTACTTTAGGTTTCTTGAAGGTATTAGTGGCCAAATCACAAACCGAGGGGTTGCAATTGCACTTGGAAAGCATGGTGGAAAGCTTGCTGAAGTTGCAAGATGCTACTAAAAACCACTTCAAAGCCAAGGTTGCTTCCTTCTTGCCACTAAATTTCGACGTCATTGAATTCAGTTGGTTTGATAACTTGCCCAAATTCTTATCCCTTGCTGGTCAAACCTGAATTGATCTCAGGTTAAGTTTCTTCTAGAAATGCTAGTCAGGAAATGTGGGCTTGATGCTGTTAAGGCTGTGATGCCTGAAGAACATATGAAACTGCTTACCAACATACAGAAGGTCTGTTGACACACGTCTTGGTAGAATGAAAATTTCCAGGGTAGTCACTCTTTTTCTTTTTCTTTTTCTTTTCTGATCTTCCTTTTTCATTTGTTTATTGAACACAGATCAAGGAACGGAAAGAGTGGAAACTAGGTTCTAAATCTGAGGAAGCTAGATCTCAAGTTTCCAAAGCAACTACATCCAGGTCTCAGTCTTCCACAGTTTTAAAACTAATAAATGCTCGAGCACAACACATACTTTTGTGCATTTTTATGTTTTATTGTACACACGTGTATGTTGCCCATGAAGCTTTATATGATATTAGCTTCAATTCAGCTTCTCCTCGGCTATGTTTTGTATCTTTCTGTTATTTTCTATCTTGTTTTCAGGTTAAGCAGGTGGAACCATACAAAAATATTTTCTGATTTTGATGATGGAGAAACTGAGGATAGTGATAAAGATTATATGGATGCCAAAACAGTCTCAGGCAAACGTCGCAAGGCTTCCTTGCAGCTCAAATCCAAAACATCTTCATTACGGTAGGTTGTATTTCATGTTCATATTTGGTTGGGAATGCTTAGCTTATTATACTATATATGCATCTTCCATGATAATATTAGTAGCTGATGGTCTAGAAATGTTTCAACAATGATTTGATAAATAAACACGATCCATTTAAAGCAAATTTATCTGGTTGATCATCTAGCCTGTGGTTCAGTTGGTGGTTTTGTTTGCCATTTTTTGGAAGTTGTACATCATCCGATGCCTGAGATAAATAAACACAATTGTTTGTACGTAATACAGAAGAAGAACAAATAAGAACTTGCTTGATCAACTAGAAGATGAGCCACTTGACTTGCTTGATTGGCAAAGAACGAGGTCAGCGCTTTTATCATCCGAGAATTTAAAGCGAAAAATGGAGTCGGATGATGAGCCAGAGATAGATGATGATGGGCGCCTAATAATTTGTGACGAAGCAGAATCGTACAAGAAAAAGCCATCCAAACCTCATTCAGATGCAAGAAGTGAAGCTGGTGGTAGTTACTTGTCCGTAGACTCAAAGAAAACACACAAGCGGAGGAAGACATCAGAGTCCAGGTCGGCTGCCACCGGCAAAGAGTATGCGAGCAAGAAGGCTGGTGGGGACTTGAAGAGGAAGGACAAGCTTGAACCATATGCATATTGGCCACTTGATCGAAAAATGATGAGCCGTAGGCCGGAGCATAGGGCAACTGCAAGAAAAGGGATATCAAGTGTGGTGAAGATTACAAAGAAGCTTGAAGGGAAGAGTGTTTCAACTATTCTCTCCACTAAAGGCTTCAAGGCTTAAGAATAAAAGTAGAGTTCAGAACAAACGAGGTAGCAAGAAGAAAACTAGGTGAAGGCCCCTTTTATGGGACTTCTCGGAACGACACATTTATGGGAAATTTGTATTGAAGGGTCTTTTTTTCTTCTCATATAAATTACAGTAATTTTCTTGATTTATTAATTCATATTGTTCCTAAACCCTAAGCTTAAGGACCCTTTTATGGGAAAAGATTTTGGAAATCACGAAAGGCTTCAAGAAACAATTTTATCCAACAAGGGTAATTCTTCAGTATAGCCGTGTAGTTATACTGAAGAATTGGGAACGACGTCGTAAGAGCAGCTATTTAAATATTCATGTTTTTAAGGTATTACAACGTCGTAGACCTTTTAAATATATTCGTCTGCATTTGGGAATATGGCTTATTTTCACAATTTGTCACACAGCTTGTATAATTTTGGGAGAAGAAACAGAACAGTTAAAAAGAAAATTACAATTAGGCAGTGCCAAAAAGGATTTTATTTTTTTTATTTTTTATACAATTACGAACAATCACCACTCCTCAAACTTTGTAGTAGATCCAGGTATCCAAAGCATTCGGGCCTAATGTACCTGCATTGATTAAAAACAAACATCAGATTTTTAGAAGGGAATCGCAGGTAGGTGCATTATGGTTCATTAAAATAAACTATTGTAGGTTTGGTCCTTTACCATACAGTAAATTATACTACAGGTTGATCCAAAGTGGGAAATAACTTATCCTAAAGATGCCAGAACCCACAACTAGGGTTACAGGCAGATGATGATGATGGCTATACATACATCATCACCACATGGCTCATTGTCAGGTAAGCTTAACAGTCAGTATATGCGAAAAGAAATGTATCTAAATGTATGAATTTTGGTAGTAAAATTCAAAATACCCGTGTCGAAACAGGAAATCAATGATGACAAGAGAGCAATTTGACTTGAAAAATTGTGTCCTTCGTATAATGCTTGCAACATCCGTCACAGGTATCAACTTGAAGCTCTCCACCTCTCCATCTGTCACATGTTCAATAAGGGGAAAATTGCAGATGGTTTAGGATTAAATGAAAGGTGAAAAATGACAAAGCTGAAGGCAAAGTTTACAACTAATATAGGTAAAAGCTAAGCTCCAAGGGTCTTACCTTGATTCTTAGGCGTGAAACTCTCAGGAAGTTTTAAATCATAGCAAAACAAAACATCCCTTTTGAATCTATACCCATCAATGTCCATATATGAAACAGCACCAACTGGTATAGCTCTGTATGAGAAGCATTGCCAAACCCATTACTCAGTGTGTGTAAGAGAGATAGAGAGAGAGATGGAGAGATGGAGAGGGAGAGATTTTGCAATAAAAACAATTTCTAAATTGAGGCAGTGAGTTAGCCAAATAAAGTTCAATTTCATAGCCAAACAAGGCATGCCCTATATAAGATAATATACTGATAATTTAATGGTTAACAAAAACTTACACACTAGACATGGAACTGGGTATTCCGGCTTCCTCTTCACATTCCTTTACAACATTGTCCCCACATGCAACCCCATGAGGCTGCAATTACAAACAGGGGATACATAATAAAATTCTAGCTCAGAAATGCATTAAGATCATTGCTAACTAGAAAACAGGCTTAACGAAGAAAGGATTGTATAAACTTTATCATTTTTTATAACTTATTTTCCAAGATTGGGAATCAAGAAACCTGCCACTTGCATTTGCTAAGCTTAAAGTAGGCCTCTAAATATCAGGCAGGGGAGAACCACTTGCTCTTCCACTTGCCTCAGATTACAACCATAAAATCCAGCCAGTTCTTGGTCAAGTATTTTCACCAATTACATTGACAATAAAGTGCACCAGGGCCGTCTAATCTAGGAACATGTCATGTAATAGAAGTTACCCTAGCTGCCAAAAGCAAATTAAACTATAGCATGCTCCCTTTGACAGCCTGAATACTGATAGAATGGAAACTAAAATGCCTTAAAAGGAGTTGAGAGGCTCGTTACAAACCAGTCCCCCAGCAACTAGTTGATCAAGCATCCCTGGATAAGTGGTTTTCTGTTGACTTCTCTTCCCTATCCATAGAAACTTCTTCCCATCCTTTTCAACATAGCCATTCATTTGCACTCCATAAGCCTATTCCAACAAGAAGTATACATAAAAGAAGGTTAAAAATGAAAGTTACAGGACAATCAAATGAACAACAATAAAAGAGTTAGCTGGCTTCCTACGTGACCATTGAAAAAGCGACCAGACTAATTTACCCTTCAATGCTACCACTGAAATTTCTAACCCTACAAAAAATCTTATATTCCTCTCTAGCCAACACTATAGCGCACAGAGTCACCTCCAAAACCACATTATCAAGCCCTTTCACAGAACCTCCATGTCGATTTAATAACAAACTACAGGCACTGCTAGATACATGGCACCAATTAATCCAATGAGCCAGTTGCCATTTATCAGGAAGATTAATATAGCCAAAATGACTTGCTAGAGATGCATCAAAAATTGATTATAATTCACTGTTTAATCACCTAGACCAAGGTAAAAAGGTGGCACAAATCGCAGAAACAAACCTTTATTCCAAAATAAGGAGCAGCTGCACGTTCTAGAGAGAAAAATATGGGTGCTCCAAAGGATGATGTCACAGGGTATAGCTGATCATCCAAACAAAATGAAACCATAGTTAGCCCAGATAACAAAACTAGTGTTAATAGTTTACACTGTTCCAACAATTGGGGTGAAATTAGGAGGACAAACATATAGGATTTGATTCAGTTAGCACAAACAGTACCTCATTCCTTATACCAGGAATATGTTCTTCCCCTAAGCTTTTGATTACATCTCCCACCGCTCTCGTCCTGTCCTCAGCTGTGCTCAGCGATGAATGCAAGGTTATTGAACTGCCATTAGAGTTTGAATTTTCTGGTGGGAAAGTAAACACGTCCTTGAAACTACGTAAATTCTCAGCAAAACTACAGAATTGGGAAAATTATTCAGTGCTACACCTATATCTGAGCATGAAACGGGTATATGAATTCACGGAATTTGAGCTTACCCTTTGTGAACGTAACCAACGATTTGGTCCTCAATTACAAAGGAAAGGAACTCAGATTGCGATTCCTGCAAGCAGTTTTAATAAAATGTGGAGTGGAGAGATAAACAAACAATTGGTCTGTTTGGCAGCTGAGAAAATGTATTGTATAACTTACCAGTCTGCGATTGCAGATTTTGATCTTTTCCCAGTAGCCCCTGAGATCTGAAGGGCCGTCGGAAAGAGTTTCCGGTTTAGATATCCGAACGACGTCGTCCCAAGTGAAGACATCATCGTCGGAGGCACAAGTGAGAACTTTGTGAAAAGCTTGCTGGGTGGAACGAACTGGGAACGACGTCGTAAGCGCCTTGGGGAAAGCGCGAAAAGCTTTGGCGGTAAAGCGGAAGGCCAGAGAGTCGATGAGTCTGTGAGAGAGCTGAGGAATGCCACCGCTGCAGGCCATGAGAGCGGGTTCGATTCTCATTTTACAAGATATCCTTTTGTTTGCTACAGTACTCACCAATTGGTTCGTGTGGTTCGCCTGTGTGTACATAAATGAAAATGATTCGGTTGTTTGTTTGTTGCTTTGTCTTTAATTAATGACCCCAACTAATGCCCGTTAAATAACCATTTTAATTGAAATGGTTATCAAAAAGGCCTTGAATTTACTCGGTATACATCTTAGAGTCGGAATTATTGAATTTAGATTTGAGCATTTAAAAATGGCAGGTGCTAAAATTCAACTAGTTCATTGTATGTATGATCGCATCGTAGTGTTAATATGTTGTTACATAACTATTTGTTTCTGGGTTCCAAAGGGTTTGTTGAACTCCCTCCACATTCTTCCTAGCAAGAAGCAACACTTGGGATGGGATCATTAAGCTCCCTATAATATATTGAACTGGGTTAATTGCTGCATCCACCCAATTTTTCCCCAATTCAAATGGGCACAAAAATTCCATCAACAACTTTAAAACAACCTCATCAGGAGGCATATTGGCATACTACACGTTCTGATTAAGTTCATTGAGGGCAGAAAAGCAAGGCTCCATAATACCCTACATAAATAAATGTATAAATAAAAGAAACTTGAAAGGGAAGTCTACGACTACGCATCTCACTCATCATCAGCTTGCCACAATCCTCTGAGGCCATCATAATGTCTGTTGTACAACCAATACAGTTCTGCAGTTTGCATCTTCCACTAAAGTAAAGAGGGGTTACACTTTCAATTTATAAGACTCCGGACTAGTTGACGCTCTCATTCTCGAGGGCATTCGCATGCGTTGGTTTATTGCACTACCAAACCTACTATGTAAGGAATCCTTTAGTGTGATTGACATTTTGTTCAATGCATAGCCAACTTCAGCAAAATCAAAATGTTGTTCCTCCAAGCTCTGCTTAATCCCATAATCCATTCCACCATCATTGTCACCTGCAAAAGCTTCGCCGACATCTTCATTAATGGAATCTTTGTCATCATATGTAGGTTGAACCATTGACCAGAAAATGAAGTTTGGCGGATGTATCTTTGTACAGAGAAAAAATTAGTGTCAGCAAGGCATTCATCTAAAACTACAAAAAAGAAATGTGGACGTGAACAGATCATCAAACAAGACACTTTGATGTAGGGACTTATTTGTATTTCCCATTAAGGGCTGGGGTGTCCCAAATTTTCTGTTCAAAGGAATGCATTTTCACAACTAATATTATGACGATTCCTGTCCATTTCAGGCATCCGACCAGAGTTTTTCCAATGTTACATGTGATTTTGGGGAGAAAGGAAACTCCTAATACAAACCTGTCACTTTTATTTTGGCAGGCATGGGTTAAATGGGAACAAACATGTCAAGCCTTTCAATCCCACCAAAGTCCCTTGAAAGTTCTGATTCCAGCAGGTAGTCGTCAAAATTGATTTTCTCAGATGTCATGAATAAACCAGCAACTAAGTTGAATTTGGTCTTTGCATACAAGACTTCAAATTATACAGTACTAAGTAAGTACTTCCAGGTACTTCAAATTACTAAGTTGTATCTGGTCTTTACAAACAAGACTTCAAATTATACAGTACTTCCAAGATAAAAACATCACAAAAGTTACCTGTAGTGGTGCAACAGCTTCTACAGTACCAGCTGCTCCAAGTAGGCGAGCAATGATGGATTTTGTAGAGTTCACTCTCAACTGTAAACATTAGAGTAGAGATGCTATCAAGCATGGGAATACATACATGACAGTAAGAAAACAGAAAATACATGTTATGCATTTTGGTTACCTCAGGATTTTGGCCAAAACAATGAATAAGAGCATTATACTCTTTGAGGTCTCTGGGCCGCCAGCCGGTGTGGATGTAGCATGTGTGTTGATGTAACGAACATATTCCCTAGACACCCCAGACTGAGCTAATGCCTTTTCGATGCAGAGAACAACATCAGCACCTGTTTCAGAGGACAATAATAACAGATTATTCTACAATGTGATGTGATTCAATGAAACAAAGTGCAAGGTGACTCAGGATTTAAGTATTAATTAATTACAGCAATAAGGGTACTTTCAAATCTCTTAAAAATCAATTGGCAAAAAAACGATAAACAAGGAGACGCCACTCATTTGATTATTTTCACTTCACGTTCTTAAATAATGGAATTTTATTTAGTGTAAATGCACAACAAAATAATGAAACTAGTAAATCAACAGAAACAACTTAAAAGAAAATTATTTTCTTGCTTACTCAGCTCAACAAAACAATGAGAAAAAGAGAGTGATAGTGTCAAAGATAAAGCATATTACCATCATCTCAGGCAACCCCTTGGCCAGCAGCTGTGCTGTTCGATGAAAGTCTCCAAAGCCTTGCGCCCATGGTTGGCTGAAATTGAAAAGGAGAAGAACAACGTCAAGGTAGAAATTGGCTGAGAGTCAATCCTCGAGGACGTACTGTCCCACTTGCCTATGAATCTATGTTGAGGTTCCAGGTGGTATGCAAGAGGTGGCTCTCCCTCATGAGAACACCTAGCTTCATGAAGCTGCACAATCAACACTTGGGTCTCCGGATAAGGCCCAAGTTTCACTTGCTGCTCACTGCAGTCTCTGAAGCCTGACCAAAGATGGTATTTTGTTGCATAGAGCTGGATCCAGTAAAAAATACAACCCAAACAGGCAAAATTATGATGGTTCCGCACAATCTTATTGAAGGAGAAGTAGAGAAAAATGACTTGCCTCATAGTTTAGTTAGCTTTTACTCTCAAGTTGTAAATTGCTTTGTATGCAGTTTTGGATCTATTGACGTGTCGTATCGGGTAGATATAGTTAACTCGTATACCCGAACCATGATCACCCTTCCGGAGGGTCCTCAAATGTATCAGCGATTCATAGGTCCCTGAGAGTTTATGTTATCTGACAGTTTCGAACAAAACGAAATTGTGTTTCATTTCGGATATGATCTACACCACTAGCAATACAAGGTGCTACAAGCCCAATGGGCTTTCGAAAAGCCATGGAGACGTCCGTTCAATAAGAAAATGACATGGCTTGGTGTTCTCGATTTCAAACTTGCCATCTTTACTTTGGGCTCCAAAGAGTGTAAGGACATCACCGACTCAGCTAATCTCACTTTAACCCCGACAATTGCGTATCGTTTTCTATCAAATCATTCAAACAAGGGTTTATTCATCAATGGGAGCATCTACTGGCACCACAACACCACCATTTTGGCATTTGATGTCAGTATGGAGGGGTTTACATTGATCACAATGCCCGACACATTTAACCCTAATTTTCCTTTGGTTGAGGTGGAAGGTTGTGGATCTGTAATAGAGACTGACATACATCGCCAGCCAAGGCTGTGGATTCTTAAAAGCATTAAAAATACACATGTTTGGGAGATTAAGGAGGATGATTATATTACTTGTTGGAGACATACCAAGGTAGGTTTGGACCATATGAGAGCTTTGTTTGAAATAACTCTAACTGAGATAATGTTGACAATTGTGCAATTGGCATTTCCGACTACACATGAAGAAGTGCTACGGTTGAAGCTTATGGATATGCCCCACCAGAATACTCCGCTCAATCGAGGTCATTTTGTTGTCACATCTTAGTTTGCTTGGCTAGCTTGCTAGTTTATCTTTTTTTAGGCAGCAACATTCGTTACTTTTTCCACATCTATGGAATCCACATACCGCACAAGAGAGCATAGATGGGAAAAAGTAACGGATGTTGTTGCATGAGAAAAGATAGACCAGCAAGCTTGCCTCGCAAACTAAGATGTGGCGGCAAAGTGACATCGATTGAGCGGAGTGTTCTGGGGGGGCATATCTAGAAGCTTAACCGTAGCACTTCTTCATGTGCAATCGAAAAGGCCAATTGCACCATTGTCAACATTATCTCAGTTGGAGATATTTCGAACAAAGCTCTCATATGGTCCAAACCTACCTTGGTAGGTCTCCAACAAGTCATATAATCATCCTCCTTAATCTCCCAAATATGTGTATTTTTAATGCTTCTAAGAATCCACAACCTTGGCTGGCAATGTATTTCAGTAGCTATTACAGATCCACAATCGTCCACCTCAACCAAAGGAAAATTAGGGTTAAATGTGTCGGGCATTATGATCAATGTAAACCTCTCCATACTGACATCAAATGCCAAAATAGTGGGGTTGTGGTGCCAGTAGATGCTCCCATTGATGAATAAAACCTTGTTTGAATGATTTGATAGAAAAAGATACACAATCGTCGGGGTCAAAGTGAGATTAGCTGAGTCGATGATATCCCTCCACTCTTTGGAGCCCATAGTAAAGATAGCAAGTTTGAAATCGAGAACACTAAGCCATGTCATTTTCTTATTGAATGGATGGCTCCATGGCATTTTGAAACCCATTGGGCTTGTAGTACCTTGTATTGATGGTGGTTTAGATCATATCCGAAATGAAACGCAATTTCATTTTGTTCCAAACTGTCTAATAACATAAACTCACAGGGACCTATGAACCGCTAATACATTTGAGGACACTTCGGAAGGGTGATCAGGGTTCAGGTATACGGGTTAACTATATCCACCCGATACGACACGTCAGTAAATCCAAAATTGCATACAAAGCAATTTACAACTTCAAAGTAAAAGTTAACTAAACTATGGGGCAAGTCATTTTTCTCGACTTCTCCTTCAATAAGAATGTGCGCAACCGTCATAATTTCGCCTGCTTGGGTTGTATTTTTTACCGGATCCAGTTCTATGCAACAAAATACCATCTTTGGTCGAGCTTCAAAGACTGCAGTGAGCAGCAAGTGAAACTTGGGCCTTATCCAGAGACCCAAGTGTTGATTGTGCAGCTTCATGAAGCTAGGTGTTCTCGTGACAGAGAGCTACCTCTTGCATACCACTTGGAACCTCAGATAGACTTCACAGGAAAGTGGGACAGTACATCCTTGAGGATTGCCTCACCACAGCCAATTTCTGCCTTGACGTTGTTCTCCTTTTCATTTTCAACCTCCTCATTCTTCTCCTTTTCATGCTCCTACTTCTTTTCATCTTCAAAACCGTACAAATGCTCCTTCTTATCTATGTTATCTCTATACAAAAACAAAAAGAAAGAAAAAGAGAGTAATAATATATATATATATATATCATAAATGCAAAATTAGGATATGAAAATATCAATATTGTAATACATTTATTCTATAAATAAAAAAATCAAAACTAAAAAATCATTAGGATCAAACCCATCCCCATCCAAATACTGAAATATGAAATAAAAAGCCCTAAACCATCCTCCTTCACTCCCTCCCACCTAGTACCACACGGTTCGGGCGTCCCCGACACTCGTGGGGCAATGTTTCTGAAGGCAACTGAGTTATCCGAATACATCAATATTCTTGAAGGCAACCATATTTCCAAAGGCAACCAGGATGTTCGAAGACATCAATATTTCCAAAAGCAACACAATCCAATTTCAAATCATTTAACACATATAAAAATAAACATAAACATATCACCAAACATTTAAAATCAACTCAACCCAAATCCACACGATAATATATAAATATAACATTTCAAAAATAATTAATAAAACTCGCATAACAAAATATCATTTTAAAATCAAACAACAAAACCACAAACACCTCCTAACCAATTTGTCCCGATTAGGCCAAAGAGGCCCGCGGGCTCACGACCTCCGATTTCCAATCCAAAAGTTCATATAGGTCCAACAACGTCTACTAAACAAGTCACAAAGGTTTGGTTTCGATCGAGTGGTCGGATCTAAGCCAATCGCACGATCGAGCGACAATTGTTTGCCTAACCCTAGAATCATTGACTCGGAGTATTCGGGACTTGGATTCTCGATCTGTAAGTTCTTACAAAATCCTACAGGTACAGAGAACAACATAAATGAAATTGAAACCGATATAACAGTCTGAACCTATCAAACTCGAATATCGCACAATAGGTGTAATATCCGTTCGATAGTTAAACGGTAACCAACTTCAAATATGAGCGTACATTTGTGCTCAGGTCGACGTGGGAAACATTTTAGGACGAAATGGGCCGCCATCCGCCTCTGGCAACGGTGGGTGTTTTGAGAGATTTTTGGTGACGGAAAATCTCCAAACCACCGGCCAATACCTATACCAATGCGTTCAGACTAACAAAGGGAGCAACTTTTGGTCTCGGACCCCGACCAAAAAGTTACCGGAGCTAGATGAAATCACGGCCAAACCGTCGGCCCTATATGGGTGTGTTGATTGACTTCTAAAACTCCAAGATCGATCCAAACCACTTATATAAAAAGATAGATCACGAAAAAAGAATGAAGAATCATACCTCACTCGACGGAAACGGTGGCTGGAGTCGTCGGAAACTGCGTCGGAAGCTTCGAAAATGGTCCACACTTCCAGTCATTCCAGCCGAAATTCCTTGGGTTTTTGAGCTGGAAAAGGGGTGGGTTAGATAGAGGACGAAGAGATGAAGATTTTGGGACCGGTCTCACCTGAAAAGGTGCCGGAGTTGGGAGAAATCGCCGTCTAGAGCGGCTGGTCTGTTTGCGCGAAGAGAGAGAAACGAGAGAGAGAGTCGCGCTGGACGCGAGAGAGAGAGCTGGGTATTTAAATTTTAACTTCACAAAAATTACGGTTGTGTCACTACACTTCCATATACCATAACTTCTTCGTTTCAACTCCAATTTGGGCCCACCGCGTGTCTACGAACTCGTGAGCTCAAGCACTACACAAATGAACCAAGAAAATTTCCAAAACAAGCCCCAAGCAAAAAGTCAACTCTAAACCACTAATTAAAGTCGTCCTTTCACTTTAGAATTTTTGAAAATTAATTTAAATCTTGGGACGGGATGTTGAAGCGTCTCTTTGTTCATCGTTTTTTTGCCAATTGATTTTCTCCATTGATTTTTAAGAGATTTGAAAATATCCTTGTGGCTGTAATTAATTAGTACTCAAATACTGAGTAACCTTGCACTTTGTTTCGTTGAATCACATCACATTCTAGAATAATCTGTTATTAATTTCCTCTGAAACAGGTGCTGATGTTGTTTCAGAGGTTACTGATGGATTCTGTTTTGTTTGAGAGTTTGATCAGCTACATTTGTGTTGCATTGAACTGTTATTTGTTTATTCATATTTATTTCCACATGCTTAATGCTGAATACCACAATAACTTAACTCCTACTCTAGGGGCCTGGAGCTCGTCTTCTAACTTTGCTATATCTAGGACATGATTTATTTCATTATGTAATGACGCAGGATGTATGGCGGCTTTGGAAGCAAAACATCACTTGCTAGATATTGACTCTCAGGAGGGTAAGAGTGATTGACTACTTGGAATTGGTGAGGGATCTAAGAGATGCTCAGTGAGAACAAATTTTAATGAACGAGACAGGATAAAGAAATCTGTTTTTGGACCCATTAAATATCCATCTTCTACTATTTTTACTTATTTTACAGTCCCTATTGTAGGATTATGCTAGTTTGAATTGAATAGCTTGAAAATCTGAATTATTTCATTACTTGCATCCGAAAGTTTGATATTTTTATCAGATTACAATATTGAAATTGCCTATCAGTCGGTCATGTATGCGTGCAGCGTATTCTTGTTTTTACAGTGAGGTTTGTGTCTTTAGACCCTCTTTTTCTCCCCCCTTGGCGTATGTCATTTCAAATTCCAAAGCTTTGAGCATGTAGAATAAGTGGTAGGAGGGAAAGGCATCTTGGTTTTGAAGCATGTGTATTTCACTTATTAGTGAAAATTAGAATTCAGATTGTTAGATTTTTTTAGGGTATCGTTATGGTATTCTGACTGGAATGAGAAATTTAAGATAGTATCAGCTGTCCTGATGGCATAAGAAGTTATAGAATTTGAGTTTTTTTGTTTGTTTGTTTATTTGTTTGTTTGTCTGTTGGTCTGTCAGTTAATTGATGGACTGATCTAATCCAATTCCCTCAACCCCTTCTCAAAACAGTAAATAAGAGAGTTCTAGATGAGTGAATATTAGACGTGTGATTGCCTCAAGTTCCCTCAACTGGAACTTGTGAGGAGAGGAGGTACCAGCTATAGCTGCATTTCTGGGCTCATTTTCAGAGAGCCGGCCTCCATTTTCCAGTATTATCATATAACCTGCCTACTTGTGATATGGATGTGATGAGATGTATGGTGGAAGTGCAGCCAAGAATTGAGCATTATACTAGGCCAGGTAGAAGCTCAAGTCGAGCTTGTTTCACTAATTACACTGAACGTAACATGCCAAGAAACTAGTGCGTGCCGACCGGATGATATTATGATGGGATGGAATGGAAGGCCTCTCTCTCTCTCTCTCTCTCTCTCTCTCTCTCAGCCCCAATTCCAATGGGAACAAAAGTTCCATAAGACCTAAAAACAAGCTCATCAGAAGGCATATTGTCCAAATTCAAAACTCTAATTTTCATAGTACACGTTCTGATTAAATTCATTGAGGGAAGAAACGCAAGGCTCCATAAACCGCTACATGATACCCAAAATAAATAAATGGATAATTAAAATAAATTTAATTTAATTTTAAAAAAAAACCTAGAAACATAAGTCTACGACTACGCATCTCACTCATCATCAGCTTGCCACAACCTCTGAAGCCAACATAATGTGTTTGTACAAGCAATATAGTTTTGCAGTTTGCATCTTCCACAAAAGTAAAGAGGGGTTACACACTTTCAATTCATAAAGACTCCGGACTAGTTGACGGTCTAATTCTCGAGGGCATTCGCATGGGTTGGTTTATTGCACCACCAAACCTACTAAGTAAGGAATCCTTTGGTGTGATTGACATTTTGTTCAATGCAGAGCCAACTTCAGCAAAATCAAAATGTTGTTCCTCCAAGCTCTGCATAATCCCATAATCCATTCCACCGTCATTGTCACCCGCAAAAGCTTCACCGACATCTTCATCACTGGAATCTTCGTCATCATATGTAGGTTGAACCATTGACCAGAAAATGAAGTTTGGCCGGATGTAACTTTATATATATATAGAAATGAAAAAACAGTGTCAGCAAAGCATTCAAATCAACTTTAAACATTTGATTCTTACATTTAAGGAAGTTTTCCTTTTTCACACACCCAAAAGAAGTGTGGACATGATCTTTGTGGACGTGAACAGATCATCAAATAAGACACTTTGATGTAGGGACTTAAGTCCATTTCCCAAAAAGGGCTAGGTGTACCAAATTTTATGCTCAAGGAATGTTTTCGTCCAAAAAAAAAGGCTCAAGGAATGCATTTTCATTCTGAAATTATCATGATCCCTGTCCATTTCATGCATCCAACCAGAGTTTTTCCAATGTATGTGATTTTAGATAAAAGGGCACCTCCTACTGAAAGAACCAATTCAAAGCTAATACAAACCTGTCACTTTTTTTCAGCAGACATGGGTCAAATGGGAAGAACATGTCGAGCCTTTCCAACCCACCAAATTCCCTTGAAAGTTCTGATTCCAGGTAGTCGTCAAAATTGAATTTCTCAGATGTCATGAATAACCTAGCTGCTTTTGCTTGCCGTAGAAACTCCAATACAATGGAAGGCAGGCACACCTTTCAAAATGAAGATTGAAATTAGGCACTATGATCTGATAGTGTTAAGAGGTAGATGCATCATCCTCAAATGGCATGAAAGAGAGTTAGAGGCCAACGGCTAGAAAGATGAGGAAAATATAACAATGATGCCTGTTTATTGTCCAGGGTTAGGGTACATGTAAAAAATCCTTCTACAATTATATGGTTGTACCCAGAAACGGTCCTCACCTTCAACGGGCTCAACTTATTATTCAAAATTGACTCTAAAGGCAAACGAACAAGCCATGGCTTCAGCTGAGGATCATCCATCATTGATCTCATTCGGAAGCACAGCAAATACATGATGGCCTGTTGGACCAATAAATAACCATTAATAGAAATGCTTCGCATTGATTGCATATATTTAAAGTTAATTTGCTATTGCAAAAGATATGTCAAATTTAAGCAACCTACGCATAGAAAAAAAAAAAAAAAAAAAAACAGACAGCATGGCACAACCTGTGCTCCACAATACACTCATTATCATCTCAATGTTTATACTTCCATTGCATAAACATTTCTTCTTCTCTTTTTTTCCTTGAGATAAAAATGAAAATATATTTCAGTACGAAATTCAGTTTATAAACAGAACTTTATTCTCTATGCATGCCATCTTGTTAAAAATGAAGATGAAATATTTTATTACTATAATTTTGAAGAAATTATTTCCAAGTAAAAATTTAAATAAATAAAAACACTAACCTGACATCCAGAATAAAATATTCTATGAGCTTCTGGATTTATTTCATCATCCTGCATTTTGACATATTTGACACACCAATCCACCAACCTGGAACCGAAGTAACATATGACAACAGCATTAGACAGATTCCTTTGGCCTTTCTTTTCTTTTGTCTCACTGTTAGGTCATTGTAATCATACAGATTAGATAGGAATGGGGATTTAAGTTTGCACACAACCTTTCCAGTGTGCCAGCAACCACAAAGACTGACAGAAACTTAGCACGAGACAAATAACTAGCAAGATAAGCAACGGCACTCATTCTGCACGAAACCCAAAAAGAGAAATCAGTACTACAGCAATGCCCCCAACATGTAAAACTTGAAATGTGAGATTTCAAAATGTCCTCTTTCGTGACTGTAATAGTTACAGATGAATACAAGAACTCAAGATATTCTCCTAGTAAACACAGACCAAAAGAAGAAGAAAAGAAAAAGTATTTAGAGAGGCCCATGCAACCAACTGCATCCACCTCTATGGTCTAAGAAAACCAAAAATTTAAACCATACAGATACCCTCCCAGGTTTCCCAAACATGTGCAGTGGGTGATCAAGCAAGTTATATATTGTATCATAAAGGGTACTAAACAAAAGTCCAGATGTTCCCCAGAAAAGTATCAAACCTGAATTCAAAGGTCCCATATAAATGCAAGGTATAATAGCAATTAGAGGAAACTAGAAATAAAATGGTATAAATGATAAATAAATAAAAATATGAAATTTTTAAGTCCACTTTACGTGGATCACAATCCTAAAAGCAACTCTCCAACTCATCATTTAAAAAAACAAACCATATTACCTGAGAAGTGGGGAGTTGGTACTGAAAAAGAAAGTATGTTCAAGCATCAAAGCAAATGTCACACCGCAGTTGTTTGGATCAAGGGAACATGCATAGAATATCACAAACTGCAATAAGGCAAAAGAAATTTAATGAGGACTAAAATAAACCACTGGATATGACATAAAGCATAAAATGATAAAAATCATATATGGTAATAATTTTGTACACTCACCTGGGCAAATTTTGATTTGTATGCAGTCAAAACAGTCTTCTTAAATGACTCGAGAAGAGTATCAAAGATCTAAACACGTCATATACATAGGAAACAAAATGTCAATTGGGAGACGATCATATTGACATGTAAACCAGAAAACAAAATATTTAAAGATACCTTAATCAAAACCCAAAGAAAATTTAAAAAATATTTGAAAGATACCTTGATCAAACGGTCAGCTACTTGACAAGATTCAAGATGCTCAAAAGTTAACACCATCAAGCTATCTAATTTTTCAGCAAATGAATTTCCTCCTAAAGTCTTCCGACTTAATTGTCTTGGAAGCTGTATAAATAAAGTGCAATCACTTTACAATGAAGGGCTAAAATCATCATAAGCAATGAAGCAAAATAGTAATTATATGAGGACCAAAACAAATATTAATAAACTCTGTCCAAAGTAGTAACTGTGCTAGAAATTCATATTCTGCTTCTCCCTCACTCTCTCCCCATCTTATCTTTCTTCATAAGAATTTGAATCCACCTCTTTCCCTCATGCATGCTAACCTTCTTAGCAACTCCTTGTTAACATTGCTTTAATAAAAACCATTATCAAGACGGTTTACACCATACATCCTAATAGTGCCTGAATCTCAGCCTCTTTCAACTTAACCTCCATATTCCTAATTCATAAAGAAATCCTAGACTTTCTTCAATAATGCATCATATGTTCCATTTACGTAGTTTTAACAAATTCAATCATACCTCACTATCATCATTCAGATCATCATCTCTAGACTCGTCCACATCTTCTAGCTCCATCTCAAATATTCCTTTACTAGAGTCATTTTTTATGTCTTCCCATCCAATCTCCACCTGTAGGCAGCCAGTCCATAATGTTGTCATGAGAAAAAAAATTAATTTCCTTCAACTATTAAATAAATTGTACACTGAATATACATACATCCAGGTCTAGCAGCAAATCCACAACACCCGCAAGCATTGGGATCCGAACAACTTCTCCAAGCACGCCACTCTCCAACTTCAACATGTTCTCTACGTATATCACAAGACTAAGAGTCTACAAGAACAATAAAGCATATTATATATTTAGCAATCAACAGAACACAAGGATGATAAGCAATGCGGACATTCAAAAGAAGAAGAAATTTGAAGAATGTACAAATGGTATATAATATACATCACTAAACATTGACCTAAATGTTCATGGCCACATACCATCTCTAGCCTATGCACCATCATAAAGCTAACAAAGATTGAAAATGATATCTTTTAAGTTAACAACGTAAATTACTAGATGGGTAAGTGCACATTTAACTTACACTAGTATTATTAAAACGATATTGTGGCTTTCCATCTAAAACAATTGGCACTAGTCTCACAGGGGAAAGTGGCACCAAATCAGCTATATATTTCAGAGATGAATGCACACGAGACAAAACTCCGTCCTTTCTTGCAAGAATTTTCGGAAGTGGCAAACTACCAGGTGGAAAGAACTGGCATGTGAGCATTGCCAAACAATCATCAATATACTTCCCGCTTGAAGTGGCCTGCAGCATTGCAAAGTGAAAATCAATCTAAAAAATTTCCCAGTTCATTCTAAAAGCTTTGAAAGTGACACATAAAGAAACATATAAAACCAACATACCAAGGATTCAATGAATTCAATCAATGCATCCATCACATCAGGCTTAAAGTTCCACAAGCTCATCTTAAAAATCTGAGATATTTTTGCAATGAATAATTAATAAAACCCAACTAAGGATTAAAAGCAAACAGAACAAAAACAAAAGTCATAAGACAGCTTACTGCAGAGAGAAGTTCATTATGCAGAACGTTGTCTATGTAAGCAACTGCTCCAGCTAGTGCTTTCAAATTTGTCTGCCGATTAACAAACGAAAAATTCAAAACCAAACAAAATGAATTGAAGTGAAACAAAATCAAATGATTATAGGCACGAACATGTTACATACCACAAGCATAGCTACTTCATTAGCGCCAAGCTCTTCGGGGTTCATAGCGCTAAGGAGCTGCCGGTAATCTTCAGTATCACCCTGAGCCAAAGGTTCAAACTTTTCAAGCTGAAATCCGAACCAAACAATCAACAATCGTACTAAAAGCCAACTTGCTAGTTCGAAAATGCTTACCGACGAGACTGAGCAAAGAGTGTCTCTGGCGCGATAAACCAGGTAAGAATCGATCAAATCATGGTCTCCCATCGTACGGAAAGCTGCCTCGTCGTCCCTAAGCTCAACACCCATGTTTACCTTGCCCTAGCCCTACGGATCCTCCTGCAATTTGTCAGTGAGGATGCCCTAGGCCTTGGGTTCCGGTTCAGCCGAGATGTAGATAGGTGGTTAAGAGAAGTGCGAAGTCGTAGTGGTCTTCTTCGTTTGAGCTGCGGCTATGGAGGCGTCGTCGGTGCTTTGTCGGCCAGCGAGTGAGAGAGTTTGGAATGTAAACCCCCAAAAAATCAGGGTTTCGAAAAAAGCGGCCGCCTCTTTGTATATAGATGGATAACTAACTCCCTCAGTTGAAGCCCCTCTCCCTTTTAAACGCGGGAGACTATTATTAAATTTTGGTCTTACCTAATTTGATTTGCATTTCAACCCAATGAAAATTTGTAATTTGCATTTTAGGACAAAATTGGAATTTTCACCGTTGCATTAGGAGAAAATGTAATAAAATAGTCTCAACCCCATGGGCCATTGAAGATGTATGGAAATTGGACAGGTATTAATAAACTTTTCCCAAAATGTGTCACAAATTCATCTTTCCCGTAAAATTATTTTCGTGAACTAAACGGGACATAAGCTCTAAGCCAATTCAATTATACCTTAATATCATTGCCTACATCTTCTTCTAGCTCCATCCAAAACATTTCTTTACTAGAGAAGAGTCATCTTGTAACATGTCATGTCAATCTCCGCCTCTACTTGAGTTATATTCTACAAAAAGATACATTATGATCTACACATTGTGAATTGAATTTCTCTTATTACATACTCGAATAACCCCCTTTTTATTATCCTCATATGCCTTGAAATAAAAATTATGCGTTGGTTTTTGAAAAAATTTACCTTTGATTGATATCATAATAAGTTCAATGCTAATGGAATGTAACCCAATGAAAAAGAACATTAACTTGTAGACTAGTGGTCTCATGTTTAAACTCTCATGACACCGTAATATTGTGTGAGAAAATCTCATCCTCATATACTTTAGACTATCGCTTGTGCTCAGCAAAAATAAAAGGTCAATAATGAATGCAAACCCTAAAATGGGCGTGGAATTGGACAGGAAACACAAACAACCACTCAGTACAGGAAGGAGCCTTTGAAAATATGGAACTTATTAAAGAAAATTAGCCTCGCTATAATATATTCAACTGTGTTAATTGCTGTTTCTACCCAATTTTGCCACAATTCAAATGGGAACAAAAAAACCAACAGGAACTAAAATCAAGCTCATCAGTAGGCATATTCTCCAAATTCAAAGGAGAGTAATACCCAAAATAAATAAATAAAAAACTAGAGACCAAAGTCTACCACCTCGCATCACACTCATCATCAGCTTGCCACATTCATCTGAAGCCATCATAATGTCTGTTTGTACAACCAATCCAGTTTGGCGGCTTGCAACTTCCATTAAAGAAAAGAGGGTTTAGTTTACAATGATTCCGGACTTGTTGACGGTCTAATTCTCGAGGGCATTCGCATGGGTTGGTTTATTGCACCACCAAACCTACTATGTAAGGAATCTTTTGGTGTGATAGACATTTTGTTCAATGAAGAGTCGAATTCATCAAAATCAAAATGCTGTTCCTCCAAGCTCTGCATAATCCCATAATCCATTCCACCGTCATCATCATCGTCACCTGCAAAAGCTTCACCGACATCTTCATCACTGGAATCTTCGTCATCATATGTGGGTTGAACCATTGACCAGAAAATGAAGTTTGGCCGGATGTAACTTTGTATACAGAAAAAGCTAATGTCAGCAAAGCATTCAAAGAAAAACTACACAAAAGAAATGTGGACGTGTACAGATCATCAAACTTGATCTAGGGACTTATTTGTAATTCCCAAAAGGCTGGGTGTCCCAAATTTCTGTTCAAGGAATGCATTTTCATTCTAGTATTATCATGATTCCAGTCAATTTCATGCATCCAACCAGAGTTTTTCCAATGTTCATATGAGATTTAGATGAAAAGACATCTACTGAAAGGATCAATGTAAAGCTGCTACAAACCTGTCACTTTTTTTCAGCAGACATGGGTCAAAAGGGAAGAACATGTCGAGCCTTTCCCTCCCACCAAATTCCCTTGAAAGTTCTGATTCCAGGTAGTCGTCAAAATTGAATTTCTCAGATGTCATAAATAACCTAGCTGCTTTTGCTTGCAGTAGAAACTCCAATACAATGGAAGGCAGACACACCTTTCAAATTGAAGATTGAAATTAGGCACTATGATCTGATAGTTTTAGACATAAATGCATCATCCTCAAATGGTATGAAGGAGAATTAAAGGCCAAAGGCTAGAAAGATCAACGAAAATATAATAATGATGCCTGTTTATCGACCAGGGTTACGCTACATGTAAAAAGTCCTACAAGTTTATGGTTGTACCCGAAACAGTACTCACCTTCAGCGGGCTCAACTTATTATTCAAAATTGACTCTAAAGGCAAACGAACAAGCCATGGCTTCAGCTGAGGATCATCCATCACTGATCTCATTCGGAAGCACAGCAAATACATGATGGCCTGTTGCACCAATAAATAAATAACCATTAATAGGAATGCTTCGCTCTGATTGCACGTATTTAAAGTTAATTTGCTATTGCAAAAGATATGACAAAATATAAGCAACCTAAGCATAGGAATAAAATAATGCAACTAACAAAAAAAAAAATCATAGGTGTCCAGACAGCATGGCACAACCTGTGCTCCACAATACACTCATTATCATCTCAATGTTTATACATCCATTGCATAAACATTTCATTTCATTTTTCTTGAGATAAAAAACAAAAGCATATTTCAATATGAAATTCAGTTTATAAACAGAAGTTTATTCTCCTCGCATGCCATCTTGTTAATAATGAAAGCTGAAATATTTGATTACTATAACTTTGAAGAAATTATTTCTAAGTTAAAAAATAATAATAATAACCTGACATCCAGAATAAAATATTCTATGAGCTTCTGGATTTATTTCATCATCCTGCATTTCGACATATTTAAAACACCAATCCACCAACCTGGAACCAGAGTAACATATGACAACTGCATTAGATAAATTCCTTCGGTCTTTCCTTTCTTATATCTCAATGTTAGGTCACTATAACAATGCATATAGATGGGGATGGGACTATTTAAGTTTGTACACAACCTTTCCAGGGTGCCAGCAACCACAGAGACTGACAGAAATTTCGCCCGAGACAAATAACTAGCAAGATAAGCAACGGCACTCATTCTGCAAGAAACCCAAAAGAGAAATCAGTACTATATATAACAATGCTCTCCAAACAGGTAAAATATGAAATTTATGATTTTCAAAATTTCCTCTTTGGATATCATAAACACACACCAAAAGAAAAAAGAAATATTTGAGAAAGGATGCAACAAATTGCATCCACCTCTGTGATTTAAGAAAACAAATTTTAAACCATATTGACTCTTCCCAGGTTTCCCAAAAATGTGCAGTGGGTAGATTAATAGGCATGTTAAACATGCCTCGTATATATACACACATACATATATATATATAATATAAACTATGTTGTATCATAATGGGTGCTAAATACAAGTCCAGATGATCCTTAGAAAAGTGTCAAATACTAAAACCTGCACATGAAATGTTGAAGTCCACTGTAAATCCTAAAAGCAGTCCATGATATGATTGTTCTCCAACTTAAAAACTAAGAAAAAAAGGGAAATCAATGTTTAAAAAAGCATAGTACCTAATGTTTGGGACGGTAGTACTGCAAAAAAATTTATCTTCAAGCTTCAAAGCAAATGTCACACCGCAGTTTCCAGGATCAAGAGCACACGCATAGAATATCACAAACTGTAACAAGGGAAAAATAAACTTAATATGAGGATTAAAATAAACCACTAGATATGCCATAAAGCCTAAAAAGTAAAATAAAAAATAACATATATGGTAATTTCCTATGCTTACCTGGGAAAATTTTGATTTGTATGCAGTCAAAACAGTCTTCATAAATGAGTCCAGAAGAGTTTGAAAGGTCTAAACACACCATATACATAGGAAAAAATTGTGAATACTAGATTGGGAGACGATTGTATTGAATATGTGGACCAGAAAACAAAAGATTGAAAGATACCTCAATTGAAAACCAAATATTTTTTTTTTTTTAAGTTTATTTGAAAGATACCTGGATCAAATGGCCACCACAAGATTCAAGATGCTCAAAAATTAACACCATCAAGCTATCCAATTTTTCATCAAATGCTTTTGCTTCTGAATTGTTCGGACTTGATTGTCTAGGAAGCTGTATAAATAAAGTTCAATCACTTTACAATGAAAAGCTAAAATCATCATAACCAGCTAATAAGATAACATGAACGATGTGAGGACCAAAACAAATATTATCAAGAGGGTTTCCACCATACATCCTAACTGTGCTCTGAATCTCAGCCTCTTTCAACTTAATTCTCCATCCTCCTAATTCATAAAGAAATCCAAGGCTTTCGTGCATGATGCATCATGTTTCCCATTTACATAGTTTTAACAAATCCAATCATACCTCACTGTCATCATTCAGATCATGATCCGTAGACTCATTCACATCTTCTTGCTCCATCTCAAATATTCCTTTACTATCCAATCCAATCTGCAACTGTAGGAAGCCACTTCATAATGTTGTCATGAATAAATGAATTTATTTCTTTCAACAACTAAATAAATTGTACATTGAATATACATACATCCAGATATAGCAGAAAATCCACGACACCCGCAAGCATGAGGTTCCGAACAAATCCTCCGAGATCCAACTTCAACATGTTCTCTACGTATATCACAAGACTAGGAGTCTACAAGAGCAATATGGCATATCATATATTTAGCAATCTACAGAACACTGGGATGATAAGCAATGCAGACATTCAGAAGATGAAAATATTTGAAGAATGTGCAGTGCTACATGCTATACATCGCGAAACAAAAGGCTAAACGATCATGGCCGCTTTGAAATCCATCTCTGGCCTATGTACCATCAGAAAGCTAACGAAGATTTAAAATGATATCTTTTTGAGTTAACAACATCTTGGAACCAGATGGGTAAGTGCACATGTAACTTACATGGATCTTACTACAACGAGAAGGTGGCATTCCATCTAAAACTATTGGCCCTAGTCTCATAGGAGAAAGTGGCATCATTTCAGCTATATATTTCAGAGCTGAATGCACACGAGATAAAACTTGGTCCTTTCTTGCAAGAATTTTCAAAATCGGCAACCTATCAGGTGGACAGAACTGGTCGGTGAGCATCTTCAAACAACGGTCAACATACTTCCCACTTGAAATAGCCTGCAGCATTGCGAAGTGAAAATCAATCAGTTTTACCAGTTCATTATAATAGCTTTGAAAAATACAAATGGAAAACTATATAAAACCCACGTACCAATAATTTAATGAATTTAATCAATGCATCCATCACATCAGGCTTATAGTCCCACAAGCTCTTGTAAAAAATCTGAGACATTTTTGCTATGAATAATTAATAAAAAAGCCAACTAAGGATTAAAAACAAACAGAACAAAATCAAAATCCATAAGACAACTTACTGCTGAGAGAAGTTCATCGTGTTGAACGTTTTCTATGTAAGTAACTGATCCAGATAGTGCATTCAAATTTGTCTGCCAAGTAACAAACAAAAAATTCAAAACCAAACAAAATGAATTCAAGTGAAACCAAACTAATTGATTATCGGTAAGAACATTTTACATACCACAAGCATAGCTGCTTCCTCAATGCCAAGCTTTTCGCGGTTCATAGCACTAAGGAGCTCTCGGTAATCCTCAGTATCACCCTGAGCCAAAGGTTTAAACTTTTTCAAGCTAATATCCGAACCAAACAATCCACGACAATCGCACTAAAAGCCAATATGTTAGTTCGAAACGCTTACCGATGCGACTGAGCAAAGAGTTTTCCTGGCGCGATAGATTAAATCATGGTCTCCTATCTCACGGAAACCTGACTCGTCGTCCCTAAACTCAACGCCCATGGTTACCTTGCCCTAGCTCTACGAATCCCCGTGCAGTAGACAGGTGGTTCAGAGAAGTGCGAAGTCGTCGTCGTCTTCTTCGTCTTCGTCGTCGGTGTTTTGTCGGCCACCGAATGAGAGAGTATGGAATTTAAAACCCCAAAAACCAGGGTTTCGAAAAAGCGGTGACCTCTTCGTATATATATAGATAACCAACTCCCTCAGTCTTGAGAGCCCTCTCCTATTTAAACGCGCGGGAGACTATTAAATTTTACAAATTTATAAATAAACCCAATTCTAGACATGTATTTATAAAAAAACCCAAGCACTATTTAAACATAGAAACACACCCAAAATCAACCCCAAAGTCAACTTTTTGGGTGTGTTTATAAATGGGTTTTGAGTGTGTGTAATGATGGGTTTTGGGTGTGTTTATATGTTTAAATAGTGCTTGGGTTTTTTTATAATTTCAACCCCCATTTTAGGTGTTTTAGTGAAACTCCCATTAAATTTTGCTCTTTGCCTAATTTCATTTACATTTCAACCCATGAAAATTTGCAATTTGCAATTGAGGACAAAAGTGGAATTTAACTTTGGATTAAGAAAAAATGTACTCTTTTTTTTTAATGAATAAAACTTAAGAGGAGATTGGCTACTCTCACCACCAGCACTAGGACACACCCACAATCTCGAGCCGGAAGGACTTACGCGTGACACCCAACTGCCAGTTAGCACTGGTATGGATTTATATAGGAAATTACAGACCGCACACCAACGAAGACTGTTAGTAGCGAAACTCAAATACTGGTGGGATTACACAGTGTAGGGACCTTATCAATTAAACCAACCCTCGTTAGCGAAAAAATGTACTCATTGACCCACATTAATAAGTATATATGTGATCAGTAAAATAATTGAACCTACTTGTAAAGAAGATGAACTATTGGTAAAATAATTTCAAGAAAGAATTTCGAGTAATTAATGAGCAAAAGAATTTAGGAACAAAAACATTTAACGGATCCAAAAATCGAATTAAATCCCAACAAGCCAAAGCACCAAATATTTCTCAACCCTCCCTCCCTCATTGAAATAGTCATATTATTCATATCTTGAGGGATTGGCCAAAACAAACTTCCCACAGTTCCCCTGCTCATCCGCAACAGCATTAATATTTCATCATGTAAACACACATATGGTTTTTGGATCAAAAGATGCAAGCTTTCAAGATAATTAACATAAAGTTTTAGAACCCATCATTAATCAATGACACACCCAAAGGCCAATGCTTTCTTATTTTTCAATCCCAAATTAGCTTCCATATTCATGGCAACCACTCTCATGAAGGAAATAATCAACAATCAACCATCAACAACTATAAAAATTCGTCTATACTATAATTTTAAACAATGTTCAACCTGTATTTCCAGCAAACTCTTTTACAGTGAAGCCAACTTTCTCAAACTTGCCTTCCACATTGCTTTCTCTGAACTTCAGATAATCTGCTACCACTTTCAGTGGGGCATAAATCACCTTTTCATATTCAAAGCACCAAAAGAAAGCCAGTGAGAATCTGCTAACACGTTGCTTTAAAACAACCCTGTGCTCAGATGACCTTAACTTGCCATTGCTCCATGCTTGCATCAAGTCCCCTATGTTTACCACAAGAGTTTCATCACATGGTTCTATCTCCATCCATTTCCCTTCCTTGGATCTCACTTGAAGCCCACCACCAATTTCATCTTGATAAACAATTGTTATATGTCAGTGTGCATGCCAAGCCCTTCAACTCCCTGTTAAGTATCTCAATGGAAATAGAATAACAAACCAACAAACATGAAAACATTTATGCTGCACTTGACACTTGTAATTGAGAGTCATATAAAATGCCAATGTGCTATTATTATTAATTACCTGAATTCTGAACTCTGCTGCTTGAGAAGAACTTTGGCTGAATTCTGTGCTGAAGCAAAGAAGTCTGGACCAGACACACACACTCGGAGACTCTCAAAGAAAGGAGAAGCAATGAAATGAGGAGTGAAAGTGTTAATCTTTGATGACTCTAGAAGAAGGCTGAAAATATGGTTTGAGAGGGACTATACCTTCCTGTAGATATCTTCAGAGTAGATGTTTAAAGCGTATAGCCGAGCGGCTATACTATTTATTAATAAATAAATAAATAACCATGTATAGCCGCGCGTCTATACTATTTTAAACTTTTTTAATAAAGGACAAGCGTGTTTTCTTTTTTTATAAAGCGTATGGCCGTCCGGCTATACTCTGCGAATAGAATATTTAAACCGTATAGCCGTGCGGCTATACTTTATAAATAGAATTCTTTAAACGTATAGCCGAACGGCTATACCCATTAAATTCCATAATCTGAATCTATTTTTTAATTACTTTAATTAGTATTTATGTTTTAATTATTATTTACTTACTGAATAATTAGTATTTAAATGTTTGAATATATTTTATTTGTATTCAATAATATGTGAGTATTGTGTGTATAATACATGTATTGTTTGTGTATTATTAAAATTTTGTAAAAAATATTTGTATTAAACATAAAAAATATGTACATCCATATATAATACGTGCACTATATGTTTGCCTGATAAAAAAAAACGTGAATTTTACTAAGTCTTTAAGATGAATACGGAAAATGGAAGTATTATTTAAAAATACATATGTATGTGTATAATATGAGTATTAAAAGGGAAAAATGACAAATTCTTTATACGAATAATAATAACTTTGAGAAAGTAAAAAATAAAAATGTAAAATAGAGACTCGGGCAATGGCCTAATAGTAATGGATCATGCCCTAAACTACTTTTATCAATAAACGAAAATCAATGAAAAATAATTACATTGAAAAAAGGATTGGGGTAGATATTTACAGAGTATAGCCGTGCGGCGATACAATTTTGAACTTTTAAAAAAATACGGTGTTTTTTTTTTTTTTTTTTTTGGGCCTATCGCCATAGGTAATATACAGTCTTATGACAAAGGAATAGAGGGAATCTTGAGATTGGTTATCCCACGCTACGCCCCTCTTAAACTAGATCCAATAAGGGATTTATCGAACCCAAACAAATTTCTAGGAATGTGCAGAAGCTGAGACCTGCTGTTGTTGAGTGGCAGCAAATGAGAAAGACATATAGTTTGATTCGAAAAACTATTATATATAATATAAAATATAAATAAGTAAAAGTAAAGTTTAACTATACCCTAATAGAATTTTTTTTTTTCCTGACTTTAAAGAAAACCGTTAATAAAATAGGCTCAGCCCATGGGCCAGGGAAATCTTCGTTGCTGAAGAATAAAGGTGAGCTCCAACGGCCGTAACACATCAAAACAACAAGGTTCTGAATGTCGTAGATAAGGCCCAAGTCCCATCATTTTAGCCCAAGTGAACATGACTCCAGTCTGTAAAGCTTACTAGCATGCTCATTCAATATACCCAAAAGGTTTTAATATAAAAAAAAAAAAAAAAATTATTTGGTCACTGGAAAAAAAAAAATATAACCAAATTGGTCACTGTGTTTCCAAAAGTTTACAATTTATAGACATTCTCTTAAGTGTAGTTATTATTATTTTTTTTTTTTTTAAAGAAGCACGTCCAGACTTCTTCGTCTAACTAAATGAGTTAGGGTATATTGTGCTATTACGGTTTACAAATTGATCTTGGGTTAAAATCGAAATTGTGAGGTATAAAGAAAATCAAAAAGGCCAAACAAAATTAAAATAAAATCAACAACTTACCAATATATTTTGGTGCTCTATATAACATTGATTACGTCTCCTTGCTATCCGAAGTCACAACACGGTTCTCGCTCGATTGATTCAAGCTTCAATATTGCATCCAATCTGTGACATTGTAACTCACAATTTTGATTTCAACCCAATATTTTCCCCAATTTGTTTAACACTAATCGCACAATATACCATAACTCATTGAGTTGGAGAAAGAAGACTGAACATGCTTCCTAAACAAAATAAATAAAATTGCACTAAATGGAAGTTAACGGAAGATACTTTGGGAAACATAATGACCAATTTAGCTAAATTTTTTTCTCAATGACCAAATTGCATTTTCGTGTAAAACCCAATGACCAAAAAGGTATTTAACATTTTTCTATTTTCATCAACTAGGGGATTTCAAATTTGAAATATCCTTTTATATTTATAAATCATAATTGGATTGTCCGAAAATTAAAATTATAGACTATGTTCACCTATGACACATTGACTAACAATTGTCGCTCAAGTAATTAAAAGTATTTATCATGCACCGAAGTACAAGGTTCAATTCCCTCTCCCTCATTAATGCTCGTATCGAACTAATACAACAACCGAAGTGTAGTACATAAAATTATATTGGTGTATATAGCGAGTCACTCACATTCAAATTTTCACATATCAGTCACATAATTAGTTCCCATGAGAGAATAATCTTCTTGCACTTGTCATGTAATCAGTTAGTGTGGGGGAATTGTTTGTATACCAAATTTGAATTGGAGAAAGATTTTGTTTTCTCAAATAAGTGAGAAGGCCAATGGGACAGAAGTGATACCAGTGTCATAGTCAACAAGTGAAAAAGGGAAAGGACATATTGGACAAGAGAAAAGCAGAGCATGTGAGGGGAGGGAAGGGAGAGTCCTCCTCACTCACACCATGATAGTAGCAGTTACCAGAAATCTATCATCTCATCGCGAAACCAAAATTATTTTTTAAAATTAAATAAAAAATGAAGAAAAAAAAAGGGGAAAAAAGATGATGTAGAGAAAACGGTTATGGCGTGAGCAGTAATTGCCAGCTGGATACGGTTGGACATCCAATTTTCCAACCCATGATCCATGAAGCAACAACAGCAACACGTGTCACACATCCCAACGTGGACACCTGGACACTGCATTTACTGCACAGCCCCCCACCCCAATGGACCCAATCCAATCCCACTCGTTGGTTGTCCGTTGGACTAGCAGCCCCACCAGCTTATAAGCCCAGGTCTCCCATAATATCCAATTCAACAACCGCCTATTTTTCCCTTGGCCTATGTGTAAAACATACATTAACGGTCGCAATTTAGTGAGGCTTGATAGATAATTATTTTAGAGGAAAAATAATTGTGGTTCCTTCCTTGTGGATATTCTGGCTGCTGATGTTATTGGTGCTTTCAGGCCCCGTTTATTTAGTGGTTAGTTGTTTTTTTTTTTGGGAGTTTCACTCAAACACCTAAAATGGGAGCTTAAATTATAAAAAAACCCAAGCACTATTTAAACATATAAACACACCCAAAACCCATCATTACACACACTCAAAATCCATTTATAAACACACCCAAAAAATTGACTTTGAGGTTGATTTTGGGTGTGTTTCTATGTTTAAATAGTGCTTGGGTTTTTCTATAAATACATGTCTAGGATTGGGTTTATTTATAAATTTGTATTTTTTTTTTTGTCCCGTTTGATTCATGGAAAAGGAAATTTGAGGATGAAAAATTAATTGCTTTTTCATGTATAGTAAGTTCAGGCATGAGAAATAGTTGTCTGACACATATGAAAGTTTTGGGGAAAGTGAATCCCTCATACGAACTTGAGTTTTGTTTTTCCTCATCATAGAAACGTGTGGGAAAATGAACCAACAGTAAATACACATTTTTCATAATCATTTTGTCCTAATTAACAATTTAGAATTACAATATATCATTAAATGCATTTATTTTTTTATTTGATTTAATATGTGTATAATTGGAAAATTATACAAACTTTATTTTCTATTTATACTCAAAACAAATATGGGAAATGAAATAAAGTGATATCTCCCGGTTACTTTTCCTGTATTAACAAACGTGAAAAATAAATCTTTCATTTTCCATCCCTTGATAAATGACATAAGAAGTGATTTCCCTTCAAATCTGTAACGTGAACCAAACAGAGTCTTTGTGTTTGGGCATTAGCCTATTTGTTATATACGAGCATGTGATTTCGTACGTGTGTTATATAAGTGGGTATTTGTTGTTACTATATTATAACAAAAACACATAAATGAGTTATATCTTGCAAACAAAACTTTAGAACCATCAAATAATTTATCATTGAAATTTCTACTAATATTGGACAGAAAATCATCATTAAATTAGCAGCTACTTGATCAGAGTAATATTGTTCTAATTCAAAAATGGCAATTACGGATTATATTTCCAATAAAAATGACATAAACTTGTTAATTATATAGTACAAACAATTTTAGTGACGGGTCAAATTCATTCACGAACAGCCGTTGGCAAGCTTTCAATTTGACGTGTATGCCCCTCGCGTCCGTCTTGTTTTGGACAGGGTGTGTAAGGGGATTTGCTGTTGCGTGGGTCCTATGTGAAGGGAATGCAATAAATAACTCACAGTTTAATTTGATTAATTAAAGCCTATTGACCAAAAAAAGCCTAAAACAAACGGCGCTTAGCAGTTTTGCACAGGAGGGTAATTTTGGAAATTTAGGTGGTGGCGGTCGTGGGAGCTAACAGTCCCCACGGATAACCGATCAGCCCATGAGTCATAATCAGTTTCACGCTATATATATATCCTAATATATAGCCATCGAAATATCAAATTTCTCTTTTTATATTTAGACAAATAAAATTCTCTTTTAGTCCCTTTTTGTTTGTTGATTTTTTTCAGTTTGGTACCCATAATTTTAATTTTTACAACATAACCAATATAGTTGATATCCGCAATTCAAGAACACATCCCAATTTGCAATTGAAATATCCCTTCATGTTAAGTATAGGTACTTACCGCATTATGAAATCAAACGAAAACTTAAACATGTACTTAAACGGTAATGAATATCAAACTACATGAGTTAAGTTGCATAAATTAAAACAACATAAACTAAAGTGGAAAAATTCAATAAAATACAAGGACTAAAAAGAGACTTTCGCCCTTTATTTTTTAGTAAAGCCAATTTTCTTTTCTCTTATATATAAAAATAAAAAAAATCCGCCAAAGAAGATTGAGAGAGAGAGAGAGAGAGAGAGAGAGCATGGAAATAGCTGGATTTGTAAGACGACGACGCAAGAGAGAGTCTTAGAATTGATTTCAGGCCAAGCCCCGAACTCAACTACTTGTCTTTTTGCCTCCAAATTTCATAACCGGCCATCCCACTCTCTACTCTCCACACCCTCCTCCTCCTCCCACTGCCCCATTTGCCTAACTTCACATCTTCAACACCCAAAATCCAAAGTTTGATTTTTTATTTGCTTACAGAAGCGAATAAGAATGGAAACGACGGCGTTTCAGTCAGTGGACCAAGTGGTGGAAGAGATCATGAGAATTCACAGATCTTTGCCGGCGAGGCCAGGCGTGGACGAGGTTGAAGCTGCTGTGGCTCTGGTTCAGAATGTGGAGAAGGAAGACCAGGCCAGGCTCGATGCCATTGCCAGGCAGACCAAGACATTGCAAGTCCCCGAAGAGCTATTCATGGTGTTGCAGGAGATGCAGAGGAGCTTGGTCTACTTCCACAGCAAGGAGCAGAAGCGGGAGGCCTTGAAATTGCTCGATCTTGAAAACCTCCACAACCTGTTCGATGATTTCATTCAGAGAGCTTCAACTTGCGTCGCTTCTCCCAATTCTACTTCTTCTTCTTCTGCGAAGAAAACGACGACCATGATTTCGAATTCGAATTCCGTTTCTGCGGTTCCACACAAGCCCTCTCCTTCTTCTGCCTCTGCTGCGCACGTGTTCCACTCTGACAACAACGAAATTGTTGCTAAGTCTTCTTCAGTCAGAGTGAGCAGAGACGACAGTTTTATGGTCAACAAGGCCAAGAAACAGTTCTTCGCTGATGGAATTGGGGCTCGGCCTGTTGTTTCTTCCACACCCCAGATAGTCGATTCGTCTCTGAAGCCTGGTTCTGCTCTCAATTCAACTGGAGGTGGGTATCTATCATCTTACACTATAATATTTCTTTTAATTTATTGGTTTGAATTGTTTGTTGGGCTCTCTGCTTATTTAGACAATGTGGGGTTTGTTGTTTGATTGTTTGTGTTTCGTGGTTTATAGGTCAGGAGAGTGAGAAATTGAGTCTAATAAAGCTAGCGAGTCTAATTGAAGTCTTGGCCAAGAAAGGAACTAAAGATCTTAATCTTCGCAACAAGTTGATGGATCAAATTGAATGGCTGCCCGACTCAATAGGAAAGCTTTCTAGATTGGTCTCCCTTGATTTGTCTGAAAACCGGATTTTGGTCCTCCCATCCACCATTGGAGGTCTTTCCTCCTTGACCAAATTGGATTTGCATTCAAACAGGATTGCTCAGCTGCCTGACGCTATTGGAGATCTTCTTAGCCTTGTCTCTCTAGACCTTAGTGCAAATGACTTGACTACTCTGCCTGCTACCTTTGGCCGATTGGTGCGTCTTGAAGAGCTCGATTTGAGCTCAAATAGGCTCCCTGCGCTTCCTGACTCAATTGGGTCCCTTGCTAGCCTCAAGATATTGAATGTGGAGACCAATGATATTGAAGAAATTCCTCATACTATCGGTCATTGTTCCTCGCTTAAAGAGCTCCGTGCAGACTATAATAGGCTTAAAGCACTTCCTGAAGCTGTGGGAAAGATTGAGAGCCTGGAGGTTTTGTCTGTGCGTTACAATAACATCAAACAGTTGCCCACAACCGTGTCGTCTCTATTGAGCCTGAGGGAGCTGGATGTAAGTTTCAATGAGCTTGAGTCTGTGCCTGAGAACTTGTGTTTTGCCACTTCACTGGTCAAGATGAACATTGGAAACAACTTTGCTGATCTGAGATACCTACCAAGGTCTATTGGGAACCTTGAGATGCTTGAAGAGTTGGATATCAGTAACAACCAGATACGGGTTCTCCCTGACTCCTTCAGGATGCTCACGCGACTGCGTGTTCTGCGTGTTGAAGAAAACCCTCTTGAAGTGCCACCAAGACACATTGCCGAAAAGGGGGCACAAGTAAGTTTCCTCTGTTGTGTTGACTTTCTTTTATCAAATAGGTCCTGTAGGTTTTATCTCAAGGCTAACTGTACTTTCTTGGTGCATCTTAGGCTGTTGTTCAATACATGACTGAGCTTGTTGTGAAAAGAGAAGTTAAAGCACAACCTGCTAAGCAGAAGAAGACTTGGGCTCAAATCTGCTTCTTCTCGCGGTCAAACAAAAGGAAGCGCAGCGGTGGAGATTATGTGAAGGCCTGATTAATCATTGAATTCCTGACAAGAGACACTATAATTTCAATCGAGTAAGTTGTCAAAACAATATTATGGTGAATTGACTTACATACTGTAAAAATAGAATTTTTGCATATTACTTTTGCCTAGTTCACTAACAACATGAATGAAAAACTCTCTGACCCTACTGTGGTGGCACCATCTTCATCCCCCTTTTAGGACTTAGTTTTTCTGGCTAGTGAGCGTGTATGATTAAAAATATCTTAACTAGTACTACTAGGGCCAATTTGATGAAGTTTGCAGTGACGTTCTTTTGCCACTCATGCACCTTTCTTATTGTTTTTCTCTCAGGTATACCAGCTGTTAGCAGGCTAGATGAAAAACGAGACTACGAATCAACGTCAACTAATGCGGTGGGTTTCTAAAATTGTTCCATTGACTCTTGCATACCAAATTGTATATCTGTTTTTTCTCTGTTATTTTTTACAATTTTTTTTTCATCCATCTGTATTTCTGTTGTCTTTGAGTCAAATGAGGTGTACAATTCAGCCGGCATATAGGAGAAAAGAAAAAATGTTGTACTCTGTATATCACCTCCATTGTTTATGATATCTCCATGTATCACCTACCACTTGTAATAGAATTTGTTTCCATTCAAAGAGAATCTAGAATCTTTTTATGTTCACTTCATTGTTGCTGATTTAGTAAACTTGACCTTTTGATGGGATCTGGGTACCAAAAGTCTTGACCTATCAATAGGATGGAGGATCTTGATCCAAGCTTCTGACTCAGAACTTAGGAATATCCCCTGGGGAGCCACTACCATCCATATAGGAAGTACTGCTTCCAAAATCCAGATAGATGCCTAATTCTTACTTAATAGGTTTTGTTTCTTCTTCTTCTTCTTCTTCTTTTTTTTGGGGTCAAACTACTTAATAGGTTGTTGACTTTGCTCCCAGTTACTTTCCATATTCTTTCTGAGTAGAGTTGCATTCAGATGCTTCAGTTAAAACAGTTGCAGCTTCAAAAAAAGAAGCAAACCCTGTATATCTCAAGCATGGAAACTGAAGTGGGGAAGCAGGGTATTTACTGGAAGGAGGTGAAATTTCATATGGGATATTTAGGTTTGGTGATTTGGAAGTTACTATGGTAAATTGCGTTGTGTTGAAGTTGAAGGTCGCTTAGTTAAAACAATTGTACTTAGATGTTGGAGTAATTATGAGGCAGTGGCCATCTATTAGAACATTTACTCATACATTCCAGGTTCTAAATTTGATTCCTCCTCTTCTATTATCACTCGCATTAAACAAAAGAAAAACAGAGAAGAAACCCGTCCTTTTTCGAATTTTATGGGTCGGTTAGCCCTCCAAATGAAGAAAAAGCCAAAAATCCAAATCCAACTATATATATAATCGCATCACCATCAAATTCTATCACATTCACATGTCTCTCCTCACTTCTTTACAGCTCATCTCATGGGTGGGATGAATTGAAAAAAAGAAAAGAATACCCTAGTTTCCAGGAAGGTCCATTGAAGCATGAAGACCACCACCTTCCCTGGTACCCTTGACCATTGTGAGGCCCTACCAGGCAAGGAAAAGACTAAAATGGTGTGGGCCAATATAGATTCAGGTGGTTGGCATTTTAGACGAAAATATATCAAATCCGGCATTTGTCAATTTTATTACATGAGGACCCAGAGGTGGTGTGGCATGCATGTTACAGGCTTACAGCCCCTGTTGGGTTGTTGATATATAGGGAACAACAGCTCCACAATGCGATTTCTTGCACCCAACCTAAGCATATGTTCACGACCGGAGGGGCTTAAGCCTATTAAATTCGCCTAAGTTTTGGCAAGCATTTGGCTCTTTGCCCATGTGAAAGAGCCGTGGCCATTTCATAAAAAAATCTTATCAATGGGATTGAAAAACCATATAATTGATGTACAGATCTGTTGGCAGTTGAAAAAAGAAAAAACACCCGTCTGAGATATTTCTTCAACTTCACAAATTCACATAAATTTATACAGTTAACAGTTACTCACGCACGCATAAACAACTATTGTATTGTAATTATCATCATCACCAGATGATTGAGGGGTACTTTTGTTGGGGAGGTTTTCGGCACTAACTTGGAACTTGTATGGGGTTAACATAATCTCATTGCTATGATTGGGGCACTTTGAGGAGGTGATGTTTTAATATGTGTGCATATCTTGAATGATAGGCAAAAGGTGGTGGATGTGGCTCAAATGAATACGTTTGACTGGAAATATTATAATGTTATTTGGGTGGCTTTTCTTCACCTAATAGGATGTGGATAAAACCAGACCAAAATTTTCTTTCTTGCTCTCGTGGCTACACTATGCGGATTACATATGGACACTCTGTTCATTTGTTTGGTAACTGTCAATGTTATTGAAGCACGAGAATCATGAAAGAAACAAATATCTATTGATTTCTTTTTTATATTATACATCAATTTTTGTCATTGGCTACATGTTTTTATCTGGAGGATAACGGCAGACAGATTACTAGCTAGATATAGAAAATCCATCATCAAAATTAGTTATATGATAACATATCACTAACTTTTTCCGTGACACTTTTAAAATGCAATACAAGATTACGTTTTAAATTTTGGTCTTTTAATATAAAAATTCTAACTCCACCACTGATAGCGTTACAGCTCAAGCACCGAGTTAAGGCGATAAATAAATAAGCTAGATCAATAGAAGAAGAAGAAAAAAAACCAATAACTCGATTATTCAATCAAGCTATTAACCCAAAGACAAATTTTGAGGAAAATGGTAAAAATTGGGTTTAAAGTTAGACTTGGCACTTTTTGTATAAGCCACATGTCCAGCATTATTGCGCCGAGCTGCCACAAGGCTTGCCTGCACATGAAATTTAGCGAGAGCCAACTAATACGACGTCGTCTTGATGACTATGCAGTTGCACAATCTGAATTGTGGCTGTGATTAGATTGGGGCTATCACAGTGATCTTGGAAAAAGACTTGTTGGGCCAGAGCCCATTAAGCTAATTTTGACAAAATTTTGTTTTTGGGTTTTTGCTGCCCAAGACGACCCCTAAGAGTCATTCCAGCGAGGAGCCCAAGCCTATGTCTAGGGGGGTATGCAAAAATCCGTTTCCAGCGAGGAGTCCAAGCCCGGGCTGTGAGTGGGACCCATGAAGATGAGCTGGCCCGAAGGCCAATTTCGCCCAAGCTCGAGCCCGAGGGCTGATGACGTCAGGCGCGACGTCATCAGGCGGGCACGCGCCAACAGTAAAAAAAATTTAAACTCGCGTGCACTGACGTCAGCCCTACGCAAGCTCCCATGGGTAGAAGACAGATGTCAAGGCCTGGGCGCTCCGATATGCTTCTCCTCCTCCAATCCAACAGCTGGCATTTTTTTGGTAATAAAATTATGAAAAAAAAATTCAAATTTTTTTAATAAAAAAAAACCAAAAAATTCTGAATTTTTTTTCTTTCTATAAATACCTATCAATACCCTTCACTTTCAACACCAATCCTCGTACATTTTCTTCTACTTATACTATTATTCACTCTTTACTCAACATTTTCCTCCATTTCAAATTGTATTTTTATTTCTTATCTTTATGGCTTCTTCTATCGAAACTGGAGGGGCTTAGAGCACCATGGAAGATGTTTCCTTGTCTGAAATTTGAATTTTGAAATTTATCCGAAATTTGAACCCAAAAATCTTATCCAGAAATTTTATCCGATTATGAATAGTCTTGACATGTAGGAACTCGAAAATCTTATCCGAAAATATTATCCAAATTAATTATTGAGGTAAAAAAATTTGTGAAAAAAACAAAAAATGAATAGTAATTGCCCTTTGTCATGGCAACAGGTGGAAACACACAATACTATTTGAAAGGGCAATAACTATTCACGTGAATAGTGGCTGCCCTAGCCCCCCATTGCCATGGCAAGGGGCAAATGGGTGGAGTTGCTCTAACACAAGGAGCCTCCCAAGTATTTTGATGGGGAAATTTGTGCCTAGGGTTTATTAACGCAAAGGAAGTACTTCTGGGCATGACTTGCAACTTGAGTTGGGGTCCTTGTTACTACGCAGAACCTGGAAATGCTCCTCCAATCTCCCTTCCCATATTGCTCTAACCCCTTCAAGAACAACCTGTTCACACACACACACACACATATCAATCACCCCAAAACAATTTACACATGAATTTTGTTCATATATATACACATAAATAGAAATCATGCTAAAAAGTTAAAAATGAAAATTTTGAAAGCTAGATAGTTAACCACGGGTAGGTTACTTATGTTGTCATATTATCATACTGTGAATCTGAATCATATATTTGTAAGAGGCAAATATATATATATATATATATATATATTATATACTTACTTGTGTTCATGCTTGGTCCATGGAGTACGTCTCCTTCTGAATGGTTTTGTTGTAACTTTGCTTTCAGTACTAATCTTGTTGTACTCGGGCACAGCTATATGACCTGATTCAATCATCAAAATGTCTTCAAATAATGCTTCGAAGTGCTTCTTAACTTGTGCAACAGTTTTCCCAGGAACCCTAGTACTTAGTTTCTGAAAGAGGTATGGGGCATCAAGATTGAGCTCTGTGAGAGCATTTTCAAACCTCTTGTTCTCATCGAAGGTCCATTGATCGTCACTAGGTTTTTCAGGTTGGAGTGGTCGGGATAAGTTGTTTGAGAACCTACTAGGGTAACATAGAGGACCCTTAGAAAAACATAATGTTTCCATAATTAATTAGCCAAAGCTAGTGAGTTCGACAAAGAAGAGAAGAAACATCAATTGATCCTCACTCTTATATACCGTGGATACATACGGAGTTATTATTGCCGCTCCAAATAAGTCATTCTACATTCATAAAGATATAATTAATTTCTTACCTTAATTATATTTTCATGACTTATATGTGTGCTTGGTTTCATGTATATACATACAAACGCTGATGCAAACTTACCAAAAAGTTTAGGTAAATTTTATTGTCCAAGTTCATAAAGGACAGCACTACTATGATTTGGCGATGAATTGTACATTTTAAAGCGTCATTGTAACACTCACGGCGATACAATTTCTTACCTTATTTTTCATAAAAGAGAGGAGTGCACTGAGTCCCGTAACAGTTACATGATACATATCCAAAAGTCATACGTGCACTTAGTTCATGTATACATGTAAGAACTTATGCAAACTTACCAGAAAAGATGATAAATCTTCTTGTCTAAATTCATGAAGGACAAAACTGCTATGATTTGGCGGTGAATCATCCATATATGTATTCGTCTTCATACGCAGCACCTTGGTTCGGACAACCAAGAAAACCCATAACTAACCAAGAAAATAATTAATGAAAAAAAGATAAGATGCAAGGATAAAGTTGTTCTTTAATTATTTTTTAGAAATGAAGAAAACGCAAATTAAACCAAAAATTAATATGTAAATATTAGATAATAATTACTAAATAATTAATCATTTTATATTGAGAAAAGTGAAGAAACACAAATGAAATAAAAATAAAATGCTGCAATTTGGGGATAGCGGATGAATCTTGTTGTCATAAAAGGAGCAACACTACATAAAAAATGGAAGAATTCATTCTTAAAAAAAGAGTAGAATTCAGTGCTTTGACAAATGACTAATGAGTACTTAAACATTAATATTCTTATGAAATATTAATTAAACTAAAATGCTTCAAAATATATTATCTGTTCTAATGATGAGTATAATTAATTTATAACGGTCACTTCTCTTTCGCGCGCTCTTCTTACGTATATAACTTCTTTTCAAAAGTTTTGACGGGTGCTCTTGATTTGAATCCTTAAGTTATAGTTAATTTATAACAATCATTTCCCTTTCGCGCCCTTCTTTCATACATATCTCGTTTTGAAATCCTTCATAAACTCATATTAAGATAAATTAAGAGTTTGAGTCCTACATTTTACTATATTGAAAATATAACCTCAACAAGAAAAGAAAAAAAGGATTAAAACTAAAAAGCTAGATGAGTTCTCATTACGATATATAGGATCTACATCGCATAAAAAGACACTTGATAACCAAAAAGAAAAACATCACACACAATGACTAATGCTGGCCTAGTGCAGCATTCTCAGAACCAAAAACACCAAAACCAAAAACCAATAAAACCACACACAAATCACCCCTAAAATCAAGATCAACAAAAAAAAGAACATAACCCAATAGGACACAAACGAGCCTGAATATCCTTATTATTCTAGCTGGTACCCCCACGACCTAAGGTGAGCTCTAGGTTGAGCTCTTCCTCTTCCATTTCATCGTCTCTCTCAAACTCAGGCAGCGCAAGACTGATTTTTATAGGCTCAGGTTCCTCAGCCAAAGCACGGAGGCTCACCGGCTTCTCGGGCTCAACAGGTGGAGTAGTTTTAGCACTCCTTTCATCTGAAGAAGCCTCCAGGGGGAAAAAAAGGGAGGTGTACTTATCTAGCTTTTGAGGAGCCATAGAGTTTGAACCAGATGCTGCTGGAACAGGGGGCTTTGAGCTTGATGAATAATCATCAGGTGGTGGTAAGTTCAAATCCATTTCACGAGGAGGAATGATTGTTGGTAATTGCTTTGTCCTCTCGATGCCCAAGTTATATAGAAATGGTTTCTAGAGACGCATAAAGAAAGACTCAGCATATATGGCAACTTGATGTGGGGTCTTAGTTGACACAAACTCCTTAGCAATTGTGGACCAGCTCCCCAGGCCATGTTTTATCACTCCCATTAGAAACAACCTAGAAAATAATAATTAATGAACCTCCAATTTAAGCACATACATGTGTAACTTGGATGTGAGTAATTAAATGTGTGAAAAATAATATTTATTTACACTAACATCTCTTGAGGTTTTCGGCTTTTTTCATAAAATTTCTAGAAATTTTAGAAATTACACGAACATCTCATGAGGTTTTAAATTGTTTTCACAAAACTCCTTTAATTGATTTTTCATCCAAATATTGATGATTTTATACCAAAAAAATTATCCCAATGACAAAGTTGACATTTGAGATTAAATTGCATATATTTCATTGAGGTTAATTTTGTCATTTGCATAAGCTATTTTTCAATGAAATTATCAATTTTTGGACAAATAATCAATGAAAATGGGTTTTGTGAGAACAAACTAAAACCTCAAGGGTTGTTCGTGTAATTTTTGAGACCCTGAGAGAGTTTTGTGAAAACACAAAAAACCTTAGAGAGTGTTGGTGTAAATAACTATACTACTACTTTGTATAATTCTTATCTAACCATATATACGTCCAATATATAGAGAGAGGGAAAATGCATGCTAGGCTTACCACATCTCTAATAGAGGTAGGCCCCATTGTATTGGTGGGTTATACCTTTATTAAAGAAGTGATACACAATGTGATATAAAAATGCGGTAAGCTTAGCATTACCCTATAAAGAGATAACAAAAACTTCAATTGTATACATACATAGCTTCCCTTTCATAACATGCACGTACGAGAGTTCTGTTGTTATATAAGATGGTTCTTACATGCACGTCGTGCATGAGGTTATATACGACGTGCACGTGCAAATTTATTCAGAATGTCGTTGACATGATAGCGAAGCTAGAGGAGAAACTCAATTTTAAGGCTAGTCAAAGTCATGGACATGCAACTTGCGGATAACAGGCTTAGGGCACATGGTGTTCTGAGAAGAAGATGAGGTAGACTCAGCACGGGCCTTAGGTGTGGAGGGAGGAGATTTGGTGAGGTCAATGATTTCCATTGCTGACAAAATAAACAAAGGAGGAGCACAAGAGAATCGCAAGAGAGAGAGAGAGAGAGATGGATGCTTTTCTCTGGGCTGGTCGTTTTATAGCTGAAAGACTGCAGTCAAATTTGCCAATATGCCCTTGCACAGGAACACAAAACTTCATAGATTTGGGCTTTGGAAATGGGGCCAGGATTACTTTAAGTCAAATGGTATGGCGTTATTACCACAAACTTATGTCAGATGTCATGGCTCTACTGAGAGAAATAGATTATTCTCAATCATGAAAACACCCCAAGAAGGGGCCAATGCCATGGCTATTGCAATATGGAATAGAGCGTTACCATTGCAATAAATTTATTTTATAAGGAAAAAAAAAGAATTCTTAATATTTCAAGTCATTCCTTGATTTCAAAACTGAAACTCCTTTGAGCAAAATTGAATTGGTTCCAATTTTAAAAACCGAAACTCCTTCGAGCCAAACCAAAGCATCTACAACTTGATGATAAATTTGGGAAATTTGTGGACTTCATGACACCCTAGTAGGGTTTGACGTTAAATAAACTTCTTCATGTTTCCTATGTGGTAATCTAGTAATTTATGTAAACTTGGACCACCTATTCTAAACCTTTGATTTTGATTTTGATTTTTGATTTTTGATTTTTTGCTCTCATTGATTGTTTCACTTTTTACACCACCGGTATTAGAGGAGAGAATTGAAAAAATTAGGTAGTTACAGTTGCCCACTACTTAAGCGAAAGAAGAGGGCTACATGTTGTGTGGTTGGTTCAAGAGGCATACTAGGAATTTCAGGACAAGTTTTTGGACCTGTTAAAGCCCAAAACCACTAGCTGCCTCACTTCTTCTCAGATCTCTCATCATTTCATGTTGCATTTTCCCAAAACTAGATTGTTTGGACATCAAATATGTACTTCTCTTTTGGTTCCAAGATCAGATGATGTACTTCAAATTCATGGTTTCTCTCTGTTTTTGAAAGGTATAAACAACATTCTTTCATTCAACAAAGCAAATATTTTGGCATTTGGTGTAATTGAAATTAGGCTCACTAATTAATCTATGTGTGTATTGTCAAGGTTGATGCTACAAAGGACAAGAGTTTCAGTGTTCCTCTGCTGAATTCAATTCTGGGTTACAAAGATTGTGGCAGAAAACAATGTGGGGATCTGTTCTTGTAGCCATTGCTGCTACAATAGGAAACTTGTTGCAAGGATGGGACAATGCAACCATTGCAGGTATGTATATGTATCCTCCTTAATCAATATATCTAGGAAAGTTTAAATAATAAATCTTTGGGATCTCATTTGAGGCACTACTAAAATATGCCGGTGATTGCACGTATTCGTGTTTAATTTAAAGCTTTAGAAAGCGAGTCATGGAGTTTTCCTTGTTACCAAAAGAATGTACCAAAGTAGGCCCATGTATTTATGATTTAGTATTTGAAATGGAGGCTGTGACATTAGAAACCAATGTGCAGGGGCTGTTCTTTACATCAAAAGGGAATTTAAGTTGGAAACTCAACCAACGATTGAAGGGCTAATTGTGGCCATGTCACTGATTGGAGCCACAGTTATCACAACATTCTCAGGGCCAGTATCAGATTCGCTAGGAAGGCGTCCAATGCTGATAATCTCATCAGTTCTATATTTTCTCAGCGGTCTGGTAATGCTTTGGGCTCCAAATGTTTATGTGTTACTTTTGGCAAGGCTTTTGGATGGGTTTGGGATTGGTCTGGCTGTTACTCTTGTCCCAGTCTACATATCCGAAACCGCCCCACCTGAGATCAGAGGGCTGCTAAATACTCTCCCCCAGTTTACTGGTTCTGGAGGGATGTTTATGTCTTACTGCATGGTGTTTAGTATGTCATTGATGGAAGCACCCAATTGGAGATTGATGCTTGGGGTACTTTCTATTCCTTCTTTACTTTATTTTGCATTGACTGTGTTTTACCTGCCTGAGTCTCCAAGGTGGCTTGTTAGTAAAGGAAGGATGGCTGAGGCCAAGCAGGTTCTGCAGAGACTCCGCGGCAGGGAAGATGTTTCAGGTGCACAAAGTAGTGCCATTAGCTGATGAAAGCTTCTGTTTTTCGTGCTGATATTGTGCTTAAGTTCGAAAATATAGGGAGGTTGTTTTTACTTTTTTCGATTTTTTGGATGCTGAATGTGTTGGGCTTTACTGATTTGCAGGCGAGTTGGCTTTGTTGTTTGAGGGTCTTGGAGTTGGAGGGGAAGCATCATTAGAAGAGTACATAATTGGTCCAGCCAGTGAGGGCACCGATGGCCGCGAAATGACTACAGAGAAAGACCAAATAAGGCTGTATGGACCGGAGGAGGGGAGGGCCTCAATGATTGCCAAATCTGTCACAGGACAAGCCAATCTTGGCTTGGTATCCCGGCAAGGAAGCTTGTTGAATCCAAATGTGCCTTATGTGGATCCTCTTGTAACTCTATTTGGCAGTGTCCATGAGAAGCTTTATCCTGAAAACACAGGAAGCATGCGCAGCCTTCTTACTTTGCCAAACATGGGCAGCATTCTTAACATGGCGCCACCCGAAAGCCAGGATAAGTTTGAGCATTGGGATTTGGAGGGAGATGGCAATGCAGCCGGGAATGATGTTGAGGACAATGTGCGAAGGCCGTTGCTCAAAGGTCGACAATCAGCCAGTATGGTAAATGACATGCTGCCTAGAAAGTCCAGTAGCTTCTTCGGCATGAGGCGCAATAGCAGCCTCATGCCAGGGGCTGGTGGTGGTGAAGCTGTGAGTAGTATGGACATCGGAGGAGGATGGCAGTTGGCTTATAAGTATTCTGAAAAAGTTGGCAAGGATGGAAAAAAGGAAGGAGAGTATCAAAGGGTCTATTTGCATCAGGAGGGTGCACTTGAGTCGCGGCGAGGCTCAATGCTTTCAGTTGCCGGCGGTCTTGACGGCCCTCAAGACGGCGAATATTTTCAAGCTTCTGCTCTGGTTAGCCAACCTTCAGTACTTTCTAAAAAGAACCAACTGAGCCAGCATCTTGGACAAGAAAAGGTTCACACCCCAGAAACTGTTCAAGGATCCAGTTGGTCTGATCTCCTAGAACCAGGAGTCAAGCGTGCATTGTTTGTTGGGGTAGCAATTCAAATTCTTCAGCAGGTACTAATTCATGTTTTCGAGTAAATGTGGTACAAATAGTTTCGATTATATGAGAAATTTTTTGTTCTCTCTGCTCTAATGCTGGGTTGTTTTTTGGTCCTTGCAGTTTTCTGGCATAAATGGGGTTCTATATTACACTCCTCAGATTCTTGAGCAAGCAGGGGTGGCAATTCTCTTATCAAATTTGGGCCTTAGTTCCACTTCTGCCTCTATCCTCATAAGTGCTCTCACAACCTTGTTGATGCTTCCATCTATAGGCATTGCCATGAGACTAATGGATACCTCTGGCAGAAGGTATTGCTGTCCCACTGTTCCACTAAGCAAAGCCTGAGCTTTTCCCTTCATCTTATGCTCTTCTGTCTTCGTTGTAGGTCGCTGTTGCTGACGACGCTACCTGTACTGACGGGGACTCTCCTGGTACTAATTTTCGGACAACTTGTCCATATGGGTTCTGTTGTTAATGCAACAATTTCCACCATCAGTGTGGTGGTCTACTTCTGCTGCTTTGTCATGGGGTTTGGACCAATTCCTAACATTCTTTGCTCTGAAATCTTCCCCACTCGCGTTCGTGGCCTCTGCATCGCCATATGTGCGCTAACATTTTGGATTGGAGACATCATTGTCACTTACACATTACCTATCATGCTCACCACCATTGGTCTTGCTGGTGTCTTTGCCATATACGCTGTTGTGTGCACCATTTCTTGGGTGTTTGTGTTCTTAAAGGTGCCAGAAACAAAGGGAATGCCCCTAGAAGTCATCTCTGAGTTCTTTTCTGTGGGTGCAAAGCAGGCAGACATTGCTGAAAGTTTGACTTAGCAGTCAAGGGATTGATGATGCTGTTTTGAGTTATGTTCTTTGTCCTAGGTAGAGGAAAGGAGGCACAATAACACTAAATTAAGTGAACACCAGTGCCTACTGTGTTGTTATTATATTCACGTTGATCTGGACAGTTTTTGTATATATAATCTTTGGACTCTGAGATTCTAGCTAGTCATCTTTTGAAAACAACTGGACGATGATCAAAGATACGACGCTTTAGTAGAAGCTGAAAGTAATCCTTGGTCCTCAAGAAAGGGCTAATGGGAATTCAAACCATTTGCTTATGGTTTCTGTGCTCATACTGTACTTATGGCAAACTCTCGCTTTAGGTCTTATATTTAATTCTCTTTCAAATGTCTTATTTCAGGGAAAATCTAATAAGCATATAACGCCGAACCATATAAAACCATATAAACAAACAACATAAAAGTTCAAAACTATATAAACATGATGGAGATTCCAAACTTTATAACCAGGATCATGTTTGTCGGCACCATGATTAACGGTTTCTGGAACCTTAACCATTGACCGCAGATTGAAAGATCAACAACAACAAAATCACAGTTACACTAAGTTCAAAAACATTTAAACATGGTGAAGTTACAAACTTACTAGCCAGGATCACGTTTCTTGGCACCGTAGCTGTCTATTTTATAACCTACATAATCAACCAAAATAACCCCGGCATTTTGATGATCCACATAAGCATTTCTTTTTCTGGTGGGATCCATTGTCATTGTCAGCTTCATTAGAACATGAATTGCCATAATCATATGTCAACTCTGTCATGGGCGGAATGTGTCTGATGGCAAAAAAGGCAATATGAAGACAAGACTGATTGTTGTGTTCATATAGAACCGGTTGCCAAAAGACATTTGGTGAGCAACTGTGATTAATGAACCGAGCTACGTTCCCAACATTCTTGGCACTTATGATTAGGCGATATGGGATGTTATAATCCACATTTATGTCATTAGAAGTCTCCTCTTCTAGTAGTCCTGGTTCATAATTCCACTTAAACAACTCATAATTACGGCCTGTATCAAAAATATATTCATCATCTTCACCTTCATCTCCTTTATGCTTTAACTTCACTTCATCAATAACTTCACCAGCATACTCACAAATAAAAGTACCAGCACGAATAGAATCCCACGACCGGAGGCCCCAGCCCCTATCCTTTGTCTTAAACACTTCCAAGGGCAATTTTACACCAGTTTGGGATACTCTGTTTTTGCAGTTGGGAGAGCATGGACATGTAGGACCACATTCATGTAACAATTGCTTCCGGCTGACTAGGATCCCATTGCCAGTATAAGGAAAAGAACCTCCATTTTTCTGAATGCAAGAGCAATTCATATCACCTGGGAGGCATGCATTGTGGCAATTGCAGACAAAAGAAGGCGGCATTGAAGTGAAGGATTTAGAATATTTCAGTTTAGGAAAATACGTGAAAGAAGCCAACTCCTTCTCGTTATCAACCTCATTTACAAGGGAAACAGGTATAGGTTCAGTCCCTGAAGTGAGGTCTTGAAGAACGAGTCCAGCCCTTGACGAAAAACCATCCTTCCACTTACGAATAGTTTGCCAAACTGCAAAAGCACCAGGCTGACCAGGCACCCTCACTAACTTGTACTTGAATATATTGCAACCAGATTTCCCCCTTTCTGTCCATGACTCGTGGACTTTATATAGGCCATCATACACATAGACCTTTGTTGTTGAAATAAGCTCATCTTTCACACCACGAATCACTCGGACTTCATTGCCCTGATTCAAGCTCCTCTCAAGAGCAAGATTACCCCTTTCAAGCTTCTGATCAGCCACCTGCTTATTGTTATGGGTATACCCACCCTGACCACTATATATCAAGACATCACTGTCCTCTGTGTCATCATCATAGCCTCCTGAAGAAACAATGCTTAAGGCCAATGGATCTTTTTCAGCATCACCCTTCCCAGACATGAAGTCAATTCCAGCCATTGGCGGAGCATGCAATCCCACTGCACACATTTCCATTCGGAAATAGAAAATGTCGCCAATCTCAACTCCAGGCACAACCCCAATTCTCTTCCTCATGTTTGTTCGAATCTTTTTGCTCATCACAATGTTACCAGCTTTCAAATGTGCAAGCACATTTTTCGATTCCTTGGCATCTTCGATTTGGCAGATCCTTCTCCGCAATGCATCAAAATTCATGAGTACATAGTTAACCAACTCCCTGTTACCATCTTCTAGTTGAAATGGAGTCATAACAGAAACAAAGTTCACTCCCGACCCATTGTTTGTTAATGAATCACCATCTCTACTTTTCTTGTTCTTCTTTCGAGATGAACCAACTTTCACAGTCTTCTTTCTTGATGAACTAGAACCTGGATGAGCATCAAAATAACCATCCTCATCTTCTGCCCCACCCCATTGATGAACCTCTTTCTCCAAGTGCCCCAGATGGGGCGGGGGCTCTGTATGACCGAATTGGAGCAGGCATGAGACCCGTCGTCCTCATTGGGGAAGGATTCTCACTATTGAGGTTAGGTGAGGTTTGAGAGCCTTGTGGTACATGAAATGGGTAAAATGAAGAATATCCCTTAGGGGTACGGCCGAAGGGAGGCATGCATGCAAAGGGAGGGGCCTGAGACGCATCTGGAAACACTGGCACCAAACTACGCAGAGGTTTGACATCCAAAACACATGACTTATCAAAACCAGCTGAAGGAGGAACGAAGTTGTGGCTTGACCCTCCTTCCATTACAAACCCTTTTCTCTAGAAAGCAACACAACAATAAAGTTTTCCGCTTTTTCTACAAGTGCAAAACAACCAAAACAAAAAACCCCACTTTTTCTCTTTCTTCAACTTCTGGGTGCTTTTTCACCACCAAAACAAAAACTTCTGGGTGCTTGTGATGGTTGTTCTAAACCCCAGTTTCGTTTTTTCAGAGAAATCAAATTTCTCGCTCTAAGCATGTTTCTCTGCAAGACAAGATTGCAGACGACGCTACACATCACTGAAAAGATTCATACTTTGAACAGGAAAGCTAAGCTCAAGCTGAAATCTAAACATAATCAGATCTAATCTAGGAACATGGTAATCAAATATTAGTTACAAAAATCAAAATCAACCAGCAGTTTCTACATGCATGAACACTTGGGGTAGGAAAAGAAGCAAAAAATTAACCAGTCTTACCTCTTCGCATTTTCCATTGCTAGCTGGGTATTTCTCCGTTCGAGACTTTCAGGGAGAGAGCGCACTACCTGAGTTTTGCTCCTGTCCAGTGTTTGCCACATGTGGTGGGGTCTATTTAAGCCAAATTACAATTTTTGGTGCTAAAGACCCATCTTGAAAACCGAGCAAAACCCATTTAGACCGACATGGTGCTATTTATTTAATGAAAATCCATCTTTTTGACAAGATTAGCAGCCAATATCACTTTTTTAGTTGTCGGGGCAACAATGCAAATTCTTCAGTGCTATAGAGTAAGTGTGGTACAAATAGTTTCAATTTTCGATAATTTTTGTTTTTCCTCGTGCTCTAAATTCTAATGCTCGGTTGTTTTTTGTCCTCGCAGTTTTCTGGCATAAATGGGGTTCTATATTACACTCCTCAGATTCTTGAGCAAGCAGGGGTTGCAATTCTCTTATCAAATTTGGGCCTTAGCTCCACCCCTGCCTCTATTTTCATAAGTGCTCTAACAACCTTGTTGATGATGCTTCCATCCATAGGCATTGCCATGAGACTAATGGATACCACTGGCAGAAGGTATAGTTGTCCTTTGTGCCACTAATCAAAGCCTGAACATTTCCCGTCATCTTATACTCTTCTGTATCCATTGCAGGTCACTGTTGCTGACGACGCTGCCTGTACTGACCGGGACTCTCCTAGAATTAATTTTCGGACAACTTGTCCATATGGGTTCTGTTGTCAATGCAACAATTTCCAGCATCAGTGTGGTGGTCTACTTGTGCTGCTTTGTCATGGGTTTTGGACCAATTCCTAACATTCTTTGCTCCGAGATCTTCCCCACTTGTGTTCGCCGCCTCCGCATCGCCATTCGTGCCCTCACATTTCTGATTGGAGACATCATTGTCACTTACACATTGCCTGTCATGCTCACCTCCATTGGTCTTGCTGGTGTCTTTGCCATCTATGCTGTGCACCATTTCTTGGGTGTTTGTGTTCTTGAAGGTGCCGGAAACAAAGGGCATGCCCCTTGAATTCGTCTCTGAGTTCTTTTCTGTGGGTGCGAAGCAGGCAGATATTGCTGAGAGGTTGACTTAGCAGTCAAGAAAATTGATGATGCTGTTTTGAGTTCTGTTCTGTCTTACGTGGAGGAAAATTGATGATGCTGTTTTGAGTTCTATTCTATGTTGTTATATTAACCTCGGACGTGCTTCTATTGTGGGCCTGTTGGGCTGAAGATTTTAGGGCCACCATTGTTCCTTTGTTTTTGTTTGGGTTTTGGTTTTCGTTCCGCTCCGCTAGCAACCAAAAATAATAATAATAATCATCATGGTGCTTGTTGGGTGCCAGATAAATTACAGAAGGTTGAGAACATTCTTAAGGATGATACGTTCTCGTTGAATTCATGACCTTAAACTCACTGCAAGGTGTAAAAGGCTTTCTTCTTTTTTCTTTCTGTAATTGCACCGTTGATTAGTGGTCCACTATATATATATATATATATAAGGAAGCTAGATTAAATTTCCAGATATTAAATTCATGCATATTCATCTGTTCATATCTGTTGACTATATCACTTACCTATTTGGTAGAATTAATTACATAATTGTTACAATAATACAAAGTAATTTTCTCTAGCCAGACTGTAACACAAAATCAAAACAATGCCAAGTATGTATATTTCTAGAACCATCAGAAGTTGTGGTCACTCTTATTCATTTGTCTGTCTCCTCCAAAATTCAAAAATCTAATGGGAAGCACAAGATCTGCTGCAAACCAAGTTCCTCAGCCATGGTTATATTTGACGTGTGGCTTTACCTTCTTCACATTTCGAGAGCCATGCTAACAGGTAGAGTTTTTCTTTTGCAATTTCAAAAAACAACCAATGAACAACAAAGAGATTTTTAACGCAGAGAATCCAACTTGTTTTATTGACATTTCTTTTGGTAATAAAATTTGCATTGCATGTTTACCGAGACTGCTTTGGAAGGTCTCTATACTCATCTCCTCTGTCTACTGTTATATTGGTTTTGACATATTTGAATATTTCACGAAGTTTCATACTTTGAAGTTCAATGTGTATGAATATTAACACCATCAAGATATGCTTGTGCTTTCTATCTGTTTCCTGAAAGTGATTGTTTGGCTTGTTTTTTTATTCATATAGCAATGATGCTATTGCCATCTTTATGCAGATTTGGTGACCACCAGTGGGAAACGCAGCACCGCCATCTAAGTCTTTGTGCATACTAATACATAATCTAAGAAAAGGTTCAGCAATTCTTGCACTGTGATCTGAATCCTCTTTTGGGTTTCGAAAATAGTACTTGGTCTCTGAAGAAAAAATGAGGGGAGCTGTGTTTGTCGCGGTTGCTGCAGCAGTTGGGAATTTGTTGCAAGGATGGGATAATTCAGTCATTGCAGGCAAGTACCATAAATTTATGTTTTCTGTGTTTATCAATTCATTTATCTCTGCCACAATGTTCAATTTTCAGAAGCATAAGAAAGGGGTTATGTTAATAATTCTGCTTTGTTACACAAAAATGTTGCAGGGTCTGTTCATTATATCAAAAAGGAATTTGAATTGGAAAGTCAACCAACATTTGAGGGGCTAATTGTAGCCACATCCCTTATTGGAGCTACTTTCATAACAACATTCTCTGGACAGGCATCAGACTGGCTAGGACGGCGTACGATGCTAATCATTTCATCTGCTCTTTTCTTCATTAGTGGTCTGGTAATGTTGTTGTCTCCCAATGTTTATGTCTTACTTTTCGCGAGGCTATTGGATGGATTTGGAACTGGTCTGGCTGTTACTCTTGTTCCTGCCTATATATCTGAGATAGCACCGCCAGATATAAGAGGAACATTGAATACCCTTCCACAGTTCACTGGTTCTGGTGGGATGTTCTTGTCCTACTGCATGGTGTTTGGAATGTCACTGATGGATTCACCAAGCTGGAGATTGATGCTAGGGGTTGTTTCCATTCCATCACTAGTTTATTTTTCTTTGGCGGTGTTTTACCTGCCTGAATCCCCTAGGTGGCTTGTGAGTAAGGGTCGAATTCTTGAAGCCAAACAAGTTCTGCAAAGACTTAATGGCAGGGAAGATGTTTCAGGTGCCTAAGTTGGTCTTCTTTTTTGTTCCCATTTCCTTCACGTAATTGATATTTTAGAGCTAACTCTGAGTCTGAGGCTTTTATGATCTACAGGTGAGTTGACTTTGCTAGTTGAGGGTCTTAGCACTGGCAGAGAGACAACATTGGAAGAGTACATTATAAGTCCAGCCAACTTGCTTGCCAATAACCAGGCAACAACTGAAGAGAAAGATCAAATGAGATTGTATGGTCCTGAAGAGAGCTTGTCATATATAGCCAAACCTGTAACTGGACAGAGTTTAACATCTCACCATGGCAGCACGGCAAACCAAAGCATCCCTCTTATGGATCCTCTTGTCACTCTCTTTGGCAGTGTCCATGAGAAGCTCTCTGAGAGAGGAAGCAAGGGAAGCATGCACTATCCAAATCTAGGCAGTATTTTGAATACAGGGGAGTATCATAACAAAAATGATCACTGGGACACGGAGAGCCAAACGGATGGTGAGGACCACGAATCTGAAACACCCCGGGTTTATTGTGATGACACTTTGAGAAGTCCATTGATCTCACGCCAAACAACGAGCATGGACAAGGACGTAAGCACGACTAGGTCTGGCGGTAGTGTTTTAGGTGTGAGATGCAATACCATCCTGATGCAAGGTAATATTGAAGCGGCTGAAGCAGGCAATGGCAGTAGTATGGATATAGGTGGAGGCTGGCAGCTGGCTTATAAGTATTCCGAGCGGGTAGGCGAAGATGGGAAGAAGGAAGGAGGATACCAAAGAGTCTATTTGCACCAGGAGAGTGGACTTGGATCTCAGCCTGCATCAGTTGTTTCAATTGGTGTAAGGCAAGAAAGTGAACTCATTCAAGTTTCTGGTCTGGTTAGCCAGCCTGCTGTTTCTGCCAAGGATCCGACAAGTCTACGTGCTGTTGGCCCAGAAATGGTTCCTACATCAGAAGCTGAAGGTCCAAAATGGGGAGACCTTTTGGAACCAGGAGTCAAGCGTGCATTGATTGTTGGGATTGGACTTCAAATTCTTCAGCAGGTAAAATTTAAGCTTATGTTGCAGTAGTGATTTGGTAAGAGCTTTTCTTGTTCAATTTGACCTGATGGGCAGCTGTTTTGTATATCTTGCCTTCTTATGCCTTTTCTTTTCACCTCTGCAGGTTGCTGGCATAAATGGGGTTCTCTACTACACTCCTCAGGTTTACGAGCAAGCAGGCGTAGCAGTTCTTCTGTCTAACATAGGGATGAATTCAACCTCTGCATCTCTCTTCTTAAGTTCCATCACAACATTTTTAATGCTTCCTTGCATAGCTACTTCCATGTGGCTAATGGATAAAGCTGGCAGAAGGTAAACTCTCATTCTAATACCATTGAATTTCAGACAGCCTATTTTCTTATCAAATACATTGCAACTTTAGAATCTGAGTCATGCCACTGAACCCAAAATCGATATGAACACAAGAAGCTTTCCTTTGTCTTTCTTCTTGTGTAGGTCACTGCTGCTATCCACAATACCAATCCTGATATTGTCCCTCGCTTTACTGGTGTTTGTCAACATTGTCAACTTGGGCAGTATTCTCAATGCAACAATCTCCACTGCTAGTGTTGTGGTCTACCTCTGCTGCTTTGTCATGGCTTTCGGGGTGATCCCGAACATTCTTTGCGCAGAGATCTTCCCTACTCGCATCCGCAGCCTCTGCATTGCTATTTGTGCCCTCACTTTTTGGATTGGAGACATCATCATCACATACTCATTTCCTGTGATGCTTTCCTCCATTGGCTTTGCTGGTGTCTTTGGAATCTATGTTGCTGGGTGCATAATTGCCTGGTTTTTTGTTTACTTGAAGGTGCCTGAGACCAAGGGCATGCCTCTAGAAGTCATCTCTGACTTCTTTGCAGCTGGTGTGAAACAAGCTGCTGATGCTTCCAACTAGAACTGATTTGATTGTCCACAAGTGGAATTATGAGGGCAGAATTGAGTCTTTTGTGGAAAAGATTTTGTGTTCATCAATTGTCTTTGATATTATCCCTCTCTTAATGCTGCTGCACAAGCATTTTGATACCAAAAATCAATCCTCTAGGGTCACATGTAATTTTTTTAATGCATCTATATTTTACAATTAAAACCCTTATAACAGGAACTAAAAAAACTGTGTGTGATTCAAATGATAGCAAATTTAAGGCAAAACTTAACACATCCCTAAAAACATAAAAGAAGTCACAAAATGGGAAAATGAAAGCAAAAACAAAGAGAAATGTTGTCAAAATTGAATTACTCAAGTGTGACACTAATTCAACAAGTTTATAATTCGTATTATTCTGTCATTTTTCAGCTCATGAAAAATATTAGAAAAGACAGCCAATCTTGCTAATTTCTATAAACAACTTTCAACGAAAAAGAAAAAGAAAAAAAGAAAAAAAGAAAAAAGGAAAAGCATGAGATTATGTGTCCGGGCCAACAAAAAAAGAATAGAGTCGGTTTTCTGTTTTAACTCGGGGCGCAGGCGGATGATGCTGCCGCGTAGCACTAGCAATAGCAATAGGAACGCTGTTCAGAGAACAATTCAGTGTATCGTCGTCTTCGTCTTCATCAAATTGAGGTAGAATTAGGGTTTTAGATCTGAAACTTATCGGAATCTGAAAGTAGTCAAAGAAATGGAAGGTCAAGTGAAGGAAGGAGACTCTCTGGAGAAGAGGCCTGGCATCTTCTTCCTCGGCTCCCCCAACGTCGGCAAGCGCACTATGCTTTCTCGTAAGCCCTCTCTCTCTCTCTCTCTTTTGCCTTTACTGATATGAGTGGTATTAAATCCATGATTTGTTGATCTTAGGATTACTGGCTTTGGATTTTGATGATGCTTCTGATTCTTCTTCATCTCAGCTCGTAGTTAATGGGTATGTAAATTTTACATCTTTGGAACAAAGAATTCATTTTTAATTCTTTCGAAATGTGAATTTTACAATGAATTTATTTTTCATTTTAAAAAAATAGGTGGAATATTTCTACAAAGTACTACACAGCTGATGCTTCCGTATGGATGGCTCATCTTCATGATGAATTTTCCATTGAGACCCTCCCGATGTATGACCAGTTGCAAGCCTTGATCTTGGTCTTTGACACCACTGAGGTTTGGTCTCTTGCGACTCACTCTTTTTCACTTTGTTTAGCTATTTAGCTTTTTAGCATGATTTGTTGATGCAGTCTTATATTGATTTGCTAACATTATGTGCAGTTGTCGTCTCTTGCTGCACTTCAGAAATGGGTATCTCGAACTGATCTTCAAAAATTTGATATACTATTATGCATAGGGAACAAGGTGGATCTTGTCCCAGGTCACCCGGTTCATGCTGAATATAAAAGACGTCTGCTGAAGCTTGGAGATCCATTTGCTGATTCCGGTCCAGGGTTCACTGAGTATGGAATCTCCGAAACTGAAGGAAGTAGTTTACTGGGGGATGAAGAACCATCGTGGGAGGCTAGGCAGTCATGTTCGGAATGGTGCACTGAGCATAACATTGAGTACATTGAAGCTTGTGCTTCAAATGTTGATTTTGACAAATGTAAGGCGGCCATTATTTTTTACCAAATTTTTTAGCAATATTTACCCTTTATTTATGATTGACAAGAAGTGCAACCTATGTTTGATAAAGTTTCAATGATTGTGATAGAACAAGTTATAGCAAACTACGTAACAGGGTCTGTTCACTAAGTCACGTACCATGAGAAATGAGTCTTTGTATGACAGAGCAGTTTAGGGAGAAGTAGGATTTTCTCATCATGTATATCAGTAAGAAATTATACAGTGATTATTCCTTGAGTTCTCATGTCAGTTTCAATATTAGAAAGGAAAATGGTTACCTTGAGAAAATTAATAGTAGTTAAATCAAATAAAAGAACATGTTGATTGTACTGTACACCATATACTTTTTTTGGGTATGTTTTGAGGTAGAAATTTTCACAGGTTTGTCAGTTGATGGCGATTCACAAGGTGTTGAACGACTCTTTGGTGCTCTTTCTGCACATATGTGGCCTGGAATGATTCTGAAATCAGGCGATAAGATTGCTGAACCATCGTTACCTGAAAGAGAAGAAGGTTTTATATTATACCACTTCCATTTGGTTTATAACCTATACGTACTTTTAAGTAGAATGTTAAATGTTTGAATTCTCTCTACTAGACTTGTCAGAAGAAGAATCTGATTATGAATTTGAGTATGAAATCCTATCTGCGGGTTCAGCTGAACCACATGAAGACACGTATACAGGATGGGTTTCAGCAAATGATTCTGCGGGACCCTCAAGTATGGGAGGACTGGCTGCTCAAAATAATATTTTCCCAGAATGCAATCAAGAGAATGGAACCCTTTGTGATAAGGAGGAGCCACAGACCTCAACCTCGACAGCTGCTTTGCATGATGATATCAACAAAGGAGTGGTGTCCAATGCGGAAGAGCCTGACCAGGGCACAGAACTTGACCAAGCCCAGGAACTAGATGAGGCCCCTCTTAAAGTTGAGGATTTGGAGCAGTTGATGTCTGAGATTGGGAACATGCGTGACTGCTTGAGATTGATGCCTGATTTTCAGAGAAGAGAAATGGCTGCAAATCTGGCTTTGAAAATGGCCTCCATGTTTGGGGGCAGCAGTGATGATGAAGTGGAAAGTATCAGCTGATTAAGGGATATCCGTATTACGGAAAGAAAAAGGTAGATGAGCTTTTTGGAAATATTTTGTGCTTCGTTTGCTCTGTTCTTCTCTCGTGCTGCACATGGAGATTCAGAAGTCTCTTCTTCTTTTTTTTGTGGGGTCTATACATGGTGATTCAGAAGAGTCAATAGCCATTAACTGTGCCCAATCCTTTATAGTATTAGTGGTAAGATACTTGTGTTTTTATTCAAACATTGAAAATGTTAGGTCGTACTTCACATGTGGGAGGGTGACCGTTGTGTATGAGCACAATTAGCTGTGGTGTGATGATGCAAAACTTTGATATTTAAACCAAAATATGAATTAGATATTTTTAGTGATTGCTGCAATTCGTACTTCTATGAGTGCCAAGTTGGTGCTAAGGTTTAGTGCCCTTTTGATCATGATACCATGAATAAGTCACAGAAAGAGCAGCTATTGATTTTTTAAGGTTTTCTATTGGAGCAGTGAGATATTTTGGTTGGTAAGTAACAAAGCTTCTTGAACATTTCTAAAACCTAAAGCACCCATCTAGTGTTTAATTGTTACTTTATTCCTAATGACATCTTTTGACGGACATGTAGATGGAATCTTATAAAGCTAACGGTAGGCCCTATTGCAAAAAGTTAGTACCCCCAAATTGCCTGAAGAAAATAAAAAATGTCCACACTCGGGGAAGATTAACCTATAAGAATTTTAAGAATTTTGTTTTTTTTTGTTAAAACAAAGCGATATTCTAAACTGCTACTCTAATGTATAGGGATGGAGACATTGTCTTGGCCAACTGGTTTAACTTATATCAGGTAGAGTTTTGTATTTTTTGTTAGGATTGTTATTGTTCGTATTGTTTGCTCGAGGATAACAAGAAGGTAGGATGCTGTAAACCCAGAGAGTTGCCAAACTTGACCCTTCCATTTTCTTATTTATTGTCCACCAGAAAGGAGGTGTGAGAGTTTTGGGCGCAGGAGATGTCAAGCTGTTATTAGGTGGGAGTTTGGGAGTGGTAGGGGAAAGTGGGCAGAAGAGTAGCATTTTAAGGGCTGCCTTGTATTAGGCTTTTGACTGATTATCAACCGTGTAACATGGTTTGAAAGACTAGAGTGGCTCTGAGCGGCGGATCGGATCCTTATTAATAATTGATAATAATAATAATAATAAAAATAATCACATAGGACAAATTTGTGCTTAGCTTAGTGCTCTTTTAATCATGGTGGCTACTATACCACAAGGAAATAAGTAAGAAATATCGGCGATTGCTTTTTAATACCATTTGCCAAGTAAGATCCTTTTGAAAGAAACGTTTTCAGTGATCTAAAAGCACGTTTTAGACTCGAAATATCTTAGTTCTCGAACGATAACTTTGAATTATATGGCATGTGGGTCCTTGATACATTTCTCTTTTATCTTCGATATGAGCCCGTTTAAGATTACTGTCACTTTTTAAAAAACAAATCCCAAACAGACCTAAGTCTACTTGAAAGCTACCAGAAGGTGGGGGGTGAGGGGGAGAGATAAAACCAAGTTGCCACTTTTTATTATTTTAAATGAAAAGATTGACTTCTGTTTACTCTTAAGACCTGTAAGCCTAGATAGGGAAAACAGGTAAAGGTAGTGGAAATCCAGCTTAAAGTTTAGCCTCAAAATCAGAAGGGTTTGAAGAGTATCTTTTCTTCCCCATTCACTCTGACCCAGATGCTTGTGCTTAAAGAAATTCTAGTAGCATCAATAAAACACAAACACACACTAAACCTTGTCATGATTCTGTTGGTTCTGCTTTTAACAATGGATGGTTTTGAGACGTTAGCGTCAATAGCACTCAAAGTTCCCAAAGGAGTGCTTCGAAAAAGCTCAACAACAAAAAAAACTATTAAAATCCCAAACAAGAGCAAGCAATGGTTGTGCTTCAAAGTCCCAACCAACCAGCTGACCTATCTCTAAGTTAGGCCACAAACCCTTTCTTTTTATTCAATTCTCCATCCTCCCAGCATCTATGACCCCATTGACTCTTTGGTCACTTTAACCAACATGGAAATCATTTATAAAATAGCCCACTTTGCCTGTTAGATATTACTTTTGAACCACGCAATGCAACCTCTTTTTGTAATTTCATTCAGTTTAGAACCAGGCAAGTGGGAGACTTGGCACAACTGCTGCATTGGTGTCAGTTGGCAGATTGCAGATGAACAAAGAAGATGAAGATGATCCATTCATTTTCGCTATACACAAAAGAGTGGAAGGAAATACAAATTGAGGAAAAAGGGTAGTTAATTAAAGAAATAATAAAACGTGGGTTTGGCTAATTAAGGGTGATTAAGGCAGATAACTATTACTACTAACAGCAGTGGTAGTTGTTGCATTAGAACAAGAACTAATTGCATTGGCTGCAGGAGGAGGAGGAGGAGGAGGAGGAGCTGGATGGTTGCTGCTGCTATGGTCTTGGCGCGCCTTGAGCTCGGCTTCAGAAATGGGAGCCGGGAACTGGCCGCACTTCTGGCAGCGAGCCACCACCAGGATCTGCCGGCACGACGGGCACGACGAGTGGGACCCAAGCCACATGTCCACGCATCCGACGTGGAAGACGTGGCCGCACTGCGGCAAAACCCTGATCTCATCTCCCTCCGCGAACTCCCCCAAGCAGATGGCGCACTCCGAAGCCAGCTTGGGCGGCGGCTCGGCTCCGCCGATGCCGTATGTGAACTTGGGGAGCGACTGGAGTACCTTCTTCTTGACGCCCTTGTTGGCGGAGGCTTGAGCCGAGCTGAGGCTGGCTCCACCGGCTCCGGAGCCGCGCCGGAGCCAGGCACAGCGCGCCACGGCTAGGAGACCGATCACGCATATGACGGCGCAGAGCAAAGCTGCAAGTATGACGACGAAGTCCGACTCCAGAACCACGGCCTCAGGAGGCGGTGCCGCACGGAAAGCTGACGAGTTGGTGGCGGCGCTACTGCCTAGAAATCTCTGAGAGCGAGGCATGACTGGTCATACGACGAGCTGTCTAATGTCGTTTTTGAGAATTCGGTGCTGGAGAGAAGCAAGTGAGAGAGAAAAGATCGGTTTGTTTTTTTGTTTCTGTGGGGTTTGGATTTAGAGTGGTTTGGAGTTGGAGGGTTCTTATAAATACAGTTGAGAGAGAGTGGAAATGTTTGGAGAAGATAAAGTGATGAGAGAGAGGCAGGCAGGCAGGGTCGGCCCAGGTTGGTCCAGGTGGCTTGGATTTTCTAAATGCAGTCATTCTTATCTGCATTATCTTTTTCTGCCATAACCTATTATATTATTTGTTTTTGTAATTAACCGATTTAATTAATCTCTCTTTACTGCTTCACTTCACTGTCCTTTCAGTCTTTCAAGCTTCATCAATTATTAACCTCTTTAATCAATTGGGTTTTGTTTTGTTTACTCATTTCTCAATTAATTTGGATTCAACAGTAATGTGATAAGAAAGATAAACACGCAAGTGTCGTAGATTACATTACAATTCTACGGTAGAAGCAAGTAATCTAAATTATGGTTGATTTAAACACTCTTTGAGAAAACCCTAAGAAAAGTCTTATCATCTGGCGGCCTTCTTCCCTACCTCTTCTCATCTCCTTTCATCCTTTCTTTTCTCATTCCCTCCCTTTTCTCTCAAGATTATTAGTTTATTTTGTAATGTGGAAGCAGTCATTGTAAAACGATGTCGTCGCCATGATATGAGTCACCGTATTTTTGTCCATGTACACAAGGAGTTGGCTCTCTTTAACATAGTTTAGAGCTCTAAAAAGGTGAAGATGTCTGGTTGTGTTGGATTCGGGTTTAGTTAGTGCAAGATTATGGGTTTTGCCGATATTACGCTATGATTTTCTTAGGGTTGCCCGAAAGATGTGGAGTGGTGGTCTTGTTTCTTAGTTTTGTTTTAAACTAATAATTTTCAGAAACTCTTTTAGGAGTTTGATGTGATTTGTTTTCTATTTATGATTTTTATTTCTTTTTAGCTTTTAACTTTCGATACGGATTTGTCATTTCTGTCTTTGCACAACGGATTTGTATTATAGGCAGTACATGTGCTTCTAGTTGTTGGATATGAGATTTAATTCTTTAGGTTATGCGTGATTCTTTCCAGATCAATTCAACATGTTGTTGTGTTTGGTCACTGAAGTAGATTAATCCATATTCGACATATAGTTGCTTTGTAATTTTATTTGCTCATTAATAATATTCTATTGCTTATTAAAAAAAAAAATAGTAATCTCGTCTGAAGTGTGGACAAGGCTGTGTATTAAGATACACTTTTTATATTAAAGGAGAATTAGTAAGTGTCAGTATAATTAACTTTGTTTATGGTTCCGCAGCCGGCTTTCCTTGGTTACGAATCTTGCCTTTAAAGTTTTAAAAAATTCACTTATATCATATTTAAGTTTCAACCTTTCAACCAAAATAAATATCTTTTAGGCAAACAACTAAAGATAAGGTGAGGTGGTGGACCTTGTCACCAAAAGGGAGGTAAATTTTGTTTTTTGTTTTTGTTTTTGGATCAAAGAGGTAAGGTTTAACCACTCCATCAACAAGGGCTAATTCTATTTGATTATCTCTTAGTTTCCCAGCTACCAACTCATACTAATAACAAAAACAGGAATTCATATACTCACACAATATTTCAATCATAGGTAAGGAAAAATACAACTGTGAATTTAAGTCATAATCATCAAATAAATATATTTTATCCGACATTTTTAAACAAGAATTTCTCGTATTTTGTCAGTGTACTCACAACAAATGCCAAAGAATGAGAAGTGTTCTTGTTCGGTTTTGGAAACCATTTTGGAAAATTGGAATGGTAAAACTACTAAAGTCATCTTTGGGACAAGTCACCTTTCCATAGCCAAACTTCAATCCTTCTAAACTAAACTAGCCCAATTTGGAAATTGCAAAACAAAACCTCACTCCTTATGTTGGTACAAAAGCTGCAATATCTATATACATATGTTTCTTTTTCTTCAATTTCTTCTGCAAAATTCTAGAATTTAAGCTTAATTTTTTGATTTAAGACTAATCATCTTTTTAAGCAATACTTTCACAGTGATGGAAATGTGCCGAAAATGTTTTCGGATGTTTTGTCTTTGTTAACTCCATATGGCCATAATTTGCCCTTGTTAGAGAAGCACCATGGTTTTAAATCATTGGAAGAATTATCCCAAACAAAAATTGATGGGAAGTACATTGAAAAGCCTACACAACAAGATTAGTTATTATTGTATTCTTTAAAGTTTTGGGTGTGTGTGTTTATATGTCATCTCATCTACATGTGACGCACCTAATGATAAATCCCACAGCTTGAGTAGGCTGTCAAGTTTAACCACTTCTTCCATCAAAATTTCCAACTAATGAAAATTAAGGCTGGACATGGTGGGGTTTGGATTGATTTTTGGCCGGAACCGATCACCGGACCGACTAACCCGAATGAAAATAATGTGGACTTTGGGTAAACAAAGTCAGAAAAACCATGATCATAGTAGTAGCTCTATTCAATTAGGTGCATGCATTTCTGTTTTAGATATAGTTGACTTCGTCTGATTAACAGTAATTTCACCTCATGGCTAGCTTTGTCACGTACAAGGGCAGCAAGAAAGCTTGTGGGATGAATTAGCCACTTGCTTATGCTAAACTCAATTATGAGGTTGAATTTAGTCCCTTTATTTGGTTGAATACAGCCATTAAGTAATTGACACCTTATTTTCATTTTTTTGGGTGAAATGATGGTTCACTTCATGCAAAGGATCTAGGAGCTACAAAACAAGGCTGGATACAATGTTTTTAAAGAAAAACGTAATCCCACTGTGGATTAATGAAGTGAAGCCATATTTCTACATAACATATGCAATTGTCGTGAAATTCTACAATGAGGGCGTCATATATGGACTTCCCTTGTGGACCTCATATTAGCCACTTGAGTGTGAAGTTTTATTCAGAAAAATCATATAACTAATATAAAAGTTCACATCTATGATTCATATATTACACATTCCCCGTAAAACTGTCTGGCCAAGTTGGGCTACCCCTCTCTCCTTCTTGGGCACTGAAAATGACTTTAAAAATAACGCCTTTTTGTAGTTCAGGTTTGGGTCTTATCTTCTTCTGTGATTATCAAACTTTGATCAACACTGCACATGTTGAGCACCCATTTGTAATAGTATAATGGCCCGAGGGAGAGAAGAAAGGCACTTTATGAGCAGAAAAACTTACTTTTTTTTTCTTTTTTTTGTTGAGAGAATAGTGATAGGATTTATTAATAGGAAATATAACTAGTACAAAAAGCGGGTAATGTTGTCGGGAATTAGGCAAATTTCTCATAAAGTACCCCTATCCTTTAAGATCATACTTGTAAAAACTACCTGTTACAATCCTCAAATGGGTTTGCTTTCCCAACCCATTTGTATTGTATATATGGGTTTATTATTAATTCACCAAATGAGTAATTAATCAGCCATAAATTTGACAGTTGATATACTTTAGAACAAGAAGCCCGTGACAACAAACTCTTTGAAGCTACATGTCGGTTTTGGCTAATTTATGGAACGACATGGTTCACACCAAGTCAACACGTTCATGCCATTTTATGTTAACAAAAAAACTAAAATACAAGCACAACATTAGACAATTTGATGTGTTGGGCAAAAAGAGGAAGGTGGGCAAAGGCAGAGCCAAACTCAAATCCTGCCCTGCCTACAAGAAAATGCAGGTACAAGCAATGTTGTCTAACTATTTGCTTGCAAAGCAATAAAAATTATGTATTAAAAAAAATAAAAAATAAAAATTGTGAAAGAAAAGGGTTTGAGATTGGATCGAGAAACTTCATGAAATTTTAACATACGGTCTCCACCTATTCGTTATCCGAAAATAGTTCAAGAATGTGACCAAAACCCATTAGTCTTTCTGAGAATCTCAACACTTTATTTAAAATGATTGAGAGCATCTTAGGAGCACAACAGACATGAGGACAGCTAAGCTTCATAAAAGGTTCATTAGACTCAAAGAAAATCTTTGGTTAGATCCGCCCCTAGCTTGTACGCTTTGGCCAGTTGATTTTGAACATATGGAGCCGCAAATATCTTATCATGGTAGGTAGGGTAGGTAAAAATGTACCAATACGGACTGACAAGACGAGAGACACCAATACGGATTGTTCACGTCGAGAAAATCTTAAGTGTAACCGATTGTACACAAAATTTGCAAGTGCCTTGTCCTGATAGTGATAACTGTATCAATGTGAACCCAGTTCCAATTGTTCATCCACTTGAAAAGTTTCAGCCATTCTAGTTGACATGTCCTGATAGTGATAACTGTATCAATGTGAACCCAGTTCCAATTGTTCATCCACTTGAAAAGTTTCAGCCATTCTAGTTGACAAGTCAAACCAAACCATGGGAGAGGCTTTCTTATCCAACTTTGGACCCAACAATTTGGGAGCTATATGTTAAGGTGGTGTGTTGAGGGGTTCAATCCAGCCGTATAATATTAAGGGGTTCATTGATTGAACGGCTATTAAGGTCACCCTCATTATACCCCTCACCTTAACCCCTCATTACAGCCTCACTATTAGAGATGCCCTTAAGGGGATTCGGATCAGGCTAATTGTTCATTTCCTTATAATTGAGTGGCTCCATTTGACACCCAGATGTTTTTAAACACCTAACCAAATTATGAAATTCTAGGGACACCCAACCCTATTTTCAAAGATTCCAGACTACCATTCTTAAGAATTATGAAAGAGTAAAAAGTGGGAGAGAAGTCTTTAATTAGAGATGTTCATAGACCACTTTTGAGTGTAAATATAAACACTCAATACTTTTTCATTCATGTATGCTACAAAATCCATCATGCAATACATAGACAAGAAGTATATCAGCTAAGATGAGATTCAGAATGGTTGAGCAAAAAAATCAGGCCAGTGCAAACAGGAATTTTGTTGACTAATAGCTACTAATGTATTAACACGA